TCAAAGAAGACCATGGCGCCAGACAGCGGTGACTGCTCCAAGGCTGACTGCGACTGCTCCGCTGCCGTAGCACTCCCACCTAGACAACACATGCCTGTCGTCAGCTTATTGCTGACAATTACCTGTCGATAAACCTTCGGGGTATGATTCGCATGGCATTATAACTTAGAAACTCACTGTGAGTGGAATCATATAAGCCAGGACAAAGAGAGCCATGATGGCTCCTCACCTTCTCCGGCGCGCGCCGCATTCTGCTCCTCAGCCAGCAACATTGCCAGCGCCACACCAGTTGCAGCCTCTTCGACGTTCATGGGCGAGCTCCCGGCAGCGCCTCCGAGAGCCACCTTCAGCCGTTTTGGATGACAGAGGGCCGCTGCAATGTGCCGGTAGTCGATCACCAGCACAGCCATTTTGGCCGGCGATGCGGCATGCCCCTGCATGCTCAGCCGCACGTTGGGGACTGGCACAGGCTGCGGCGACTCATCTGCCAGCAAGCAGCCGTGCAACGGCGACTGGCTCGCACAAGCTGTGGGCTGCGGCGGCACTTCGCTGGCCTCAGGCAGGACACCCTCTGCCTGCCCTTCTGGCTCTGCTGGGTCACTGTGCTGCTGCGCTGGCTGGTCATCCGCATCTGACTCAGAGAAGAGGTTCCCAACCTCGTCTTCGTCGCCCTCAGTGGGGGGACCCCAAAACTCTGCGGCTCTGGCGGTTGGGCGCCTGAGCCTGCCTCGGCTGCCCCTTCTGGGCCGATTGCTGCCACGCGCCCCGCCTGTGCCGCGGCGGCCACGCTTCCTGCCCCGACCCCGCCCATGCCCTTCCTGCACGCCCCCACCGGTGGCTGCCTCTCCTGCACCCCGTCCCTCCACATCTGCGCGTGCCCCACCGCCTTCCCCTGCCACCGCTGCCTCGGGCTCCCCCTGGCTATCTGTCTGCACGCGCGCCTCGAGGAACCATATCTCCATATGCAGCTGGGTGCCATCGCTGCCTGGCTGCACAGCGCGCACCAAACCAACAGGAGCCTTGGCAGCACGACCCAACTGGGACAAGTTGCGTGCTGGGAACTCCCCGTCGCGGTGCAGCGTGCTTGTGACGGCCCAGAGAGCGACACCAATCGAGGGAGTGCTCTCCCCCAACTGCGGCAGGTAGTGGCACTTGTCGAAGGTCCAGAGCAACTCGTCAATCTGCTTGAGTTTGACCACGGGCAGGCCGCTGCTCACTCCTGCAAACATGTGAGCGCCTCAATTGACTGGCTATCATTCCCTTCCATCAAATCTGCAGAAGTTAAAGCCTTCTCGGGTGTGCAACAGTCACCAGGTGATCAGAGCTTCCAGCTGAGAGCGCCCACTCACCCTTGTTAACAATGGACTTGGCCGCTTCCATCTGAAGCTGTGACTTCTTCGGCGCCTGTAACAACAATAACTTACAATCAGTGTGTTCAGCCAAACTCGCTTTCACTGCACCAGCAGCTTGACAGATGAGAGGCGTTCACAAAGCACATGCAAACATAAGGATCCTCAACAAGATGCCCACCTTCTGCCTTGCTGGTCTTTGCCGTGCCGGTTGGGCTGCGGCCTCAACAGCGGCTGTGATCTCTTCAACCGCCGCCGCACTCGGCTCCAGTCCACCTGCATGACAGCATCCATTAGCTGCCAGCGCATAAGATGTCCAGAGGAAATGGTGAGGACATGTTATTAATTTGCCAGGCATAAGATGTGTAGGCGCTGATCGTTACAGCCATCATGGATAGCTACCTTCTGGATGCTCAAATCTAAGCAGCCCTTCCACCCTGGCGAGCAGCGCGCTTCTGGTGAAGATCACTGGCCGCTGGCCTCTGTCAAGCAGGAACCGCTTCAGCTCTGCAACGGTGGATGAGGCCTTGAGGCTGAACGCAAGCCACCGTTGGACGATGTCCTGCTCGGCTCCCTGAGCGCTGAGCTGCCTGCGGCTGATCCCTGGCTGTGGCGCTTGCGAAGGTCCTGCAGCTTCTGCCTCTGGGGCTGCGGGACCCTGCATGCCGCCTGCTGCAGCTGTGGCGCCCCTCTGCGCCTGTCCTTGGGCTGTCTGGCCTGCCTGAAGTCCACTGGCCTGGAGATACGAGGCTGCCATCACTGTCCTGTTCAGGTTGGGCACTGCTGCCAGCAATCTGCTGGCGCTCTTGCTGAAGCTGACTTTCTGATTGAGGTGTCTCGTTGCAAAGATGGCGGTCGAAGTCGTCCCATTGTCTTCGAGGCGAGCCTGCTGACCACCAATGATGCCTCGAATCTTGCTTGATCGCCTATCGGCTCTCTTCCTCTCCAAGTCGCCGGTCTCTGCCTCTGAACGCAACGCAAAAGTCAGAGTTAGTTACTCTGTGTCAAGGTCATGGGGAGATTCAAAACATAGGTGTTCCCAACCTTCAAAGATGGAGTGCTTATTGAGACCTACCAATCACTCCTTGATGCATGATAAAATTCAACTTATCCTCATTGAGATCCTTGCCCCTGGTTTGGGCTGCAATGACGCAGTCCTCACAGCATTTGTGGGTAATATTTCTGAGCTCTGGATACTTTTCGCTCTCAATCTTCCCGCGAATAGAATAGTAGCCATTAGCTCTGGACAATGCTGAAGGTTCATCTCGGCCAAGGCAGCTCTGATGGAAATATCTGACCCCTGAGTCCACGGCATTGCAACGTTGCAATGGCACCCTTGCCTCTTGTTTGAAGACCCAGTCGGCAACAGCGTCGTGGCCGTATTCGTCCTTTGTCAGACCTTCTGAATAGAATCTGATAATATAATCACAACCTACACAGCGAGTCAAGCGTTCTGAACTTGCGCAGTTCGGATGAAGCTTCTCCTTGTCACTGCCACACTTGTAACACGGGATCCTAGCAATAATAAGTGACATGCTCGGTACAGAAACACATCACTGATCATTCTCCATGCTTACTGACGAAAGGCCTAATTTTTATTACCAAAATGGCATGCTATGGAATGTGTTACCAGGTGGCATGGCCCCTGATTGCCAATAATCCACCACATTAGTAGCGTTTACATCCACTAAAGTAGTGGATTTTGATTACTCGGGTGCCCTGTGGTGGAAGCTGCATTTGCAGAATCCCGTAGACAGCTCATGCCAAAGATATATGCATTGTTCGAAAGCTGTACCAATTTTATACCTAGACCAAAATCATCCTCCATTAATGCTCGCCCCGTCCTGGGGTTCTTAGATCTGCTTGGATTTCTCTCGTCAATTCTTCCTGACTTGATACCAGCTGTCAATCGGCGCAGGGTGTGTCAGCAGAGATATCCCCTCATGAATTCATCGCTGAAACTTCTCTTCTGTGCCAAAGACCGGTCTCCAGTGCATTATTAAAGCCAAAGGTGTGCGCACATTTCTCCCCTATGAGGTGCTTTGATGGCATCGGTGGGCATCCTTATGGCGTCTCACAGCAAGGCTCGTGTCAATCCCGTAGATTTCTTGCAGAATTTTTGTTACAATCTAGCAGGTGCAATCGCTTGAGGGTGTCCGCTCCCTGGCAACAGCCGCCTCGTCGGTCAATGCAGGTATGTTTGCCAAGTATGGTTGCAGAGTTACACGCACAAGTAGCCCATCTTGCCTGGTGGGACCGTAGCCATATCACTAAACCTTTTGCTGCTTCATTCATCTGATGTTCCTGCAGGCACCGGTTGCACCTTTGAGACTTCCTTTGGCAAGCTCATGACAGCAGAGGGCTATGGTAGACGTGCCCTTCTGTCTGCCGCTCTTGGCTGCATTGCTATTAGTCAGCTGGCGGCAGACAACCCAGCCCATGCCGAGCCAGACATCTCAGTATCAAAGACTTTTGTGCGTAAATCCTGGGAAAAGAAGTTCTCCAAAGCCTATCAAAAATGCTAGCCCTTCTGACATGGCAGTCACGATCCTGAAGGGATATGGACACAAGAATGTCGTGCCCCTAGACACAAAGTCTTTTGAAAGTAGGAAGTGCACATGGCCGCCCTCAGGGGCAGCAGCATCTGACGAGTACGTTGTCATTGTTGACAGCTATTTACACCTAAAGACGCATCACAAGCGGTAGAGGTACAGAACATCATGTAGTGTGCGAGGCAAGTTGAGCCTTATAATATGCATAGAATATGCCAAGCCATGTTCTTTTTTGGGCGCAATGGAATCTGCTGTTTGCTGTTTGATGAACCATTTCCTGCTCAAGATGGATGGCTAATATTGTGATGTGGGGTGAGCAGGAAACTGGTCGATCTGGACCTGGACGTTCTAGGCCTTTCACAGTGGCAGGGAAATAAGCTGGTAGGTGTCCTGACGGGCACGACACTGCGTATGGATCCTGATGCGACATAACGTTTGCTGAGAGTCTGTGGCTTCCCCGGTGGCTGCATACTCGAGGCAAGTCCCCTTTCTTTGCTTGGTGCCTGGAGACGAGATGGGCTGTACTCCCTACATCTGTAATTCTCCATGCTTACTGACGAAAGGCCTAATTTTTATTACCAAAATGGCATGCTATGGAATGTGTTACCAGGTGGCATGGCCCCTGATTGCCAATAATCCACCACATTAGTAGCGTTTACATCCACTAAAGTAGTGGATTTTGATTACTCGGGTGCCCTGCGCCGTAAATCACTTTTCTGGCTGACAAGGTGGTCCTCTCCTTTCCCGCCAAAAGCTTGCCTGTCCACGCAGTACAGACAGCCTGTCCCAACAAAAAAGTGCACCGCACGCCTTGGCAGTGCCCAGGGCATGCTTTGCAGGCCCTAGCTAGCTGTAGGTGCCAAATTGGCACAGCAGAGCTGCTCACCTCCCCGCGCCAAGCTTGGCGCGGGGAGCCTTACTAAGTAAGGCGGTCAATCACTGACTGTACACGTCACATAATTTGCATCAGTGTGTGCATGCGCCACTGACATGCGCATGTGGCTATGCCCCATAGGATTGTCGCCTGCATACGCAGCTCAGGCAACATGTGGCATGTTGTGCAAGGCTTGCGGATCTGGACATCATTCCGGGCATCATTCTGGAATCTGAGTGCCTACAGTCACTACACGGTGCAGATGCTATATGCGATTGACATCTTTAAGTCAGATGCACAAGTGCACATGCCATTAGGATGACTGGTCCGCAACGGTGGCCAAAGTTTGGCGCAGTCAATCATGACAAGTGCCACAACAAAGCATTCATGCTGTCCACAAAGATGTGGATACTTGACAGAATTGCAAACACACTGCTGCTGTTCAGTCCTTCCAACAGTTGACCAGCGCCTCAAGTATCACAGATGCTGTCATGTCAGTCCTCTTGCAGCAGGATGCTGTTGAGACATTCATTTGTCTTTGGTAGTCCCTAAAACAAAGCCAAGCTCCGACTGCTTCTGCTCTAAATCATTCATGCTAAGGTTCATAGGGATGCAGTATCACCAACCATCAGTCACATTCCCTGTTGATCAGGAGATCTGCCAACTTTCTCCTGCTGATCACATCACATTGTTGCTATGCCTGAGCCGGAGCATCACGCTCCCATCTCACGGCCTCCGTCCTTCCAGGACACAGATCGGCGCCTGCCTTCAAGGCAAGTTTGCAGGCCTGTCAGATCAAGCGCTCCACGCACTCTTCACAACAGCATGACAACTCATCTATTCTACGTCAGAGCTCGGCGTCGGCCTTTTTGCCCGAGGTGAAGCCGGACACTATGTTCTTGGCGCTGCTGTAGGCCTTGGACAGGCCCTCTTTGGCCTGGTCCACAGCTGCTTCAGCCACATCCTTCGCCTTGCTCAGCACCTCCTGTGCACAGACACACACAACAGCTTCAGTGCAAATACGGCCTTGCAGTCACAGACCGAGCCGGTAAATTTTCATCACTTGCACATGTTTCCCTACGCCATCCACAGCCCTAGATATACATCTTCTTCTGATTTCCAAGAGGTGCATTCACTAGTTTCAAAATTCCCTCCTTCCTTGGAAGAACACCTCGCAGGAAGCCATGCCTGCTGTGCATACTGGAAGGAGAGAATGCAAACAACAACCCCTAGGGTGGCCACTTGACCAGGTCAAAGTGGTATGGCGCCTACAGCATCCCTGAAAGTTGGTGCAAACTATGTATACTTCAGCACAACAGCACACTGCAGCAGCGGAGAGCACATCAAGGCTCATCAGGCAGCTCAGCGCACCTTGGCTCCCTCCACAGTGGATTCCACAGCGGAGGCCGCCTCTCCCTTGGGCTTCTCCTCGAACACCTCCTCTTCGTCATCCTCGTCATCGTCCTCTGCGGCCCACACAATCAAACTCCAGTTACAGGAATATGTGGACGTCCATGTGCACACGTCAGGCTGCACTTGCATGTTGAGTTGCTCATGACGAGCAGCACAGAGAGCTACAATTTGCCGTGTTTTGCATGCAGCTTTTTTTTGGTGGGCAGCCACGAAAAGGCGTCTCTAACAAGTGGGGTGCGTTTTTTTGGGGCCCTTTCAAGCAGTCAAGCAGCGTAACTGTTATTAAGGCTGTTTGTTACGTAACGAGGGATGACAAATCGTTACCTGAGTACGGGTCGCCTCCCTTGCCCACCATGCGCTCTACACTGGCCCTGTCATACATCTGGCCGCCCATGCCCATGTCCTACACAGGCAGCAAAGAACAACATATAAATGTCACATGACCGCAAGCATGCGTAATCTTGCATCAGGCGCGCGAGCTGTGTCTTATTGCTCCTGCGAGCATTTTCGCTGTTGGGCGGTGCTGGCTTGACCGCGTGCACAGGCAGCAACACCCCAGCATGAATACCTGCGCAACTGCATGCTTTGCCGCGCATGTGTTGGCTTGGATCAAGCACACAAGCTGTACGCTGTTGCTGTGAGCGTCTGCTGACTTCCTGAAATGACTGCTTCAATACAAGCGCCTGCTCAGGAGTGTGCAATAAAGAGCCGCTTACGATCCTGCTTTTGCAACAATGCTGCCAAGACTTTGCTTTGTAGTTGTAGTCCACTGGACCTAAAGGCACCAAGTTGACCTCAAGGTGGGGCACTTTCCTATCACAGCACATGACGTACAAAGCCAAGATGCAAAAATTTGGTCTGAGCAGGTGCAGCAAGGGGATGTGGGCAGCTGCTAGAAGGCAACCGTATACAGGGAGATCAACCCTCACTCCCGTTGAAAAGGTAACACAGCTTATAATTTCCCCCCTAAATGGGTGATACACCTTACAAAATTCTGTCTGGAAAGGAAAGGTGCGAGGGGACGCCGTTGTCTTGTCACATCCTTCCTCGCGTGAAAAGGCAAGAAAGCCTTCAAGTCATAATCTAAAGGGTAAAGGGGAATGCCGCCGCACCTTCATGCCGGCCATCATCTTCTGCATCTGGGCCTCCTCCGGGTCGATGACCTGGAATGCCTGCCCGGGTGCCCGGTCTTTGGGCAGCGGCGGCGGCTTCTGTTTGCATGCGCCTGTCACGTCGTAGCACAGCCAGTTGCTGAACTGCGAGCGGCTCATCTTGCCCTGCGCGCACAACAGAGAGCTGGACAGGGCCTTGTTCAATCCTGTTTGTTCCTGAAAGAGGGCTAGTATCCAGAAAGACTCTTTTGAGAGTGGCACTGCCGAGCTGGCAGCGCAAGGGACAATTATGTCAAAAGCGTGCCATCCCGGAAAACGTTCATCTGACAAGCATCGAGAATCGGCGCCAGTCTCTCGAAACAGGCTGCCTCACCAGGTTGATCTTGCAGCACCTGTGTTTCAATGCAAGGCAGTGCCAGCAAAACTGGGCTGTTGCATCCTTGGATGCTAGAGGCTAAGCAAATTCAAGCAACTCCAACCAGACTGCTGTCTGGAAGACTGATCCCTTGGCAAATAAGGATACCTAGACTGACAGGCATCAAACTCTGTATGTCAGGTCTTCTGGCAGCTACGCATCTGTGCTGTTCACTGAGCTGTGAAAGGAGCAGGTCCCAACCTGCCACAGTTTCTCTGCAATGTCGGTGTCGTGGTCGGACAGCACTTCCTGCGCAGCGCGCTGGACGGTCTTGCACTCCTCGCGGCACTTGCCCAGCTCCTCATGCTCCACCAGCTTGAGCTTCTTGCCGTCCTCAACCAGGTCTATCTTGGCGATCCACTCCCCCTCGTCCTTGGCTGGGTCCCCCATCTTCTCCACCATCTCCAGAATCACCAGCTCCTCCAGCTGCAGTGCAGGAAGAATATATATATATTATTACTATTACTAACACCCACAATAATACTGATACCAGTACAATCACAAGTGCCATTTACTACATTCTAGGGGCCTGTTGGGAGCCAGCTGAAGCTCATTGATCTTATAGCACCCTGTTCCTGCCAGAGGCAAGGTGTAGGTCAAAGGCTGCCACATGTTCTACTCCTTGGTGTTTGATACTAAGGTGCAAGGCATTGGGATGTGTAAAAATGGCATTGCTCGCAATTGCAGAGACTACTGCGCATGAGAGGTGTCAGACAAGTTGTCTGTACCACAAGTTAGGGGTTGCACAGGAAGGCTCACCTTCTTTCCGGGCTTGAGGGCATCCCTGGCGGACTTGACTTGCCTGTAGGCGTTTTTGCCCACCGCTTCACAGACTCCACATCTAATGTAAGGCAGGTCAGATTTGACTGGTAAAGCATCGGGCTCTCCGCCAAGCTGGGCGCTTGCTTGGGTGGCCAGCACTGCCAGCGCCAAGAGTGCGCCACACCACCGCATTCTCATCAGATGGACCTGGAAATATTAATTAGGATATTCAGGCCGATGCAGGTCAACATCGTGTCGCAGCCGGCAGGATCAAACTGGGCATCACAGATCATAGCTTGTAGAAGTAGGCTGGTCGGTTAAGCGTGCAGCAGCAACAACAAAGCTTCGGAAAATTTCCGAGTGAAGCAATGTGATATTGTAACACTAAGCTAAAGTCACGAGAGCATTGCCGCAAGTTCTGATTGATCCAAAGATCAAATCAACTTTGCTAAGGTGATGAAGCGGGCCCGAGCAACAATAAGGAATCATTGATTTTGCTTCAAAGGCCAATTTAAGGTCTGTGTGGGCTTTTACATCCTCAATATGACAGGATTTCAGAGTTCCAAGACACTGAGGTGATCACCTGCTGCGTTGATGCTCGTGGGGCTCGTTGATACTGTATACGTATGGACACCGTTGAGGGAACTTTTCCAATAGATGGGAGTGCTTACAGTTCTCTTGAATGGTCATTCGAGCTTCCTCAAAATAAGAAGGATCCAGAGCTTGAGCCTGATCAGGCAATTGTGCCTTTTCTCTTCTCACTTGCTTCTCACGCTCTTCTGCTCGAGATCCATCTCTGAAATAGGAAATTCTGCAATCAGTGCATTAGGTCAAGTGCTTGCTGGAATATTGATCATTAAGGAATTCGCGGGAGCATGTCACGCAGCATGGTGTTTTCCTCTGGGTTGGCATGTCAACGTGCAGCACACTCCTTTCTTTCAATGCATGCACATCGCCAATCAGGGAGCAGAAGAACGTATCAATCATGGGCCGCATTGCAGACTCCCTTGTTGAGCAAGAGATGTATACCCTGCGAAGAAGACCACGGATCCCTTAGATTCATGGGCATCTGCGAGTCGATGGACAGGAGCAAAGCAGAGTCTCTGATCGCTTCAGAGGTAAATGCCATTGTTTTGTTACCAAAGGAGATATGGAGGAATCATTACTCAACACCAAAGTTGTTGTGGGACTTGCCAACAAGAAAGCTTGCTGAGTCAGATGTGATCATTTGTGCAGGCAGAAGGCTGGGATTTGGCCGAAAGTGAGCAGAAGCACCTTCTGATACGAAGAACATTCCGGACGAAGAACTTCGTCAAGGTACGAAGTATGTGCTGCATGGGATAAGAGATCTCGCTAGCTGCCCTTTTTCTTGTATCCAAAGCACAGAAGCAATACACGTGTTTCTGCAGGCGTTGGAGTTGTGCAACCGCTTTGGAGAGGTGGCTGAAGCAGAGGGGCACCACCCAGACCTGCACATCACGGTGAGTCCCCAATTACCTTGTACAATTCTACAATCCAAGACCAGCATGCTTCAACATAGATCACATCAGCATATCCCAGAACTCTGTCAATCAAGTTCAGGGGTGGAACCGTCTCACAGTGGAGTTGACCACGCACTCAAGGGACGGCCTGACAGAAAATGACTTCATCATGGCAGCAAAACTCAATGCAGTCCCCAAAGATGACCTGCTGTCCAAAAAGAAGGCCTGAATCTATATTGATCACTGCAAGGAGAACCTGTGTACTTCAACTGTGTGAATGCAATACAAAATGGCGATATCCGGCTGCATAAGGTGCCTGCTGCACTGAATGGCTGTACTTGTCTGCTTGAGCGATTTGAAGGTTAGATGTGCTGAAGGTCAGATGTGCAACACTGGCGATGCTTGGCAAAACGGAATATAGAAAAGATCTGGTTGCATCTGCCCCATTGTATTGTGTTGTTTAGTTGCGCATGAGGCTATTGCCAAGCTCATTCTAGATAAAGGCTCTTGGAGAGCAAACTGTGTTGTGCCTCCAAACGCTGTGTCTCAGATGCCAAATGTACCTACTGCATGCACTTGCTCCCCATAATTTAAGGTGTATGATTGATGCTAGCTGGCATCTGGCAGACATCTTCGGAGCAATCCTTGTAACATGACCTCCTGACACATTGGTGACAACAACACAATTCTTCTCGTGGGAGCAATCATTCCCAAGACACGCAGACATGCACTTCAGCCACCCATTAATATCAGTTAAGAGCACTTCTGAGTAGTCACAAGCAAGACTGTACCTACACGACTGGCATACTGTAGCTCAGAGTGCCTCACTTCTGCCACTGCTGTCACAGGCAGGTGCAATAAGTCGTTTCAGCAGCTAGCAGCGCTGTGATTGGCTGTGCACGGCATACAACTGCAGCACACCGTTGTGAAAATGTCACAAAATTGGAGGAGAGGAATCATTTGTTGCAACCACAGCTGCACCTTAGCATGCAGCATGTATGGCAAAAAGTGGCAGTGGCAGATTTGCAACCCTCTCTAATGAGGAGACGACTCAGAAATGGAGCCTGCTGTGTGCAATCCAAAATCCCACATTCCACACATCCTCACAGCAGCAATCAGCGCAGATTATTCTCCCAATCCTGTGCCCCTTCCGCACGTGCCCAAGCTGATGGATCTGAAGTGTGGCACCTCCGCACAGCTGCTTACGTCAGCTGGGCGCGCAAGAAACCACAGAGCCCGCTCAGAGCAGCAGCTCGGCAATCTGCACAGCATTCAGCGCAGCCCCCTTCTTGATCTGGTCCCCGCACACAAACAGGTCCAGGCCGCGCGAGTCCGGCCGGGAAATGTCTCGGCGCACTCGGCCCACGTAGACGTCGTCCTGGTTGGAGGCATCCAGCGGCGTCGGGAATCGGTTCGCCGCCCTGTCGTTTATTATCGACACCCCGGCAGCCTTCGACAGCGCCTCCAACGCCTGCATGCATCCCATGCTTGCTGTAAGACATAGGCACCTCGTGTTCTAGGGGTGAGCGTGTACGCTGGATTGAATTCTCCTTTGCCTCTCTCTGTCACATTGAATTGCCCATAGTATAGATGCAGCATGTGCGTCACTGGATTCCATGGATTTTCATGGCTTCAATGCCGAGCACAAGCACAAAGCAGCGCCTTGCCTAATCCATTCTGTTGAAGACTAAATGCTTGGCATCAGTAGGTTTTACATCAAACGCAGCAATATCTTCAAGCTAACAGCATATGCAAGCAATCCACACGAAGCAGCCTCGTGCATGCTGCGCATAATGCGGCTTCAGCCGGTGACTTTAGCACTTGCAACGGGGCGTACCTCCTCCTCGCTGACATCGCGCTCGAATTCGAGGTTTATGGACTCGGCGTGCGCGCGCATGATGGGCACACGGATGCATGTGGCGGTGATGGCGATGTCCGGTTCCCCCCAGATCTTGTGGGTCTCCTTGACCATCTTCATCTCCTCCTCATTGTACCCGTTGCCCGTCATCGGCGAGTTGTGGCTGAACAGGTTGAACGCATACTGCGCCACACAAATATGAAAAATGGTGAAAAGTGCCCTTGGATTGAAGTGAAAATGAATGTAGAAAAATCACCCAGATCTCAACAAGCATGCAAGCTTCTACTACTGCAACAGGAAGTCCAAGCTGAACCCCTCCTTGGTTGGCATGCAAGCATCTGTGAGGATCCATGAACATCCGAGACTGACTTTGTGCAGTAATGTTCCTGATGCATTGGTCCTCTGCATGGGTACATAGATATGATAAATAAAAGAACACATGCATGATTGGGACAATGCCCATATGCTGATAATCTAGGCACTGAAATTATTCGTCAGTCTGTCAAAGACAAGTACTTATGCGAGGCAGTAGGTGATGGAGCATGCATGCATGCATGCATATGCACAAGGCGAGTGGGTCAAAGGGAGGCCCCACCTGGAAGGGGAAGATATTCTGAGTGATGGGCTTGCCGTCCAGAGCCTCGCGCGTCTGCAACTCCAACTCGTCCATAGCCGCCTGCCCAGCCCCGCTCGCCGCCTGCACACCGATAAAAGTTGCACATTTGAGGATAAGGAGTGAGGTTGATTGGGACTCGCTGGATCTGGCGAGTTGATCAAGGACCAGGATTGTGGCAGCCTTTCACTGCAGCTTGTCTGCAGGACGTACCTTGCCTTCTGGAAGGAAAAGCGTATAACAATTATAATAACAATAAGAGGAGTTCTAGCCCTTTATTGTATTTTTGAAGGCAACGCAAGCCCAATCCTGCCCGACAGAGTCCTCCACGGGGTGAAGCTCCTCCAGTCCATTTGGGACTCATCAGAATCAGCGCGTCCCAGGGCAAAGTATCAAAAAGCAGTAAAGACAGGTGGGACCTGCCCATTCATGGCAGCCCAGAGTGCAGAAAAGAGCCTGCCAGGAATCATGTGACCTTTGCCAGCAAATCACAGCTCACATGCCACGCAGGCTTTCAGCACTCAAAACGGCCATTTTAAGGAAGACAAATCCTCCAATAGAGACCTTATGAACCCTATCAATCAATCAAAGACGAGCTTCTGGACCATGCATCCCTGGCGGCCAGCAGGGCTTCAGTCCTTCGGTTATTCCAGGGACTAAATTCCTGGTTTTTGCTTCCAGCTTGGGCTTGATAGGACCCTACCTGGTAGGTGCTCACAACCATGCGCTTGACGCCAGCGAGTCGGTGCAGGGGAGTGACTGCCATGAGCGCGATGATGGTGGAGCAGTTGGGGTTGGCCACGATTCCCCCCTTGCCAGCTGACACACCCTTCAGCGCATCGGGGTTGACCTCCGGAATGACTAAGGGAACGCCCTCTGACATGCGGAAGGCTGAGCTGTTGTCCACCACCTGCGCGCCGCATCAGGAATTGCCACGTCAGCATGCACCGTATCAGCATTTGCCAGGTGAGCGGGGGACACTGCCGACATGGATGACATAAAATGCCCAAAGGGGCACCAGTGTGCGCCCGGAAAAACTTCTCAACCAACTCTGCCAAAGATCTGGACCGGATCAATTTGAGAGTTAAGGTGGGGATTTAAGTCCGGCGCACACCGGCGGCCGAAAGGCGCAAAAGACCTGCGCAAGTCTTTCCTGCATGTTAGATGCCAAGGTGTTTGAAGTGCTATATGTAAAGAGAAAATAGTCCATGCAGGGAATGAATGGAGCAGCAGACTACTTAGTAATCTCAAGGGAGGCGCATCGCACCGTGCAGCCGGCGTCGGAAGCAATAGGCGCAAACTTCTTTGAGATGGAGCCCCCGGCGCTGAACAGGGCGATGTCCACGTCACCAAAGCTCTGCTCCGTCAGCTCCTCTATCGTGTAGGACCCCCCATCCCACTCCACTGTCCTACCAGCTGACCTGTAAAGCGGGGTGGGACCTCAACAAGAGCAATTGCCACCTTGTAGATGCCACGCTAAATGCTTTATCAAGGTAGCAGGACTATATATAAGGCTTTTGGACAGAAGGTGACTAGAACGGCCGATGGCACGTGCCGCAACCGGGCTATGTTGTGCATAAATTCTGCAGATCTGCCATTACTTGGACTCTTTGGGGCTACATATCAGGCAGATCAAGAAGGTTCTGCACTCACACCAGCATCATGGGCTATGAAAGAATTGAAAGGAGGAGTTCACCTGGCAGATGCTAAGAGCTTCAGGTTGCTGTAGGGGAAGTCCCGCTCCTTCAGCACCTAGGAGACGATGTAACGTTGAGATATAGCCGTATACGTCGCGGAGAACATTAGACAAAGGTGATTTCTTCCTTTTGGTCTCGTAAGATGTAAGCTTCCTTTAGCTTCCCCACACCACAACCGCAGACAATGGAAGATATAAAGAGCACAACGGTCTCGGACGCCATGAAGAATGTAACAGTCACACAAATTGGCCGAAGCATGCAGTTGAATCAACAGGAACACAAGCGTTGCAGAGATCCCGTTGCAAAAGGCCACAATCTGACGTCACTCTTATTTTGGAGAGAATGTGCAAATGGACAGAAATGTAGCATGCTCTGGATATCAGGAGTTGTCCTCACCCTCAGAAACTCCTGTCCCACGGCTCCAGTCACCCCAACTATGGCCAGCGATGGGCCGTCCGCTGTCTTGGCGGCTTGCACTCGCAAGCATTGCCGCCTTGTGACAACCCTCGATCCTCTACATCTTTGTTGCAGCTGATATCCCCGCAGTGAAGCAATGGATCCAGAACATGAGCACGTGCCCTGCATATTTGCTAGAGGTCGTGCACAGAGCCAACTGGCAGTATTGTGCAGGCAATTCCTGGGAATTGTTATAGCCGAGCTCGAAGCTGAGAACAATAATAGAAGCGCTAAAGAGGAATGCGCAACTGGGAATTGGGAAAGGTTGCTCTTGAGATCTGGGTCTCATCTGATTTTGGAACTGAGCTCAAAACCCTGTAACAGTCACCCCAAGCCCTAATGCAAATCCGCGGGAAACGCTTGCTCTCGCGCAAGGCAATCGATGCGATTCCGATACAGCCTAAAGGCTATGCTCCGCACCAGCTGGTCCCTTGTAATGCTGGACAGCTGATCATGTGCCACTCGCTCAGTGAGCACCGTCGATCATCAGCTCAGCAATAAATACAGTAATTTGGATGTTCGCCCCTTGATGGGTTTTAGCTATGCTTTCCGACTGTGAAGCCTTCAAATCAACAGAATGACATATATTTTGAATGAGGTGCGTATCCTCGCGTGCACATCTCAAACCTTGACAAAGATCTGAAACATCCATCATGGATATGGATGTTCTTGCTACAATAGTGTCGACGCAAGTCTAATCTCATCTGGATGCCATGCATGAAATAAGTTAATGTTCAGTTTCTTCATGGCTGATCTGACTCGATGAGACCCTGAAAGGACTGATACTCAGGATTTCTCTTTTGGTGCAGAGAACAGCCACGGAAAACTCTCCATCAGGATACATTAAAGGAATGCAGGACCTTGAAAATGACATCAAGGCGACGGAGCGCAGCCTGCTCGCAATCGCAGATCGGGAGCCAGACTCAAAGGGAGGCGTGCAGGCTGCAGCCAGGTCCCTACTAGGCCTGCTAAGGCTCAAGGCTCGAGGCAATGCAGGCATGAGCCAGGATGGCCTTCAGCTTGTCAGAGACAGCTGCACGTCACTGCTGACACCCCAGCCAGGCAACAGCCATCCAGGCCCACAGAAAGCGCCAGACAGCCGTCTGACGCCACAACAGCAGCCTGCAGTCCTCAACAAGAAGCTGCAGGAGTGCTGCTCAGTGCTGGGGTCAGCCATTGACAGCGCCACAGTGGCGCAGTTGGCTGCAGTGCTGGAGAGCCTGTACACAAGGCAGCTGCAGCTGCTGTCACAGTGCCCCCAGCTGCCCGGCCCGAAGAATGCCAACTCCCTGCCTGCCACAGCCGCCGCGCCCCCCATGACCACATCTCACCAATTAGCAGGGCAGGGCAATTTTGATAATGCCGACGTTGATCAGCTGCTGCCAGCGCAGCGGCCAGCGCCGGTGGCGGTGACGCGGCGGGAGTGTTTCCTCCAGGCAACCACGCAAAATCTGGCCGGGGCAGAAGACGCACCAAATATGGCCAGCCCGGCCCCCGGCGCCGTCGGCCCGATGGCATGCAGGCCCCACGGTGAGGAAATCCCCTTTTTGATGACAAAATATGGCAACTGTTGAGATAGTTCATGCCGTTCCTCGTGATTATAAGATTCACTGCGAGATTCCCGCCACATCTCGAATAATGTACTTCCGGACATGGTTTGGTATGTATCACGTGAGCCTGTCCTGTTTGCTGACCTGGCGTCCTGTGCAGGTGCTCACAGTGGCGGCTATGGAGTAGCGCAAGCATCGCAGGATGAAGGATCCAGGCAAGGTTGGGGCTGGGGCGGTGAGCCGGCAGCGGCCAGGGGTCGTCAAGCGGTGGAGGTCGACAGGCACGGGCGCGTAGTCGCGTCAGCGTCCAGTCAGCTCGATCGGGCGGATGCCTCAGGGCTGCTGCTCTCCCAGAAGAAACAGTCCACCGCTGACAGAGAGGCAACCCTGAAGCTGCGGCTACAGGAGGTGCAGCACTTGTTCCCCGGCATCTGTGCTTACACCTCATGCTGTCTGCCATAAGTTTCCAAAATTTTGGGTGTTGTTTGCAGAGGAATGGTCGTCGCAACGACGCCCCAGCCTTCAGCTAGACCACGAAGATTAGGCCGTGCCATCAAGAAGTCATTACCATGTGCTGACAACCTGATCTTCAGAATCTGTGTGCCTGGCAGGCGGAGGTGCTCTGCGAGGAGTATGCAGGGAGAGTGGCAGCGATGGAGCAGCGGTGCGCCGAGGTGGAGCTGCTGCAGGGAGAGAATCTACGCCAGGGGGACGCCCTCGCAGACGCGCACCAGCGACTGCGCGCGGCCGAGGTACACTTCAATATTTCCGTCATCACCAGCTTTTCTCCCTAGTCAAGCTTCTTAGCTGCTTGGGAGGGTGTCTCCCTTATCAGAATTCCAGCCCATTGCTGTGGCATTGTAGGCGCCACAGAAGGGCTCTGTTCAGAGTCTACATAGACATAGAAGATCTGGTGCAGTCTTCAGGCCAGGACACATTCACTCGTTGATTTCCCGTGCAGGAAGAGAGCAGCGCCCGAGTGGAGCTGCTGAGCCAGGTCAACGCCGACCAGGCAGATCTCGTGGAGGAGCTGAGTCAGCAGGTTGAAAGCCTGCGCGCCGAGGCGGCGGCTGCCGCGGCCGCGCCGGCCGTCTTGCAGCTTGAGAGCAAAGTCGCCGAGGCCGATGCGGCCGCCGCCACCGCCGCGCAGACGGCGGGTGCCGCGCATAAGAGGGCCGAGGAGCTGGAGGGACAGGTGGAGTCACTGCAGGTAATCCCTGGGACATCTCTTGCAATTGCCTCGAGGAATGATTGTATGTGAACTGATCTGCTACCCTGTGACGCCTCAGTGACGTCTCAAGGACACGTCCTAGGGATATTCCCTGAGCGGTGATTGTTTGCCTGCGCAGCCTCCTGCTCGTGCTAAACGGCCATGCACCTTGGCAGATCAGCTACGTGCTGCTCTTGAGCACCACCTCCCTTGGATTTTGTGCGGGCAATTCATAAATTGACTATCATTCCACTCAGGAGGAGGTTGCGGCGGCGGCCCATCTGCGCCGGCAGGTGGCGGATCAGGCGGCTGCACTGGAGGCGGCAAACACTGAGATTGACCAGTTGCGCGCCGGAGTAGAGATGGCGCAAGACGCGCATGACCGGTCCCTTGCTGCTCTGCAGGCTCAGCTCGAAGAGCAGGCCGGCGAGGTGCGTTCCACAGCAGCATGCTGTTGAACGGTGCACAAGGAGAGAGCAGCCTCTTTAGTGTTGGGGCCCAGTGATGAGAGAGTGAGAGAAGACAGGAGAAAGGGGCAGCGGCAGATAAGGGGAGGTGAGGGAGAGGTACTATACACACAGAAGATAAGCAGACATGAGAAGAGGAGGAGACCCAGGAGACAATCGGATGAAGTCATAATAGGAGATGAGAAGAAATGAGTTCTTGAATGCGGCTATGTTCTGGATGCGCAGGTAGCAGAGCTGCACGACCAGAACATGGCGCTGCGGGTGGACGCCGGCCAGGCGCGGCAGCTGCTGGCGCTGCGCACCGAGGCGCTCATACACAGCGAAGCTGCCGCAGCAGCCGCCGCTGCCCCGGCTGCCGAAGCAGCCAGTGCGGCGCCATCGTCGGTGCCGGCCAAGGCCGGCGCAGCCGCTAAGGAGGCCGCACGGCTGCGCGCGGCGCTGGCGGTGTCGGAGGACCAGCGGCGGCGCGATGGTGAGGCGGCCGAGAAAGCCGCGGCCGTGCTCCGGGCTGAGATCGAGCGGCTGCGCGCGCGGCGGCCGAGGACAGCTCCGCCGGGGCCGACCACGCCGGACCGGCGCAGCGCGCCGCCGGCGCGTCGCGGCAGCGCCAGCTCTGGCCGCTCCGAGGACCCCTCGGCGGGCCCCCCCGAGCCCACTGCCGGTCATCGCTGGCCGGGACCCCCCGCCCTTGCTGCCGCGCCCGCAGATCACCGACCGTTCAAACCCGCGTCCCTGGACCTTGACCACAGACGGCCGGATGCGGCCGACGGGGCAGACATGGCCCCGGCAGAGTTGGATGACATGGTATTGACTCACCAAGCGGAGGTCGCGAAGTGGCACGAGCACTGTGCAGCTCTGGAGGGTGAGCTGCGCTGGCTCCGAGCAATGGCAGCGCAGAACCGGCTGCCGGAGCCGGCCGAGTCACTACGCCACTTTGCCGGCGGCGTTATTTCAGAGGTGTTCCCTTTGGACCGTTACCTCAGCACATCGCCGCCCGGCGGACTCAGCATCCAGTCAGCCTGGCAGCAGCTGGCAGCCGACCCTGCAGCTTCCCATACCTTCCCAAGTTCATTGCAGCTGCTCCAGCCTAACCTGGGATTCCCTCCATGCCTGCCCAGCTCAGAAACAGCGTCGCAGCGGCAGCTGGGGACTTATGCCGGCAGCTGCGGCGCCTCGTCAGCAAGCGCTGACTCAGACGGCCTAGCGGACGCTGACATGGACGCACTACTGCAGTCTCTGGAGGCCGCCGTTCTCAGATCATCGCCTGGGACCCAGGTTTGCTGGAAAAATTGCCTGCCTACTTTGCAATGCTTCTGTAGTTTCTGGATCTGCCAGAGGTCTGTGCGACTTGCATCATCACGGCGTGTAGAGTGGCAAGGAAAAGTTTCTGAACGTTCAAGAGACAGTTGGCTGCTTTTGCGGAGCAGCAAAGGTAGAGCGCTGCATGCACAATCAGAGGAACGCTAGTGTAGGTACGCCTTTAAAAATGCAGTACAAAGGGAGTTTTGTACTGCACAGGCAGCGCCACAGCAGCAGGAGAGCATCGCACTTCAAGAGCCAGCCGGCAATAGGGCTCAAAATGGCCGCAGTTTGTCAAATGCGGCGGATGAGTTGGGTGCGGTGAGGAGTGACATTGTGGCGGCGTTGAGGCGCCGGGAGGACCTGCGGGGGGAACTGCGGGGGACCGAGGCCAAAATTGGCGCTGCAGAGTCTGAGCTGGGTCAGATACAGTCTGAGGTGAGCTCCCAGCATTTCTGATGGCTGTGACATGGAAGAGATGCTGATCGCAGCAGGATTGCTGGCCTGTATCGTTGATAAAATTGCACACGCATAATGCAGTATCTCTATGGCTAACAGTCATGGGCCAGTGTGAGTTGCTGAGTCGGATTGCCCTAAGAGTAATGACAGTTAATGTCAAGCATGCACTTGATGGTGCTGGCTTTCTGCTTGTGTGGCAGGTGCATGCGGCCGAAGAAACTCTGCGCTTAAGGCATGAGGAGGCAGACAAGCTGGCTGGCTCAATCGAGAACTACAGGACAGAACTGAAACGGTAATCACATTGAAATTCAATCTTGGAAACCTAGAATGCCTTTTGCCATCCTTGCAGCGGCATTGATGCGTCAAGGGGGAAGGCAAATGTAATGAGCTGACCTTCAATAAGTACAATGCTTGGTTGTGAAAATGTCTAATTCTTGGTTATGTCATCCGCCTGCAGACTGGAGGTGCAAGTTCAGAACGGCTACACTCAGCTGGAGTCCTTGGGGGCTGCTGCGCAGTTTGGCAGCCCACAGCGGTCTTACCAGAGCAGCACCGGCAATGAGGAGAGCCTGACAGCGCAGGCAGAGGCCAGCCAGGGAGTCAAGCTCCTCCTGCGAAAGCTCAAAGAGGCCAATGCAACTGCTGACAGGTACAGAGCATGTGCATTTCATGTGCAATTTATTAGCACAAAGTGAGCATGATGCACTTTTCTGTTCAATATTCTTTGCGTATCTGGATGTCAAGGCGACACATTTGTGTTCAGAAACTTGAGCAGAATATGAAGGTAATGAGGAATGTCATGGAGAAACATTGCATGCTGCCAGGTACAAGAAGGACCTGCACGAAGCAGAAGCGACAACCAAAGCCATGCAGCAGGAGTTGTCAGAGCGCGAATGCATGGCAGCTGCTGAGGTGGCGGCCAGCGAGGCGAAGCTGATGGAAGCCAGGCAGCAGCTGCGAACTCTTGCTGTGCAGCCGCCGGCCGCCTCAGGTACCGAAAAGAGAGTGTCACCTTCTTTATCGAATCTCACCAGGACACCTTTTGATCGGAGTTCAGGCAAAGCATGTTTCTGAGTTTGCGCTTGCAACACGGCTTGCCAGCCTTGTGCAGCGCATCTGTTTTCAATGGTTCTTGCCTCGTTGCAGACTTTTCAAGGAGTGTATATGCAATCCTCTGCAGCTTCATCTATGTATATACTCTGCAGAATTTTTCACAACACACGAATGTGGGGTAGCGGCATACATTTAAAGACCACCTTGCCCAAAATATGGGCACTCAAGTGTGAAGGAGCGGTGTGTGGTGTACTACAGGCAGCAGGAGGGTGAGCCGGTGGGACGACGTGATAGAGGAAGCTGCCGGGGAGCTGGAGGGCGTGGAGGGGCAGCTGCACACGGCTTCCCGGCAGCTGCTGGACCTGAGAAGCGCCACCGCGCAGCTGTCAGCAGACGCCCAAAAAGCGTCTGACGCCAAGGAACAGGCATGCACCCCTTGCTTTCACTGTATTCTCGTGCGCACCCACTCTTTAGCCGCCGGCCAAAGACCCTGTTTGAACAGCAGACGCAGGCCAGTACTGCATGGGATACCAGCCAAGTGCAATGCTACTACATGCAGCATACAATGTCCCACAGAGTGGGTGCTTCTGCACAGCTAAGGACCCCCCTGTGGTATCCTCAAACTTTACTATATAAGCAAATCCCCAGGATTGCAGACACAAGCCAGGGAGTTATTGCAGGCTGAAAGGGAGGCGGAGCAGGCGAGAGAGCGCTTGAGAGAGGCTCTGGCGGAGGCGTCAGCCGCGGGGCACGACGCGGCGAGGCACCGGGCGGCGGCTGACGCGGCGGAGGAGGGACACCGCGAAATGGATGAGAAACGGGAACGCCTCAGAATGGAAGTCGATGGGCTTGAGGGGGAGGTCCGCCGCCTGAACAGGCAACTGGAGAAAGCCGCTGGCAGCTGCCAGGCGCAGGTTTGTCGCCTCTGAAGCTTCCACATTATGAAAGCAATCTCAAATGAAGTTGAGCTGGAGTAGGTGTCTGTCTGGGGAGCCTCCGCCGACGAGGGCTGCAACACACCACTGGGAGCATGTTCGTCCAGATATAAAACAAAGGACAACTAGCTTCCAATACGATGGTTTCAAGGATAGAGGAAATGTGCTGCTGAATGTTGGTCGGGCTGAAACTGCCGTCTACCAGCAATGCTTCTCTCAAGGCTGAGCAAATCCGACAATGGCAACTCAGGAGCAGGCGTTGCTACAGCTGCAGCAAGATTGCGAGCGGGCGGCGGCGGCGACCGGGGCTGCTGAGAAGTCGGCGGAGGAAGCTCAGCGGGAGCTGCGCGACACGCAGGAGCAGCTGCGATGCAGCCAAGCGCAGGTGCAGGAAGCTGCAGCAAGCTTGGACGCACTCGCTCTGCAGCGGTCACAGGTGCATGCCTAAAGTTGTCACACCAACTGTTCATACACAGCCGAACAAAATATAAACCTGATGTACGGTAATGTCCTAGATTTGACGCAAGCACTTTTTTGAACGCATGTCAGTACATTATTTGGTGCAAGTACTGCAATGCAAATGAGGTCTCTTCAGCTTGCAAAAATGGCCTACCTATATTTTCGGGCACCTGGGAAAATCCTCTTGGCTAATCTGTTGTGCAGGCAGAGGCTGAGCTGGCCCAGCTGAAGGAGTTGGTAGCAGAGAGGATGCAGAGATCTGAGGCGGATGTTGCGAGCGCTGTAGCAGGCCTAAAGGCCGTGCAGGAAGAATCAGCACAGCTGGAGGCCAAAACCTCTTCTGCTCGAGCACAGCTTGCAGAGGTGACACCACTAGATTTTCACGATTCAAGAACCCGTTTTTTGGGCTACGATCTATTCTTGTGCTCAGCAAATGGAGGACCCCTTTGGAGGCCTCGATGCAGGTGTAGTTGTAGCTCGTGCCTTGTGCAGGCAGTCAATATTGCCTGCACTCACACTTCCAAACTCTTTGTTACATGCCAATCCTAAAATATTGCTGGGTGGCTTCTGATTCTTGCAGCTCGAGACAGATGCCAGGACGAAGGCTGACCAGGTGTCTGGGCTGCACCAGCAGAGGGCGGAAGCTGCCAGGGAGCTGCAGCAGATACAATCAATGCTGGAGGTCTGAGTACATTCCAGCTGTCTATGCACTGCTTCCTGTCCAATTAAGACAATGACTACCTATCCTTGTTCATTCATACTGTCGAACTGACACCCTTGATGTACGCGCGAGCCCTTGTTCCTGAGCATGCATGTCAGAAAAGATGGATGGAATGGTCCGTGATATCAGAAATTGAACCTGATGTATTGGGTGTAATGTTCCAGGCAGCAACGCAGCGCAGGCTGAGGGAGGAGGAAGCTGCCGACGCAGCTTCCTCGGAGGCGGCTGCGGCGCAGAGGGAACGCACGGAGACGCGTCGCTCTCTCCAGCTCGCACAGGACGAGCTTGCCTCACTCCAATCGCAGCTCCAGAGGTGATCCTTCATTTTTGATCCTCCAATTTTGATCCTCCTTTGCCCCAACGTCCCCTATGTGCATACAATGCTCTGATCAACTGTTCGTGGTGAGAGGGTCTTGCTGCACTCTTTAATGTGCATTTTGTGGTGCAGCTTGAGGAGCTCCCTGCCTGTTGGGAAGCTACTCAGATCTTCATGAAGTGCTCTTGTATAAGTGCTCCTTTGCTCCCTGCAGGCAGCAATCTATCACCAGCGGCAGTGGTGCACGCCGTCGACTCGAGCTTTATGCCACGCCAGACAGGGACCCCTACCTCAGCCCAGCGGTGCCCCCCTCTACTGCCGGGGGGTCCCACCACCGCTCTGCAGCGGTGGCGGACAGGTCCCCGCACTACACGGTAGGGTCTGCGGGGCGAGCGGAGGGTTTACCCTACCACGCCAGGGGGTATACCGCCGAGGGGACCCCCCACTATCTGCGGGGGGTCCGGCACTCGGAGGAGGAGGCGCGGCTGCAGGCGCGGCTGTCCTACTCAGCCGCCCAGTCAGCGTCGCAGGCCGATGTCATCGCCGGACTCATGGATGACGCGCAAGTGCTCAGGTGGGCCTTCAACCTCCTTATTGGACTGTTCTCAAGTCATTTCATGATGTCTTTCTTGAGAAGTGTGCTGACATTTCTGATATCATAGAAATATTGTGAAGGCAATGTATCTAACGGTGAAGTGATGAGTGCCGCACCCTGAGAGCAAGCTGATAGAATGGGTCTTTCAGTCTTGCACAATAGCAAAGATTTTTGCCTTTGGTCAGTGGGCTATGTCTTTGTATAGTGTGCTCACATATCACATCAACGCTTCAAATGCAGCTTGTGCTCAAAATACACTCCCTGGTGATAGGAGGGAGAACGAGGAGAGGGCGGTAGAGTGCGAGGAGATGAGGAAGCGCCTGGCGATGGGCAGCGCTGAGCTGGCGGACGTGCGGCGCCGCGCGGAAGCTGCCGCAAAAGCTGCCTCCGGGGAGTTGAGCCGCGCAGAGGTCCGTCTGCGCTCGGCCGAAGCCCAGAAGGCCAGCCTGGCTGCTGAGGTGGTGATTCCTCCATTACAGAATTGATAAGGTTGTTTGGGTTCTGTCAACCATTCATCTGTTCACCATTCAGCAGCTTTCACGTTTGGCAGCAAGAAAGCACTTGTTGGAAATAGAACAATGCAGACATCGAGGCGGAATGACCGAGCTTCAAGAACACCCGTCTTGCGAAGTTCTTCTTATATTGTGTGATGCACGCGTGATCCGATCAGACTTGTTGAGAACGAGTTTTCCTGATGGCTTTAATCAATATCCGCACTTTGCTGTGAGCTCTTGGGCATCAATAAGTTTCTCACTGGCATGCCTGTCTGCAAGTGCCTGTAGCAATGAATCAGTTGGCACACCATTATTGATTCTGAGGCATATGTTCCTCGGGGCACAAATGGAAACTTCCACTTGCTGCTCGCAGGTGCACAGCTTGAAGCGGCTGCTAAAGCGGGCGGAGGACGACCGAACAGCGCTGACTACAGAATGCCAGGGGCTCACTGAGCGGCTGGGCGCTGCTGCCAGCCAGCGTGAAGCCTACGAGCGCGAATGGGAGGTCTGCGATCTTTCTCTTGTAGTACACAGTATACAAATCGCATCTTGGGCTCTGATCCTGTCCAACTTGCCATACCTCTGTTGCTGATATCTTAGCTCCAGGGAAGAAAGGACACCGGGATGCCAATGCATGTGTGGTTGGAATCAGCGTGGAGAGGTAAAGTTCCAATGATAATGAGGAGGGGGCTTTGCTGGTGGCAGGGCCTCACAGAGCGGCTGCGCGCGGCGGAGGCGGCCAGGGTCGTAGCCGCCGCCGAGGCCGACGCGGCCGGCCGGCGCACCCGGGCTGCCGAGGCGGCGGCCGCCGCCGCCGTTGCTGCACCGACCACCGGCGCAGCAGCAAAACTCGAAGCCGAACTCCAGGCAGCAAATGAGAGCGCCGCCACGGCAACACAGCTGAACGCAGATCTCAGAGCGGCAAATGAGCGGGTTGAGGCGGCCCTCGCCGCATCGCAACGCGATGCTGCCGCAGCGTTGGCCGATCTTGCCAGCGTGCAAGCCGACGTTGCTGGCGCAAACACTTTCCGGGAGGAGTTGGAAGGTCGGTTGGCAGCGGCAGAGAGGGAGAGGGGGGAGGTCAAATCGCGGCTGGGGTTAGAGGAGAAGAGGAGAGTGGAGGTCGAGGAGCGGTTGGCGGCTGCAGAACGGCGAAGCAGCGAGCTTGGCGCTACAGTGGAGGCCCTGCGCGCCGAGGCTGAGGCCGAGAGCTTCTCGCGGATGCTGGCTGACACGGCCGCCGACTCGGGGCGCAGAGCGGAGCTTGGCTGGCACGATAAGGGCCAGGCCGCTGCGGTGCAGGTGCCTCTCTTTTGCAGCGATTCCTGTGTTACGGGTGTGTGTGTGTAAGTATTGGACTGAGCTAGAGGGAGTTCTACTGAAGGCTGTGTCTTGTAGCAGCTATTGGTGAATGAATGAAGCTGCTGTTACAAAGGTCTTTATGACTGTGTGATTGTTTTCCTTGCCTGGAGCATTCCTGTTCCAAAGGTCTATGTGTGTTGAAGCCAGGCATGTCGGCTGCAGGCTGATCTGGCGAGCCTGAGTAGGCAAGCAGAGGATGCGAGAGCCGTCCTGCAAGACCTCCACAATCGGATCCGCCAGGTGTGAACTGAGTTTCACCTGCCTTCCAAATTAATCCTTTTAAGCATGCACCGGTTTCTTTTCCTGCAGCCTCCCTGCCTTTTGAACACAGGACGTGTAGAGCTCATGAGGCCTGAATGGAGGATGTTTGTTCCCTTGCGCATGGCGTGTTGAGCTTGAAGCTGCTCGATGCTGACAAATGTGCCAGGCAAACGCCAATCTTGCAAATATGCACCTAACTCTTTTCCTGCAGCCTGCATAGAGGACATACCGAGCCCGGGAGTCCTCATTGCATCATGTTCTGTCTTGTGCATGGCATGTTGAATTTTGAACCGAAACCATGCTGATCAGGGGTGATTGAACTACCCCTAATGCTGATGCGCAGTCACGCGCAGAGCTGGACGGCGCGTATGCAGCCAAGCGGCAGCTGAGTGAGGTGCAGCGACAGCTGGCAGAGCTGGAGCGGGAATTGTGCAGGGGCCATCACACAGTGCGCAGCAGGACATGAATTTTCCCTAGCAGCTGCGCTTGCTTTGGCACTGACAGCCTCTTGAGGGCTTGGTTGCGCAAGAAATGTGTACCATAGTTGCAGGAATTTGCCAATTGTTTGACCGGGTTACGCCTACAAGTTGTGTATGTCAAGTATTTGCCAAACGTACGAAGCAGAGCTCCATGGGACTCAGAGTTGAATTGATTGCTAAATCTCGTTACAAGTCTATGCACTACGGAAAATAGACAAGTGTTTCTTGTAATTGATTTGAAGCCGAATAGCGTCGTCATTTGTTGCTTGCGTAGAAAGCAGACGGCGCATATTGCCCGATGCCTTCGGTGGGATGTCCCAAACAAAAGAGCAAAAGGTATGTTAGGTAGGCGGTCCCACAGGACTAGCACCTCCCTAGATTCCACGCTCTGCCCTCTGGCACGTTCTCCCTTCACCGACCAGGGCGCAGGCTGAGCTTGCTGCGTTTCCGCCCTGAGCCGGTTCGCCTGCCTTTAACTGCCTCGACTGCCAATCCTCCGATCGGCAACCGGCACAGACCCCGGCCTTGAATGGGACGCAGCCGTCAACAGACATGCGTGGGCGGGATGCACTAGACTACCGTCCATCGCGCACCAGCTCCCGCTTGGGTCACAACGAGACGCTACTCCCGCCAGCTGACGTTCAAGAATTTCCCCTCATATATGTACCCTGAGTGAAATGCACATTCTGATTATGGGACGTCAACCTTGCCAGGTACTGGCCTCAAGCCAGAGATCAAGCTCCACATGATTTGGTTGTGAAGATAAACATGCTTTGTTCACAGATATTGTGCAGCAGATCATGATCCCAGCATCTTGCTCTTGCTTTGACTTGTCTCTTTTTCACATAAGCTCAAGGTCAGTCCAACTCTACTGATTTGGAAACCCGTTGCAGCTTCAAGCTCATAGGAACCTTCACTTGCTGCCAGAGCAGGACACTCACACTGCAGCTGCAAGCTGAACCGCTCCAAGTTTTGTCAACGCTCCCAATAGATAGTTGAAGATGTCTTCAATACAGATCTGTATCCTACAAAACCAGGCTTGCGCAAATGCTTACACCAAAGGAGCTCCCTTTTAAGCTCCTGGTCTCCCACTTGTTGAAGCGTCACTTCTAGATACATCTAGAAGTGTACAACGTTAGAAATTTCTAAAGCAGCGAAATCACACATACCGTACACTCCAACACTCACTCTCATTGACACTCACATGCGACACTAGACATTGACAGTCAGGCCCTCTCAAGACAGGTCAAAGCCGGCGTTGGCTGAGATGGCGTAGAGCAGTTTCTTGCGCAGCGTGGAGGCTCGCCGGTAGTTGGGCAGCTTGAGCATGTTGTAGCAGGTGCTGGCTGTTGGCAGCCGGTCCACGTCAGCGCCACCCAGCAACGCAAGCGGAGACGCGTCGCACGGCACCTGCGCGCACATGCCAGCGCATGTTCACTCCCAACGGTCGAGACATCTGTACCGCTAGAAAGGCTAGGAACGGCGCCTGCAAAGAGGATATACTCAGTGCAGCAAGTTCTGGCAACCAGTGGAGCAACGCATCAAGCTTTGGATGGAGGCATCAGCGCAAAGAATGGGAGAAAAGTAAATTACTGAGATTTTATGACATGCTGAGCACAGAAGGCATACAGGACCTTCTGAAGAAGCAGATCAATTGACGTGGGTGCCAGCCAATGCTGGCTGCTCAGCATATCTTGTCAAGTAGCTACAGCTTGATATAGCTATAGCTTTAGTTTCAATGTCAGCACTCAATGCTAGCACAGCAACATTGCAGCAGAGGGGGCAACTGACCCGGTGCAGGGTGAGGGGTGGGTTCAGGTGTTTGAATCCTCCCAGAGGCGCTCGGCTGACGGAAGTGGCAAACTTCATCAGCGCACTCCTCTCCTTGGGGCCCATCTCCTTCACCACCTGTCCGTGTCACATTTGAAGTCAAACATTGATGCAAGTTAAAGTGAAATAGAATCTTGTGGCACCTGACACAACAGCCCCATTGTCCTGTCAAGTCACAGTCAGAAGGAAAAGGAAGAAGTAATTTGAATAATGCATATGCATGACCTCTGTGCCAGGCAGCATGCAGACAGCTAACGGTGAACTGTTGCCCCAGGAATTGTCCTCGCCAGCTGGTGGACGGTCCGCTGAGCTAAGACAGTCAGCGCCCAGCAACCCCATCGTTTCCATGCAAAGCACCCAATTCAGAAATTACAGAAGAACAATGCAGCGGCTCTGAATTCTGAACTGAACCTCAAAATAATTGCGAAATAGGGGCGGGCCTTCCAGAAGAGTTTGACGGTGGGGCTGTCGGGCCCGTAGCCGCCGGAGTAGGTGGCGTGAGCGCGCATGTCACCCACGTCCAGTCCGCCGCCCTCGCCCCCGCTGAGCAGCTGGTTCACCTCCGCCGGGTTGAACAGCCGCAGCCAACCGGGCGCTATCACCTGCAACAAAATCAACATTCAGTCTGACCAACTTCATGAGCTGGGGCACACAGATATCCATTGTCCATTGGACAATGGGAGCCAAAAATTGTGGCTGGGATGTACAGCTGCAGCCACCCCGGTGTAATTACCTGTGCGATGCAGTGTTTGCCATATACATTGAGCCTGAGACTGCAAACTGCATCATGTACATGGCCTGCCAGCCTGACAGGCATATCCTGAGCCAACAAAGATGGCCTGCAGACAACATGTAGAGCTTTCTCTATACAGATGCAGGAATTGCTTGGCAGACATGACGGCAGGAAGATTAGATTGTGCAGATGCAGTCCGGTGCATGCGAGTGAGCTGGGGTGTTGCACCATCCACTGTGCACTCCGCTGGAGATCTGCATTCTTGTGAGGAACAATGCCAAGATGGTGCTCAGGACTGTATAGGCCATCCTAAATAGCTGCATTGTGCCCGAGCGGATGAAGGGCTGCAAGACACCCAAGGCGACCCCCGATCCAATGAAGGCCGTTTGGTATCATAAAAAACAGCCTGCCAACCATCTGTGCAGAAAAAGGTAGCAGGCGCTCTGCCTCTTTGCCTACGTTTAGGCGCAGTCAGCACAGAGAGAATAAAAAAGCATAAGCAGCACGCCTGAGCTAGGCCGGCCGCGAATGCAGCGGCAGCGGCACCGAGGCGGCCGTTGAGGTGCCAGTCAGCGACAAGGTGAATGTAAAGCAGCTTGTTGGCGTTAGTAACCGCCACGTCAGCGCCACCCGGGACCAGCTCCTGCACCGAGCGCCGCCCAAACGCCTCCTCCTCCGCCGCAAACGACAGGCCCAGATCCTCGGCCTCGCCCTCGTACCTGCGCAGGATACACTCTCAGCCTGTCGAAACTTGCATGATCTGGCAAGCTGATGAAGGCAGTAAATGCAGGCAAGCAGCTAGCCGGTCAGAATCAGCCATACATGCTTCTGCCTTCCAAATGCCTTTTGCAAATCCAGATAGACATTTTTGCACATGTAGCTCTCCAAATGAAGGACTTCTGATCAGGCTGTCGTAGGAAATTTCTGAAATCCTGAGAGTGACATCTCAGTGCACAGCACATAAGTGGGCAGGCAGAGCCGCACCGTTTGAGATGCAGCAAATTTCGGTGCAGCTCCGGGTCGAGCGCTGCCAGCTCGTCAAACATGGGCCGCCGGCCCTGCATGCACAATTTACTAATAAATCTCAACCTAGCTGACACAACACACTAAACTTCCATGCACTCATAGTTCAAGAGTCAATAGGTGAGATACAGCAGCACGAAATTTTGCTTTCGCCTGCAGCTTCAGCCAGGCCCTGCATCCGCGAAATAAAGGCAGGAAAAAGAAGCCCTTTCAGAGTACACTTACTATTTAGAATTACTCACCCACAATGTTGTGATATTATAACAGGAACAAGAAAATAACTTGCACCCGCGCAGCATAGACAGGAAATTATAATCTCAAGCTTATATTCACATGCGAGACAACAGCAGCATTTGCAGCTGCGCGACGAAGGCGGGCACAAAATATATGGATCTTAAAATTTGAGCACAGGAAACAGAAAACCACCTGCAGCCTTGCGACAAAGAAGGGCGCCAGGGGAGTGTCAAGCAGAATGCCTTCATATAGCGCCTTGCCAAACACAAGGCCCAGGAAATGCAGCAGCGCCGGCGCGGATGCAATGTGCGCCGCGGCCGGCTGAGGAAATGCAAGGCCTCCCTCGGCTGTCGATGTGAACAGGCCGCGGTTCACATCGAAGCCCGCCTTCACCACCTGCAGCAGAGGAAGAGAAAATGAGTGCACAGATAGGCCTTTGTTCAGCTGCTATATCTTGAGCCACCTGTACTGCTCCCGTCTCACAGTCTGCGATTTGCACTCTGCATACTTTCTCCACACAGCTGCATGTTCCTGACTGCCTCACTGACCTCCCCTCCTCCACTTCTGCTCTACAGGGATGGCTAACGGAGTTTGTGGTTCATGCTGGGTGCACAGAGGGGTCGCTATTTAGCCGGTAAAGATGGAAGGATGGTTAAGATGCTGTTTGAGGCAGTCAAGCATCTCTCTCCAAGTCAGCGGCCTTCTCTTGATATTCCTGGAGTCCGACAAATTGCTTTCCTCCCCAAGCAAGCATGGCAACAGCGCTCACAATTCCATCACCAGGACCAGATTGGCAACAGTAACCAGTGCACAAGGAGAGTCCCACTGCCATTGAAAACTTAGGCACGACAAGCAGGGCAGCTGATCACCACTTGTCATAAGCTTTGTGGCTATGTGGGACATCTGGAGGTCATTGTAAGCCTGCGCTTCTACTTCTGCTTGTTGTATGTAAACTTCCTTTCCTGCACAGTAACTGGAAAGCAGGTCTCTGCCTCGAAGGCCAGAAGAGTGAGTCACCTCCTCCAGAAACTCTTTCACCAGGCCGCCATGGTCCAAGCCGGCCTCCATCTCCCCATGAACGTTCACAAAGGACACGCTAAGGCGGCCCTTGATCGAGCCGCCAACGTTTCGCAGTGCCGCGTAGCCGTCGTCCAGAATGGCGCTCCGGCGCACGGTAATCTCCAGCGGCCGAGGTCCCCCGGAAGCGGGGGCCGCCTCCCAATTTCCCCTGCAAGAACAACAATTCTTTCCTCGAAATCGAGGACAGATCTGTACTCTCTGTGTCAGTGTGTATCTTGAGGTATGTGTGTTTAAAATCTTGGCAAATATATGGTCTTGGGATTTCAAGGGCACTGTTGCACCGCTTGTTCTTGGCCTTGCAGGCTTTGCACTTTACACAAAGGGACTGACGGGTTCTCTATCAATAGACTGCAGCGCATGCAGGCGTCAGAGCACGGCCGGTCATGTCAATATACTATCCTTGTCTAGCATGACGACTCAGGAGGAATCAGGTCGCGCACCGCTCCTTGTCGGCTGCCACCAATGAGCGGAAGATGAGCACTCGTTGGGTGAAGGGCACGCACTGCGGCGCCTCTGTCAGCAGCGCAGCCAACGCAGCCGACCGCCCGCTCACAGCGCCATCCCTTTTGCACAGAACGGCAGAGATCTCAGGAAAACAATTAGACGATATACAGGCGAAATCCAGACAGAAGGTGCTGTTGCCCTTTTTGAACTGGCACTTGATACGTTGTGCCAAGCCATGCCAATGCAGATCAGCAACTTGAGGACCCTCATACACGTACCACTGCCCTTTGCTTTTGACATGGCTATTCTTTGCTAGCTGATGCAGACGTATCAGAAACAGCGCTGTGGGTACTGGCACGCGTCAGTGCCACAAAAGGGGGCTCAAATTGCATGACTGATATGACTTTGCAAGCAGGTATCAGCATGCTGCACTTGTTGCTTCATGCATTGATCATCAAGATGACAACCCTGTGGGATAGATAACATCTTACTTGTTCTGAGCGGGGGATCCTGGGGGACCCTGCAGCAGCGCACGCATGACGGCTGCGGCGCTGAAACGCTCCTCGGCCGATTCGTCCGCGGCGGCCTCCGCAGCCGTAAACGGGCCCAGCCACAGCGCGGCCGGGCAGTACCTTTTTCGAGCAGTTCCAGCTTCTCAGTCCTTGAAGTGCATATCTTCAATATCTACCAAATAAGAGGTGGGATTTCGGTACCAGCTTGTCTGCACCTGGCCTCTGGCAGGAGAGCGTGTAACCACAATTTCATATCTTGCTCAGGGTGAAGCTGATGTGTAATTGCAGGCACAGGCGTCGTTAAGTCAGTAGCAAGCTGTACCCAAGCAGTATCCCTGCTGCATTTGATCCGTCAGGCTCTTGACAAGCAAGGCCTGTCTGTCTCCATGCATGCCTGCCGTGCCATGCAAGGTACCGTTCTTCCTTCCCAGGCACATTGGCCTAAACCTCTGACAAAAGAAGGGCAACACCTGCGCCGCACGTCGCGCTCGTACATTTCCCTCAGCAGCCGCGGCGCCCACCGGCCTAACAGTGCGCGTGCCGTGGCCGCATCAAACCCTGCACAGTGCCAGAAACAATCTTCACACTCCTTGCGTGCACAAGCAGCCAATGACAGCAAAACTGCCTGCATTCCCCTTCCCAACGATACACAAGGCTACAATGGCCTGTGCCTGCACACATCTGTACATTCTGCTCTTCCTGCCTGTGACCCTGCTTGGACCCAGAGCTAACCCCGGCCCCACAGCAGCGCCTGCAAGGCTTGCCATTTCAGACCCAGTACCAGCTGACGTGAGCTGTGAAGTTCAGCTGGGTGCCAAGGCTCATGAGCCCTCAAGGAGACGTGAGGGCCCAACCTGGATAAGGCGGTGGCGGCTGCCGGGCGGCAGAGGATTTGGCAACGGCGGCGGGGCAGTGAGTCGAGTAGACAAGGGTGTTGAGCGAAGTGGCGATGCCTCGCTGCTGCCCCAGATTGAACACGCTCTGCAGGGTGTAGAAGTCGTCATCATCCAACACCAGCAGCGCCTGTGAGTACACCCTGCAGCCCACGCAAAAAAACAATTCAAAGTTGCGAAGACAAAGGAAACATACACACAAATAATGTCCAAAGACGAAATCAAAATCTTAACAAAGCAAATAAAAATGAAACAAAACTGTCATAGGTGTACTGGCTGCGTAGACATTCATGTATATCAAAAGTTAAATAAATGCAGCACTGCAGTAGCATCAGGCAGCCATTGGCATGCTGACGCAGGCAAGGAGCGCAAATCATGCAACAGGTATGCAACTTATGGCAAAAGTCCTATCATTTCCACATGGTTTCTTGAGGAGGCAGGGAGGCTGCAGCACCTGCAGAAGAGGCCAAAGACGGATGCGTGAGCTGGGTCTACACCGCGGAGGCCCATCTGCAGAGAGATAATGTCCCAGCCGCGAGTGGCCTCCATTGGAGCCTCCAGTGGCAACCCCAGGCTTGTGGCCAGCCACCGCCACAGTCTTGGCAGTACAGCGCTGCCCATTGCCTGTCCCCAAAGAATACATTTTCTTAATTCGCCTTTCCTTGCGTGTGCACTAAAATATAACGTTGCTAACAGTGAGCATTGCAGGTGCTGCCCGTCGTCTATGCCCCAAGAAAAGGTTGATCAATGTCACGCTCGCGAGCGTATACACTCACACATTGCCTGGCCAAGCAGACAAATTTTATTTTCCCCTTTTCCCGAGAATTGTGGCATGCGATTGGGTCCGTACAGGTTGTGACAAAGCCACATGCGATTGTATGCAATGAGTTGCTTGAGGCTGCTCCCTCAGAGGAAGCAGGACCCACTAAACATGCCAGCACTCTTTGCAGAACTACAGCTGATTTTGCGGTGCGGGCATGCTCATCATCCTGAGGGTGTCTAAGCATGACTCACGTGTCACAGGGAGCTACCATCGCGTTGATGGGTCATTGCCACACCATGATCATCCAGATGCCAGTCAGAGTACAAGCAAAGAGCGTCAATTTTAGGGAGGAACTTATCCTTGGACACCAAATGTCACTATATGTGCAAAGCCATTCAAGAATCTTTACTCGCATATGCTGGCGGTGAAGATGATTGAGTGGGGTCCTCACCAGGGCATTGACAAATCTGGGCTCCTCCTTGTCGGCCTGGCAGCTGGTGGCGGGGGCCAGAATAGGGAGAGAAATTAGCAGGAGGTGGTACAGATGCGCCAGCAGGGGCAGCTGATTCGCTGGCAGCCCTGACAGAAGCTGCATCACGAATGTTCCCTCCGCCAGCGGCCACAGCCCAGCAATGGCACCTGCACAGTCATTGTCAGGCCATCCAATTGTAGCACAATCGCCTGTGATCTGTTGGGCAATCCAGTAAACTCGTTCGATTTGATTGGCACGCATGCATGCGTGCATGCATGGCTGCGTCATTGCAAACGGCCGTGTAGCTTTTGGGTTCCTTACGCATCCATCTCTCAGATGATACAGACAATGTGGTGATTACCTTGGGTATCAGAGGTTGAGTGGCTGCTGATTTTCTGACGGTAAGCGGAGAGGGTCCTGCTCAAGAGGCCCAGCGCCACTTGGAGGTACGCCTCAGCACTGGCGCTGTCCCCAAGCAGGGCTGACTTGGGCAGGTACTGCACAGAGCGCCCACCCTGCACCACACCACCCTGGTGCTAGGGTTGAAATGCCTGAAAAAGAGGTGCCCTATCTGTACTTCTATGTCACTATTCATATAGACATCGTCACAACACAGCATGCATCTGCTGAGATCTTACTTTCATAAATGTCAGCGTCTTGAGCTCAACCACACAATCATGGCTAGGGATGTGACTTACGGAAGAAGACATGGACTCAGCACGTTGTGTGCCAGTCATGCTGCGTCAGACTGCAAGAGCTAGCAGTACATCAGGTCCTGTCAGTCCTTGTGCAGAAAGGTCAGCAGCGCACCTCGAGCTTCTTAGTGACAAGGACCCCGGAAACAAGCTGCGTCAGGTTGACCAGAGCCCACAGGTAGTCACTCCACACCAGCCCATCTCCAGACCATGGACTGCGGACACACCACAAATTATTTTGTGTCTTTTTCCTGCTCGCTTCTTGTCATCTGATACATGCAGCAGTCGGGCTGACCAGCAGCAAGACAACAAGGCCTCAAACCCCCATGCAGACCAGGAGGGAAGGTGACCTGCCTGATGCCTGTGCCACACTCCCGGTCATGAGAAGCTGCGGAGGAGGTCCTTCTGCCCGGGTCAGCACTCGCGCAGTTACCAGCAACGCCCCCGAGCTCCCCAAGCGCAGGCAGGAGGGCCTGGAACGCGTTCAGAGAGGTGAGCTGTGCGCGCACGCCAGCTGGCACGTCCTCGATCAGCCGCGGCGCCGTGAGGAGGTACGCCGCGATACCGCGCGCTGCCGGGGCGGCCCCGGGAACCTGCGGCGCGGCATGCGCAGCCGCCGCTGCAGCTGCCGGCAGCTGCTGCCCACCGCCTTCCGGCTCCCCGGCGGCTGTCGTTTCCTGCCGCTGTGGCACCGTGCACAGCAGGGCTGTTGCCGCCATCTGCATTGTGGAGATGAGCTGTGCTTCCGCCACTGATACGCATTCTGCGTATCCTGCTCCGTTTGCGCCGTAGTGATCGCTGCGTCTGCACTGAGCCAGCCTCCTCAAACCCGTCGCCAATACAAGCGTGCTGCCGGCAAAGCTCCTCAGCGCTGAGGCTGCTTGAGCAGCATCGCTGTCACCTGTAAATGCAAAAACAATATATCCAGCATGTGTGATGTCTCCACACGATGTGATTGTACCAATACAATATCATCATTCTAATGCGTTCATCCTTGCACCATCTCCTCTCCGATCTTGTTGAAGAGACTGCAAGGGAGTTGCAGGAAAAGGCAGCTGGAAGGTGCAGCATAATTTTCTTGCAGGAGCTGTACATAGGTGCTACGACAGCAGGTGCTCTCAAAACAAAGCCAGAGAGTTTGTCATGCGCACAGGTGATGCAGGAGTGCTCACCTTTCGGGTAGCAGGCCCAGGAGTTGGAGTCTAGCAGCAGCACAAGAACCCGTGCAGCCGCCATTTCCAGCAGAGCGCCTCCTTGCCCTTTCCTGGCAGACCCCAGCAGCCCAGCACACAGCAGCACCAGCGTCCTACTTTGGCGCTGCCATGTCTGCCTGTGTGCACATGCACAATAGCTTCGACACGCCATTCCAATCCATGAGGATCAGGTAAGTCGGAGCAGCGTTGTTAAAACAGCCCTTCAACCTTCTCTAACTTGGGTATACGTATGGTAGTTTGCTGGAAGTGCTTATCTCTGTTTAGTGCGACATGACATGCATAACAAACCGTTCATCACCATGCACATATCAGCGTTGCATGCAAAGCAAACGTATTGAGAAGGACATGAAAACTGAATAACTACGGCTACTGTGCACCACCGACAGTGGCACCTGCCTTCGCTGAGGGTCATTTGCCAAGAAGCAGACGTTGAGGCCCGGATCTGTCGCAGCAATGCTGCGCAGCAAGAGTGCCAGCATGCCTCTCAGGGGTGCGCCCTCTGTGGCATGATGTATACTGATGGCGCCTCCATTTGAGGAATTGATAGGATGCCTGCGAGAGGCTGGTGGCAGAACTGCAAAGAGTGGTGGCGGCAGCACCTTATCTGCAGCCACAAAAGCAGAAAACATGAGTCATTTTTCTCAATTCTTATCCTGAATGCAGCGAGAAGGTGAAGAGGTGGCCATGGAATGCCACCTTTGAGAAAACTTAATGGTAAAAATGACCATAAGGGCCTGGCAAAAATAAACATGCTCTGATGGCTGCACGCAGCAGGAGAGGGGATTAAGTCACAAGAAGGCCAAGGCGCTTGCCTTGCAGTGTTGTAGCTGGCAAGGTGGTTTCTGGGGAGGCTGCAGCAGAGGCAAAGTCCTGCAGCCATTGCTCGAAGAGGCGCTTGCGCACCCACCTTCTGGCTTTGAAACCCCTGCAGGCAACACATACCCAGGATGCAGCTACTTTGCGGACATGACGAGGCTTCGTTTCGAGCATGACTGGTTGCATCCATCATTTTGCTTCCCGTTGAACTGAGAGCTGTGTGTGGTGAGGATCGTACCAGAATACCCTCTGTATCAGGCTTGCTGATTTGCTACGCACTCTCTGTTCACTGCGCGCTAGCCTCTCCGCCTTCACTTGACTCACAAGCTCATCCCTGTTACGACAAAATATTGTGTGATCATCACAATTTTGCTTATCTGGTCTGCAGTTGTAGAGGATGAAGTACAAAGTACCAACATACAGAGGTTCGGTGAACTACGGATCACCAGAAGTATTCTCAAAGCAACTTCTCTGGATCACCTGGTGATTTCCTTTTTGGTTCTAGCCGACAGATTGCGCGTGCGACTCCTGTCAAAATCCATGCTCACCAGAATTGTTCACATCAGGTCCAAGAGCACATCGGACTACATTCCGACATACGTCATCGCAATTGAATATTTATGGATGTCATTTTGACGCAGGTACATGCTGAGATGTTCTTCCTTAATGCCTGGCACTGCTCCCTAGGAATCAGTATAACCTGCTTCCGGTGCAGTCCTCACTGTACGATGTCTTCTGGCACATCTTAGTTCATCTAAGACGTGGAAGATAATCTACGTTTTTGCTCATCCACCCCACAAGGATCGTATCGGCACGAAAGAGATCTGTTTGAGCCAAAGCCCGAGGTTGGGAAGCTGTCCGCCTTGGCAAGAAGTCGCATATACGCATCAATGCGTTTGAATGGGCAGCTTGGGACTACAACAAAGTTCAGGATCAGGAGCGAGATCTGCATAGTCATCAAGAGATTGGGGAGCTTTTAATCCCTCTGTAAATTCCTGATCCGGACTGCTGCCTCGCCTTGTATCAGTGCGGTGTTCAGACGAGCCATGGCTTCCGGTAGGAGGAAGGTGTTGCTTTCCGGGTGCTTCTTGGTGCTGCTTGTCCTGACAGGGACAGCTCAAGGTAAGTGATCTATTTAATGTGCTCATCTGGTAATTGAAGGCATATGGCGTTTTGTAGCACCCGTGCATATTTTTCTATATAGGAAGATGCTCTCCACCGTGGATGGTACTGCGCCATGCAATCTCGCTTGGAACGAGCAGAAGTGATCATTAGCTATTTTGAAAGATGACAACGCTTTTTGACAAGTGATTATGAGGTCATATTATCAGCATTCCGCTCTCTGAGTAGCTCAGGGAGGCGTCTCAAGGCAGGAGGGAACGATCCATAATGCATTCTCACATCTCCTGAAGCACATCATCTTCGTCCATTGTGCAGGCCAGAGCGGAGGAAGCAACGGAGGAGGGAACAGTGCAGCGCGCAGCACTGGCAATGGGCTGCTGGGGAATCCTGCTGGAGGCAGTGGCGGCACGTTGGGAGGCGGCAGCACAAGGTCCTTCAGCACCCTGGGGGGAACCACTGGCGGTGTCACCTCTGTGCAAGGAGGCACCACTGGTGGCAGTCGCATTGGCCCCATCCCGCAGGGAGAGGTCCGCGCATCCACATCTCCTCTTTACTGTCCCAAATCTAATTGCAGTTGCAACTGATGCACAGCTCCTCTAAATGTGCAAGGATTGGCTTTGCAAGCCTGCATTACATGGGCTGTTGGTAAGGAAAGAGAGTTTTACCCAGAAAGCACACGAATCTGATATTGCATAGCACTGTTGAGCGCTAGTGCTTTTCAACACGTTTACCATGACACTGGTGCAAGGCAAGAGTGGGGTGGCTTGTGAGTGACAAAGGAGACCAATCCAGACCATCCGCCTGGTAGCTAAGCTGAGTCAGCTGTGACCTTGCATTCTCACACCAGGATCAGTAAGCAGCGCATGATGCCGGCATGTGCGCGCAGGTGTCGACCATCAGGACGTCCAGTCAGTTCAGCGCTGCTCAAAACGGCGTGCTGGGTGGCGGAGGGAACAGCAACGCCGGCGGCGGTGTGCTCGGGGGTGGCAACACGAATGGCGGGGGAAATGACAATAATAGCGGTGGCGGCAATGACAACAACAATGGCAGCAACAACGATAGCGGCAACAGCAATAACAACAACGATGGGCAGCGGAGCCGCTCCCTTGATTCCAGGGGTGGATATGTCTACAACAACAGGTGACTTCCTGACCTTTTGCCGCAGCAAACAAAAATCCTAGGATGGGCCCTGCCTGTCTACAGCGCAGCTGCTCAGCAACCACTGAGAATTTGCTCGCTGATCTGCAAAGGCACATGTCAGAGCTTGTGTATTCTCTTCCCTGCCTGCACATTTTGACCTGGATCAACATTATAAGGACTCAAGTATCATCTGTTCCTGCATACATACACCATTCTGCGGCCATTTTGGAGCTGCCTATCTCCCTCATGACTAACATACAAACCATACTCTGCTCAGCTACACTCAATTGCTGCCAGGCAAGGCCATGCTGGCTTCAAGGGGAAGTCCCTCCTTCTCTGAGTGGCCCTAGAGCCAAGCAGCTTGAAGCCTTAAGTGTCAATATCACTGTATTCCACCTCAATATTGTTCAAATTCAAACGTCCTGTCACCCAGGTACTGGTGGAGGGGCGGCTACTGGGATGGAGCCTGCTACGCATGTGGAATCTGGCGCAGTGATAATGCCGGCTATCCCACCTGCCCTGCCTGCCAGTACTTTGACCCAGATCAGCGCCTATGCATCACCGTCCAAGACTGCCCCAACACCTGAGCAGTTTTGGATGTTCCAAACTTCAAGCTTGCACCTTTGCTCATCTGGCAGCTGCTAGGGCACCGTGGCTGCATGCATGCATGCGCACATGCTCCTATGCGCTGTGGTCAATTTCTGTATATCAAATGAAAAGAACTCTGAGGGACGGATGTGACAAGGTGCCGAACACAAAGCTCCAGGCCGTTTGACAGCACCCAGCGCCTCAACAAATGCCCAGGGCTGCTTAGACAGCACTCTCAATGTCTCCCGGGCTGTCCCAGGGATTTAAGATCTTCCGAGCACTTTTCAGTCGATGAAGGGCAAACTGGTGACCAAACCAGGACACTTTTCAAGGACCCAGGAGCATGGAGCTCAAAATTAGAATGTTGCATATGGCCTGTTTCAACCCTGTGATTCACTATGCATATATGGACAGCACATGGTTGCCGTGGTAGTAAGGCGTGATCGGGCGCTCAGCCTGCACGCAAGGCAGTTGGCAATACAGGTGGCACCATGCATGCGCGCCCTATGCATTCGTTCAGACTGCATCTGATGTTAGTCACCGTACGCAAGACTTGGAGGCCGCTGCAGGGGCACTGACTGTATACTCGCTGTGCCGTTACGATGTGTAGAACAAAAGTGTGGCTGTGATGCTTTGAAGCAGTATGAACATGTACAACTTGAGGCAGCCCTTCCTCAGGAAGCAGAGGCATTGCCTGTTTGTCCGTGCATTATCCCTGATGCAATTTTGCAAGTTGACAAAACTTGGCAGCTGCTTTGCAGGCTACATGCTGTCAAAGGTACTGCCTGTCTGATTAATTAGTCACAGTGATATGGTTGCCAACGGATGGTATTGAGGCATGCCACATGCTGACCCGCAAAGGCATGCATGTAACTAATTGGATTACAATCAAGTAGCTCAGCTGCCCCGGCTGGCAGGTGGCGGTATGTATAGTAAGCACCATGTGTTGATTGGGTCTTGCTTGGATCTAGCGAGTCCATGAAGGGGTAGGCCATGTGGCAGCCACGACATGCAGCTAGCTTGTCTGCAGAGTCTGCAGTGCAGACGCACCCTGTCTCTGGCAGAAAAAGCGCCTAATAATCATAAATAGCTCAGTGTAACAACACGCTGTTGCATCCCACTCCGAGTCACATGTGCACAGATGGGTGCCTGCAGTGCTCATTTGAGATGCACACTCACTGCATGGCCCAATTGCCAGATTTAATTGTTGTGCCTTACTATGGTACTCAGTCAGTACTTAGTAATCAAGCCAAGTTTTCTTGTTGCCAAATGTGACACCCGGAGGGACCGTAGTAGTCAATTTGGGGCGGGTTGCAGAACTGGCAGCAAGCCACGGAATGTGAGCAGCATGCTGCTAGAGGTATTTGAAGGACAAGTGGAGCTTTTGTTATCCCACTCCTGGAGCGTGGACACATCACATGCTATCACATGTCGGGCATGGGCACGCCCAGCTTATAGAGCCAGCGCAGGAACGGCGGCAAAGTGTATTGCTTCTCTATGCGTTCCACAAACTCCCTCGCCTTTTCAAAGTCAGCTTTGACTGTGTCCGCCACTTCTTGCTCCTCTTTCTGCAGCTCCTGCACAAGCCCCTGCTCGTCCTTCTGCAGCTCGCTCAGCAACCCCTGCGCGCACCGATGCCGGGTGATTGAGAGTCAGGATTGAGAGTCAGGGTTCGACAAGGCCGTTAAAAGGGTCCCAGATGGGGCGGAAGAAAATTTCTTGTGCTCCAGAAAAATCACAGGCGGAATACTGACAGCTGCACAAAATGAAACACATGCATTTCTTTGGCCATATGGATGAATTGTCAAATCCATGAACATTTTTGCGCGGATCTGGCAAGTCCAACAAGGGCTAGCATTTCTGACAGCCTCTACCTACAGCTTTTCTGAAGACATACCTTGCCTCTGGCAGGAAAGCATGTTATGATAAATTGATTAAAAGGGAAGACTCACCTGTTCCAGGACGGTGAAACCCTTGCCAAATGAACTGAGGTCATTCTCCAGGGCATACTCCACCTTTTCAACCTCCCTCTTCACCTCCTTCTCAAGGCCCTCCTCAACCTGCGCATGCACAACTCGCTTCAGCTTCTCTCGCAATATCTGCTAAGGGTATAAACCTCTCAAACATTGTGCCCTGGTCACTTCACAGGTCAATTGGCACCCCCTCAAGTGACTCCATTCCTGCTCCCATCCACACAACCAACTGGGCAATTCTTTGGAGATGGGCAATTGCAGTATGGCAATAGCAGTAGGCCAGACAGAGCGAATGTGACCAAGATAAACACCATAAGGGGGTGCTTCCACTGCCCTGGCTAGGCAAATCTCTGCAAATCTTGAGGCTGCCCTGAAGGTGCCAAGCCACTGGGCATCGTTCAAAAGATGCCCAGAACTAGCTCTGCACCCTCAATCTGACACCGCCAGTGCTCCGAGACAGAAGAAACACAGGAAGGCGTCCTAGTGGCTCATCCTTTGCAGGTGAATGCTTGAGCAGGTTTTGTAATTGTTAAGGAGCATGGGTGACGCACCTCCTCCAACAGGGACTCCTGAGGGGGGTGGGGCTTGCAGCTGTTATCGGTGAGTTTGAACTGGCTCCACGTCAGTCCCGCCTTTTCCACTGCCGCAGATATCTCCGGGATGTATTCCTCCGGCAGAGTTGACGCCCTGAGCAGCCAAACCCCTGTCAGAACTTTCTAAAACAATTGCCTCTACTCCCATCGCCGAGAAAATACGCCAACACTGCCTTCAAGGACACAGGTGCGCAGAGGCTCTCCCAGAGGGATAGTGCAGGGTGAGAGATGCTAACAGTTGCACATGAGTTTGCTGTTCTCTAGACCCCATCTCCCAAGTCTCCATACTGATGTTGCCGTTAGCATGAGAAGCAAATAATGACAGATTGTGACAAGCACAGTACTAACTTGAATCAGTGCAGTGTAATTTTTATGCCTGGATACCTAGTACTTTGAGTATAATAATAGAAATAACAATTTTGTTATAATAAAAGTTTAGCATTCATAACGTAATGTGCCTTGGCGCACCTTGTGTAGACAGTGGCGCCTCCATAGCCTTTCCAGGCATCGTTGTTGCCTCGGTAATAAATGACCACATACTGGTCGGGCTTGGATGCCAGGATGTACCAGTCGTCAGTATAATTCAGGTACTCGTTCCCATCGTTGCGCAGATATGCAGGGCTGACGTTTGATTTCTGCACATGCACACAGGAGTCATTTATCAACCGGGTTGCGAAATCAGCAACTATGCATGCAGCAGGACTCAGTCCAAATGTAGGGCAATCCTGTCCTGTCTGCGAAATACGGCACAGGAATCTCTATTGTGCTGGGCCTGCAGCATGACTGGCAGCTGAGAAAGCTGCACAGCGTTGGCAAAGGCCGCTCTCGTGCTGTGCACTACTGGACAGCATCAGGCACGCGCCAACTTATCACATGTATCATAGCAACAAAAATGAAGGACTGCCTTTTCACTTCACTCCACCGCCAGCTTGCTGAACATCTGAAAGGGCCGCCAGAAACATGCACTGCCACTTGTCTCTGCCAAGGACAAAGATCAGGAAATGGGAGCTTTGTCCGAGCAAAAGTGAAGGTGGTTTTTATAGTTATGGTTAACATAAAATAATAGCTCCAAATAAACGTGTGCAGAAGCACCTGGTCAAAGGTCTGCACAGTGGAGCGCTCGATGAAGTCCTGATTGCCCTTGGGGATGCGCCAGTTGATCTTCCCATACAGCTTCCCCGGCTCTGGCACACCAAAGTAGTGCACCTGGCAGTCGAAGGTGTCGAAGAGCGGGTTGAGACCGGCTGTGATGTACCATCGCCCCTGCAGACATGCACAGGCCAAGGTGAGTCACCCGCTGTCACTCTGCACATCCTGTCACATTTGCTGCTGTGCCAAAAGCGAGCGGATGCCATTTCCCTACTCATCCTTCACTGTGAGGAGTCACCCCTCCCCAGAGTATGGGTGCGGAGTCAACAGAGTAGCATTTCCTGCCCGTTTTTCTGGGCATGGCTCCTGGATTCCATGTTCTAAGAGTACAACGCATACCATCGGAATGAACAGGCAAGTGCACAGTTCATATGGGTTTTTGGCAGTAAGATCGATTTTATCTCCTGATGATGTCTTCGTCAGCAGTCCAATCTAGCAACAATCCAAGAGCAGGCACAACGGGGTCCCCCCAATCCAACCACCGCTGCACAGGGTGCCAAGTAGGTGGACCTACTCAGCATGCCCCTCAGCTCTGGTCTATGGAAGGCAGTGGCACATGAGCACTGCTGATGCAATGGGAATCTGTGCCGAACCTGGAAGTTGTTCAGGTCAAAACTGGTGTCCAGCGCGCAGTCCGGGGGGACCGGGAAGGATGACTCATCCACCCTCTGCGGCACGCACTTCTTGTCGCTGACTGCGCATGCGGTGAATGCCTCCACCGCCTTGTCAGCGTACAGGTCACCGCAGCGGATCTGCGCTGACAGAACTGCCCATTCAGCCGCTGAAGAATGAGGGCCGCATGGTGGTATTCAGTGCAGCCCAGGAAGATAATTGCGCATGCAGGAGAGTCACACATTCCACATCCCTGCACACTTGTACAGAAATTCCCAAGATTTGCTGTGCAGACTCACTTCACAGCAGGCCTTGCAGGCACCACCCAACTAAGAAACACAAGTAGCAATGGAAGACGTAGGATCCATGGAAACTAAGGTGCAGAGATGACAGAGGGCAGGACACAACGACTCTCTGGCAAACTCATGACATTGCAGCCAACACGTCCTGTCAAGGAAAAACAACAAGAAGTGTGCTTGCCTGGCACTCTGTCTCGTCTGGCCGCCCATTGCAGAGCTGCAGGCACACAAGGTTCTCCAGGCACTCTCCATCACCGATGCACCGCGCGAGCGCCACCTGGCAGTTGGCCAGCAGGCAGGTGCCCACCTTCGCCACATCAGCGCCCGTCGCCGGCCCTGCCGTCGGCAACTAATGCTCATATCATTTGGCATGTCAGTTGCCTGCATGGTAACGTGCCATGCACATGCTGCGTGCCAGATAGGGCAACATGTATGGCACCAGTGCGGTGTCAACAGCAGCGACTAGAGGTACAGGATGTGAGCCACACCTGCTAGCAAAATTGCCCCAACAGCTGCAGCAGCAGCTGTTTGTCTGAGCGCCGCGCTGTGTCCTCTAAGAGAGTCCAAAACTTTTGCAAGCGAGCTCTGGTTGTCAGCAGGCTCTCTGCTGCTGAGCTGGGATCCAGGGGGATTGGCTGTGGGGGAGAAGGGCTGGACATCCAGCCCAAACAGCTTGGCACCTCTCTGCTGTCTCTCATCAAGGCTGGCACATGTCAATGTGCGTGACCTGTGCCTACGCGAGAAGTGCGGGACGTGCCTTCGCCTGATGTCGGATATTTGCAGGAAAGGCCTGTCAGCTACCTGCATGGGCAGGTCGTCCTTTTGGCACCAGGACACTGAAGAAGACTGAACGGAATGCAACATGAACGAGCAGTGCATAGGTGTGTGATCCAACATTACTATGTAACGATCTGACTTCTGTATTCGCTGACATTGAAGCCTGCGAAAATATTTGACAGATCACCCATCCTTGTAAGCACGTTATCCTTTATTTGTCTTGGTCCCTGCAGCGACCACTGGGACAGAGTTGAACAAAATGACGTTGCAGGTGGATGTCTCACCTGTCTGTATATGCAAGAGCCAATCTGCAATGGGATTTCCATCGAGAGGCAAGAAGGCATGCGGCCCACTGCCGGCCTTATAAATTTCAGTCAGGATTCAGGAGATGTCGGAACAGAACTCCGTGGAGCGGCGAATTAAAGACAATACAAGATCTCCAAAATTGTGGTTTCCGTGAATATTTCGTCGTTTCGAAGTCAGAGGATCGAATCAATCACTGATGAAGCCCACGACATGTCAGCAACGCAGGTGGGGCCGAGATAGGGGCATATTGGGATACGCGCTGGAATCGTGAGTTTTAGGTCTGCCCGCGCATACGAATCATTCACGAGCCTGATTCGACATTGCCTGTCTATAAGTCTGTCTTTTCAAGAAATACAAGTTTCGGAGGGAATCAGAGGCTGTGATTGCTACCGTGCTTGTTATCCAGAACGCTGTAATCCGGCTCTCATATAGTAAGTTCCGTTGAAGGCAGGGCGCTGCTTGTTACGACTGGCACATAAGTGAGTCAGAAGGGTATAAGGACGTAAAGAAATACTCCATTGAGATTTCCTTGACAAATGACAGGTAAGATGAAGCGCCCTTCAGTCCCAACGATGATTGCGGCATCTGACAGTACCAAGCAATATACTTTTTCATGAATCCACAGAACCTCGATCAAGTGCACTTGAGCAATGTCAAAGACGTTTTACTGTTTTCCCCGCACAAAGTAGGAGCATGCTTTTGTCGAGGCCGTTTTCTGGTTCTTTCAAGTGCTGATGCTGTGCCTACTCTCGCAGCAGCAGTGTTACCTGTGACGGACGCAGACCAGAGCAAGGGCACGATGTGCACAAGAGACATGTCAGTGGACAGTCTGCAGAGCTCCATGGACAGCCTCGCCACGCACGAAGCCCCCAGCACATCTGCCCAGGTGAGCGCCCCAGCTGGTGCAGAACACGAATCTGAGCTGCCCAACAGAGACTTCTCCGTCGCGAATGCATCTCTGGACGATTGTATGCGCCTGGTGCCATGTGCTGTCCGTATCCCCATTCTGCATCGCTGAATATGCCCAGGCTCCCAGTCAACCCCTTCTAGCTTTGCTAGGCAGCACATCAATCATGTGGGTGGGCACATGTGCCACTGTGCATGTGCATGCGAGGGCATCCCCCTCTGGATCCCCCCGTCTCGGGACCCCCCGTTTCTGGTTGACAGGGATCAGCCGCCAGCAAATTCCCACGCGCCCAGGAGACCTCCGTGCACAAAGCTGGGCTCAGCAATGCAATTCAGCCAGGTCAATGTCAATTTCAAATCTCAACATGCGCAGGGGCGGCACATGGACTATGACGCTGTGCTGGCAAAGCGGCGCGCCCACATCGGCCCCAACACAACGCTCGTCTACAAGCGCCCGCTGCACATGGTGCGCGGAGAGGGCTGCAGGCTCTGGGACGCAGACGGCAACGAGTACCTGGACTGCGTCAATAATGTGGCGCATGTTGGACACTGCCACCCCAAGGTGCGCCCTTGCCTGCTTTCTGCAGCTAATTTATCGGGGGGGCCCTGAGGCCATTTTGCCAGACAGTAGGATCCCCGAGGTCTAGCGTCTGTCATGCAAAGGGAAGACACTCCACCCCAAGACGCACACGCGCATTCTCTCATTAGCTCATTCACAGGGGTGCCGGCCCTGTGTTGGGCTAGGTGATGATTGAGGCTGGCATGGCAGTGTTCAATGGGGGCATTGCAGGCGGTGTGCACTGTGCTGGGCAGTTTTGCTCGGGCTAGGCCAGAAGCAATAAATCTGAAATGTGCTGCACCCCTGGGGCTACGGGCGCTGGAGGCTGCTCATGTGGAGAAGTGTTCTAGGGACCCTGTTGCCATTAAGTATTTCTGTAGAGGATGCAAATTAGGTGGATGTTGCTTGTTCCTGCTTGGTCTCCTCTGGTGCCAGCTGTTCCATTGGTCGTATTCCTCCTTTTAAGGGCGCAGACACATCCTGCTCGGGCATGTGGAATTCCTATTCTCCGAACGGGGCGGTAGCCGCCTCAAAAAGGTGGCAGAGGTGCAGTGGAACACCCGGCACACAGACTGCTATTAGCACATGACAGCCTGGAGCGTCCATCGATCAACCTTTCCAGACACAGGTGCCGGCATGTGCGCGCAGGTGACGGCAGCCATCGCGCTGCAGCTGGCAACGCTCAACACGAATGCGCGCTACCTGCACGAAGGCCTCAGCTCCTACGCTGAAGCGCTGACAGCCACCTTCCCAGAGGAGCTCTCGGTGTGCTTCGTGTCCCTTCTTGTCTGATGTAGCCACAATGTTATGATTTTGTTTTATGCATGTCTGCCATGCCTACCAAATGTAGGCGATTGAGCTTCAGCCGGCACATTGGTCAAGTTCGGCTGATGAGGCTACCCCCAATGACTCTTTCAGCATTGAGAACACTGAGTACTTGCCCATGGATGTCCGCCGAGCCTCTCTGTTGAAGCCAGAGTCTGGTTCACCAAAGTGCTGTCAGTGCTGCAGGACCCATCGTGGACAGTTTATGCATGCTCTTCTGCGTAAATTGTGTAGTCCTCACTAAAATGTGAGGCGCCAGATGACCCCTCTGTGATGCAATCTGTTACATGCATGCAAACCCGGGACGCATAAACAGGCCTACCTTCGGGCTATTGGGGCACGGCCTGAAATTTACAGAGACAGCATTGCAGAAACAGCATTACCTGCACTCAAGCAGGATAGCCGAATTATCCCGTTGGGGGCGCTCTGACTGGGCACTTCTGCACAAGTGACTTCTTGTGCTCATCCTTGACACTCTCTTCCTGTGGGGCCTACAGGTGGCATACTTTGTCAACTCGGGATCAGAAGCGAATGACCTGGCGCTGAGGATAGCACACTGCGCGGCGCCGGGGGCGACGCATGTGGCGATCATGGGAGGCGCGTACCACGGACACACAAAGGCGGTCATCGACTTGTCCCCCTACAAATACGAGGGGCCCGGGGGCGAGGGACGGCAACCCTACGTGCACGTCCTGCCCTGCCCAGACCCCTACAGGTGCGCTTCATAACCCTTTGCACACCCTTGGTCAAGAGGGCTTCTAAATGCTTATCATTAATATGTGTTCTACCGTACCCGAAAGGAAAAAATCACTTGTATGTTCTGCGCTGCTCACACCGGGTACATGTGTGAATGGTTCTTCACATCCCTTGCTGTCTGCACATTCTTGCATGTTCTCAATCTGACTGGGGGAAGGAAATCTCTTCCTTTTCTGCATCGCACTTCCCATGCATGCAACATGTGAGCGTTGGCCTGCTTTGCTGCATATGGCATGGTAGTACATACTGCGGCCAGCCCCCTGTTTACATCATTGCGCTTTTGGTCCTCCGATCTAAGCCCTGATGAAGGTATAAACTTCCACTGAAGGATCGGTGGCAGCTGAAAGTGGTGAATGTGCATGCTTCTGTCAGGGGACAGCATTTGGATGGGCGAAAGGCGGCAAAGGCAGCCATAGCACAGGCGCATGCAGCGGGCGGGCGGATTTGCGCATTCTACTGCGAGTCGGTGCTTTCATGCGGCGGCCAGGTGCGCCACAATGCAACATCCTTTCAGATAAGTAGACACCTTTTTAATGCAGCATCAGGGGCTAGTCTTTTATTCCTCCTGGCAGCATGGTCAGGCACAGCGCCCGTCAGCAGCTTAACCAGTTTGCAAGGGCTTTGCATGAAGCAAGCAAGGTTGTAGTTTCTTCTCCCTGTTGCTGTTGAATGGGGAGAGTCTGTTCTGTGTGCTTTGGCAGCGCAGTGCAGTGGTAGTAAAGTAGTTGCTGCAGGAGCAAGCATGCAGCAGTGCCTCCCTCTGCAGCAGTGACAAAGAGGAAGAATATCCATCCGGAGATGAGCACTTTTCATTGCTATTTATACCTTGCACATTCAAAAGGGTGTGTACTTCCGCAGATCATCTTGCCGGAGGGCTACCTCAGAGAAGTGTACGAGGAGATGCATGCAGAGGGCGCTGTGTGCGTGGCGGACGAGGTGCAGTGCGGCTTTGGCCGCGCAGGTGACCACTTCTGGGCGTTCGAGGAACAAGGCATTGTGCCTGACATCGTCACTCTTGGAAAGCCCATCGGCAACGGTTTTCCCCTTGGCGCTGTGGTGAGTGAATGCACCCCTCTCTTCTTGCCTGTCAACACCCGAAAGGATATTAAAGGGCTGGGTGGAAGTTGGCACACCTTTTGGCTGCGCATTGTGGGTTCATCAGAACTTGTAGGGCAGTACAAAGATGCCAATGGCTGTGCAGCACCTTGCTGAGTTCTTGATCGCAATGAATGGCCGTCCTATTGCCCAATTCGTGGCAATGCTGTTCCTTCATGTGCCCAGATGGCACACTTCATTGTTTAGAATCCCTTCTAAATCGCAGTAGTACAATTGTTGTACGGCCACAAAGGTCAACGGTGGTTGTGCCACTTAGTCGCAGAAGGGGACTAATTTAATGGATTGCACTGCCTGGGAGCACGAAAAGCGCGTTTTAGGATTTTTTGTCCGCCAACCAAGAGACTTAAATAATGATCACCCAAGCGATTCTCCATTTGCATCCCACTGCATCGACTTTCTACCTTGACGAAGTATCCAGTGCAGTTCCAGCTTTGCGTTCCACTGCTTTGTCTTAGTGAATGGCAGATTTCTCATGACATATTTGTTCTCTGTTTCAGATAGTGCAGCCAAAGTTTGCAGCGGCCTTTTCCAACGGGATGGAGTACTTCAACACGTACGGCGGCTGCACGGCAGCAGGCGCCGCCGGCATGGCGACGCTGCGAGTCATCCAGGAGGAAAATTTTCAGGCGCGCGCCAAACGCGTCGGGGTCTACCTGACAGCTAAGCTCAAGCAGCTGCAGCAGGTGCGACGCGTTCCCTTTTTCTCAGCACTTTTTCCAAAGCCTGGGTTCGTAGCAGGTTGTTGCGCCGAGGGGCTCTGCCTGAGAGCTGTTCTGCGGGGCAGCTTTGCTTTTGCAAAGCTGTGGATTTGAGCTTGTCAGCATTGTTGGGGAAGCTGCCTCGGTGCTCATGGAAACTGCTGTTTGGTGTGAGTTCGTCCGGCATCTGCTAATCTGTCTGAGACCGCAGGCAGCCGGGTATGTAGCCTTTTGCCTGACGCCCACAGGGGGCAATGACTTGGTCTGATTCCCACAAGGGGAAGGAAGAACACATGCACAGTTGTTGCGCAGTCGGCAAGCAATGCAAATACCTGAATGTTAGCTTATCAAAAGGACGCCACGATTTGCGCAATGCGTGTCACTCCATATGCAGATGATTCACATGCAGGGCTGCGCTACGCATGATGATGTCTGATCGCAAACTCCATGTGCACGCAGAGGTTTGAGTTTGTGGGCGACGTGCGCGGGAGCGGGTTGATGATAGGGGTGGAGATTGTCGACAACAAGGACTCGAAGAAACCGGCGCCCAACGCAGCCACGCACATAAAAGAGACGATGGTGGCGCGGCATGTTCTGCTCGCTGTGGATGGGCCGCACGCAAACGTGGTCAAGATCAAGCCGCCCATGGTTTTCGCCGAAGCCGAGGCGGATCACCTCATCGCTGAGCTAACCCAGGTGCCTGTCTTGCCTGCCCTTCCCGACTTGTGCTGGCCTGCTTGCTCTGTGCTGCTGCGTCGACTTTAATGGTAGCATCAAGTCCGTTGCATCTTGTGGAAGATGAAGCAATTGTGATAGTATGAACCGCTGTGCGTCATTTTGCATGCCTGTTTTATTGTGTTGTTTGGACCGCTGTGGAGACCACCATCGTTTGCTTGATACACCCATTCAAGACATTTGCTCTGCCCATGCATTTGAGGGTTGAGGACTGGCGTTGCAGGCTTAAATATCACTAGCTGATGTGGATGTGTTGCTTTGCAGGTGCTTGAAGAGGGTCTACCCGAGGGTGTCATTGCAGCAGACAGGCAGTGGGAGCCAAGGACGCCCCTCTGAGCTGCAGTGTGAAGTATCTTGGAGTTTATGTGCCACACCACATGGAAACGGAGGTTCCAAGGCTGGGTGCAGTTGATTTGAGGGCATGCTCAGATGGGCTGGAGTCTGCCTTCTTGTGGTGATTTGCAATGCGTTACCAGCGTTGCGGTGAGGACAGTGTGTTGCTGCTAATCGGGACTTTCTCAACATACCTTTTCTGCTGTCCTCAGAGGGAACACCCTTCTAATGAGATCTCTTGAAATCTACTGGGATGTCCGTGAATCGCATTGTCCTACTCTGACAATCACCTCACCCTGTAACAAATGATAGATAAGAACAGCAGCATTAATGTAATGAAACTTCCAGGACTCTGCATAGGAACGCAACCTGCAGTACAAAGCTCGGCTTAGCATCACCGCTCTGTCTGAACGCATATCTGCATCTGTACAATACATGCTGTCTGAACTCCCGTCCCTTTCTCATTGTTTCTAGATGGGTGCATGCTCAGCATGACACCTTTGATGACACATAAATACCAGTATTACTTCTGACCTCTGAGCAGTATTACTTCTGACCTCTGAACAATGACCACCGGAACTAATTGCAGCCCAAATAAGCACAGTACGATTTGCTGTACACGAGGCACACTGCATCATCTGATCATGACTGCACGTCTGATTAAGCTAAGACGTGACACCAGCTATCAGCAATTGCCGCCGGCAGCAATGGGCTGGCATATGCCGGGAGCAGCCTGGCCAAAGCACATCTGCCCAGTGCTGCACTCGCTGTCATCCATGCAGCTTCCCAGTGAAGTGCCCATCGCCACAAACACCCTGACCTCCCGCCCCTTCTGCTGAGCTGTCAGGCTGACATCGTCGCTGCATGTCAGGAACCTGTCCGGCTTATCTGTGCACTGCGGCTGCTGCGTGTCGCCCGGCGAGCAGAGCATTGCTGGGCGGCAGACACACGCACATCCAATTCAGAGAATTGCAGTCACCACAACAAGAACCCCGCTCTTGTCCCCAGCTGTTGGGCTAGCTGCGGGGCCTGGCATTTATAGTCACATTCACCAGTCTGCATGAAAGGTGCTGACTACGGTAACTTCCGATCCAGATGAACTGCAAGCTAGTTGACAAATCATTGCTGCCCAAGAGTTTCTTGTAAGGATGACAACCTAAGTGCTGCATTCCTTGCACATGCTCCGGTGCAGTGCATGCAGTCTCGACTTATCTGGGACACTACCAGATTCCATAGAACAGGCCAGGTGAGTGCTGCATGCAATATAAAACTACAGAGGAGAGCAACGGCTAAAGATGGGCAAAAGGAGCTTACCGGCTTGAGCCTGGTCTGTGACGGCGCACCCTCCGGCACCATTGCACCTGCCATTAATGACTGCGTTGTGGTTGCCCAGGAGGTCAGAACAGACGGCGTTGCCTCCTGCAGGCCTGCATGCACCGCCTGCTGCTCCACATGTGGGGGTTGTGACAATACCACATGCACCGCCCGCCTGCATTAAGCCAGAACATGCATTATTTGGAGGGCATTGCACATTAAGTACTGCAGCTCGGCTACAAGTCTGCTCGCTCCTTTGCATTGTGAGTGGCATTGAGCAGATGCATGTCAACAGAACTAATACTGAGCATCTACCAGAGACCATAAAACAACAGGTATGACATACAGCCCATGCATGCAGGCATGTCATCTCCTGATGGCAGTCCTGGCTGGCAACAATGTTGACCATGAGAAGAGGAGGGCAGGCGGTTTCAGACAGCTCTCACCGTGAGACATGAGTTTGCAGGGCAGCAGAGGGACATCTGGCTCAGTGTCAGCGGCTGAGTGCATGCACCTGGCGGAACACAGAATTCCTGACTAGCTTGCACATGCTCTGCACATGTTTGCTTTCTACTTTTGAAAGACACAGGTTATTTTCCTCGTACAAGCAATGCATGCAAGGGACATGAACAGCAGGCATCATGCCTGGTCATGGGTGCTGGTTACAGGGATCTCCTTATGCATTGCATTCCAGGAGTCTGGCTTTCTAAGCAAGGCATGCATGTGACATGAACATGCAAACATCATACATTTTGAGGAGTGCATGCAGCATGCATGAGGTCTAAGCAGAATGTAACAGACCTGGGGCGTAGGCAGGAGGCTGGGAATTGGGAGGAGAGTAGGCAGGTGGGCTGGCAAGGGGGGGTGATCCATATGCAGGTCCGTAGGCAGGACCATAGGCAGGGCCGTAGGCTGCAGGTGACTGGGTAGAGGCAGCTGGGGATGGTGGTGGGCCTTGCAGCAATGCATGAGAACACCTTGAGAACCTTTCTTACCTTGATCTAGTAAGGATCCTGGAAGGTAACAAATGATGAGACTTCCATCAGTGAGGGCTGAAGCCCTTGTGACCTTTGAGAAGGCTCCTCTTGTCCTGAGTACTGACCATCAAAGGCAGAAATTGGCGTGGTGTTTCCTGGTGATTTCTGTTGTCTGCATCACCTACAAATTTCACAAACAACGGCGGGGACATGCTGGAAGGGCGTACTCTTAGGCAAGAAGGCGCCAGATGAAGCAGATCCTTCCAAGGACTTCAAAGTCTCCTGTCGAACCACAAGCGCCAACAGTCAATCCAAACAAATTTCAACGTAATCAGCAGACTTACCATCAAGTAGGATGAGGCAAAAGGAGGCCACTGCCTCCAATGTACCCAAGCACATTTGGCGTGCTGCTTCCTTGAAAAGACAGTATGATCCCTTGGACGGCTGCCACTTGAGTTGTTGTAGCGGAATAGATGGTGTATAATCCTATTATGCATGGTTCAAAGACAGCAACAGATTTTGTCGAGGGAAGGACGTATGAGAAGAACACACGGAGATGCTATCGTTGCTTGCACCTCCCGCCGCTGCCGCATCGTAGGCAGCCTGTTGCGCTCCACTGATGTCTGCGATGGAACCGTACGCACTTCCCTGGCCACTGTCTTGGCCGGATGCGGGCAGAAAAGACGCACTCAGGAAGAGCAGCAGGGCCATCGACGCAGATGGAGCTCTGTCCTTCAGCCCCACTCTTGGCGGAGACATCTTGCCGCTTGCACGGACCTTCTGGTCTAGATGCTGAGATTCACAGGATCAGTGTGCTTTCAGAGGCATCTGAATTCTGGAAGTGCACCAGACTTCTGCCAGCGCATCGGCGGGGCGGGAACGGGTTCCCCCAAGGAGCGAGGGGACCACCAGCACGACATTTGCTCAGTAGCATCCCACCGAGTCCAAATATTTTGTCTAAAATTTGATCCGGAGCGGTGCCTGAACTGGTTTCAAAATACTTTTCCGCAGTCCTGGTGGGTTGACCAAGTTGCAATAGCACATTTCAGGGCGGATGACACGGCGGGACCGTGTCATACGCTGCATGCAGCTGCCCGCATGCACTGCCGCTGCGCATGGTAAAAAGCCCATAAATCAAGATTGCAACATGCCTCACTATGATGGAACAATAATTGTACATAGATGGTCTGCCATGGTTGGCCAGCACTGTACAAGCAAGCAAACACAATTGAGCATGCATATGCTAACTATGGAATAGCTCAGCCTCATAGCTGACAGGATAGCATGGGGATCACGAATGGCCCACAGTGCCCAGGCGGTCCCACATACTTGCAAAAGGCTCTGAAACAATTCAGGATCCATAACCTCCACATTAGATTTCAGGAGCCACAAAACTTACGTCAAACCTCAGCCTGAAAATACCCCAGACCCTCTGTCTCAGCAGCAATCCTGTGACTAAGGAAATCATCCTCTGAACAGGTTGAGCGGACATATCATATCATTTCAGTGCCACTCAACCAATACACCCGTTAGCGTTGTTCTCCACTGACCGCACATCTGCACGTTGGTACATTCATGCTGAAGACTAAAATGCTTTTGCAGGCTGCAGAGCCCGGGCCACAACGCTGAAATTCTTTCGCAACACACTTGGACCAGGAACGCTAACAGAAGACACCCATACACATCCTAGGCAACAATGCTGATTCCTCAGAACAGGATGATGCCATCTCAGAAGTTCTGCGTCAGAACGCTACAGTGCGCGTGTGAGCCCTTCTTTGGGCAAATGGGAGCGCCAATGTCAGCACAGGTGATGTCAGCGGCAGTGACTCAGCGGAACCGGCTCTCCTCACACGGACTCAGCGCGTGCAGAAGTTTGAACGCTAGCGCTGATGTCAATGGAATGACTCAGCGGCGGCAGCTCTCCTTGAGCAGAGTCAGTGCGTGCGTGCGCCCCGCGGCGTTGTCAATAACCCAGCGCTGACATCAACGCCGTCAATAATTCTCCTCAAGCATCTTCAACGCATGCCTCCATATTCTGGCATTGTCATCTGCCAGTGCTGACATCAGCGCCGGCGGATCTCTTCCAGTGGAGTCAGCGCATGCGGCCGTTGCGTAGTGTTGTCATACATCAGAAGATGATGTTATTGGCGACGACTCAGCGCCGCCGGTTCTCCTCGAGCGGAGTCAGCGCGTGCGTCCGTCGCCCGGCGTTGTCATGCGGCACTCGGGCCAGCCGCTGTTCCAGGTAGGTGGCGCAGGGGCGTGCGCCAACTCGCTGGGCCTCGTCTAGCGGAGTGTTCCCCCACCTGTCGCGCACGTTCACGTCCGCGCCGCCCTCCTCCACCAGAAGCCGGATCTGCCAGGGCAGTGAGGCACTTTTGGCGGGGGAAAAAATGAGGAACAAATAATACAGCAAGGCTGTTTGTAAGCCAGGCTAGCTTATAACGTGCTGACATTCTCTTTAGACCAACATTACAAGATGTTGCTGTGCAGGTGGATGTCTTGTTGCAGTATTTCTACCTGTGATCATGTGCAACTACACTACGCAGGTTCCAAAAACCAGGAGCCAAGCTGGAATGCACTTTTGGCATGTATGCCAGTGGTATGCTGGTAGCTCCCCTTTCATGGAAACTTGTGAGGTCAAGGGCATAAGCATGGTTTGAGAATCAAAAGCATCTTCATGTGCACTGCAGGAGCGGAAGGTAAAGGCAGCCGCACCGCAGCGGTGTTGCCTTCTGACGCGGCGATGTGCAGCGCGGTGCGTTTGTCGTAGTCCCCGGCATCGGCCGGCGCGCCAGCCGACACCAGCCGCCGCAGCAGCGGCAGGTCCCCCTCAAAGACACACGTGCACAGCTGCGAGGCCATTGCAACCCTGTCCTGGCCCAGCCTGCAGAGGGGGAGGAAGCTTAATCAACATCCCCATCTCCAATTACGTTGCTGGACCTTGGGGACCAGTCTGAACGGCTATACACGAAGGCACCAAACAAGAACCTGTGGTAATCAACAAAACGCTTGATAGTTCCCTCTCTATGGATCTTTCCAGGGTCTGGCATCAATGTCACTGTGACTCTGGGAGCTGAGTAGACCCCAAAAAACGTTGACAAAATCCCTGCACCTCCTCCTTGCAGCTTTACTTGCTATGACAGTCACAGAACCCCCTGCATCTGGCCATTCATGGCAGCCATCCCAGCAGGAGATGGTTCAGGAGGAGCACTCAGTGAGAGTCTTCTACCGTACACATTTCAATTACTGCTGCAGCAGCGGCATGCCTGAAGAAGCAAGCATTTTATTTCAAATTCTTTCAATTTGAAACTCTTAAGAGGGAAATCTCACATGGCTCCCTGGCGGCGCAGCAGCTCGACGATGTCAGCGTGGCCGTGGATGCAGGCTTCCATGAGGGCGTTCCTGTTCAGGCTGTCCTTGGCGCTGACGTCAGCGCCCGCTGAGATCAGCGCCACCGCCACGTCAGCGTGCCCCTTGGCCGCCGCCAGCATCAGGGCCGTCCGGCTGTCGTAGTCTGCGCTGTCGGGCGCAAACCCCTGGTGCAACATCTGCGCACACAGAAAACATGGACTTTGGTGAGTTTGGTGATTTGAAGTACACTTGTCTGAAACAGTTCGATTTGCGTTGCCCAGACTTGAGAGAATTTTCCTGGCTTCAAATGCGCGTAATAATGTGCAGAGCCCACTGGAATTTATAATGTCATGATTGCACGATCACACTTGTTGCAAGACACGCTCTATTGACACTTTTGATCCCTGTGATAGAGCCTGCAAGAATGGCCGTTGCGGCACATGATTTTTTCTGTCCACGAGAGCACCAAGGCGTGACTTCCTGAGCATGACTGGCCAACATTGATCCTGGTGATGATTGAAGGTGTGCAGTTGACGTTTGAGAGGACAGCGTACAAATGCTGACCTGGCGGATTTTCGCCGCGTCACCCTGGCTGGCGGCATACAGGAATTGGTTGGTGCGTTCTGCGTCCTGCCGCGCCAGTGTCTGTTGCACCATGCTCCTCACCCGCAGCAGGTTCGCCATTGCCTGCAGGGCAGCTTCCCAGCATCAACCTTTATTCACCCTAGCTTGCTCGGTGCATGACCCCAACAGCACATTAGCACAGTGTAAGTGAATGATTACGGGGACTGCCTGTACAGATCACAGTCATCAATCCTGTTACAGATCAGGGCACCTGCAAGACACACAGTACACAGTACACAGCACACAAACACCACATAAAATAATCAAGAGTGCATTCCTTCCATGAGAAGCAACATAGACCATGTTGTATGAGGTGCTCAAGGAATGCAAGGCAGCATTTTAAGTGATGTTCTGGCTTCATTTAATAGACTGTGAATGGCCATTTGACAGGGCTAGAATGCAGCCATGGCCAAAGGTGGGTGCATCATCAGGTCACAAAGAGAAAATTAAAAGTCTTCTCTTGCAGAAACTTAAGAACGTGTGCAATTGACACGGTTGACTCACCATCTCCTGCCGGTGAGTCAGGCCAGGAATAGAATTGCCACCGTTGACTGTTGAGCCGGCGGAGGGCGGCTGCGCCCGAGGCGGTCGCCCTGACAGTTCACCACTCCTCCTGCAGAACATTAATTTATTCTCCTTACTACATTTTTTGAGATCTCCTGGGAGCCACCTGAGTTTCATTGGCTGCACCACTGTCTGCATCATTTGTCTTCAGCACTCATAATCTGTCAGTCACGTCAGATTAGGAGTGCACGTTACGCATTACATTCTCTCATGGACAGGAGATCCTACTCACCCCCTCAAAGCTGGGCGGCCGGCATCGCTCGGATCAGAGCCCCCGCAGCCATCAGCCTCCGAAGCGCGCATGGCTGACAGCTGCGCGAAATTGAAACTGGTAGCGGCTGAAAACGGCGTCGGCGGCGGCACTTGCTGCTGTGGCGCCGCCTGCGGTGCGGCCTCCTGTGTCCCTGTAGAAAGCCAGAACAGATCAATCAACCAGAAAATCTTGGCAATCAGAATGGGTCATCGAGACTAGGCCCGGCAGACAGAACCAGCTCAGCATAGTCTACATCTGTCACCTTTAACTTGCTCACCAAGCATCGCCTGTTCTCGGCAGGTGGGCATGAGCTTGTGGAGGGGCAAGGACATAATTTCATAAGTGCATGGATCCCTTGCCAGACATGGGAAATTGAGATCTTCACTATAACTCTCTATATCATGGTCTCATATGCTTGCTCGGGGACATGTGGCCCCAATTGGAATAAATACTGAATACCATGCCCATGCTTTATTGAGTATTGATTGATCTGGCGAGTCCAACAAGGGATAGGATTGTGGCAGCCTTTAACTGCAGCTTTTTTGCAGGACGCACCTTACCTCTTGGCAGGAAAAGCGTGTAATAACAACAGGGACATGTGAGGGAAGCATGCGCGCACCTGCGGCCGCAGCAGGCAGGTCACGGGGAGATGCGCCGCCGGACGACCCCGAAGCAACGCTCTGCAGAGTGGCCACCGGGCCCGCCCTCACACCCGTACCTGCACCAAAATCAATTGTGCTTTCATCTGTTGACCAAAGCTGGTCCGCAAGTTTTGCGGCCAGATACATCTGCCATGAGAGACACTTGAGCTGTCATTGATCAACCTGAGAGAATGCTGGAACTGTCTGCTGCATGTCAAAGCTTGCAACCCAGTGACACATTCAAGAGGTATTACAGTCACTAGTGCGAAAGCTCCTTTCAAGCAAAAAAGCTGAATAACTGCATTATTATAATTTTCACTTTTAGAAACCCGTTGGGAGCCGCCTGAGGCTCATTGGTCTTGTGGGCAGTCTTCCCATGCCCATCTGCACATGAGAAAACCCCTGATGTGTCTGCATTCTGTCGGAAATCTGGCAATTCTAAAACTGTTCCGTACTGCATTTATTATCAAATCTGCTTCCGCTAAGTCTGTTACTGCTCTTTGTTTCTCAGGTACACCGTGAGAGGCCATTACGATGATGCCAAAGCTCCATGCAAAACAGCCAGCACATTTGCCATGTTTTAGAGTCTGTGTCAGGTGAGGTTTGGCACTGCTCAAATAGACAGTCCGAGGCCATAGCGATGAGTCAGCGGGAAATACTACACCTGGGGGCTCGTCTATGAGGGCGCCCTCCACCAATTCTGGCGCGGCCCATTTGAATTTAAGTTTGGATGGGATGGTCGGAGCCGAGTGCAGCATGATGGTGTTGTACGCATGCGCGCCGCCGCGGCCCCGGAACTGCTCCTGCACGTTCTGCGCGCACATGCCCGCACATGTCAGCATGCCGCGAATACCATTCTACGTGCAGTCGCGCGGCTTTGTAAAAGTTGCTGTATGTGGTTGACCCTGCATTCAACACAAGCGGCATGGTGGCCTGCACCTACTGCTTCACTCTGCTGATGCAAACCGCTGCCTGAACAGTGCAAAGGTTGTCACTACTTGAAACGGATTGGGCAGCACCCTGCATCTTGTGAAGGATGACTCCAGCCCCTTCTTCTGAATAAGAAACCTCCTCCTTGCATTTGATGTATTACTCTTGCACAAGGTGCTTCATGCTTGAGAAGCTCTTTCCAGGTGCTCCTCTTTCAAGACAGCTGCAACTTGGCAAGATCTTGAACATTGAAAAAGTGCAAGGGCTCACATCAATTTGCCTTCCAAACCAGACAAAGCAGCTGTTGGCAGAGCACAGCACCTAGGAGCACGGCCCTTGCGCTCTCGACGGCCCATATTGCAGCATAGGGGTCTATGGATGATATTCCAGGCCTTGAAGAAGAGCCATAAATAGCTGCACCAAGAGCAAACACCTCATGGGGGCGCGCACGCAAAATGGTGAGCACGGCACAGAAATTGGGCTCTAGGATTTGGGGAGTAAAATCCAATATATCAAATCCAAAAGGGGACAGTTATCAAGAGGTCGGGAATAATCACCTCGTGGGCGCGCGCAAGAAGGTTGGTAAGAACGGTGCGTGCGCCGATGGGGAATGCGGCGGCGATGGAGTTGTAGGCGCCACGTGGCACAACTAATATCCGACACACGCTGACGCTGCGCACCGTCTCCAACTGCGCTACCTCCGTGTAGAAGGCCACCTCCCCAAACGCGTCCCCCGCCCCGTACAGCGATCTGCCAGTCACCAGATCGATTATTTTCACGCATCCTGCCCAAAAATTTGCATGTTGTGGCGCGCCAAATCATGATGCATGAGCTGCAGCCTTCATTGGGATTGCCATCACCTTGGACTATGTCTTCGATATGCTTCAGCACTAAATGTCGGGGATCCGAATGGCACATATGCAATGATGATGACCCATTAAACTTTAATGGGTCTGCAGGTTCTGCACGGTCTACAGGTTCTACAACGCAGCAAGAACCTCCGGCAAGGCTCTGAAATCCCTAGTATATCTTTGCAATTGTTTGCCACGCAATTGCGGTATTCATTTCAATGTCATGCATCCCTGCCCTACAAAGAGCGGAAGGGTGCAGCTCCTTCGGGTCACAGAAGTATATCCCACCTGCTGTAGGAGCCGCCGCGGATGCTCGAGTGGCCGTCCAAATCGATGGTCAGCTCCTCGGCCTCCTGCCCCGGCCGCAGCACTTCCACCATTCCCCCCACCAGCAGCATCAGCTCGTTCACAGAATCGCCCTCCGACAGGATCTCCACCTGCGCAGCGCAGCACAGCGCGCGTTTCGTGCCTGCTGAAGGTTCCTCCCCTTGCTTTGGCAGAGGTCTATGGTGCTTTGCATGTCTGCATGCACCTACGTAGAGCCAATGCACAGGATTGGCACTCTGGCAGCAGTGACCACACAGCAGTGCTGAATGATTCCTATCATGTCACTCAGTTTGCCTTGTTAAATATGTGCAATCCTGCATTGTGTAGGGATTGCCAGAGGTCTAAGCAGTGCTCAGGTGACAAGCAACCGGGCTGGCCGCTGATGGCTGCATCAAAATGCATCTGCCCCGGACGCAAGAATCACGACAAGCAAGCCCGACTGTTTCTCTGCGGGAGGCGCTTGAGCTCCCTCGCGCTGCTGTTGATCTCGGTCACACGACCTCCTTTTGCCTCAATGCATGCAGAGCAGTTCTGAGAAATATGACATTTGGTAGCTCAGAGCAATCAGGCATGCATGCGCGCACCTCTGGCATGCATAGTTGCATGCTAGCGTCACTCAGAAGCAACTGGAGGTATTTCTGGTGATTTAAATGGGACCCAAGACACGCTTTTTATGAAAATAACACCCTGAAAATACTATGTTTCCACTAACGTGAACTCAAGGCATGTGCCCGCACCTGCGGCATGAAGAGTTCGATGCGCGCGACGCTGAGCAGCGAGTCGAGGAACTTTTGGCGTACGCCCTTGAAGAGGTACGCCCCCCGCACGTGGCGCAGGTACAGGTGGCGCAGAATGCGGCGCCGAATTGTGGTAGGAAATATATGCAGCACCTGAAGGATCACATTTCCATATTAATACTCTTGCAAGTTGTTGGTGACAGATGGCGCAGGGTTCGAGACTCAGATGGCCTTGAGGTGGGTCCTTTTTTTTGCAGCACTTTTTTGCTGTCTCTGGACCAGCAGTGTGGTTTGATTGTGCGGCAGTGGCAGCGCATGCCAAGAAAGGACTCCACGCAATTTGGAAGAACACACGAGGGTACAGATATCTTGGAAATCTGAGGGAGGTGGCCTCTGGGGTGTAGAGCAAAATCAAGGGGAGAATTCCAGGGGGTCAGAGAGCGCGACCTGCTCGTCTGAGGCCTCCTCATTGTTGAAGTGCAGGCGCAGGTGGGAGTGCATGCTGTCATTCAGATCCTGCGCACCAGCAACCCATGGTCAAAGCATTTACCACACTTCACACCTCCAAGAAACCATTATAGCACTCCAATCTGATAGCTGCCCTGACTTGATCCAAGTCGGATTAAAGTCATCCAGCCTGTTCAATGCAGCAAAGACAAAATGGAGGCAGCTGGAAGCATGCTATGAGCTAAAGCCATGTGCATGCAATGAGCACAAGCCCAGTTGATGAAAGCTCACATATTATCCTCTAGAGCTTTTGATGCCAGCCCATCTAGACCATGTACTGACCAATTCATGCAGAAGTAGAAACCTCGTACGAGCGGATTCAGATTGGGCCAAGCAAAGCACCTCAGGGATCTCATTGACGGCGATGTACTCCTTCAGATTTGTGGACAGGTCTCTGTAGCGCCCGGTGCGCTCGTCATGCTTCACCACCAGCAGTGTGATGGTTCCCAGTACGTACGCGCCCAGCGCCAGATTGAAGAACATGTACATCGTGGCCCACACCGCCTGCACATCAGCACGCACGAAAGCTCACTTATCAGCTGTTGTGTTGCCAAATTCACTAATTTGAGGGGTTTGCCAAAGGTGACTATATGCTCCACCGGGGTTGCATGGAATAATTGTCAGCGCAACTTCAAAAGAGCCACAATGCCTCTCCAATTGAAGTTCCAGTTTGAGCAGATATTTGTTGCTTGCACATGCCGTCAGGAATGTAGCTTGGCCAGCACGCAAGCTGCGTCCCAGGTGGGGTTGCAACTGCTAAGCAAGGCAGCACGTGTGAATGTCTTTTGCAGAGGTCAGATTCATTAGAGCCTGACCTCTGCGGTGTTGACTGCAGAGAAGTCCCCATATCCGACTGTTGCCAGCGTGGTGATGGCCCAGTACAGTGAGAAGGCATACCTGCGATGGAAACTTGATCAGGCGTAGATGGTTCATGGAGCATTTACATGTCACCACAAAGAAGATGAGAAGAAATTGCAGTCATGGCTCGGCAGTCATCGGTGTATGAAGCACCGTGAGCACATACAATAACAATGCAGCAGGAAATGCACTGTCATGTAGAAACAAGAAGGTTCAATGGGCATCTCCAGCAATGGACAAGGCAGCACGCAGAGGCACCGCACAGTGATGTCCTTGTTTGCTGGAAAAGAGCAGGGAAGGAGAAATCAGTACCTGACTGGCAGGCTCAGGTCAAACACATCGTCAAAGTGGCGCCCAATCCAGGTGTCATGGTCCAGGCCGTATTGCACTGCTATGAAATAGAACATGCATGCCGACCAGTGCGTCACATAGAACACATACTGCGCAGCCACACAACACATTGAAATATGTCAATAACAAACTCAAACTCATGTTGCTCTCTCTTGAAACAAGCATAGATGTTTAGGCAGATGATGCTCCTTTCAATGCAGACACAGAGTTTGTGCATCGACCCACTTGATGCAACTGCATGTCATGCTTTGCAAGACACCTGCATAAAGGGATGGAGAGGCAATAATTGTCTCAGGCTGAGACCCTCAGCAGTCATGGCATCGTTGGGGGGGGCTTACTATGAGGTTCCTGATGAGCGTGACCCAGAGCAGGGACATGGTGAGGTTGAACTCCAGGTGCTCAAAGAACCAGCGCACGCGGTACAGCCGGATCTGCGCTGCCAGAACTTCATCAGTCCTCCCTCTTTCCTTTTCAATTTTTTTTGTGGAGAAATGAGCCAGACACATGAAAGCATGCCTAAGCATGCACCTGCTTGCAGCTGCCAAATCCTGCATGCACGAATTTGAGTCGAAGTCCATGAAAGGGTCAATTGTTGGGTGCAGTGTGCAAGATCGGCCAAGCACTGCCCCAAATGCTATGCATGACTGGGAAGACTATAAGCGTTCACATAAGGTTGCATGTGCATGCGGGGGCGCGCAACTGCACATGCCAGCACATGCTGCAGCAAAGCAGGGCAATCAAAATGAATAATTGTTCCATACAAGCCCTTCAGGCGCACCATTCGGAGCAGTCTCAGCAGTGGCACCCTGGCGATTATGCTCTGCCCGGCATGGAAGTCACCCAGCACCCACAGGGCCAGGTAGTCCAGTGGCAGCCAGGCTGCCATGTCCCAGTAGAACCGAGTCCTGCAACCAAAACGACAATCTTGACTATTCTCTACCCCACAAAGCAGGTCCACTTTACTTTACATCCCTCTCAAAATACCTCCCAGAGGCGATAATTTGCATCATTGCATACAATCCTGCACTCCATCTGAATGATAAAAGCACAAGGAATAAATATGCAATACCCGCTATTCTGGTCAAGAGATGCCATAACGAAGACACACAGTACTAGAATTCTGTGTGCAGTGAATACTCTGTTGATATGCAATGACAAAATTCTACTAAAAAGTTTAATTAGGCAAATAAAGTGAAGAACAGGCACCTGCGGTAGTTTTTGGCCACGTCTGCCTTGTTGGTGATGAGGACCTCGTTCTCAGTGAAGGCCACTCGGAAGCTGATGACAATGTCAATCGCATACAGCAAGTGCAGACCCATGAAGATGATTGATGACGGGGATGCCCACGAACTGCACAGTATCACAAACAACATCTGATCAGGTGCACAATTGTGATTCAATAGTAGAGGGGTTCTTCTCTGCTCTACATGCAGTGGAATGCACCAGCCAGATCAAGCATGGCTGTCATTTTAGCATGATGGAATAGGTTGGATCTGCCCTGATGTGGTGCAATACACCAGCCAGATCGGAGGTGTATGCCTGCCATTTGAGCATCAAAGACACAATCTGGATCTGCCCTATATGACGTGCAACGCACCAGCCATACCTATCGTGCATGCCTGTCATTCTATCAATATAGGGGTGAGCCTGCCCTACCGCATGTATAACATGGGACCAGCATGGAATTGCGGACATGGACAACAAGGAAAGAGTGTATGATATTCTCCCTAAGGTCCTAATGCCGTGCGCTGGAGTCTAAGTCGTGCATTTGAGGAGGTAGGATCGCACTAGCGCTCTGAGTGGGGTAGAAAAGCCACGATCCACGGCTCGTAGAATCCTGTGAAGCCCGCTCCAGCAATGGTAACCCCCCACCAGATGCAGTACCTGCAAATCATCTCCCAGGATATCTGGAAGCACGCAGCCACTGACACACAATTTGATGGACTACCGTGTTACTCAAAGGTGTGTGCACTGAGTGCTGTCAGTCTATTGAGCTTACAAGGAGCGCTCACCAGTCGGCATGGGGGTCTATTATCCACTTGGGGATGTAGGGCTTTTGGAGGCCGCTCTTCCGTCTCTGCATAGACAGCACAAGAGATGCTCGGTCCTGGCCTGCAAATGAGCTCATTTTCTGCCCAGATCCGGGACCATCGTACATTTTACACAGCAGTTCCAGCATAATGAAGGTCGAAACAGGTCTAAACGAAAACTGCCTCCTGCTGCACCTGCCTTTGTGCATCACAGCATCAACATCGTCGCATGGACTGCGAGCTCAGAGCTGTTTGAATGATATCGGGGGAGCAACATAGCTCTAAGAATGGTATATGAATACCTTTGAGCGTTACAGAGAAAGAGGCAATCGTGTAAGTACATTAATAGTGCTAGAGAGTTTACTCTGTCCAAGTGGCCCTGCACTGCTGGCAGGCAGTGCGCGTCGGATGTGGCATGAAGCAGCGACTCCCCCAGATCATTACAGGAGGATGGCCGGCGCCTCATGCTTGCATTGCTCGACATGAGGCCGAGCTGAGCGGTCTCTGCAGCTCACCGTCCGCTGGAAGTGATGGCACACACCCATTTGGTGCGCATCGAGGCGTCCAACCTTGTCAATTTCCGCGAAAAGCTCTTGAATGTAAGAAATGTATTTGTGCCTGAGCAGTGGGGACTCCGCTACGCAGGATCGAGCTAGGTTCTCCGAAAGACGAGTCACATGGTGCACGTGTAATATTAATGCTGATGTCACTTCCCCTTAGATTTCCCCTCGAGACATTCTCAGGGTTTCAGCCTTCGTGGCTCTAGCTTCTTCAAGATTGCTAGCCTGGAAAAGATATATTTGAAATGCAACTCTACTATAGCTTAACAATCAGTACTGTTCTTGCAGTGTCTGCGCTTGACAGGGCTCAGCCTGTGAGAGAGTTTAGGGCTGTGTCTGCGGATAGTCCAAGGAAAATTTGATAGCTTGAGCAACAATCTATAGTTTTCAATATGGATAGATGGCTGCTATATACTCGTTCTGAGTGCTAGTGCTCCAGGCATGTTCCGCATCTTATAACTTTCCTTATTGCATCGACGCAGTCAGCAGGTTTACTTCGGAGCAGGAAATTTCAGCAGGGTGTCCTGCATTGGTGGCAATCAAATGCCCCCAATGAGCGTTTCCATGCCCGTTGGCGCAAGATACCCCAAGCATTTTTCGACTATGAAAGCAGACATGCCGCTGGTAATTATAAGGATTTCCAGCCACAACTTTGCATCTACCAGCCAGCGCGCACCCCGCAGCACAATCCCTCCAGTGGGTGCCGAACCATCACAGGACAATGGGAAACACTTGTATCCTTCAGCCGACCACAACGTACTGAGCAGCCAAGTGAGCACCTGTCCTTGGGCTCTCTTGCCCTTTGGCTTGTGAGCAGATCCCTTGTATTCATATATTTAGGAGCACCATATATTTCAGAAAGCTCCTTGCTTGGCACTGATTGTCGATCCTTTCAACAGACTGTACGTTTTGCGCATGCCTTGCTAGAGCCCCTGACATCTGCCTGATGGTAGTGTGGCATTCCATCAACAGAGCTGGGAAGTGAGGGAGGCAGCGGTGCAAGGAGTCCCCCAGGAGCTACCAGACCTAGTATTCGATCCCCAGGAAGTTCAGGCGCAGCTGAAGCAGATGCAGAGCCTGCTCCGCTCGCAGCAGCGCCAGATCTTGGAGCACCAGGAAGCACTGGCTGAGATGTACTCGCTCATCAGCTTGCAGGTCAGCTGCGCAGTCCACCTCTTGATAGAATGAGCGTGTCAAGACACATTAGCAACGGAGACGGTGTATTTCAAATGCAAGATTGATCTCATCAGAGAGTTGTATTCACCATGGAGAGGTACCTCTGCTTTGTTCAATAGCTACCTTTCCTGGCTTGAATGTTCTATTTATTTGACGAGGCTTCAACTAATGACTCCCTGATCAAGGCCTTTTCGCTGACAAGCATGTCGGAATAAGTGCTATTTGGGACATCCAACGCCCTGATGAAGGCGATCTGAGCCCATTTTACATTGCTCAATCTCGTTGTTTGAACTCTTCGGAAAGCTCTTTGCATGACATAATTTCTGTCAATTCTGCTGCGCAGCCGGCGCAAAATAATCGCCTAAACGGCGCAGGTGGCGGCAGCATGCGGCCGTTCGACGCGCAGCTGGCGGCCGCCAGGGACCGGCGCAGCATCGGACTCTATGACGCGCGCTTCCATTCCACCAACTGGTGCACTCTCTCCAGCCTTCTTTTCCATTGCAGCTGCAAGACTTTACCCCTAGCTGTCTCTCACTGATTTTCTATATCAGAAGTGCCACCAAGACTCCTACTTGAGGGGGAGTTGAGGCATCAGGCATGGGGCATGCATGAGATGCCAAAATAGTTTTGAACACATATGTCACGAGGATGGCGCACGATCAATGTGTTGCTGGGTACTTTTTCTCTGTGGATAACATGTAAAAATAGAATTATTTGCTCACCTAATAATTATGCAAAATTGGCGCACAAGCAGTGGATCGAGCCGGACTGGTGGTGCAGGGGAGCGACGCCGAAGGACCACAGGGTGCTGCCAAAGCGCATCATTTTAGTACGGCACGCTGAGTCAGAGGGCAACACGGACCACTTTGCCTACTCCCACATCCCAGACCCCCAGATCTGCCTGGTGAGGGCTGCTCTTCATCAATTGTCATCTGATGTCAAAATATATCACATTTGAATCCAACGTTATTGATCATCCCACCCGATCATCTTATGATAGTGAGGGTCTCGTTGTATCCTGGGTTTTGCACATGCATGCCAGTGCGATGCTGTCCAGAGGCAATTGATCTCATTGACACTTTCAAAGTGCTCCTCTCTGCACCCTGGAATTCTGTGACTCTCGGATGCACTTTTCCAGGGATCTGCGGCACAGTGTGGCCTACACCGCGCTAGAGATTAAATCACCAGTACAGAGTTTAGCCTTGTTATGCCATGTTTGACCTGCTTTTTACTGTGCATGTTCACGATGTTTCTTGAATGTCTCTGGAATGTTCTAGACTGGCCTGCATGCTCCACAGTCAGGTGTCCTCCCTCGTGCAGGCTCGGCAGAGCAATGACCAGCGAGCCCAGCTGTCCAGAAGAGCCGGCAGTACTGGCAGAGCGTTTGAGAATGCACTACTAATACACGCATGCATGCAATGTGTGCAGACGCATCGGGGCCACGAGCAGGCGATAGATGCGGGGCGGAAGATTCGGTCGATCATAGAGGCGGATGGGCAGCCCTACAAGCTCTACTTCTACATGAGCCCCTACAGGTGCGACGCCACCAGATCTTCGATCTTATATTCACACAAAGATTATCAGTTGCACCTCCTTGCAGGGCTCCTGCTGGGGAGATGCACTTAGCTAGGCCTCTCCAAAGCCCATGGATTTGCAGATGGCTTTCATGAGTGGCATGTGCAATTTACACGGTCCCTGTCGAGGGCTCAAATGTGTGGACTAGGAAGCCCTACCAATTAACCGCTTGATCAAGGGTTCTGGACTGTGTTACTCTATCTGAACTTTGATTACTACACACAAGTGTGCTGTGTCTTGCAGTACAATTTTAATCCTTATAATGTGTTGTAAAGCTTGTGTGATTTTGGGCTTTGCTGAAGGCTGCATCTGCTCAGCTGTTATGGTTGAGACATCAAAGATCTGACTAAACTGTTGATCTGACTAATCTGTGATCACATGTTCACGTGTGTGGCTGCAGGCGCTCGAGTCAGACGGTGGAGGGCATTGCCAGCTGCTTTGAGGAGGACCAGATCGCCGGGTTCCAGGAAGAAGTGCAGCTGCGCGAGCAGGACTTTGGCAACTTCCAGGTGGGTTCCTGCGCCTGATCAGGCACATGCCGGCGCATGCTCCTGTTGTCAAAGACTCGCAGCTGTGCAAAGAGATCTTTGGCAACTTCCAGGTTGGTGCCGCGCCTGATCAGGCAGAGATTCGCATCCTCATGTGCCTGTCTCAAAAGGACATGCAGCTGCGCGGTTAGGACTTTGATGAAAGGTAGGCAACCAGGTCCGCCACGTGCTCAGGCAGCGAGCCGGCATGTGCGCGCATCTGTGCAGTGCGTGCACAATTAGGTCGGCGCAGTTATGGTGTTGGAACAGACTGACAAGTTGAGACTCCAACTCACGCCCTGCAACTCTATATGACAGCATGCATACGCCCCCCACAGGCTGACAAGGATTGGGGAGATTGATATTTATTACTGAAGCCAGATGCATGCCTGTTTGTGTGAATGAGCCAAGGCAGGGTGCGGGGGGTCTGCCAATCTTTTCTCATTTGGCAAGCGTTTATCACACAAATTCATGAACCAGTTGGATGCTCTTTCCCATACCGTGAGATGATTAGTGATGGTATGGTGCCTGATCAGGACACGGAGGGCAAGGAGAGGGAGAAGGCTGAGCGGATACGATTTGGGCGTTTCTTCTATCGGTTTCCCAACGGCGAGTCCGGCGCAGACGTCTACGACCGCATGACCATCTTTGAGGTGGGCTGCCGTGCTTACGGCCACTTTTGTTGAGTCAATTAATACAGGCAATTCCACCCCCTAAGGACAAGACATGACCTGTTTCATCAACATTGTGCTTCGAGAAGCTCTTTCAAAGCCCTGGTCTGTCACACCAAGCGTGACTGCAGGCATGCAACATGTCCAAGGATGCAGGTAACAACTCCTCCAAGCACTGAATTGATTCAGCACATTTGTGGAGTCTCTCACACGGGCTTGGTGACATGGCGACGGCCATGCTGTGGGCCCTGGCCTGTAATTGACATATCAGATCAACTCGGGCAGGAGGCGTATGGCGCTGTGAATCAAGGGTCTTGAAGAGGGTTTTTTGCATGCTCGCAGAGTTGTGGTGCTATGAATTGGGGGACTGAAGAAGGGGAGTGATGGGAGTTTTTTATGCATGCGCACAGGACCACATGATACGGGACATAAACGCGGGCCGGTTTGCGAAGAATACAAGTCTGGTTTTGGTGACTCATGGCCTGGCCGCGCGCATCTTCCTCATGCGCTGGTTCCACTGGTCCGTGGCAGAGCTGCTCATGGTCTTCAACCCGCCCAACGCAGAGGTGCGGCCGAGCTCTTTGCCCATTCTTTGGATGAGTAAGCTCCCCAATAATCATGCCTCGAGAGATACACTCAGCCTAAGAGCAGCTTGAGGACTAACCAGCAGGACTCCCTGCAGAGATACCTGCAAGTTACCTGCAGGAGAAAGCCATTTTGAGATGGGCATGTCACCTTCAGAGCAGCTCACGCACGTGGCATGCAAGCTTAGAAGTCACTTTGGGGAGCTTGTGCCCTGCACAGCAGCTCTCCCTTGTGACAAAGAGCCTGATCTGCCTGCTGTGCTGCTGGACAATAGAAATTCTCTTCATGTCACAGCAGCTGCAGCTGCAGAGCCCCACTGTCACAGCCATCCAACGCCACTTTGTATGCTCTCACCGCTTACTTGGAAGCTCTATCGCTGTGCCATGACCGCACAGAATGGAAAAATCTGATGCACATGCTGCTGGACATACAGTACCTAGATCCTAGATGCCTAGGGACTGAAAAATGTGCAGTTAAAACATGTAATAATCACTGTGCCGGGGCTTTGGAATGCTGACATTTTTCATGTTCTGGCTGTGCTGCAGCCGATTGTGTTGGATCGAATACCAAAGGACGAGGCGGCCAAGGCGGGCGGCCGAGCATCGTGGATCCACACAAAGGCGTTGTATCGGCTGCGGCCGGAGTCCAAGGATATCATAAAAGGCTGCTCTGATGACATGTGCTCCACCGCAGTATTCCTGTCCGGCGTCAAAGTCACTGACTGGGTCGAGCAGGACTGATATTCTTTGCTGCCCCCACGATTCAGGGGTCATGGGGTGTGGCTCTAGGCTAGTTGCTCAAACTATGCGCAGGCCTCATGCATAAGCTGTCTCTGCTAGTCTAGCAGTACTAAAGCCTCAAGTGTCGAAGATCTGGATTTTGACTGATTGCAGGGAGTGCAGTGGGTCAAATCCAATGCGCGTAAGGAAGCCCTGGAAACCATGGCAGGCTCTTAGACGCGTACAGCTACACATCCCTGACAATCCTGACTGAAGCTTGCAAAAACGTTGAACCAGAGAGACTGCCATCTCTCAAATTACTTCGGTACGCACTGCATGTGCGGCTGCATGCTCAACTGGGGCACTTGTCTCACTACGGAGGCTGACTGTCGTCCACGTGGCTTAGTGCCATATACACCGTATATGTGGTCTGTAAGCAGGGTGGTAGACTTTTCAGACAGTCAGAGGAACAGGTTGTACAAACTGGCTGCACATGTGAACACACCGATCTAGGATACAAGACATGCATTCTACGACTTGTACAGTACAAGCATGCGCAGCAGCAGCATTTGTGGAATGTGAACAGTGGCGGTGCATGCTTTTCTTCTTGCAACTGTAGCCGGCAATCTCCTCCTCTAGCCTGTGACATTTGAGGTTTTCAAGGCCACTTCCGGTCACCCTGCCTTACGCGCACTCTGCCGACATGTCTGCAGCTGCTGCAGTTGCTAGCCAGCCGTGGCAGATAGATAGCTTGCACCATGCATGCGCTGCAGCTGCAGGATTAGGAAAGACGTATCTCACATGCAGCCCACCTCCAAAGCCACATGTTGCAGCCACCTGGTAAAATTCGTTCCTGTCCTGAACAGTATTTTCCGTCTAATGGTACAGTAACAGTAGTCTGCTATTTAACTCCCCTGGTAGAATCATGGTCCCTCATCTTCAGGTCCCCACCCCACAGCTGCTGAGCTGGCATCCCACAAGCTGCGCGCCAGATCTGGATCCTGCGCCAATTCAGACGCCCTGGCCTCCCGCATGTTGTGCAGATACAGCACGCTCCTCCCTTCAAGCTCCGGTGCTCTCGCTGCGTAGAGCACGGTTGATGCTCCCTGCATCCAGCAGACAGTTGGGGAAACTCACTTCACTTAATCGTCGGAGGGCCCAGAATAAAACTGTCATAATCAGTCCGCACCAATTGATTGAGGAGCTGTCCTGTCAAAAATAGTGCATGCCATTCTGCCAAACTCTGCTGAGCAGCACCCCGGCAACCCTCCAAGCTGCCACAAGGGCCTGAGCTTCTCGAACACTGTGCAGGCACTACCGCAATTAACAAAAACACTGTTTGCATGGACATGTCCTGGTGTCCTGACGAGCGCATCAGACAATGCAGGCATTGACGCAGAAGGACATAAATGCTGCTCACCTGTTTCGGGGTCTGGAAGAGCACAGAAGCCAGCGGCTTGAGCAGTGTGCGAGCCAGAGGCGGCAGGTTGTCAAAGATATTTGTGTACACTCGGCCAGGGCTGACTGCATGCGCCGTGACGCGCGTTCCCTCCGCCATGAATCGCCGCTGCAACTCTAGCACGTGCAGCACGTTACACAGCTTCGAGCGCGCATACTGCAAGTACCTGTGGCAGAACGGATTCTTGTTGAAAGAGCCTGCTTGGGCTTTTGCAGGAGGGCAATGTAGGATCAGCGCCTTGATGGCCCTACAGAAATTGCATTCATCCTATTGCAGCAGTGGTGAGAAAAGCTACAATATCAATGGGCATCACGGATCTGCAGATTTCCCACTCTGTTGCCAGGCCACAAGCGAAGTGCCTCTCTGTTATGGGCTAGGCACTTTGCAAGGTGCGCAGGTGTCCGTTGAAGACTTGATAGAGCTGTAGGTGAGGACGCACCAGTGGGAGGGCGTCCCTTGGATCTTGCCGTTCTTTATTTGCAGGGAGCCCTGCTTGTGCGCCCTGCTGGCCACATTGACTATGCGGGCTTTGGGCGCCAGGGCTGGCGTCAGCAGCCTAGTCAGCAGGAACGGCCCAAGGTGATTTATCCGCAGCTGCTGGTCCACTCCCTTTACTGGTGGCACCCCAATGACACCTGCGCGCATGTGACTCTTTTCCATCTGCGAAGAGGTGTTTCTGCATAACTGCACACATTCTGGTGCAAATAGTGAGATGTGGCTATGAATATCTTGGCAAGTTTCCATCTGCCTTCTGTGCAAAACATGACTGCAGATGCACATGCACCCTGCAGCATCAGATCGACACCTATTGATCTGGAATTTGGCTGCTTTCCAAGATCTGGGCTAAAAGTCAGTCTACAAGAAAGCCGCAAGCAAGGTGCAGTGAGGCAATGCAGCTGCAAGAAAGGGAGCACACCTGCATTGTTGATGAGGATGTCAATGGGATGCCTGTCATGCTGCACGCGCTGCCGGGTGGCTGCAGCAAACTGTCTGACGCTGGCAAAGTCGCCCAAGTCCAAGCGGCTGCACTCGCAGCTGCCTGGCAGCTGCCTCTGCCCCAGCTCCTCCCTGGCTTCCTCGCAGCTGCCATTGCCACATGCTCTTTTAGGTCCAGTCCCTCGTGCAATGTGTGACTTGGATGGCTAAAGAGTGCGAATGATTTTGCATCCACTGATCACCAGGTGCATGTCCAGGGGCATGTCCAAGACACATGCGTCCTCAACAATTTAGGGCAGGCTGATCAGTATACATGCCATGAATAACACGTCTGCAAACTTTAAGCAGGCCAAGGACCAAGCAAAGATACCGGTCTAGTCTCCTGCAGGCCATGATCACATGGCAGCCACTCTCCATCAGCCCAGCTGTCACTTCCTTCCCTGTGCGCACAGAACATTTGAGTGTGGGCATGTTTGGCTCCACCGCAAATTTGGGAGGTTGCAGCTTCACACAGCAACGTTTCATTGTTTTGAAAATGAGGCCATCAAATGCTTTGGTCGATTACCAATGCCAGCGTTAGCTCCAGTCACTATCGCCAGTTCCGCTCCCTCCTTCATGAGAGCGTGCCAAGAATATTCTTATATGTCTCACTGCGGCATCCTGGGGATGTGTGCCTTAGCACGGATCTTTATTTAATTATTGTCAGCGGTCCAAGAACTTTGGCATGCCGCAACTCTAGCGATTGAACCACAGAGCTGTTCCTGTGGCGAGCTTGGTGCATTCTGGCTACACAATCTGCTTCAGACCCGTTTTCCGTCAAATCTAGTTGTAATTCACATAGTTCAGCTTTTTCAAAGCAGACGAAGGAGGCTTATCGTAGGGTTCGGATAGGGCTTGAATTCCTTGCGGCTGTCTATTGGGCTGTTCTGGAAAAGAGATACTTTATATCAATCACTTCTCGTTCTGAATTTTAGGCACTGTTGTGGATGCTTCTCTTTGTTCCAAAACAAAATCAGAACTGGCCGTTTCAACCTTGTTGGCTTGCATCGCAAAATGGGAAGTCTGAAGAACGCGTGAACATACATTTGTGTTCCCTTGGAGCTTTTTTAAAGTAATTTTAGAATCATGCAGGCGCAATCTGAGCACTGGAATTTGCATCTACGGCAGAGCCACCAGAGATGCTGTGGTGCTCCAACAGCCAGAGCGGGAGGCGTTTCGCATGCTCTTTTGTGCAGATTTGCACAGGTAAAGACAAAAAAGTAACACAAAACTTTTCATGGCGTGAATTAATGGCATGCATCCCTCGAGAACACTTTGCTCCAAGGCTTGGGATGTCAGATCATGCTGCAAGGGGGTCCCCCTTTGGGAATAAAATAATTAATAAGTTTTGCAAATGGTTATAGGGGCGTTGTGGAGGACGCTTGAAGCCTGTGCTACGACAGGGTATACACAGGCAAAGATTGCATTCCGTCTTGACTGCAGGTAGTTGATTTTTACATGAATTGCACTGCCAAAGGCCAAAGGAGTCTTCTCGCCCTTATGGACCTTGTGGTGGTCTTGTCCACGGACACGGTGCTTGCAATGCCTAGCGTGAGGGACTTAAAAGCATCGCCAGCTTGACAAGTAATGCCATGCCATCTCTGATTTTGCTGTTTGTCTTGGTCCCTCCTCAGGTGTGCCAGCGGCCACATGGCTGCTGTCAGAGCCAACAGCAGCTACCGCCGGTCTCATGCTCGTGTCAGCCGTCATAGGATTCAGCTTCCATGCTCTGCTGCAGCCAGTTTTGTTGCATTCCCGCTCCGTCCCCAACAGATCAGTGGTTGGCAGCGCAGCAGAAAGGAGCATTGCTGCTCATGCCATAGAGATGTCTGGCGGTGAGCAGGATAGGAGAGTCGGGACAGGAGAGCTGGCAGCTTCATCCACTGTAGCAAGCTCATATACAGGCAGCTTATATACCACACATGCGGGGAGCAACTCAGATGAGTCACCATCGCTTACATCTTCAGCACCATCAGCGCTTCCTGCTTCAGGACTCTCTCAAATGCAGCAGAGCAGTCCGGCGCCGGAGAATCTTTGGAGTGCGGCCTGGAGAGGCTTTGAAGCCGCTTCCACTGTGCCGAGTGACAGCGGCAGACCTGGCACACAATCCCTCAGGGACAAGCTGCTCGGCAGGCGCAGTCTCAACTCAAGCCCAGTCAGGTACTCACTGTTCAGCCTAATGCAATTTGCTCTCTAGTACATCATCCTCTTTACCCTAATAGTCATGAATGCACAGACACAAAGTAGTGGGAGTCCGGGAGTTTGCATGGTTGGGCATGCGAAGATCATCACAGACACGGAGTGCCTGATCAAGTGCTGATGCAGCATGCCTGTCATGCAGGAGGCGGCAGGAGCAGAAGCAGGCACCAAGCGCTCACCAGGCAGATGCATCCTTGCAGCGGCCGCGGCTGTCGCTGCAGGGCATTGCTCCAGCGGCCAGGCTGGAGCTGCTCTCTTGCTCGCTGGCAGCGCTGGAAAATCAGATCCTTGCTCTACCTGACAGCGTCAGCAGGTGATCCAAATACAAGTCAGAATACTATGCAATGTCCTGTTCAGAACCAACCAATGTACATGGTTGGATGCGGGTTGAACTGCCAAAGTTGTTGAATGGCTGAGCTCTGATCCCTAAATGGGTCGACAAGCTCAATCCAAGGGAGCATGACCATGGTATTTCTGAAGTCAGGAAGACCCCTTGAAAGTTGCTTTGAAAACTTTCCCGCACCGCCAGGGTGCAGGTAATAGAACGAGTACTGCAGTACATGGCAGGGATGTGTAAAAGACAGGCCTGGCTTGGGCAAAGGAGCCATTACAGCTGCTCTAGCATGAGTTGGTGACCGCAGCATTACTTCACCTAACGTGCCCCGTTTCAGCTGAGGTCCAGTAAAAGGCTTATTTTGCATTTGCTCATGAAAACTACCCTTGCGTGCAGGGCGTCCAAGAGTGAGTGGAGTGCAGTAATGCCGGCGCTACTGCAATCCTGTAGCTCCATCGCAGCTCAAGGCTGGCTGGGACATGCGCTGCCTGGATTGACTCAAAATGCCACGTCAAGCACTTCAGGTTCGCATCTCTCCAACTCCCTCTCATGCCCTTGCTATCACTGACAAGTGCTTCACCACTCTCTGACGGTGCTCAGATTTTTCTCAAACCCGGCTGCTTGACACATAGTGGCTAAAAATGCCACAACTGCTGCTCTAACTCACATGTACAGGTAGAAGGATTGCATTATGACCTAAGTTCTGTGTACAAATGCTGAAGCCCAGTGTGTGTTGCAGAACGTGTGCTGGGAGAGGTTGGGAGCGCAGACGCCTCCAGGGAGCTGACATCAGCGGCAAGGGCCTCGCCAGCTCAGCAGCTTCAAAACGGAGGCGGGTGGGGCGCAGACAGCGGTAGCACGAGGTCGGCTGTGGGGCTGCAGAGTGATGAGAAGGCTGCCATCCATGCTGCCATCGTCAGCTTCCTGCGCTTCCCACCATCAGCAGATGGGGCTGAGACACTTCACAGTAGCCAGGTGAGCTACAGGCGTTTAGTGTTCCTGGCAGCAAATCAGGCCATGCAAAGCAGGCTTGATATTAACAAACACAATCTTTCTTCTTCAGCAGCAGATGGGCATGCATCCCACAGCAGCCAAGTGTAAGACATACAAAGGGGGTCCCCATTCCGCTCTTTGAGGGGCCCGTTTCTATGAGCCTCCTAATCGGCCTTACTAATTCACGGGTGTACCTTCTCAAGCTGAGACCAATAAATCCCACAGTAGGCTCATGCATGTCCCACTGCATAGCTAGTGCTTTGCGCAGCAAAATCCGTTCTGTAGATGCACTTTGGAGTGGTGGCATGCGATAAGCTTGCATGTATCCTGATTCGTTCAGCTGCCATGCAGGAAGGAGACTTGGGGAGCAGTGAGGGCAATGTGGCGGACAGAAAGGCGTCAAATGATGCTGCAAGCACGAGTGCTGTTTCTGCTGGCAGCAGGAGGGAGCAAGCACTGGCCATGCTTATGGACAGAAGGGAAAAAGGCTCAGGGTGAGCGCCATTTCCTGTTTGGCTGCTTTGTCTATGCCTGTCTAGACTGCAATCATCAAAGGTCCCGTTTCAGAATAGATAGCCATAATGTTCCAGACTGAGGAGAAGTCTCAAAAGCTTTTTTTTTGCTGTTTGGCACTGTCGGTGCAATGCAGCAGAACTCAGAAACTGCAGGTGGGCATTATGTCATAGTACATGTGAAAAAGGCTGACGCTCTGTGGGATGCTTGCAGGGCTTCGACTGGCAGCAGAGCAGCAAAGGATGCGCCCACGTCATCAGGAGCAGTGACGCCAGCGCTGCTCAGGCGAGGGGCCGCCATCATACAAGACATGGCTGTAATCATCGCTGAGACAGTCGCCGAGTCCTACCTGGCAGATGCAGGCCTCGCCAGAGGAGGTACCGCCCTTCAACTGGCCGCATTTATACTTTGTGACGGTATAGCAATGCAATTTCATTATATAAACATACTCCCAGCCATGCGGATCCTGGCCCTAGAATGATCTTACCTTCATCACACCCATCACTGAAAGCTATGCAGATCTCTTCTGCAACACCAGAGCATTTGCACCGTAAACACAGGCGTTCACGGTTGCAGGAATCATATCTACAAATTCCGCGCAGTACATTGCGGCTTTGCAACCCCATAATGACTCTTGTCTGCAATGCTTCTGTGCAACACCACACGAGTGGCATCTAGGAGTCATGCATTTTACGGTTGGAAAAGAGAGCATCTGAGAGCATCGAGTTGACGTATTTGTATGTGTATGCAGGCACACCAGGAAGGGCGGGGTCGCGCGTGGGCAGCTGGCCACTGCACCTGCACCGCCGAATCTCTTCCACCCGCTCCCTCGAACGCTTCCGCAACCAGGTGCGCCTGTACTCCAGACTTTGGAATTTGCGCTCTCTTTGCTGAGGATTCCCCTTGTGCATGACTCTTTGCTACTTCTGCATTCCTCCTGCATTCCTCCTTCTTGCACAATTAGCGTGTGCTGTCTCTCGAGCCTGTACTCCTCCTCTCAAAACCTCTGCAATGATCATGGAGGTCTCTGCGCTGCCCTCTCCGTTGCAGGTGAGCCCCAAGAAGCCACTGAGAAAAGCTGCAAGCCATGAATCTTAAATTTAAGAATACTGAAACTGGCTGACATTTGTGAAAGTGCACTGAAAGTGTGGCATATTCATGAATGAGCCAGGTGGCGCTGCAGCAGTGGCTGGAGCGCAATTTTGGGTCCGTAACGGCGATGTACGAGGACAGGCACGAGCTGTGGGGGTGGGACCACCGCGGGCGCCTCTTCAGGCGCATGCTGCCCGCCAGGCGCGCACAGGTGAGATGCTGTCACTTCAGAATTCATGTATGCAGTGCGCACATGCATGCGCCAGGCTTGATTTGACAAGGGTACTGACAGGTGCAAAGAGCTTGGTCATGAGCACTGCACAGCAGCCACACCACTATGTCACCAAGCAGAACGCTCCTCCTGTTCAGCCTGCTCTTTTACAAAATGGGTTGGTGACTTGACAATGCATCGCCGTCTGGACGACTTAATCTGAGACAGAAAGACCATTTACCCTGCCATTGAAAATTATATCTCTTTTGCACTTTGTCGTCTAAATGCAAGTTTCATTGTTGTGTATAGGTGCTCCGAATTACCTTCGTGTCCCTTGGATCCTTTCAACAAAAAATCACTGACTGTGTCCTCAACAATGGGATATAATTGCAGGAAGTGGAGCGGCTGAAGGGGCTGCGATACGCGCACAGCCTGGGGCTTGAGGCAATGGACGTGGCAGCGCCTCTGCTGCAGCGGCTGCTGGGGCGGTTAGGTGATGCGGTGTCATGGTTACTCGTGCGCCTGATCGGGCGCTCCCTGGGGCTGATCTACCGCGGCGTGCGCGAGAGCCTGTCCCCCCGGGGCAGGAACGCCGGCGGAGACAAGTCCCCCTCGCCGCAGCTGGACGGTGTCTGAGCTGGGGGTAAATGATGGAGCAGTACTTGCTCTTTTGTGTACCCTATTTGAGCGTGGTTTTGTGCGTTATGTGAGAGTTTTCAGCTTGATGTTTGCAGAGGGGGTTAAAGGTGGGGAACGATTTTGCAAAACTTGAGGCGGCTGCAGTGCTTGGGCAATAAATGGCTGCTGCAGCTTGCGCGCAATGCGTATGTGCAGATCTGGACACAGCGTCTTGAAGCCGTGAGTGGAGAAACTGCCTTTCAAGTGAAGGCTGGTTGGCTGTCTTGCACGATGGAGCGCATTCAGATCAGGTTGATATGTTGTGGTCTGCAGCCGTGAATACGTATGTACTGAAGTCACCAGTGTTACTCGCACAAGCAGACAATGCCATGTTACATGCAGATGCATATGCCGAGGCACTGTTGTTTAGGAGCTCTTGAACCAGGGCACAAAACTCTTTAATTACAGCAATTGCATGCAATGATGCTTTGCAAATTTACTCATGATCAAGAGTATTTATTCATGAATAATCAAGACTTGTACAATTGAGAAGTCAGTACAGGAGTGGGCAGTAAGCTCTGGGAACATAGTCGTAAGGCTCTCTATAAGCATTAACCACAAAGCTTTCAAAGTTTGGGAAAAGAAAATTGGGATTAATTCTATATGCCAGCATCACAACCGCTGTAAGCAGCATGGCTGCGCAGCATGGCATGCCTACTCCAAATTCCAATATGTGAATCTCCATTACTGCACAAAAACAATCCACAATGCTAATCACACAATGCTAGTCGATGAAATCTACTCAACGCGCTCCAACTTCGCACCAATCAAAGGTTTTAGTCAAAACTGGTGCTCTCCACGACCTCAACCTGCACAGGAGTGGCCGCCTCGGTAATCGCCGGCGCCGGCGTCTCCCCAAGAGCCGCCAAGTTTATCATGCGCCGCTCGGTGACCTTCACACCCCCGGCAGCCGCTGGGATGCTGGAGGCCGCCACCGCCGGCGACACATTACTCCTCACTGAATCACCGCCGTCGCTGGCCCGGCCGGCTGGCTCCGGCGCCGGCGCCGCAGCCGTCCGCCGCATCTGCCCATCCGCCTGACTTCGGCTTCTGCTGCTGCTGCTGCTTGCCGACACAGGCTGTGGAGGCTGCGCTAGCGAGCTCACAGCGCTGCGCGTGGTTGTTGCAGCTGTGACAGGTGGCTGCGAGGTAGCGGGGGTGGCGGAAGCTCGCGAGGCTGAGGAGTAGGTTGGGCCAGAGGCGGAGGAGGGAACAGCACGGCCAGGGACCACGACCTCGTTCTGCAGCGCGGACGCCCTTGGATACGGGGCGGTGAACGGCGACAGCCTCGGCGGCTGCTGCTTCTGCAGCGCAGCACAATCGTGAGCCAGCGTTTGAAATGTGGGCCTGAGGGAATTTTCTGTCTGTGCCAGATGCATTGGCCTTTTGAACTTGGTATGCAACCCAGGCTCCCCTGTTCAGAAATTCTAGGCAATCATTGGTTGCGGACATTAAAGTGCCACCCAGACATGACCGCTCTTCACGCCATTGCACGACATTGCAGCAGAACTCCTATCCCCACGATACATTCCAGACGCACCTGCGGCCCGAAGATGAGCTTGATGGTGCGCGCAACAAACCGCCGGCTGAGCGCCGCTACCAGCTCCGCGCGAAGGTCAATGGCGCCCGGGGAATCGGCGACGCCACGCACCTGCCCAGCACCGACGTTTTGAGTGACTATACACTGAAATCGCCCCTGTGACAAAAAACAAGTGGAATTCCAGGGCCACTTTTCCTCAGGACTCTTCAGTAAAGGTAAATCCGTCAAGCATGCAGGCAATAAAAAGGGTGAACCACTAAGAACCATCTGGGGCCTTAGGTGCAGAGCAATACAAATTGTGGGTAAGGGGGTCTGGGCTGGTTTGGAGTTTGTAATTGTTGCCAGGATGGGGGGCCAAAAAGCATCATGACTTAAGCAGGGCGGCACCTGCGGCCAGATCTGCGCGGCCTGCGCCTGCAGCTGCCGCACAAACGCCTGCACACCCTCCGGTCCCGGCAGCCCAAACGGTCCGCCCCCCTGCAACACACAAACACACGTCCGTCAAACTCTCCTCACAAACAGGCCATTCTTTGGTGGCATGATTGCCTACATCGGATATCCAAAGACCCCACTTGAGATGCTCAGCCATGGAGCCAGACTATCACAGATTACCAACCGGTCATCAAACATCCAGAAGCCGCCCTCGTTCAAGCACTCTATGCTTGGTCTGTGGCAGCCCTGGAGCCGTGCTCACAATTCCCCTTTCACAGAGATCAGGCCTGAGACATGACAAGCATTGTTGTGCTTCGGTGGGGACGCCACAGGGCAACTATGCAGCTGCCACGCAGCCAGCTCCAGGCCTGCTTAGGCAGGGACGCCCGAGGGGCATGATTGAAAATCAAAGCAAGCAAGATGGAACGCCCACCTGCGGCAAGGCGGCCGGCTGCACCCCGATCGCCGATGAGATGCGCTCGTAGAGCAGCCGTGCGCGCCGCGCGGCCTCGGCTTCGCCCGGCTGCATCGGCGCCAGCCGCTCGACGAGAGCCGCGTCGCCCGTCTGCGCCAGCACCCGGCCCCGCACCTCCTCTGCGCGTGACAAGTACACAGCGCATTGGCCAATTTTGCATAATTCCATCAAGCGCACCACTCATCGGCCTCTATGCACTGTGACCCCGTCACTGCTGCTGATGGCGCATGGCCTGCCTACATCAACAATCCTTCCACCCCCTAGGTGCGCCGCTCAAATTATAATTTGAGCATCTGCGGCATCCATAAAACCCTCAGGCCGTCCCAAAAAAAGTGCCTCTGGTCCCTCCACAGAACAACCATCCTGCCCACACAATAGACCACCCCACGCAATCTTCCTCTTGCCTTGGCAGGTGCAGGCACATGCACGCATCTGCGACGGCCAAGTCAACGAGGCGCGCCATTCCGGCGGCCATCGGCTTTTTCCTTCTCAAAAAATCTCCCAACATCAGACAACAACCCATCCTCTTCTTGCGCTCGGCAGGTGCAGGCACATGCGCGCACCTGCAACGGCCGAGTCGATGAGCCGCGCCATTTCGGCGGCGAGCGGCTTGCGGATGCCGGCCCCGGGAGCGCCAAGCACCCAGTCAACGACCATCCACAGCTGCGAAGGGTCGAAGCTGGCGCTCTTGGCGCTCTCCACTACTAGGTTCTCCACCCGGTTCCAGCGCACGCGGCCGCCCTCCAGCACCAGCTCCTCAAAGCTGCCCCTGGCGAAGCGATATTGCAGGACGCAATCAGCTAGTGCAAGAATTACCATTACAGCTAGGGATATTAATACCGGCCAGGCAACCTGGCAGCACACTCACATAATGCCAAGCGGGAATGGTGGAAACAAAATGCAAACTCTGGGCTGGCAAGGACGGTGAAGCTTGCATTGCTAATTCACTTGTGAGCCTACCTGTATTGAGTTGGACAAGTGAAAAGGGGAGACTCTGGCGTCAAACTCAAAAGAGCATCGACTGCGAATGGTGAAGAAGAGATGCAATTGCAGGCTGACGGGCGCAGTGCCGCCTACATGGCGCTTGCACTCGGAACTTCAGCCAAAAAGCGCCATCCCCTTTTCCGACTGGGCAGCCCCATGCTCTTTTAAGCATGTTACAGCGCCGTAGCAGCGTGATTGTGTTTGCACAGCAGCACGCGGGCTCCCTTCCAATACGTCACAATAATGTTGCAGAGCAGCATTCTACTTCCCAAACCAGGCATAGAACGTTAAGATATGAGCACGTTGCCTCTGGTGCAACCTTCTGTCGTGAACGTATTATGGTCCATACTTCGGTTAGCCAAATTGATGATCAGGTTGCGAACCTACGATTGTGCTTCTTCACCGTTGTTTCTGGTATGTGTCTGAACCACGCTGCCTTGATGTGGGGGCGTACTTGCAGCAGAGAAATGAGGATATTGCCATTCTTCTAGCTCTGCAGAGGGGTAAGCCCCTTGCAAAATTTTTCAACATGCACGCACCTGAGCTCTGGCGCGGGGTCTGTGAGCAGGCGGCGGGCCATGTAGGGGTAGGCCTTGCCCAGCAGCTTGTAGTCTGCATCAGCCTGCAGCGCCAACCCCTCCAGCACTGTGAGCGAGCGCAGAATCAGCGCGTAGTATGCCGGCACCCGGAACGGGAAGCGGAACAGGACGCCGCCCAAACCATCCACGATTGCCTGCAGCGCAGAAGATAGGGAGAGAGACATTGAGGAATAAATGCAGATTGGAAGGGTACAATATCATGCAAGGGTGTGTCTAACTTTATTCACAGAGTCTCAAAATATGTAGCCATCTGCAACAAACTGCAGTGCATTTCAATAGCTTTGCATGCAAAGTCACTGCTACCATATTGTAAGATGCATGTGCACACTTGTCTTCCAAAGCAGAACGCCAGTGTCTATCAACTCACAGACTGATGGCAACACGCCAATTTGCTGAGTCCTTTGCCGTATCTATACATCCGCCTTCTGAGACACAGCTTCCCCGCGTAAAAGGCATGTCTTGGAAGCAGCCTTCCTTTGCAGGATATGCTATCACATCATGCCATGCCCCTGGCCTCAGCCGGACCCGGATCCCTAGGCCTGCAGATGCTTAACTCCATAGAAGGCGGCACACCTTGAAGTTGAGCTGCGCGACTGAGCGGTCGAGGACGTTGTCAAAGAAGCTGGCGAGCGCTGGCGCGATGGGCGAAGTGTCCACGGACCGGTCCATGAACTCCAGCGTGTAGTAGTCCCGGCACATCGCCTGCGCCCGCAGTGACAATTTGAATCAAACTCCAATTTCATGATTTTAACATTTATCTCATATGCAATGCCATGCTGGCTGCCAATCTGCATGCTGGCAGCTGCCACAACACCGGCCATGCAAGCGGCATACGGATCTTCAAGCACACGACAGTATGCCACATCTATTAGCCTACGGAACGAAAGCCTGGTGCATGCAAGACACAAAATTGCCCCACATTTAGGCCAGCGCAAAGTGTTGCAAGAGGAAACTCATTCAGAGTGGCATGCGATGCGACATGATGATTCCTTGCGCAACCAATCAAATGCAATTTTCACCCTCAGGATACAAACGCTTCAAAAAGTCTGTCCTCTGTGAGCTTGGATCCTTCTGTGCCTGATCAGGCATGATGGGGCACATGAACGATGTGTGATCCACCCCACCTGGTAGTCGCGGTTGACGAGGTGGACCACGTGGGCGATGATGGCGTAGCGCGCGTTCTGGGGCGCCTCGCTCATCATGCCAAAGTCCAGGTAGCACAGATCGCCCTGTCGAGTAGCCAGCAGGTTGCCTGGACATTCCAGCACACACACTTGGCTGGTCAAATCCGAAGATATCTGGGATTTCACAGAATTGCCATACCTAGAGTCCCAATATGCCCATACCAAGACTCTATAAAGTCTATGCAGCCGCTCCTTCGCATGCCCAAGTCCCAGGATATAGGATTGCCAGGACTGTAAGGCAGGCAGCTTTCTGTTCCAAGAGGGGCACCACATGTTACAGACGCTGCATTGCCTGCTGTGACAGGGGATGCTCTTTTGGAACAAGAAGATGCCTGATGGCACATTGCAGCCAAACAAAGCTGCCATTTTGAAATCCTGAGGCCTGTCCCTCGCTCCAAGTGATGTGCTTGAGAAGTCTCTTTCTGCAATGTTGAAGTTTCGAGCCTACTCCTCCTCTGTGTGGTGCTGTGAGAAAGCTTCTTCCAGCATCCATTGGACCTATAATCTTGTGCTTCAGACCTCTGATGAAATGTGACAGATCAATGCTGAGAGGCTGTCCTCCCGCACCTGGGTGGGGGTCCGCATGGAAGTAGCCGTGCTCCAGCAGCTGCCGAAGGGTGCACTCGATGCCCACGTCCACAAAGTCGATGATGTCTAGTCCGGCAGCGGCCATGGCGGCCTTGTCGGTGAGCTTGACGCCGTCGACCCACTCCATGCAGAGCACGCGCCGCGCCGTGTGCGCCCAGATTATGCGCGGCGTTCGGATGCGGGGAACGCTGCCGTACAGCTCCTGCGAGGTTGTGTGTGTCAACGCTGAGTCACCTTACAGGGTTCATGTAAATGCTGAGTCACCCAGACAAGTGACGGGCGCAGCAAGCAAATTGCATTGCCAGGCTCTGCTTGCTGCGTCATTGCTTGCAGAGGTGATGCATTCAACATAAAAGCATGCTGCCTGCACCTGCCAAATAGGGACGGCTTTATATCACATGATCAACATTGGCACAAGCCTACTTGATCATCGAAGGCTCTTTGGTATGTGCTCCAACCCCCAAAGCATTCATGCATTCAGAAGTTTTGGTGAAGACACCGAAGAACCCAGAGAACACAGAGCGGGCAAGACTTGGCAATGAAGATGATGAAACAATGCCTACTAACAAATGCGCGAGAGTGAGTGGGAAAGGGACCTTGCACCCCACCTGGAACTTCTCTGCGCTGAGGCCCTCCTGCACGTAGTCCAGCTCCCCAAACAGCCGCGAGGCAAACTCGTCCACCAGCGGCGTCAGCGGCTGGAGCTGCAGCAACACACAGACACACCTCAACATATCTGCGAACAGCGCTAGGCATAATCACTGGCTTTGCTGGGACATATAGAGTTTGCACACAATGCCCCGAGGTTGCCCATTCCTTGCTGTCCGTTGCCTTGGGACATCCCTGCAACTGAAGACAAGGAAAATGGAGAATCACGGCGCATTGCCGAAGCCACCTTATTCGCCCTACTGCAACTCACAAACTTTTGCCCCGTTCATCGTCATGCACAGCCTAAGAAACTGCCATGGGCCTTACTAAATTCCAAGGACTTCGCATGGCGCAGGGTTGTGATTTTCCTTACACATTCCTAGGCCCAGTGTTACAAGTAAATGAGTGCTGCAGGCGAGTGAACAGTCGCTCAAATCTGCCGGTGTTGCTAGTGATGGGGGTGCTGACGCGCACTTGCAACGGCAGTTTGAGGCGGGGGAGCGAGGCGTCAAAGGCGGTCATGAGGCGCCGCAGAAGCACCATGTCGATGGCAATGTTCTCCCCGATGCCCGGCCGCTGCACTTTCAGCGCCACTTCCTCCCCAGTGCTGCGCAGCCGGCCCCGGTACACCTGCATGCACGCCACAAGTAGTTGCTTCGGCGCCAAGGCGGCCGCCGCTAAAGCAGCTTCCAAGGGAGGCGCTCCGACTGCAGAGAAATACGCTAGCAAGGCCGGTGCTTATGCGCCCGGAGGACCCATCCCTCTGTCAGTGACAGCTTCTGCAGGGCGAGGAATTTGATAAACCAGGTTTGAGGACCTTCTCTACGACCTTCTGTACGACCTTCTGTAAGGTCTTCTTAAGGAAGGGTACAGGCTCTGTTTGCAAGTTTAACAAGAGGAAACAGCAGTCATGAGAGGACTTCGGTCCATGGCTGGCCCATGTGTATTTTCAGCCCTCTGCATGCAACAGGTCGAGACAAACAGGATGGATAATTGCTGTGACATCTGTCCTCAGTCTAGGTGCAGGTCTGAGCGGGCGGAGAAGCGTCCCGGGGTGCCTCCTGTTCCAACTGTTGCCACAACTGCCGCAAAAGAGCAGCAGAAGAACAAGAAGCCTCTTCACTGGCATAAAATAGTCACACCAGCCAATGTGCAAGCGTAACAGCTCCCACGAGGCGGAATTGGCAACATCCAGGATTTGGCCGTACATGACCTTGAATTCCAAGAGACATCTTTTCATGTGGCACCTGCAATGCTTCACTGCCCATGCGAGGAAAAGAGTATTGAGTGCATGTGGCGCACACCTGGCCCAGGCTGGCGGCCGCCACAGGCTCGGGAGTGATGTCGGACAGGATGGCGCTGGCCGGCTCCCCAAGCTCCTCCTCGATCAGCTGCAGCGCTATGTCCGTCGGGAACGGCTGCAGCCGATCTTGCAGCTCTGCCAGTGTCTGCAGGCCGAAACACACAATCTCACCAACACTGCAAAATTCACAATCTTATTCTGAATATCAAGCACCCTGAAGGCACCTGAAACAGTGGTTCTTATGAAGATTTTGGGGGGGAAGCCAATGTGGCGAAAAACAGATGCAACATAGAACTATTGAAGCCACAAAAATGGCTAAAAGCTGGCATACTAGGAAAATTTCTCCCAACACCGGTAATTTGGGCGAAATTCTACTGAAAAGGGATGAAATGCGGCTTCCTGCGCTGGTGAGTTATTTTTCAGAAGCCAATGAATGGCTTCAAAGTAGGACGCCCTCATATAGTTTATGCACCACAAAATGTCCTGTTCATTTGTCAAGAGCCACATTGGCTTCAGAACGCCACTAAAAGAAACCCTGTCCTGAAAGGCAGCAACTGCCCAAGGGAGCCTTTTGAGCAGGGGCACAGAGATTTGGGTATGAACAAGCTCAGACCAACATGAGGTAGACATGCAGTGCTCGATACACAGGCATGCTGGCTGACATGGAACACCGATGATAACAACTCAGCAAGCTCTGCGATTGGCTTCAGAGCGCCTGCAGAACTTTTTTGAATGCCAAAAACCAAGAGGGCAGGGTGGGCACCTCGAGGTAGATCTGTGGCAGCAGGTCTGGCCGCGAGGAGAGGGCCTGCCCAATCTTCACAAAGGAGGGGCCCAGAGACTGCAGCGCGTTGCACAGCTGGCGCGCCCTCAGCTTGGCATTCTGCTCCAGCTGGCCCAGCGCATAGTCCTGCATTGCATGCATGCAGCGCTCGTAAAGGGATACATTCAATTGATGCATGGTACTATTTACCCTTTATCTTAAGGGTCGAGCGCCAGACGCTACCCTACAGAGCTGTGCCCTCTGCGGCATATCGTGCTGCACTGGATCCTCACCACATGCCCACAGCAGATCTCAGGACTCTACAGTGGCAAAATTTGGTTGCCGACGTGTAGCGATCAGCCACAGCAGCGGGAATTGCCTGTTGTGCACCTCTTGCTGCATTGCTAGTCGAGCAGCACTGATCATAATATGCACTGTATCCATCTGTCCTGCACAGGGGATATCTAAAGCCCGTGCACTCATCACCGCATAAACTGAGAATACATACTTCCATCCGGACAGCGAGCCATGGCAGGGGCAGAAACAGGCTGCCATGCACCTTGAGCACGTTGCCGATGCAGCCGGCGAGAGTGCTGGCAACCTTGACTGCACGCGCGCTGATCTCAACCTCCCTCCCCTTGAGCGCCTCTGACAGCTTGGCAGGGTTGTAGTTCACCCCCATCTCCGTCAGCAGCGCTGGCATGTCTGGTGTCAGCATCTTCAGCTCCATCGCTTCCACCTGTAGGTTCATAACATAAAGATCACCTCAAGGTCAGCCGGGCACTACCATTCAAAGCATCATGATCCTGAATGGGCGTCAGGCTTTTCTTGGTCACAAACTATGATAAGCAGGGGAGGCAGAGCTCTCAAGCACTGCTCGCTGGGAGATCTTGATTGGTGATTTTGCGCAAGCATTGATTGAGCAAGGCACTTGTTGGTTGAATATTGTATATCGCAGTGTTCATCAGAGAAACAGCTCACCCAGTCCTTCTGCCCGCTCTCTGTGAAGAACCAGTCACCCAAGCTTGTGGCACTCTGAGGCGCAGCTGCTGCCAGTCTCTGGCTAGATCTGTGCTGCCTCTGCCTCGACGCAACATCAGCCGGAACAAAAGAGGGATACTTTGTGGGTCCACAGCGCCGTGACCTGCTGTCAGCGAAAGATAATCCTCAGCAGATGTCCATGCCAGTCCACTGCTGAGAACCTCAAGCGCGGAATTCTCGCGCGAAGCAACCATCGAGAATATCCCAAAGATTCATTTAGAATGCCTTGTAGGGAACAAGTCATCAGACTTGTACGAGAACAAGAATAACAAAGACTTCATGACATGCCAGCTTGAACGTAATCTGCTGTACATGGACCCCAGCATATTTTCGTCTCACCGTAAGCTGTTGTGTGCGCATCTCGATTGTTCGCTTGTGTGGCAGAACGGCCTGCCAGATGTCTCAGCCTGGCATGAACTCCTCAACAGAGCAGTCTCCATCCTATCCCTCGGAGATACACAGTTCCTCAGTTTTGTGTATTACCGTACATGTCTTGAAAAGAGTCAAATTTTCTTGCAACGATCATCTACCACACTAAATTTGCCGTGCGGAGTTCTGAAGCAATCAGCAAACTGCTCCCAGATCGCTCCACGTCCAAAATCCTAGCTGCCACGTTGGCAGGCCCCAGATGAAGAGTCATTTACATATTTGAAAACAGATTTTGAAGGGAAAAGGTCCTCAGGAATTAGAATATCTTCTATATGCAGATCTGTTCCAGTGATTCGAGCTTGGGTGCTTGCTGACCACGTTGCAATTGGGCACCTGCATGCGTACCTCAAATCATGCATGTGATGATGACATGCACAAGCATGCATGCAAACGAAGCCTTAGTAATCACAGTTGCATGCAAAAAGACTATTCAGACAAGGCAGGGGCCCCGCAAATTGCTGCTCAAGAGCACACGCACCACCAGTACAGCTGCATGCTAATCTGCCCATCAAGCCGCTGCAGAACTGTACGGCTTTGTGTACACAACATGTTTGTCAAGGCTTGGCCGTACAATTCCTTCACAACCCAAAACCTGTCCCACTGTTTGTTTGTAAAAATAGATAGTCCAGGTGCGAGCCACGATCACCCCAAACCCAACCTAACATTGCTGAAGCTTGAACTCTTATTCAGGTAGGTCCAACATGGCAGTGCCTAGGTATGTCACTTCGGACAGCGGTGTTCTGGTCCACATGGACAGGAAATCCCAATCTTTGTCATCGCATCATACATGATAGCGATGCATGACTGTCACACTTTAAAGAATGGACGGTCCTTAAGAAGACCTTACAGAAGGTCCTAGAGAAGGTCCTCAAAGCTTGTTTTTCAAATTCATCGCCCTGCAGATGCTGTCACTGACACAGGGATGGGTCCTCCAGACGCATAAGCACCGGCCTTGCTAGCGTACTTCCCTGCAGTCGGAGCGCCTCCCTTGGAAGCTGCTTTAGCAGCGGCCGCCTTGGCGCCGAAGCAGCCGGTGAACGCTGCAGCTGCCACAAAAGCCGCGACAAGAAACACCGATCCCACCGGCACCACTGTCTTGATGATGATTGCGTCCCTCTTGCTGGATGACGCGAGCTGCAATTGCACACCGACCTTTCAGGCTCTCTTAAAATCTGAAGCGATATGTTTTTGGTGTCATTGCGCTGTTCTTGCCTGCAGCTGCTGGTGTGAGGTTGAAGCTTGCGCAATATCTCATTATGCTGCTTATGTTCTGCCCAGATGCCTTCAATGCATTGATTACAGCAGTAGGGAGTCAAGGCTCGGCAGCACGTTATGCAAACTCCAACAGTAAAGATGGATAACATGTGTGTTCTGACCTCGCTGGCGGTGCCTGCATAGTATAGCTGCCCAGAGCCGACGGCTGCCCCGTTGGTGCAGTTGCCAAAGTACGTCACCGTGCCGTTTTCACACTCCGTCCGTGGACCTACGCTCAGCAAGAGAAAGTTCAACTAAGAACAATCCTAGCACTTTTTGAGTAGACCAGTTCCAAGAAACACCTGGCTACCAGGCAGATGGCTGACCTTGATCATGCATGCATGCACAATACATGAATTGCAAGGCCTGTGCCCGCTGATATGCTGGCATTGAGTGCAGAAGCAATGCAGCAATAATATATCACAGGTGCAGTAAGAGAGCTGCAGGGTTGACTCAGCTCGCCCGAGGGCTAAGGGGGATTAAGCAGATGCGCGCCTGCCGGGGGAAAATCTGGGAAGGGTGAGTTGGAGGGTGCCGCGGCCGGCGGCGGTGCGGTGCCGAGCTCCGGCAGCGGTGAGAAGTCCGCAAGATACCAGGGGCGCAGGCCCAGACCTGCATCAGAATAACCCCTTGATTAGAGAACCCTCAGGGGAGTTTACGCCGCATTGTCTCCTCTCAAACAGCATTTCCCCTTTGGGTCCGGCTGAGTGTCAGCATCCAGAGATGTGGGGCTGTGGTTGTTTTTTATAATCTCGAAGGCCTGACAAGCTGCATTCTGTTGATGCTCCATGAAAGCAGGAGGGGCCTTATGCTTTTGAAATGGGCATTCTCAGACCCATGAGGAACTCAAGAAGCTTGGAGAGCAATAATCCAGGTGTTGCTTGACGTACCCAGTCCTTGAGGACTGGGAAACGTGTGATAGTCATAACAATGATAATGGTATTAAGAGCATTACCGTACTAATAGTTTAATAGTAAGAACGAAAGGAAAGTGTCAAAAGTGTCTGAAATCGCATACCTGTGGACATGTAGCTGGTTCCCCCGGTCAGGGCATTGACCTTGAACCACTGTAACTGGCGGTAATCATCCGCAAGGATGCCACCAGTTCCGTAGGAGTCCGGCTGCCAAGACCTGAACAGACCCCATTTGAGATATTTAAACCAATTGCACTGACTGCATGGTAAAATGCGCTTGTGTCCCACCGCCTGCTTGCAGTATCCACTCTTGTGCAGGCGCCCTTTGCATTGGGCTCTTTTGCAAGCATGCCAAGTGCAAGCCGTTTTTGCAAGCATGGGAACTGCAGAAGCTTAACATGTACTTGATCACGGATGGCAGTTTTATTAAGCTATCTCTGGTGCGAAAACAGCAGGCTGCTTACCACTAGAACCACTTCTCAATCATGGCATACCAGCGATATACACCCTTCAAGAAAAGGACAATCACCCAAGCATGCATCACACCAGCAACCGTAACTGGTGTAATTTCTTGTGGCAGGGCTCTCACCAGTAAAACCAGTTCTCGATCATGGCATGCTGCCCATCAGCCGCCTCTAGCTCGTTGTTCATATAAGCCACAATGGACCGGAAGCACGTCTGCTCATCCGCGCTATTGAACATGGATCCAAATTCGTCCACGACAGCCCCAAACACACGGCAGGCCCCTCCGTCCGTGGGGCAGAAACCTGCATGGGTTCTGAGCACTTGGTCATTGGCGCAAGATAGAGTTGCAAGGGTTGCTCAAAATCATGAAAAGGCTGTAGAACCTGCAAGGTGCAGCTGTTAGGCACGAGCAAAGAGTTAGCTTTTGTTGACAAAGATGTACCAGAAGTATCAGCCTGCTTCATGACTGGGAATTGGGCATTCAGAGCTTGGATTCAGAGCTTGCAGAGCAGGCAAACAGAATTCATCTGAGCACGGGCTTGTTTATTCAGACATTGAAGTACAACGAGTGGACAAACTACAATGGTGGAAGCAGGCCTGCATTGAAAACCAGGCACGTTGAACACTCCAAGGGGTTGCAAAAAATATCCAGAATGGAATCAGCGCTAACCTGGGCTGAGGGTGAGGTGACCGAATGTCATGGTGAGCTTGTTGTAGAGCGGCTTGCCGGAAGTACCGTAAGTTTGCCCCGTGACCTGTAATAAACAATATGCTACACCTCAAATACCATAGCAGCATGCCAGCTGCAGCAATCTATGTCTTCTGAGTACATCATAGCACATATTGAAGTTCCGCAGATTTGATCAGATCAAAGCACAGCACTTTGGAGTTCATTGTATTGTCATTGCATTGGTGGAGAAAGTGCCATGACCTGGAAAACGTGTAATAATAATAAGCACAGCACTACCGTACCATGCCCACAGTACATACAAGTGGTTTCCTCAAATTTACCTCTCCGCAGTAAATGTGCGGTGCGGCCATGAACTGAGACGCGTATGCTTTCTTGACAAGGCGGTTGAAGAAGGGAGTGGCATCGCTGGCGCCCGAGTTCCGCACCACTGACTGATCGATGACGTACCCGTCGCCTGGTCAGGAACGGCACACTCGCCACGTCAGCATGAGCCGAGGTTTGAGCCAAACTCGTGCAACTGCTCTTGTGGGTGCTCACGTTTTGGGAAAATCACTGAGGGGGGGCACCGCTGCTGCTTAAATTCTGTGCTTTATCACAAGAACCCATGCATCTGTGCCCTCAAACTGCAAACTGATCATGCAGGGATCACATGTTTCCCAGGTGCACCAAAGCAGGTCCAGAGACGGCCAATTTGTTGCTTCACTGGGATACTGTTGTCTCCTCGCTACTTTTTGTCTGGAATTCAAGTTCGCACCATAATTTGCTCCGACCATGGCAGCTCCGGTGCCTTCTCCCAGGAAGAGGCAGTCTGGGCAGATGGGCCACAGGGCATCCATGAGGGCGATGTAGTAATCTGCCAGACCCCCAATGTTGCCGCTTCCCTGCCTGTAATGCCACGGAAGTTCTTGTGCTCAGGTCTCGGACCACGCCTTTCTGTGGTATGTGTGACTCTGCTCATCTCCTTAAAGCGCCATGCATGCTGATGGCCTTTTCCAAGCAGCCCTTTCCTAGCTTCCGGCAAGTAGGCTCTACAAGCTCCGCCGCAATCGTGGTCCATTTTCTTCCTATTCTCTTTGCGATGCCTTACGCAAGGCATGCGTGCGTATGTGTAAAATAAATTTTTATGTGGGTTGAGTTTGGCAGCTAGCTGAATTAAGCAAGGGCGCTCACCAGGTCATTTTGTGGCCATCTGGTTCATTGATGAGATCAAGCACGATTCTGCCTTTTGCCTCTGGGATCTCTGTCAGCACCCGCGTGACCAGCGTGGTCCAATTGCTGATAAACGACTGCACCAGAACAATCACATGAAATTTCCGCATTCTATTGCCAAATTTGGATGAAATGCAGACCAATGAGCCTTACGTGGCTCCCAACAGGTCTCTAGAATGAACTGGTATATAAAACTGCACACCGGCATAACAAACATGCAATCGTTTTCTTGTCAAGGAAGACTGCATGTCTGGCACACACAGGACATGCCAAAGACACACAACTAGCTGTAAAAGGAAAACTGCATTGACTCTTAGGCACGCAATGTCGGCAGCTCAGCCTTGGGCGGCTCAAGCAGATCAATCAGTGACATAGGGGTGAGTTGTCATCATTTTCTGGCAGGCTTCTCCTGCCAGAGGCAAGGTGCGTATGCAGACAAGCTGCATATATGGGCCGCCAAAACCCTACCCTTCATGGACTCACAAGGGTGAGTAACAAGGGGGATAATGCGCACATTAAAGTCCTTGAGCCTGTAGTCGGGGTCGGTGGTGTGGTAGTCGATGTTTACATAAAACCCCTGGTCGACGTAGAATTTGATAACCATCAGGTAACGGTCGTACACCGGCAGCGTGTCGAGAAATTGCGCGGAGCAGATTGAGCCAGGCACCGCCGGAGGGGCCTCGGCAGGGAGGTCCAGGGAGCTACGCGGAAGGTTGGGGAACGAATCCGGCACCATCGTGTACTTGAGGTTCAGCTGCGCGCAGCAGAGAAGTTGTTTAGGCTATGCAACCAGCTAGAAACCATTGCAGGACTGATGCTTTGGAACAACCTGCATGACCCCGCTTGGTAGAAAGTAAAGGTATGGCACCCGATACAGGAAAGGAAAAGCAGTCTGGGCTCTCTCTGTACCATACTCGTCCTAATTCAAGTCGAATTGCACAAAGTCGGATAAACCTTATTAAGGCATTTCTCTAAATCCACATTGTAAGACTGCATACTGCCAACTCCAATGGAATGCTCTCATTAAGAGCTTTCCAAAGCCGCCTTCAAAAATTACAAAGGCTCAATTTATTGGAGATATAAATTATTGTTCGACCCATTGTATTTTATTTTTCGATTAAGTATTTGGCCGAGTGCGGTACGTGAGTGCAACAGAAAATTTCTGACATTAATGCTAATGCATGAAAGCAGTAGAATATGGAGGTAGCTTGGTGCCTTTGAGTGGTTTGTTTAAAGCCCCCCTCACTGAACAGTCAAAGCAGGGCGACAGATAGAGAACGTGCAGTATGGGCTCTCTCTGATCTGCACGGCTGGCAGAAAATTGAGCAGAGGTGGAGAAATTGTACACACTCCCTCATCACACCGTACAATGTACAACTCATATGCTGATGATTGTACAGCAGCTATAAGGCTGGATCCCACACACAAAAGAGGACCCACCGGCTGCACTGGATCCCGTCCTGATGGAACTATGCAGCATCTGAGCTGAACTCGAGGGATGACTCACCGCAGGGGCGACTTGGCACTCGTGCTTGACTGGGATGGGGTCAACTTCAAAGTCAGTGAAGCGGAAGGGCAGTCGAATGGCATTGAATCCCAGCTGCTTCATCCGCCACACATTGGTGGCAAAGTCCTGTGTCACACTGTCCTTGCCCATCCACAGGCCCTCCGGGTATGAAAACCTGCAAGGGGCGAATCCTTCCTTGTCACTGAGCTGCTCCTTTTAATCTGTCCTTAACGTAATTCCCTACAGCTCAGGCAATGATCAGTGCTTCACTCAAACCATGCATTTTTGCACGCGTCTGTCTCAACGACTATGTGTTTCAGCCGCCACGTGCACAGACAAGGCATCTGCAATCCTGGGGCAATCTGAGAAATGTCCTTAGTGCAGAATTGCTCTTGATCTGCTGTAGACCAGGTATTAGTCGGGAGTACACAGGATTCGTGCTGGGAAGGGCTGAGGTGAGGACTGGTACTTACGCAGAATTGAAGCCGAACCACCCGATGCCCCTGAATTTGACCACGTTGCCATCACCATCATAGATGACTCCATTGTTGGTGGTCAGCAGAAGCCCTGAAGCTGCTCCTATCAAGGCCAACCCTGTGAAAGTGTTTTTCCGTCAGTCGGTCTGGCCCAGCTTTCGTGCTGGTGAACACACAGTCTGTCTCTGCAGGAGACCTGATTTCTCTTGGGACCCTGGTTGAGTAAGTACCGATTGCCACCGATGGCCCCAATAATGATAAGCGGTAGAAAATTACAAGCTAGCTACATCTTGTCAGCTTCGAGGCAAATTAAGCTGAAGCTCCGGCAGAGAAGTGCTGAAACACCCATCCTGCGGTCCAGCAAGCGCCCACCTGCTGCGACGAAAACGAGCAACGCTGGTCTCCGTATTCCAAATATTACCATCATATTTGATCTGATTGTTGACGTGCCCCTTCGTCCGTGTACCATGAACACAAGGTTCAACACGCCTCAGCAGGGCCACATGCCGCAGGCACTTCCGACAGGGCAGACTCTACGATGGACAGTAAATGAGTCCTGTCTATTCTGTTTCCGATTAAGAAAGAATAATGATGATACCGTGCATCCAAACAATTAAGAATAGGCCTTATCTCATGGCAGCCTGCACAGTCTGCGCTTCCGGTCGGCGAGGATGGGAGTTACTAATCGGAGGGTTACACCTGTAACGTCGTTTGCTGGTTTCTTTTGTCCAGAGCTGATTTGCGATGAGCGAAGGCATTGAAAGCACTCTTACAAGATAACATGAGCCTTTAAGTTGCACAACAGTCGAGAAATTTAACAACGACGACGTTCAGTGACTCTGCTCGCAGCTTCGACTGCCCTTCTTCTAGCACATCCAGAAGCGAGACATCACTCTGTATCACTATTTCTCTGTCCCTTGGAATATCTTGAGGTATGTTTTGAAGTGCACATTATTTGTGCAATCCGATGAGCTGACGAACTACTACATTTTTGGGTGCTTGAAATTGGTCCCTTTTCAGGCAATTGCAGCCCAAGATTGCTCTCTACAGCCCTAAATATCTTGCCTGTGACGACCCAGTTCAATAAACTCATGGAATTTAATAAAATATGGCATTTCGAGGTTCAGTGACACACCCAATAGCACGGTTATCAAAACTGTGCGGAAGGCCTGCTGTAATTGCCACATTCTCTGCTTCACTCATTCGCGCGCGCGCGGTCGTCATGACAGAACGCAGAGACTGCGGAACTCTGCTGACGAATCTGACCTCCCGTAACAGCTAACTGTAAGGACCTTGCCTGTAACCGGGCAACCAGGCAAAACGCATGCACAGCTTCTGCATGACAGAACCAAAGATCTGGCCTACCCTATCAGCTGAATAAGAAGACCCTTGCTTGATGGTGATCTATCAGGACACATGCATGCAAGGCTAATTTGCAACAGAACATATAAACCACAGATAGCTACCAGATCAGGCCGGACCGAATCAGCAAAACTGCAAAGGCCCTTGCGCAATGGTGAGCAATCAGGACACCACGCATGCAAGGCTCCTGCACGACAGAAAATCACGGCCACAGGGCATGGCTGCCAAATACTGATCCCCCCTGTCAGCTGACTGGAAAGACTGTAACAGAACATAGAGCCCAAGTATGCTACACTTGAGTTCCCCACTCAGCTCAGTGGGGGACCCCGCTGACCTCCGGGATTGGCGGCAAGAAGCCCTTGCCCTCCTCTGCTTCTGTGTCCTCTTCAAACTTGGGCTCCTCTTTGACTGGCACTCGCTCGCACCAGCCACACGTCCAGCACATTGTGCACAGCGCGCAAGAGACTGCAACGAAGCATGCGCATCCCATGGCGATGATAAGGACCAGCGCTCTGTGTGTGATCAGCGGCAGCTGCTCGCGCACCAGGTTCAGCGGCGTTCCCGGCTGCAGCCCTGCGCATTATTCACCCCGAGGTGTATATTATCACCCATTGTATTCAAATATCCACCCCGGTGTGCTGCAGACATGCAGGCCAAAGGGGCGCAGCTTGTCACCCATGGTCTGCCAGATCAGCTCAGAGAGCCAAGAAAAGAAACATCGTAAGCTCTGTACATATTGTACGGCTTGCAAAAGCAGCAGTCTGCGGCCTTGCATACACCTCAAATCAGAATAGAAATTGCCCTGTCTCACTGTAATGTACAGCCGGCAAATGCATCTGTCTGCAGCTTTGCTACACTACATTGACTGTATGCTCACCCAGCAGCAATACAGACAGAGAGCTTGCTGGTTGTGACCTCCCTAGACAGTGCATACTCACCACTGTTCTCTCGGCCGCACCTCAAGGTCGGGTTTAGCAATGTATGTGAGGCAGTAGCATTTTGCAGGAGCAGGCAATGATGTCTGACCTGGCAGGGCAGGGGGCTTGAAGTCCGTGAGGTACCAGGGCTTGAGGCCGACGCCGGTGGGGAACTGCACAGACCCCCCAGTCAGGGCGTTGATGGGCTGCCAGTGGATGTCCCTCCAGTTGTCTGTGTCCACAATGCCTCCAGTGCCTGTGTGCGAAACCACAAATATCTTGAGATGCATGTGATCTGCCATGCCTTTCAGCCTTGATTGAACTAGCCTTGCTGGCTGGCAAACATGTCCATTTCTCTTTGGGAGTAAGCTATCAATCCTCTTGGCTCCGTTTATCTGTGAACATGTGAAAATTTGCAGTTTCAGCAGAGCACAGGACTAGCTTTCATATGCATGAAATTCTGAGGCTGCTGCATGTGGCAACCATCATGCATGGCACACACTGCTGCAAGCACAAGAATCAGGAAAATAGCAAACATCAGTTGACGGAAGTGAAGGCACCTCCAGAGTCTGGGTTGTAGGCCCAGTAGAACCAGGAGGTCATGGGTGCGTGGGGGTATTTCTTGGAAGTGGCAGCCACATTCATCCAGTCCACAATGCCCTGGAAGCACTGCGCCTCCATTATGCTGTCGAATGTGGACCTGCACAGCATTGCAGCAGACCCTTAGCCTGCTGATAACGACATGTATAACTGGCGCCCGCAGCGGGCGCAAGGCCAATCGACCCTGATGGATTTGTTGCTGATCACCCTTGGTTTCATTCATGACCTCGAGATCAGAGGAATGAATCATATATATGCCAAGTGATCACAAGGGCACATCGGCTTGAAGTCGATTTGGCCTAATACATTGCACGTGCCGCAGTAAGCAGAAAGGGCTGCATCGCGGTGTAAAAGCAATGCATGCAGCCTCAAGATGGCTCCAGCAACACATGATTCAGCATGTGAAGCCCACAATTGAGTACTGAATCTTTTGAAGGAGGATGTTGGCTGTTGGTAACAATTTTGCACATCACAAAACCCGGAAGGGTGTATTGCTGCATGTGAAGTCCCTCTCAGTCCAAAGAAAAGCCCATGGAACACTGCGTGGCAGTGCTTCTCTGGCGCCCATCGAAGGGCATGATGGCAGGTATGCTGAGAGATCAGAGAAATGCGCACCCAAACTCGTCGTTGATGGCTGCGAACACGTGGCAGGAGCCCTTGTGGCAGAATCCCGGTGGCGCTGTGAAGTGGCCAAAGGTGTAGTTGTACACCTCGTACTGCCCCAGAGACGGCTTGTAGAAGTCCTTCTGCCCAGACACCTGTCGCCACCAATCGCAAATCAATGCAAATACAGCATTCAAGGGGAACTCGGGCCTGCAACTGTCATCACCCATGCTGCCACTAGACCGCATTACCTACTTGGGGCGCAAAATTTCAAATATCTTCGTCCTGTGAGTAGAGTGGTCCGCACGTTGGCGCTTGCTTAAAGAGTCTTTAGTCTCCACTCCAAGTTATCCGTGGATTCGAGCTCCCCAGCTCCTCAATTTGCAGCTCAAGTTGGACTTGGGCAGGCCATAACTCTTTGGCCCCATTTTCTCAGGTGCTCTTCTAGATTGGGCGGACTAAAGACAGGCAACATGATGGCCCGACATGTGAGAAAGACAGGACATATGACGGCCTGACATGCACTGGCATCCTGCACACATGAAGGTGCTGATTAAAGCAAGGCAGAATGGGGTCCCTGTGAGACTCAGGGTCTCAGAGAGAATGCTGAGATTGAGACTCATGGCACATGCAGCTGCAGCCATCTCAGCACGACACAAGCGGACGCATGTATACCTTTGGGCAGTAGAGGTGAGGGGCTAGGACGACTTGGTTGATGTAGGGCTTGTTGACAACTGCCTCAAAGAAGCCCCTGGCACTGCTGGCCTTTGGGTCCATCGCCAGCTGCTTGGGGTCTATCGCGAACCCATTGCCCCTGCACAGCATCCCTCTGCTCAGCACATGTGATTGCATTGCATTTTTGCGGCGCACCTGGATCTCATGGATTGGTAAAGCATCTTAAAATAAGATTAATGCCATGCATGCCTTCACCAAGTCCTGGCAACCAAACATTTGTATATGCATGGCTGCGTAAGCAGTCTTAGGCCTGAAATCCCATAAACACATATGCAGCAACTGTACTTGTAATTTCGCCAAGAGGTAGGGAGCTTACCAGGTAGCTCCAATGCCTGTTTGTCCAGTACCTGGTGCAAACAGCAGGCACACACATGATCCCCCAATCTGTCTTCACTCCCATTGCTGGAACAGCATTGAAAAATTATGCACATCGAGCCCCTCAAGACACACTTTTTGCAGTCATGATGCATGGTGACAGCAGGTGGACAATCCTCCATCATGCATGCTGCGCCGAACTCAAATCTGCCCAGCATGATTTAGGCAGAGAACAAAGAGGAGCACAATTTGGGGAATTGTGCACACCTTCCACCAGGAAGAGGCAGTCAGGGCAGATGGGCCACAGCGCATCCATGGCATGCATGTATAACATGCTCATGCTGGGGTAGCCATTGTTGCCCTGCCCACACAACATCAAGTTTACATGGCCAGCAGCATAGATGTCTGTGCTTTGTCCCTTGCCATGGTCACCGCAGCAGCTACTGCTTGTGCCAAAAGCACCTCAGCCTTGCTCGTCGGAACTGCCACACACCGAGCCATAGGAACATTGCGATGCACAGCAAATATAAGTCGCTTTTGTCTGCAGTGCTCTGGCTGCAGCCCTTTACCCAGCCAGAAAGCAAAGCAGAATTTGTCTCCAGAACACCCGTGTGACGTGGAAAACATAGCCAGGGCATTCACCTCCCATGTGAGGGTGTAGCCATCGGGTTCATTGATGAGGTCAATGATCAGCCGCCCCTTGGCCTCTGGCGAGTCAGCCAACACATCCTTCACAAGGTCCACCCTACAGCATGCATCCCCCTTCAAATGCAGCATTAAGTGATTCAGCATGCTGAGCCTCAATCATGCAAGGAGGCAGCAACCACTATTCAACACAAGAGCACCCTGTCTCCACTGTCCACTTCCCGGTGCATGCAACAAGCTGTATGTAAGCTGCTCCACTAGGCATGCATGACACCATGGTAATTTGGCGCCCCTTTCACCATGCATGCCCTGGCATATGCCCTGATATGCCAGCAACAAGATGCTTGCACAGCTGTTTTGTTGAGCGGCATGCATGATGACACCATGCAAACTTAGCGCCCTTGTCATCATGCATGCTTTGACATGCATGCATCAAGCTGCATGCATTGTGTCATCCTGCATCATGCCAACTTCTAGTAGTAAGGATTGAGAAGTACCACAGGCCGACCCAGCCGTCCATGTCATAGAGGGTGTAGTCATCTGCGCCGCTGAAGGGGGTGTCTCCGGTGACCAGCGTCTCATGCACGCCAATCGAGTGGAAGTCCAGGTTCACATAGAAGCCCTGGTAGATCAGGTACTGCACTACCTGCATCGCATTGTGCACAGCACAAATCAGCGCACATGCTGGAGCCTTGCAGCATACATGACTTTATGTGGCCTATTTTAAAGGCCTAAATTTAGAGTCTGTCAAAATCACATGGCTCACAGCTCACACATCAAAGCACAAACTGCTGCAGCCCTTCAGCTCACAACTTCCAGAGCCTTGCCGCACTGAACAGTGAACCCTGCAAAGAAACATGCATGCAGCTGACATAAACTGTGGACCGGTAAACTTGCATGCAACAAGGCGTACACTGTCATGCACCCGAAATGCTGGAGCTAAATCCACAGGTTTTGCTTCTGCAGTGCTCAAGGCTTGGCAGGGTGGGGATTCATACCCAGAGGTAGCGGGCGCGGGTGCTCTGGCCAGGCATGGCAATATTGCAGATGCTGCCTGGGACTCTGGGAGGGTCATCGTTGGGCAGCCTGTACTGGGCGAGTTTCATGTTGGGCAGCTTTTTGGGCACAAGACTGCTCCTGACCACATAGTTGCTCGCCTCTGTGCAGTTCCTGGTGTAATCGGCTGGAGGGTCCTGCATGCATGGAGAAGCATAGAATTGTACGCTGTGCATGTCTCTGCCAGCATGCATGCATTGCCACAGAAGTGCGCATGCATGCTGCTGGTTCCTTCTAGCACATGTTCCTTCAGGACATTCTCTCTGCGTGTGCATGAAAACAGCGAGCAGGCAAGTCTGTTGATGTGTAGCAAGCACAAATTTTACATTGAGCACATTTTATGCAATCATCCTTGAGGTGGCAACACAGAGCATGCTTGCTGGCAGATCCAGATCACTACAGATGCAAGAAGAAGAGGCAAGGATGGGAAAATGCAGGAGCCATATAGCAGGCTAGAAGTTCTACGCACCTGGAAATGGGAGAAAGAATAGGGGAGGCGGATGGCATTGAAGCCCAGCTCCTTCAAGCGCCAGACAATGGTGGGGAAGTCCTGCGACATGCTGTCGTACCCCTTGCTCAGGTTGCCTGGCGCTGTCAGTCCTGCATTGAAGCCATACCTGTGTGTGCAGGCAAGCAATACATCAGAGCTCACTTTGACATCCAGAACTGCTTCCAGAACTCTTTTCTGCAGTCGTTGAAACAATCTGCAGGCTGGTACTGATCTGAACGATGACTTTGAGTAATCTGAAGACGCAAAAGATGCCAGGATGGTGCAGGAGCTCTCTGTGAGCAACGTGGTGGTTTGGGGTTTTCGAGGTTGACGAAAGCAAGATCGTACCAGCCTATGCCCTTCATCTCCACAGGCTTTCCCCTCCAATCGATGATGGATCCTTTACTGGTGGTCAAGAGGGGGACTCCAGCAGCAGGCGTGGACGGAGCTTTGGCAGCTTCGAAGCCGTGCAAGAAAGTGCAGGCAGCGACAAGACCAAGAACGATGGCCAATTTGGTACTGCCATTTTTGGGAGAGAAGCCTTCATGCATTGCTGCGAGCAGCACGCCACCAAAGTTGTTGTCTCAGCAAAAAGAAGACACTTTCAGTTAACCATACTCATCGAGACGTGGTTTTCCTCACTATAGCGATCAGGCGGCAATCAGTATTATTCAAGAAGACATCAGCATTTGTTGTGTAATGACCATGCTGCTTACCACTGGATCGCACAAAATCTGAAATGCTACAAAACTTCTGAGCAAACCTTGGAAATTGAAAGGGGAGTAAGATATTTTCGACCATAGCTTCCATAATGTAACCCTAGGGATTGACCCTCCCTCAGCAGTTTTGGCCAGTGAATCAAGACTTGTAAGTTGGATTGAATTAATATATAACTGCAATATTGAACTGCTTCCACATTAGAGGTTCTTCTTAATATAACATGCATATGTGCCAAGCGTGCTTTGAATGTTTGTGATGCAGTCGTCTCTCAACTTGAAGATATGCTAAAGCCAGGGACCACGGCAATGCGGTGTTTGGCAAACTCCTCTTCCACATGACATTGATCATGGTCACCATTGCATTGCGTCTGTCAGTCAGGCCGCTGGACTAAGACTCATGCAAATCAGTCCCGAAATTGCTTGACTGGCTGTGATAAAGGGCAGACACCCCAAAGCTTGCATGTGACCTGGAAAAATGCACAACAGCAGTTAGCCAAGCATGCGCCAGCGGGCCAGCTTATGAGGATTACACGTGTTTTGGACATGTATGGGTACAAGCCCTTTATTACAAGGACAACAAATCTTCACACATCCAAAATCCCTTGTCTCTGTGTCCTTTCATCCGACTGGCGCTCTGAAATGAGGAACAAAAGCAAAAAACCACTATGAGGGGGCAAAGGAATTGCAACACTTGACACTGTCAGACGGATGGTTGCCATCCGTATGCTGACACATGCAAGCATGCTTCTAAAGTACACACCCCCTCAGCAATGAATATACGGGAACCGCTGATACCGGAAGCATTAAAAATATCGCACATGACTTGAAAGGACTTGCACCACTTGATCAGGAGCACAAACTCCCCTTCATGTCACAGCTCTGGTGCCAAAATGTACTGGGGTGCCTCAGGCGCATACCCTCTCTCTCAAAAACACAATTCCCTCTCGTTGGTACTGTGAAATTCCAACCACTCTTTCAGCCGTTGGTGCTGCAGCAAAAGGCAGCACAAATGTGGGAGCCCTTTTGCTGGGATCCCTTGTAAGCTAGAAGCACTGCCTGCATATGCATGCAGGCATGCATTCCTACGGCGCTGTTCTGTTCTGCATATGCTGCAGAAGAGACCAGTTGTCTCCTCATATTGTCTTGCCTCCAACAATCTTCACGGTCACAACTTGGCCACCCACAACTTGCCAGTCCCCAACTCAACGCAGCCATGCCATGCCAGCCATGCCAGCCAAAAAGCTAGCGGATATCATGCGGTGACAGCTTTCCAACCTCTTCTGACATCTTTCCAACCTTGTAAGATCTCAGAAACCTGTTTAAAGAGCCTGGGATGCCTCCAGCCAGTTGAACCAAGGCAGACCTTTATGAATTTCACTTGCCAACTACACGCTCAAATTTTCACTTTCAGAATCACATTCGTTTGCCCTGCTTGCGCCTCAAAGAGTAATGCTAAGCGGGACTATCATGACCCGGCGCAAACTGACCTGATTGCCATATAATGTCGTCCCTTTGAGATCAAGACTGACGCTAAGTGAGCAGCAGCCATCCGATCATATATCAACAAACTTCAGAAGAGGCTGAGGCTTTGTGAGTGGCCGGGGGCGGCCACGTTAGGCTAGCACGCTCGGCCTGCTTCTTCTGACAGCTGTCTTCGCCACTCCATACGATGTCATTAGAGCTCGATGTAGGCTGAGGCTGAGTGAGTGGCGGCGATTCAAGCATCCTCTTCCACTCTCAGAAGAGGCTGAGGCTTTGTGAGCGGCCGGGATCGGCCATGTCGGGCATGCGCCCTCGGCATGCTGCTTTTGACGGCTGTCTCTGCCACTCCATATGATGTCATCAGAGCTCGAGACAGGCTGAGGCTTAACGAGTGGCGGCCCTCCTTCCATCCTCTCAACAGACATCAGAAGAGGCTGAGGCTTTGTGAGCGCCCCGGGGCGGCCATATCGGGTTTGCGATCGGCCTGCTTCTTCTGGCAGCTGTCGAAGGAGCGCCGCTCCATGTTTACGGCGCGCACAGGCTTGGGGCCGGCCTCGGAGGCAAAGCATGATGGCTGGTGCTCCAGGATGGGGCACAGCGTCTTGCCGCTGCGCGTGAAGATCCGCAGCAGCGACACCGTTGCAGCCTGTAAGGGGCAACGCACTTTGTTGGCGCTGTTGCAAAAGGCTGCTGGCAAATTCCTGATGATGCGGATCAGTAAAAACTCGCAGAAGTTTTCAGTGTGCAAATCCGTTCCCACCACAGACGTTACCGGAGTAGAAATGCACTTTGTAGCACACTATGCAGTGTCCACACAAAGTTTTCCCAGCAAACATATAAGGATGGAGCACAAGAGCATCCTGCAGCACATTCTGCAGCTTCCCTGAAGGGCTATCACAGATGACGTGTAAGGACGGAAACAACCATGCCTCTACTTATGCTTGCAAGAGAAAGATATTGCCGATTGTCCTGGCACAGCACTGGTCTGCTGCTACCAATCAACCCCTAAAAAAGACATGCGCCCACAAAAGTAGCAGTTACGCTAGCTTTGGACCAGTGCTGGTTGACATGTGAGGTCTCAAACAGCACCCACCTGGATCTGTGTGTCGGTGCATGTGGCGAGCAAGTCCAGCAACATGGGGACTGCGTCGGCCGACTCCAGTTCTGCGCGCAGGTCCTTGAACTCGGCCAAGCAGCTCATCAGGTACAGCAAGCCTGCGCACGAGTGAGCACCCTGCCTCAGCGTTTGGGAAATAAATACCGCAGCCTCAAAAGCCTAACAGACTTTCATGCATTCCTTCCCTAACTTGCTCCAAGCAAATTTGCTTGTGAAAGTTTGAATGTATGCTGACCTGGCCCAGTTTGATAAATGCACAAAAGGAAGCCGGTAGAAGGCATGCATGCATCATAGGATGGCAGCTTCATGGTAACTGACAACAACTGCCCAACCTTGAACAGGCGCTCTGTCGACCAGAGTCAGCGATTCAGACAGGTGTCTGTGAAGCTGAGAGCTGGCCCAACAAAGACCACGCTCATAGCTGGACAGAAGTGACTGGCCCAACGGCATTCTACACATGCACACTGCAACATGCAGCCAAGTACAACCTCATGCCCGTTACTTAAAGAAATGCTCCAAAGCGTGGAGCTTGCAAAACACACTGTGGCCTTTGGAGCTCTGTTGAACCTTCGGGCGACCTGAGCAGCATCTTTGGCGCTTCCTAGGGGACTTGCAGCAGCTGGAGATGCAGTGGGAAACACGAGTTTCACCATATTGATCTGAGGGGCGCTCACCTGACAGGGCCAGAGGGGTCGACTGCAGAAGAGCGGGCAGCAGAGTGGAGCCACCGCCTGCGGCCCAGACGGCAGAGCGAGCGCGGCTGCACTGCACCAGGCAACCCAGCACCGCTGCTGCCTGCACCGCTATCACCCCCTGCGCTGGCAAAGCAAATCCTCGAGATCCCCCCAAATGTGCAGTGCTCGCCTTGACAAGAGGGTAGATCCCTCCAATGAGCATTTACATGCAGATCTCTTGTATGGTGGAAAGAGAACTTGTGCGGCCTCATCATCAGTCTGCTACCCTCCCTGTCAATTTTAAAGCATGACTAAGCAGAAGGTCCTACAAGATGGCATGTGCACGCTCTTCGATGCAGCCATGGATGCGACTGACAGGAGAGGTATACTGCAGACAATCGAGCAGCCCAAATCACCTCCAAATAGGGCCAACTACCAAGTCTAAGTTGCTGGAGCTGTGTTGCATTGAAATCCAATGCAAACCAAACCCGACTGCAGACAATTCAGCAACTTGGATTATTGCTTTAGTAGACTTGACTCAGAAACACAGAAAATGGCGCGTCTGTACCATGTCCGGACTTATATTTGATTTTCAAACCCGCACCTCGGTGTCACCGCCGTCGGAGACGAGCGCCATGAGGCCGATGACGCCGCCGCGCGCGGCAAACTCGGCCGCGGCCGCCATGTCAGAAGCCAGCATGGCCGTCAGCTGGATGGCCGGGCTCAGCAGCGCCTCAGGTGCGCCAGGTACCATCATCGCTGCCAGCGCGCTCATCAGGTTTGCAGCTCTGCAACAAAATAATCACAACACCGTCAAACTTGCTGAATGATCAACTGTGGCGATATAGAAAAGTAGAAGTAGAAGAAGAAAGGCTGTACTGAAAAGAGTAAGTATTCCACTTTTCTGCTTCATGCATCAAGGGATGCACAGTATTGCATCCCTGCCTTGCTGCGTTGCTTAGCGGTAAAGGAACGCGCTCTCAAGACAGAGGTGCATGAGATAGACGGGACGAAAGCCCATCTGCAACAGATGACGCCACTGCATATACCGCAGAGCTTTGTTTTTTATGGCACAATTAAGGCACACATTACCTGAGCGATGAGCGCAGCTCGGGACGGCCGGCAAGCTTCAGCAGCAGCGCGAGCGCAGCCAGGGGCACTGGGTCAGCGGAGCCAGGTTTGACGCCAGAGTCCGCGCCAGATTTGGCACCGCCAGCCGCCACGCCAGAATTGGCGACGGTGGAGGAGGCATCGCCCCCGTACGCTGCCGGGCACGCCAGCCGCACCGCGGCCGGCACCGCGCCGCAGCGGGCGACTAAGCTCGCGCCGTCGCCGGAGGATTCGTCAACTGATGAGCAGCCCTCGGTGAGGCAGATGAGCGTGCGCAGCGCCGTGAGCAGCACCGGCTTGGACTTGGAGGCGCTCAGCAGGGAGGTGAGTATTGCCAGCCCGTTCTCCTCCACAAAGGCACCCTGTTACAAAACCAGTGGTGGTCAGATGGTTGTGCCATTGATCGACAACCATAGCAGTCAGTCAATCAGACATTCTTGGCCTGCACTTTGAAACATGCCTCTTCAAGCAGCCTGGAAATAAGGAGATCTATGAGTGACAGCCAGAACAAGTCAAGTGTAGCATGAGAATATGAAGAGATTGCACTAAACCCTGCACACCTGTGAGCTGCTTGGGATCATGCACAACCAAAACAATATATAAGGCTACAATACTTTTCATCTGGGGCTCAACGAGCAGGAAGGCAGTGAAGAAGGCCCCCCTTGAATCAACATGACAAAGAAGCTACCAATCTGAAATTGCAATGACCGCAACCTGACCGGAAGGCCAAGGGGCACAGGGTTTGGGGCCATGCCTGGCCGTTGGGCAGGGGCAGCAGGCGGCGCAGGATGCCCCCGGCGGCAATGACAACGCCGTCGGAGCGCGTCCCCAGCAGCGGCACCAGCACCGCGACGCCGTTGGCCGCCAGCAGGATCTTGGCGTTGGCTGCAGAGGTGGCCAGGAACGCGAGGGTAGACAGTGCGCGCTCCTGCATCTCCGTGCCTGTCTTGGGCGTCGCCAGGACGTCCAGCAACGCCGTTATGCCGTCAGCGTCCCTGCCACAGATATTGTGGTATTTTTAGTCATGCCGGCTTACTAGTGATCAGCAGTGCCCAGAGTGCCTGTTCGCGTGTTGACTATATTTACACATGGGGCCGCTAATTGCCTTTCCGGTTCAAGAAAATGCATTCGGCATTTGTTATGAGGAGGCGGAGCTAAGCAGCTCTGCTAACCCCAGTCCCTCGGAGGAGCACGTGCTCTGCCTTGCATGACAGGCAGGACATATGGCTCTGGCTGTTTGACTGTATCACGAAAAGACCTGATCTATCAACGCCAGCTAGTGTCAGGCTAGCGCAGGCCCGCAGTAATCTGTCAGTATACAAATGGCACAGAAGAAATCTGTCTGTCTCCTGTGATAGGCTGCGCAAGAGCCTAAAACAAACCTCCGGGGCTGACTTTTCAGGATACAAAAGGCATAGAAGAAATCTGTCAGACTCCTGTGATAGGCAGCGCATGAGCTTGCAACACACCTGCGGGCGATGTTGCCGTCGGTGAAGTAGGCGTGGGACGGGTGCGCGGCGGCGGCTTCGGCCATCATCCGCTTGGCGCGCGATATTGCCCCCTCCTCGCTGCCACTCGTGTGTCCGAATGTCGGCTCCGGGCCGTCGTCGGTAAAGCTGCAGCCAGCACAGATGCACGCTCAGAACTGACAGAGAAATGACTGAGGAGGCTCAGAGGGCAGACAGGATGCTCTCCAGCCTTAGAATCCATCAAGCATGCGCTGCGGCATCCACGCATTGTACCGTATTAGTGAAAGCTGCAGCCTATGATCAGAAGATCCAGGGCTTCAAGCCCATTTCAAAACCACAACAGAAAATCGAATAGCACGATCCCTAGACAATTGCACAGCCGATCCACTGCTCGCGATACTACCTTGCCAGCCAACACTGTCCAAGCAGATCATGGCAACGTAGCAACTGCCAGAGACCAAAAGTCAATGGAAGGGCGCACACCTCATCTCCCACTTCTCTGGAGGCCCATCCTTCTCGGCAGCCAGTGCCATGGCGTGGTCCAGTTTTGCGCGCGCCATGTTGCTCAGTGTCCTAGCTAAGTAGCTGTCCCGCCGCTGCTTCTCCATGTTTTCTGGCGTGCCTGCACCGTTATTATTATTATTATTATTATTATTATTGTTATTACTGTATTGATATATTTCACAAATTTCCTGCCAAGAGGCAAGGTGCGTCCTGCAGACAAGCTGCGGATCCTTGTATAATGCCAGGAAAGGACGCATTCTCGCTCCTGACCAACACAAAGATTATGATGTGATGAATGCACACAAGGTTGACTGGGTTGACAAGACACATCCAAAATGTAAAAACCAGCGCATTGGGCGCATGGATGGAGTGTATCCAATATCCCATGCATGAGCTCTCCGTGCAGAGTCTTCATCCCAAATCTTGTTTTGCATAGTGCCCAAGATACGAGCACATTAGCATGAAGGTATATCTAGATTTCTGCAATGCATTCGGGTGGCGGCCCACCTTCGAAGACGGGGTGCGGGAAGGGCAGCAGTCCTGAAGCCGGTGAGAAGGCGTCGTGGGGCCGGTCACGGATTGCATCCATGCTGAAATGGCCTCGGTGGTGCAGCACTGCAACCACGCAGCCATATATCATTCAGTGCCGAAGCACGTCGAGTCTTCCTAGACCAGCTGACAACACTGATCACATCCAAGAATGACCACCTTGAGGTTCTGCTACAAAGAAAGGCAATGAAAGGAATGTTGAGTTTTGAACCCTGACAATGCATGCAAGCTGCAGCGTGATTATCTCCACATGCAAGCCAAGATACACTCCTCATGACAGGTGCGGAAAAGAGAACGAAGAAAGGGTTTCAGTCAAGAAGTGACTCAGCGCCCACCTGGCGTCACATGCGCACCGGCGCGATGCTCCACCCACATGGCCGAGGGCGGCATGAGGCCCAGGCCCAGCCGCGTCTGCGACCCGCTGCCGCACCGTAACTGCTCGGCCCGTACGGTCTCGGCCCGCACCCGGTGCGCCCCATAAGTATCCTGCAGCTCGTGGGACCCCGACCGCGCCGGGCAATTGTACAGCGGCTGCAAGTGCTGCAGCTTCCCTGCTTCCACCAGAGAAAGCCACACTCATGGACGATACAGCTGCATGCTATTGCCCTCAGACCAGCTCCTGATGGCCGCTCAACGGCTGGGCGCGGTGCACATGCACAGGAATGCTCACAGCAAACATACACCCTCCCTGTCCATTTGCAAGATTCCTGTGCTCAAAGCAAGTGAAAACAGATGCTAGTGGCTTTAACACATGTGCAGAGCAAGCAGCGGTCATCAATTTATCACAGACTGCTTAAAGAGGTACTAATGATGCAGTGAACCCACCTGGCGCGGGTACGGCGGCCGCGCTGGGGGGCGCACTGAGAGCAGGGTGGCCCCAGAAAGTAGACTGCGGAACGGCAGCAGCGGGACCCCCCAGGACAAAGGGGGATCCGCAAGGGCCCCTGCTGGCCTCCTCAGCTGTGGCCAGCGGGAACGAATCCGGAAGGCGCTCGGGAGAGAAGGGCGCAGGCTCGCTCCGCACCGGCGGCGTGCCCGGCGAGAATGTCACCGTCCTGCTGAGCACGAGTAACGTCAGCTGTGTGCACCTCGTCACCGCTAAAACCAATGCCGGCTCCTTGCAGATGCTGGACAAACCTACACGTAGGGCTGCACGCAGACGGCAAGGAACGGTGGAATTATCAATATCACCCATGCCAGCAGCTGTGAACTCTTTAGAGGCTGGTGCGGACCTCCTTGGGCGTTCAGCCTCTGCTGCAGGCAGCGATTCCTCTGCGCCCGACAGCGACACTCCATCCTTGATGCCGGCAAATGCCTCTGACTTTGACGGATGCAGAGAGACGCCCGCGCCCTCACGGACTCCGTTTCGGGACCGCCCCATAGACCGCACTACGGCGCGGCTGGCGGCATCGGCGCTCCCGCCCATGCTGAACAGCGCGCGCGCGGCCGCGCCGCGGCTGGCCGCCCCGCTGCTGGCCGCCCCGGGCCGGCCTTCGGCAGCGGCAGCCGCCGCCGGCGCCGATGCGCACATCTGCGCGGGGCTCGGCTGGGACATTGCCGCTTCGTGTGTAGGAGCAAGCAGGAGCTGCTCGGAGGAAGCACTGATTTCGCGCGAGGACTTGGTATCCTTGGAGCTGCCGCTGTCTGTGCGGGTGGCGTCCTGCACAAGGTGCGCCAGGCTGAGCTCGCGCGTGTTGGCGGCCTGGCGGGGGTCAGCGGCCGGCTGCTGCCGCTGAGTGGAGGGAACGCGCAGCGGGCGCAGGCTCTGGAACAGCGGCGACAGGTTGGCTGCCGGTGACGCCGTTGCGGAAAGACTGCCGGGCATGTCATCTCCCTGGACTGCCAGCTGCAGCGCAACTGCCGCGAGCACGCCGGCCGTTGTATCTGAAGGCGCCTCCACCTGCCTCTTCTGGCCGTCCTTCAGGTCTTCCACTCTGCTACTGACATCTCCTGTCTTGGCTGTGCCGGGTGCGCTCTGCGCAGAAGCCGAAAGGGAAGAAGCACGCTGCGGTCGTGCAGCTTCCTGTGAGGGGCGTTGGAGCACCCGGGAAACTGCGGCGACCGCTGCCTGCGCCGCGTCGGCTCCCCGCTGCTTCGCCTGCTGCGCATTGCTCCGAGAGCGCGCGCAGGAGAGGCGCCGGGGGGTGGTGATCCCCGCTAGGCCGAGCGCCTCCAGGGTTCTTGCAGGCTCATTGCTTGCTCCAGGTCGCGCCCCGTCGCTCGTAGACATCCGCCGCGGCGACATGGGCGGCCGCCAAGACACCGGCGGGCCGCCGAACGAGTGTCGGCCCGGCACAGCGTTGAATGTATCCTCCGGCGTGTGGAACAGCCGCGCCTTGGCGGCGGCCGCGGCGTCGTGCGGCGCCAGCGAGACAGGACTCTCGGCCGCGGATGGAGCCGGCGGCGACTCGTCGACGGTCGGCAGCCAGCTGCCGGACCTCCGGCGCTCGGATGAGCACCGGCGTAGCAGCTGCGGCGGCTGCGGCAGCGCGGTAACCACCGGGGGCAATGACCCGAAGAGCTGCGAGGAGAGCGCGAGCTGCGCCAGCTGCTGCTGCGGCAAGCAGGCCGGCTGCGGCGGTTTTGGCTGCTCCGAGCTGTTCCTCTGGGAAGGGCATGCCTCCTCGCGGTCTGCGGCTGCCACCGCAGATGAGGGCGTGTCCTCGCTGCCTCGCCGGCTGGAGGCTGGCGTCGTTAGCTGGCTGCGCAGTGCCTGCTTTAGCGCCCCTGATATCGCGTCGCTTGCCTGCATGCCACAGTACCAAACTCTGTGAAAACCATAAACAGATAACCAACTCAATAGACGACCAGGAACACAAACAATGCCCATTTTCCCTCGAAATCAAAACCTTTGCGATTCCTTCCACAGCTGCACTTGTCAGCCATTGGCAGTAGATAATGTTTTAAATGGTGATATACTTCTCTGGGCATGGCATGTTAGGGACAAAAATCCGTCACGGCGCATACATGCCATAGCTCCGGCAGACGCTTGTCATGAGCTTCTACCTGCCCCAGGAAGATTAAAAAAGGAAGGGAATGACAGCCTACCGCGGGTACATCGTTGAAATTAGACGTTGCCAAGCTTGAAGATGTTGAAGACATGCCCAGCCGCTCCCGGTATGCCGCCATGAGCGATGTGTAGCTTGGCCGCACCTCGCCTGAAGACCCCACGGATACACTCGCTCCATCCATACTCCGCCTGCACAACAGAACACACATGCCACCGATCAGCACAACAGCATAACATGACACTCTTGCAAGGGATTCATCAGGCACTTTTGAGTGATCCTCTGAAGTCCTCTGCAGATTTCATGAATGAAAGCAAAGTTCTTCTCAGCCGCTCTCCTATTGCAATGTCCAAGCTTTGCAGTCACATTAGTTCGGCAGCACAAATCCTGAAGCAATGCATGATGAAGTCAACACTCACCGCTCGACAATATTAGGACGGCCGTGCACATACTGTGGCAGCAGGGCCGAATCAAAGCTCCAGCGTGAGGTCTTGCCCGGCTTTATTGCCTGCCCCAGGTCCAACTTGTCTGCATGCACAGTGATCCAACGTGAGCATAGCCTCAGAAACAAGAAGTTGTACAGAAGTACCAAGCCCTCGACATGCACTGTACTGCCCACACCCGCACAAAGCAACAGGCCAATGACTGCTGCATCATATCAATGGATACCCTAGGCTACACCCAGAAGATACAGATCCCATGCACTGACGTTGAGCAGCCTTTTGCAAGAGCAGGTGAAGCAACAAGGCGCATGTGCTGAAGCAAGCTTGATTCGTCCGAAAGTCTTGCAGTTGATTGAATACAAATACCGTAGTCAGCAACATTATTCCCGCATAAAATAATTCGTTTTCTAAAAAAGGGTAGAAAACAAATATCCTAAAATGCAAAATATACACCCTATGGCAAGACCAGGTTTGTGAGCTCTCGCTGAGCCCGACCCATTGGTGATGATGAAACATCATTTCAAGGAAGGAGAGTCATAAAAACAGGTCCAAGCATTTCGCGCATTTTGAGGGGTGCGGGAATTATGGTGCTGACTACGGTACTCTAACGTAGGCATTACGACCATGAAGCAGGAGCAATCAGCAATCCATGCTCGCGATGAGGCACCTCTAATGTTCAGACGCAAAGCACGGGTAAACATGCACCCGCACCTGCGAGACCTGCAGAGAAAAGCACACCCTCACCAGTGAAACACGTGTAGCCTTGCAAACAAGCGGAAGGGTAACTCACCCAGGGAGCTGGCGTCAATAGGGATGAAAGGGGCAATGATCTGCTCGTCCCCCGCCGCGGCCTTCTTGGAGCCGGGAGAAGCTGACTCGCTGCCGAGGCTCAAGCATCGCGCCAGCACCTCATTAAAGCTGGCGCCCCTCGCAGCCTCGATGATCTTCTGGGGTGTTGTGCTTCCAGGCCCAGACCCAGCCTGAAGAAACGCAGACAAGTTCGGCAAAAGCAAAAGGTGCTGGGAAGCACAGGGACAGCAAGGACAGCAAGCCACAGCCCATATTGAAGAGCAGGCACCGGCAACAGCAATGTAAAGCACCGGGAACTCTGCTAGCAGAAAAGGTGCAGAGTGAAGGATATAGCATCCCATGCACTTTGAGGGTGCAACATGCAGTGGAAAAAACTCTAATTAACTTGGATCCCCCACACAGCACAGCAATTGAGATCACCCCCTGCTTCTTCCAACAGTTGCAACTCGACGGCCAGCAATGAAAGCAGGGCGGAGAGTGATATGGAAGTAAGGCCTGCATGGCAAAACTGCAGGGTAAAGGCTGGTGCTCGCACCGTGGCGCCCGCCAGCGAGGCCTGGTCTGTCAGCTGCGCGGCGAGCATCTTGCGGATGGTGCTGCTCTGGGCGCTGGGGGCGTCCAGCAGCGCACTCTTGGAGGTTGACTCGCTGCTGCTCTGGCTGGGCGCTGACGTGGCCAACTCGACACCTGTCTCCAGCGATCCCTCCAAAGACGGGTGGCCCGCCAGATCCATGTCCTGCAGTAGCCGATGCCCGAAGCAATCAAGTCAAACGCTCCTCAAGTGATGCTGCACAGCTTTGGCCTTGTCTGTTAGCACGAGCATCGCCATGCAGGGGTATAAGAGCAGGTCCAGCCAACGAAAGCTGAACAAAGTACATGCAGGGATCAGGGGTGGACCATGTTGCTGATTGGTATGTGCATGCCAATGTTCTCACGAACCCCACATTTTAGATTTCTGGCCATGCCGACATATCGACGATTCCAGTCAGTGAATTTCAGACAAAACAAAGGCAGAACGAGGGCGGCACCTTGCAGCAGCACTGTGTCATGGATCCGCAGCCAGGGCACTGCGAGCCGGCCAGCGCCGCAGCCTCCGGCCTGGCCGGCAAGTCAGAGCTGCCGGAGCCAGCCACCGACGATGGCGCGCTGAACGCGAAATGCACGCTGCCTCCGGCCGACGAGCTCCCACTGCTGCTGTGCATGCTTTGCACGCTGGAGGGCCCGCGCAGGCTCTGGGGCCCGCTGCCGGCTGAGCTGGCGCCGCGGCTGGCAGCGACGAGGGCCGAGACCTCCTCGCCGAGCCGCGCGCGGGCAATGTCGGGCCGCATCTGCAGCTTGGCGGGGAGGGGGCTGGGGAGGGTGTAGATGCTCGGTGGCGGGAAGGGGACCGGCTTGGGGGGCGTAAGGTTGTCCCCCAGCGGGACAGATGAATCGTCCTGCCAGCCCGTCAGGTTCTCCCTGCAGTTGCACTCCGCACCACACATAAAGCGGCGGCTGCGGCAGCGCGGTAACCACCGGGGGCAATGACCCGAAGAGCTGCGAGGAGAGCGCGAGCTGCGCCAGCTGCTGCTGCGGCAAGCAGGCCGGCTGCGGCGGTTTTGGCTGCTCCGAGCTGTTCCTCTGGGAAGGGCATGCCTCCTCGCGGTCTGCGGCTGCCACCGCAGATGAGGGCGTGTCCTCGCTGCCTCGCCGGCTGGAGGCTGGCGTCGTTAGCTGGCTGCGCAGTGCCTGCTTTAGCGCCCCTGATATCGCGTCGCTTGCCTGCATGCCACAGTACCAAACTCTGTGAAAACCATAAACAGATAACCAACTCAATAGACGACCAGGAACACAAACAATGCCCATTTTCCCTCGAAATCAAAACCTTTGCGATTCCTTCCACAGCTGCACTTGTCAGCCATTGGCAGTAGATAATGTTTTAAATGGTGATATACTTCTCTGGGCATGGCATGTTAGGGACAAAAATCCGTCACGGCGCATACATGCCATAGCTCCGGCAGACGCTTGTCATGAGCTTCTACCTGCCCCAGGAAGATTAAAAAAGGAAGGGAATGACAGCCTACCGCGGGTACATCGTTGAAATTAGACGTTGCCAAGCTTGAAGATGTTGAAGACATGCCCAGCCGCTCCCGGTATGCCGCCATGAGCGATGTGTAGCTTGGCCGCACCTCGCCTGAAGACCCCACGGATACACTCGCTCCATCCATACTCCGCCTGCACAACAGAACACACATGCCACCGATCAGCACAACAGCATAACATGACACTCTTGCAAGGGATTCATCAGGCACTTTTGAGTGATCCTCTGAAGTCCTCTGCAGATTTCATGAATGAAAGCAAAGTTCTTCTCAGCCGCTCTCCTATTGCAATGTCCAAGCTTTGCAGTCACATTAGTTCGGCAGCACAAATCCTGAAGCAATGCATGATGAAGTCAACACTCACCGCTCGACAATATTAGGACGGCCGTGCACATACTGTGGCAGCAGGGCCGAATCAAAGCTCCAGCGTGAGGTCTTGCCCGGCTTTATTGCCTGCCCCAGGTCCAACTTGTCTGCATGCACAGTGATCCAACGTGAGCATAGCCTCAGAAACAAGAAGTTGTACAGAAGTACCAAGCCCTCGACATGCACTGTACTGCCCACACCCGCACAAAGCAACAGGCCAATGACTGCTGCATCATATCAATGGATACCCTAGGCTACACCCAGAAGATACAGATCCCATGCACTGACGTTGAGCAGCCTTTTGCAAGAGCAGGTGAAGCAACAAGGCGCATGTGCTGAAGCAAGCTTGATTCGTCCGAAAGTCTTGCAGTTGATTGAATACAAATACCGTAGTCAGCAACATTATTCCCGCATAAAATAATTCGTTTTCTAAAAAAGGGTAGAAAACAAATATCCTAAAATGCAAAATATACACCCTATGGCAAGACCAGGTTTGTGAGCTCTCGCTGAGCCCGACCCATTGGTGATGATGAAACATCATTTCAAGGAAGGAGAGTCATAAAAACAGGTCCAAGCATTTCGCGCATTTTGAGGGGTGCGGGAATTATGGTGCTGACTACGGTACTCTAACGTAGGCATTACGACCATGAAGCAGGAGCAATCAGCAATCCATGCTCGCGATGAGGCACCTCTAATGTTCAGACGCAAAGCACGGGTAAACATGCACCCGCACCTGCGAGACCTGCAGAGAAAAGCACACCCTCACCAGTGAAACACGTGTAGCCTTGCAAACAAGCGGAAGGGTAACTCACCCAGGGAGCTGGCGTCAATAGGGATGAAAGGGGCAATGATCTGCTCGTCCCCCGCCGCGGCCTTCTTGGAGCCGGGAGAAGCTGACTCGCTGCCGAGGCTCAAGCATCGCGCCAGCACCTCATTAAAGCTGGCGCCCCTCGCAGCCTCGATGATCTTCTGGGGTGTTGTGCTTCCAGGCCCAGACCCAGCCTGAAGAAACGCAGACAAGTTCGGCAAAAGCAAAAGGTGCTGGGAAGCACAGGGACAGCAAGGACAGCAAGCCACAGCCCATATTGAAGAGCAGGCACCGGCAACAGCAATGTAAAGCACCGGGAACTCTGCTAGCAGAAAAGGTGCAGAGTGAAGGATATAGCATCCCATGCACTTTGAGGGTGCAACATGCAGTGGAAAAAACTCTAATTAACTTGGATCCCCCACACAGCACAGCAATTGAGATCACCCCCTGCTTCTTCCAACAGTTGCAACTCGACGGCCAGCAATGAAAGCAGGGCGGAGAGTGATATGGAAGTAAGGCCTGCATGGCAAAACTGCAGGGTAAAGGCTGGTGCTCGCACCGTGGCGCCCGCCAGCGAGGCCTGGTCTGTCAGCTGCGCGGCGAGCATCTTGCGGATGGTGCTGCTCTGGGCGCTGGGGGCGTCCAGCAGCGCACTCTTGGAGGTTGACTCGCTGCTGCTCTGGCTGGGCGCTGACGTGGCCAACTCGACACCTGTCTCCAGCGATCCCTCCAAAGACGGGTGGCCCGCCAGATCCATGTCCTGCAGTAGCCGATGCCCGAAGCAATCAAGTCAAACGCTCCTCAAGTGATGCTGCACAGCTTTGGCCTTGTCTGTTAGCACGAGCATCGCCATGCAGGGGTATAAGAGCAGGTCCAGCCAACGAAAGCTGAACAAAGTACATGCAGGGATCAGGGGTGGACCATGTTGCTGATTGGTATGTGCATGCCAATGTTCTCACGAACCCCACATTTTAGATTTCTGGCCATGCCGACATATCGACGATTCCAGTCAGTGAATTTCAGACAAAACAAAGGCAGAACGAGGGCGGCACCTTGCAGCAGCACTGTGTCATGGATCCGCAGCCAGGGCACTGCGAGCCGGCCAGCGCCGCAGCCTCCGGCCTGGCCGGCAAGTCAGAGCTGCCGGAGCCAGCCACCGACGATGGCGCGCTGAACGCGAAATGCACGCTGCCTCCGGCCGACGAGCTCCCACTGCTGCTGTGCATGCTTTGCACGCTGGAGGGCCCGCGCAGGCTCTGGGGCCCGCTGCCGGCTGAGCTGGCGCCGCGGCTGGCAGCGACGAGGGCCGAGACCTCCTCGCCGAGCCGCGCGCGGGCAATGTCGGGCCGCATCTGCAGCTTGGCGGGGAGGGGGCTGGGGAGGGTGTAGATGCTCGGTGGCGGGAAGGGGACCGGCTTGGGGGGCGTAAGGTTGTCCCCCAGCGGGACAGATGAATCGTCCTGCCAGCCCGTCAGGTTCTCCCTGCAGTTGCACTCCGCACCACACATCAGTGCACGGATGAAAAACACACTACCTGTCAATTGACCTGTGCAAGATTCTGATTTACGATGAAAACAACAGATCCGGCGAACTCAGCTTCCCTGATGCTACATGTTCCAAGCCTTGATAAAACTCTGCATATGGGCTTGAGCACTTTCATGCGCAGCAAGCGTGACAAGGAATGGGATATGATGCACCAGGGTATTGCACAACAGCCGGAAGGACAAGGGCCACTATCACAGCTCCCCAGATTGCAGCAAATGGGAACAGTACCTGCGCTTGCGGTGCATTGCAAGCAACTGCACAAGGGGCGATGACGAAGCAGAGCGTGCCAAGGAGCGGGTGAGGGAACGCGCGCGCCGGTCAAGCTCCACCGGCTCATCTCCACCTGTGCCGCCTGAAAACCCCTTGCTAGCTGCCACCTCGTCTGGGTCAGCGGTCGCTACCGCATACCTGCGCACCGCATACAAACGCACTCATATCACGGCTGTGACAAGCAGGAAGTACCCATCAGGCTGGGCCACATATAAGCCTAACCTGGAGAATCTCTGTGTGCAGCTTTGCCAAACCCAGACCGCAAATATGGAGCCAACAATCACAGACTAGCATCAACATAAAGGTAACCTTGAACAACCCTTTGGTATGCATTCTTCCTTGAACCTGCACTTGCACGCAACGCACATATCAGCAGAACACCACAACTGAGCAAGATCACAGCTCAGCAGAGCCATGTTGAAGCTGCACAGGACAGGGGTCCCTAGCAGGGGGATGAAGTCAATGGTCAGTCTGGTGCGCCCCCCACCTGTGCTTGTGGTGGTGCTCCAGCAGCGCCACGAGGGCATCTCCGACCTGGATGCGGGCGGAAACGCCGTCGGGCTGCGGCGCCTCGTCAGCGCGCGGCTCAGGGCCGAAGGCGGTCGCCAATCCCGAGGCCTCTAAACCCTCGGGGAGTGCGCCGCGCTCGGTGAAGCTGTAGTCCATCCCCACCGCGACCAGCGGCACCGAATTCTGCAGATTAAGTTGCGTGTTACATTCCAATTTTCATTCATTCAAAGGTAACATCGACGCGGACACACACGATCCTGTGTTGCGCTGTGAGGCTGGCATGACACAATGATTTAAAGACACCGAAAGATGCGGTGAAGCGGCTGCGGCAGCTAGTTCTCCTTCACCTGCTGACGGTTGCAGGATAAGAAAACCAGAGCACAGCCATTGCTGTACAGTATAGAGGGAGGCTGTGTACGTACAAAGCCTCCCAGTGATTTGAGGATACAAGGTCCAAGCACATGTAGTGCAGCGAGAAAAGTAGCGCAACCCACCAGGACTGCGCTCGTGGCTGGCGAGGCCGATGATGCCTGCTGCGTGGCAGACACTGCTGAGGGCTCTGAGGGGCATGAGCTGAAGCTGCCAGCAGCGGCAGACTCGCTTGGATCTGCCTCTGCCGACGTGGGTCTCTCCAGCTCCAGGGAGAAACGCACGGAGCGCAGCGAGACGTTTCGAGACATTGGCTGGGCAGTGCTGCCGCGCTTGTGCGAGGTCTGGGCAGCCAGGTTGTCCGCCAGCGGGTGCAGGAGTGTGTCATCCTGGGCAATGAGGCTGCTGCAGCAGCCTGACAGGCCCGCCTTTAAACTTTCCAGGGCCGCAGCAGGTTCTGTGGCGCTGCTCTGCATCCTCTGGCTATGCTGCAGGGCTGCATGGGCCCTGCTTGCTACTTCCACCTCCAGGACTGGCTGTGATCACTCCCCAGCCACTTAATATTCTATCTTTCAAGTGACCTGCGGGAAGAGATACACCTTTTAAGACACATACCGGGGCAGAAATAAACAATTTCGAGCTCGTCGTACACCTATCTGGGCAAGCTAATATCTGCCTTGATATTTGCCCTGCCTTGATGCAAGCACCAGCCTGAACCTAAGCAGAGCCCCGGCAAGCCAGCTCCAGGATGACCAAAAGACTAGTATATGTGGTCAAAGCTCCGCTTGGGAGGCCGACAGGGAGCAGGAAGCAGCTAGGAAGCGAGCCCTGGGTGAAGCCCAGCCAAAAAGTGGACGCTTTATTGAAAAAAGGTATCTCGAGAATATCTTCGGCGCCTCGGGCGGCCTGCTCCGGTCCGGCGCTGGCACCAGGACAGCCCAAACAGACCCCATGCACGCGCGGATCCTCGTGGAAAAAGGTCAGCCGAAGCCTCATCGCGGGCGCACAGCGGTCACGCGGGGTCCGTAACAAGGACGACGGGGACCGCTCGCTGCAGGGCTCGCAGCGGGGCGCTGACCGCCATAAACAATGCACAAACCGGTCCTGGAATTCAAGGTGCTGCCATCCCCCGTCGCATGCACGCTGCTCCCTGACAGAGGCTGACCCAGCTGCAGGCTCAAGCAGGGCTTCCCACAATAGCGTGCCTGCGCCCCTCTGAACGCGGACAATGCGCTGCACCACCCACTGAAGTCCTCTGACATGCCAGCAATCCCTAATCTGGGCCCAGACGCGCCCTCACCTGTACTACCGGAGAGAAATCCGGGAAGGGCAGTCGCAGATGCCCTCCCTCCCTGGTTGCCGCGAGATCAAACGGCGCACACTACGAACGATACCTTGAAGGTCCCACACTCCACGAGCAGAGGGTCTGCGGAATGCTACCACTTTCGTGCAGATCAGAGGAACATCAAACGCGGCAGCTGACGCCCATATAGCGATCTTTAAAGGGTTTGTCATCCTTGAGGAAATCTGAGGGGTTTGCTGACAGGCCCTAGGGCTTCCGGGGTGCTTGCGGTGGATGTGCTATATTGTCTCTGAGCAAATTTGGTTGGATTGATATCCTGCGGTGTTTGGAAGCAGCGTCGTCTCCTCCACATTCCTGGAGTAGCACTGTGATCGCCTCAGATCTTGTGGAAGCCGCTGCTGCGCCGGACTGGCGAGGTGGAAAGTGTGTGATAGTCAGGTAGGGCTGACTTTGACCGCTGTGAGCTCGCTTTCAGATCCAATCAACCTGTGGCATTGTATCGAAGGATTGCATCCCATCATGAGCTTGACTCTTGTTCGCATGTGCGATACTCTGAAAGGGCCCAAGACCCAACGTCAATGTGGTCACAGAATGATAAGCATCTCTTTAGCACCGACCTTCAAGATCGAATCCATTTAACAATAGTATATCAAGGAGCGTTGAATCGGCAGGTGAAGTATCAATTTTGCTGTTGCCCGCAGGTTGGGAAAATTGGCAGCCTACATCTGAGCCCAAGTGGGGGCATACAGATCAGGCCTTTGGCCTCAGATTCAGGATGAGTAACGGCCACACAGTGACAGTCCAGGGCCTGGGTGAGCGCCTGCCTGTGGAGAGGCCAGAGGACTGCGTATCTCGCACCCTCTCCGCTTCTGGGGCAGGCTTGGTAGCAGGAGGCATCATGGGTGCAGTCACAGCCAACTGGGGCAAGGTGCCCCCTGTGTTGGCTGACAGGCCCTGGCCCGCCCTCAAACACACAGGTGCAACATCTGAGCTTTGCTCTATCCTATCTAATGTCTAGAAGGGCTTTCACATAGTGTTGCGCAACAAACATATGAACACACCTCATGCATGCTTCCATTGGGGCGCAGCTGGCTGTGTGCAACCCGTAGTGAGCACTGAGTATTGAGCATGGGAATGTGGAGTGGCACCGATAATATTGACACTGCACAGGAGCCATCATGGGCGCTTATGGGACTACCTTTGCGCTGGTGGGCGGCACGTTTGCAGTGGTGGACTGCCTAGTGGAGGACTTCAGAGGTATGGTGGCCCTGCATTGGCTATTTGCCTGTTATAGCACCAGGCCCATGCTTGAAGCAAGTGGAAGCCGCACATAAGGAAGCAGTCAGGTGCTGTCCTTACCACTGCAACATGTCGATACGTAGGCGCTGCAAAAGGAGAGGGGCAGCATCAACCGGCAAAAATCCATACCCTGCATGTCAATTCAGCATCTTCCGTGGGTCCCTCTCGGTGTAGCTGGACGGGACTAGACTGCCAAGCATGCTTCACATTGCATACCATCCCAGGGAAAAGCCGTTGCAGCAGGAACTGACAACAATCTAGCGTCGGGAACGGTATAAATTGCAATGGGGGTTCTCCCGAATACTGCACTTACACCCCACCCCACGAGCAAAAATGATCAGTGTTGACCTATCTGGGGTGGTTGTGCGCAGGGAAGAAGGATGCCTGGAACGGCGTGATCGCGGGCCTGGCGGCTGGCGCGGCCATCGGCATGCGCGTCGGCCGCGTCCCGGTTGGCGTCGGCGCGGCCGTCGCGCTGGCCGCCACATCAGCTGCCGTGGACGTTTCCGGGGGCCACCTCGTCGGCAATGTGCGCCCTCTTTTCTTCAGTGGGATCTTCATTTTTTGGAAGATCACAACATGTTTTTAGGTTTTGCTGTTGCTGGTTCTGATGGCATGGCAGGCCCTCCGAGTTCCTGGTGTAGGCTGCGTGCTGAAAGCAAGACACGCTGCTGTCTTCAAGCACCCGCTCTCCAGCTGTCGCCATGTGCTTCATTCATGCCAGATAGTTCTCCTTTTGAAATTTGAAGGAGTCAAAGGCAGGCAAGTGTATGTGCAAGAGCCTGCGGCCATTGCTGGCTGCTTTGTTTTGTCCGCCGCTGCATCTTGCCAATGTAGAGTGGTGGAAAACGCATCATGAGAGTCTGTGAACATGTGGGCAGCTTAGGAGATCCCCATGGGCAGGGCACTGACTTTTGGTACTGCTGTGCAGGGGTTTGTGAATGATGGGGCCACGCCACACCGACCAGTGTATCCCTACAAGTGAGGAGACCTGCAGGACGTTTAGCTCCAGTACGCCAAGGCCTTCTCAGGTTTGGGCTAGGATTATTGGGCAAGTAATATTAGATCACTGCATGGTTTGCAGTGCTGGTGGTGCTTTGTGTGTGGAGAATTAGCAGACTTGATGCTGGTGATGGATGCGAGAGGTGCTGAGGGCAATTGCCTAACATGAGGCCACGATGACCTGGAAGTACTGTTTAGCAAGGACGACACGATTTGGCCGTCATGAGGCTGCACTGTAGTTTACAGTCTGCAATAATCATCTTGCAATTTCCCAAGACCGTCTACCGTCTTGTGTGCATCACATGTGTGTTCAAAAGAGGCCGCAAGGACGCTTGTCAAGCCCTCCAAGGCACCAGTGCTAACGTATTCAGAGGTGATAAACCAACTTCAGTGCGTACACGTGCGTTAAACGGTCATTTTTAGTTCCTTTCACATACCTCACTGAGACGGGACGTATCTCAATGTGAATACAAAACCATAGTGAGGCATGCATTTGAAACACAAACATTCGCAACACTAAATTGCAGCAAGGAATATCTTGCGTCCAATCTTTCGGGCAGGTGATGTGCAGCTATATTGAGCACTTGATACCCCACCAAAAAATTCATGGCAGTCTTGGCCCATCTTCGTACAGTGGCGCTGCGCAGTGATGCACAGCAAGTCATCATCGCTTGTCGTCGGGCTTCTCGGGCAGGATGTCCATCATGTAACCGCACTGCCCAATAACTCCTTTTCATCTAACAGCCAGTCAAAATGACTCATACTCCTGACCCTCGGGCGGGATCTACATCATGCACTTGCTAAGTAATTGGCATCACAGCCAGTCATCTGTCACTCATCGTCGGGCCCCTCGGGCAGGATGTCCATCATGTAGTCGCGCTGCGCTGGCCCGCCGTCCACAAAACCGGCCGTGCCGGGGAGAACGCCGTCCAACAGCTGGTCTATCACGTCCGGCTCCGCCGGCGTGTCGGGCTCGCCCTCGAACAGCGACGGGTCAAAGTTGTCGATCTTGTCCTGCAGTTCCGCCGACTGCGCATGCGCATGCAAGCAGTCAGGATAGCCCAGCGGTCACAGCGATGAACGAGGACACAATTGGCCAGCTCTGGATGTTACGGGCGTTGAGAAGCTTGCTGCAGCACAGTCTCATGACCTCCGGACCTTTCAAGACCTCCGCCGCCCAAGTTAGACAGGGGCCTACCCACAGCATGGTGCAAGGACAGCTCAGCAGCATCCAATATACAAAAATGCAGGCCACGTGCCTTATTCTGAGGCGTGAAAATGGTTGTTAGTGTAGACAACTTGCCATTCGTCTGTGCATAGAGGAGTCAGATGGTGCACCGCTCCAGATACTGTAACCGGCTTCAATGCTAAGTATCCCTATGTGCTGCACAAGCTACAATCTGCCTTCACAAAGCTACATCCTGACAGTTCAGGAAGAGGGAACGTGCGCGAGGGTGCGCACCATGCCCCAGGATTCTGCGAGTTGGACTGCCTGTGCGGCGGCCTGGTGTTCGGCCTCCAGCTCGCCCCAGCGCTCCTCCATCATGAAGTGGGCCCGGATCCAGGTAGGGATCTGGTCCGCGTCAACCGTGTCCTCCTGCGCGCGCCAGATCTTCAGATTTAAAAATTTCCATACGATGTACTGAACTGTGCAGGCCTGTGGGTGGACCAGCAGACATTCTTTCTTGCTCTGATTCTGCCGCCTGGTGACAACTTCCCTGGGGCGTGTTCTGAACGTGACAAGCGGCAGGTGCAGGTGTGCTCAGGCAAGGACCAGTAGGAACAGGGGAATACAAGCAGGCAGCGTCAGATGAAAGAGGAGTATCGCCCGCATGCATGCGTTTCAGGAATTCTCGGGGCGACCGAGGAAAGGGGAAGTCGAGGGGAGTGCAGCGCACCTCGAGGTGCATTTGCTCCATGAGGTTGCCCAGCGCGAGAGCCTGCCCGTAGCTGGGCACGGTTCCGCGCATGCGCTGCTCGTGGTGGACGTCCATTGCACGCTCCTGCAGCTCCTCCAGCCAAAACTGCCTGCGCGCGAAAAATACCAACACGTTTAGAACGCCGAGTCCCTTGATTTTGCACTATAAGACAAAGCGCAACCCAAGGTGCGCCTGACACTCTTGAACGCTTGGAGAATTGTGGCGCACAGTGGAGCTGCAATTTGAGGAGGAGTGCCCTTGTTAAGCAGGCCATGGTGGCAGCTGTGATGATGCGCCAGAGTTGGATTGATGAATACCCTTTTAACAAAATCCGACGGCGAACCACCAGAGCCGACACGTTTGGGCAATCCTATGCATTGTGTGGCGGGGGCAGGCTATGCGAGCAGATATTACTTGCCCTGTCACTTCACTAAGCATATTGCAGGTAATTGAGCGCATCAGGGACCTTGAACGCCATTGCACAGATGCCGGATGCAATGTACAGATTATTCGCTGCAACAGAATCCCCACCTTGCATATTTCTCCTTGAGCTCGCCCACAGTCAGCGCGTCGTCCCACTCCTCAACTGTCACACCCTCCTTCTTCCGCAGCCCGGACTGGACAACAACCAAACCAGAAATATGTTAATACAATTGGTAAAGTGTGCAGGACCCCACTAGGAGAACAGTGCAGAGAGATACTTTGTTGAAGAAGCCAAACGAAAGTAAACTGATCATTCTTATATTACAAACTTTTCCTGCCAGAGGCAAAGTGCGTATAGAGACAAGCTGCGAGAAGAGGCTGAAGGCAAGGTGCGTCTGCAGACAAGCTGCAGGTTGAGGCTGCCTCATATCCTACCCCTTGATGGAGTCGCCAGATCCGAGCAAGTACTCTAATCAAGGGTGTGTTTGGGGTGTGCCCACCTGGCCGATTTCTTGCTGCGCCCCCCGGCTGTTGCCCCCCGGCAGCGCGTAGGGGTCCGACAGATTTCCTGCAGCCAGCAGAGCCCGTACTGATCACACATGACGCATCTGGCAAAGAAAATTGCCTTATAAGTGTCAATTATGGCCCCTGGAAGCGCAGCCGATCATCTATTCAACCTCAGTAATGATCAGGCTGGCCATAAAGCAAGATGGTATGCACAAAAGCGCAGAATCTAAAGGCCTTGCCATCAAGGACAACACAAAAAGAGAAAGGAAAAGAAAGGAGATGTCTGCTGAGCGATTGGGGGCATGCCAAAGGGAGCATGCACCCATGAGAATGGCACAGCAGCAAAGGCGCTGGGGGTGTAGTGGGACCACCAGAACGGTGGCCACAGCTGCGGACCCCCCTGCGCAGTCACTCTGCCAGAGATGTAACAGTTGCACCAAGCACGGCACATCCCCGGGGTTGTTACGCCGCGGGGAGCCTGGAAACCTGACTATCTCTGACGAAGGGCTCCATTTGAACCTCCCATGGAATATACAGCTCCTGATGAATTCACACACAGTGCTCCTCAACTCTGAAAGTGTGCATGCTAGTGAGCCTCGCTAGCTGATTGCTGTCTATTCTTGAGACCAGATCAAATGACCAATGCCCTGGGCGTTGCAACCATGCCTGGGATCAAATGAGAGAGTAGCCTGCCAAATTTGCCGGTCACAGCTCGGCAGACCATAAGCAAGCAAAAGATCGCAGATATCAGTGTCCTTTGTTTCAATGTGCACTGGAGTGGATGTGGGCGGCTTCTGATGGGCGCTGCAAGGGGTCAAGGGGGGGAGGGGGGCACCAATATCCAAGAGGGGGTCGCTCAGCCGATCGGGGATGAATTTCAGCTCGTTGCGCATCTCCCGCTCCATTCGCTGCATCAGCTTCGAGTTGGAGTTGTCAAAGGCCCGGTGCCCCACACGCGACCCCTTGAACGCCTGCTCGCCACACCCCACCGTAGTTTTGCATCCACAGAACATATTGGCCGTTGCTCCATACAGGCCTTGTCAGTCAAGTGGCAGATCCCCGACAGGGAGAACAAAGAACACATGAGTGCAAACTACAAGGGCATGTTCGGCTTTCATCATGAAGCCTGGCATGGTGCGATCTCTCTAGAACGTGCCTGCCTCTGGTTGTTGGGATCCTTCTTGGCTGCTCGTACTACATTCTGTTGCCTGGACTTTCTGTGCAACCTGTGGTATGCCAACAGCCCCGCATTAGGACTACCTCACCTTGCATACTGTTGTCTAAGCACCTGGGTATTAGCACCAGTGTAAAGAAGCAGGAACGCTGAATGTCAAGGCTACAGATAGTCTTCTCACCCTGTGTAAAGCCGCTGCTGCCACCCATGGCTGGCCTGTCAACAAGAACAAACTCACGTGTTATCTTTTTTACGAATGAAGAGGATGCGCAGCCTCAACACAATTAATTCTACTAAATTACAAAATAAGAGCATATCCTGGCCACCTTGTCATGCTGAACCAGACGTCCCGAGCCCTGCATGCTGCAAGAGCAGAGATCTCCAGAGAGCATTCTCTCCGTGTTCAAGAAGGACATCTCTGGGGCGTTCCTTTCCAAGGAATTCTCCCTACGGAGAAGTTTTCTAGTTTTTTATTATTATCGTAGGGTTCCTATAACCAATTCACCCAACAACCGACACAGGACAGCTGCTTAGTATTGGCATTCAGCTTGGAGAGGATCCACAGTCAAGACTGAGATCTTAATCGTAACATAGAGATCACTGAACTCACAATATCAATGTGCAGTCAGCAGCCACAATATATAAGGAGATTGCTTGTTGAGAACTTCAGGTGATCTGTAGGCCGTCCTCCACCAAACCCTTGTTTTTACTCTTTAAAAACCCTTCACCCACCTTTGGTCCCCCAAACCCTTTATCCGTCGCGCGCAAATGATGGCGAACAGTCGGACCATGAAGGTAAATCGCAGACTCGTAGCAGACCACCTACGTCAAGAAACAAAGCATTGGATGTTGTCCCATGAAAGAGACATAAGGCTGCCGCAGCATTCCTGACTATATCGTAAGGTTCGATGGCCCATCAATCGGCGTGCTTTCCCAGGCTCCAATTTGCCATTCTCGCGTCTGCATTGTTACTCTTATGCCTCAAGAGCTCCCAGGCAAGGTTTCCAGAGGCTGAAGGGGGCACCTTCGTGAGGATCGAGGCGGAAACGGCCGTTGCAAGTGCTACAGAAGAGAAGGACATTGCCTTCAATCACCTGCGACGATGGGGCTTGGGAAGCCAAAGGCAATTTGCGGAAGTTGCAGGTGCGATGCGCTTATACGACGAACTGTCGGCTTCTTGCAAACTGGCTCCTGAAACCTGTACTAGGTCTCCACCACTGCCCAGCACAATTACCTTGTTCACGAACCACATTAGATCTTGGATCATTGGACATTGCGATAGATCCCATGATGCTTTTACCACCTCGATCTGATTGACGTCTGCTGCACAATGCCCTGCCTTGGGAGCTAGGCCTTGACCTCAGAAACACAGCAGCCTAACTCCAATCTTGTCTGCAACAGAGCCAGGGACGTCGGCAGAGATGGTGATGGCACGAGCTTGGACTTACTCAGCTGTCGTGATTGTGGTGTTGGGCGAGCAACCACCAGAGAGGTGATCACCCATCACATGCTTGCTCACACAATCGATGCAACATGCCTAGCTGGTCATTACTCCCCTTCTTTGCTCTGTGTTCAGTACAGCCAATCTTGCCGGCTCAATGGTGCATCTCCAATGACACTCTATCAGTCTCTGGTCGAGTGTGGGACCCAACATGTGATTGCACCCCTGTCCCTTCATATCTGCGCCTGCAGCATTCCACAGGGGCAAACCCGTGCTGGGCACACGTTTTCAGCCCAGGCCTGCCAGAATGAAGGTAGATCGCACCGGACAAGACGAATCTGCTCGCAGGAAAAGAAGATCTTAATGCCAAAGTGAACTCTGCTGCGCAGGCGGAACGTGACAGCGGGGCAGCCATTCATCTCTGTGGAGCCGAGCCTTGACACTGAGGAGGGGAATGCTGCAGACCCCCTCCAGAGCAACCTGCCTCTGGGGGCCGTCAAGAGGGGCGCGCAGTATCTGGAGTCTTTCATGAGCGGGCCGCTGTTCCCTGTCAGGTGGGGCAGCCGCTGCAAACCTCCCTGCTGCAGCTGCTTCACTGCTCTCGATGGCAGTGGATGCCTTTGTCCATCGGTGTTACCTGCCCCAAATAAAGCACATGTTGGTGATAAGTGCTGCCTCTCTTGGTGCCGGTGCAAAGATGGATCAAGGTCTTTATGACGAGCATGATTATAGCCTAACCTACTTATTGCGTGCAATGCTCATATGTACCTTTGGACAACATGCGCGATTGCCGAGTGTGACGAGAAGTGCTCATGCAATGGCATGTTCATGCAATCTGCATTGCGTTGGTGAATTCAAGGGTGCCAATAGGACAACAGTGTCCAGATACAAAATGGGGCATGTATGCAGGCTGGTGACCAGGAGCTTTGAGCACAGCATGTTTGGGGAGGCGGGGCCTGTGGCGGTGTACGATGTCTCCAGCGGCGTTGTCTACTTGGACAGGAGGTGACGCCCTCTTATTTCGGTTTTTTTTTGTGCTCTAAATCATACAACGTTTTCAACACTGTGTGAAGGCACGCCACTGCCTCACGCATCCTTCCCCAAGTCCGTGTCAAAGTGAGGACTGTGAAACCCCACGAGTGGAAAGGTCTGGCAGCATGGCCTTGCAAGAGAACAGTGCAGTGAATTCTGCACAGTACAATTTGTGAGCGCTGCAAGGTTTTTATTGCATTCTGGGATGTTGCAAAATGACAGCAACCTGATAGAAAGATAGCCGGACTAGCAGCATTGTACCCTGGCAGTGGCACACAGGCCATTTGCACTGCCAGCTTTCTTTGTCTGAATGTCTGTGCATGTCTCTAATTCGTAGCATGCCTGAAAAGCATGTTCTATAGGGTGTCTTGGACCATTGAGGGGCTCTCTAAGAAGGCACAAGTGGCGCTGGAGGCATTTTCGGAGCAGCTGTTTGGCGGCCTGGGTGAGCACTGGGGGGCCCAGCAGCGCAACGCCTCCCTGGGTAGGGTTGAGGAGCAGGGGGGGTTTGGCGGGGTTGCAGGGGTCGCTAAGGTGGTTGCACGCACGGCCGCGGCGGCGCTCGCAGCTACGATGGCTGCGCAGGTCTGCGCACTGCCTTCCTTCCATCATTATGTCATGCTTTGCCTGCCTTGTGGTGTCTTCCGAGCCAGAGAGCTCTTGACGTTGAAAGGTTATGATCCAAAGCAAAGATTCTGCCTCTCTTTGACGGTTGCAGCTGCGCATGTTAGATGACACAATATTTTGCTGAGGTAATCTGGCTGGCTTTCTTTGAGGTCTTCTAAATCCTGTGAGTCCTGATAAATTTAGTTGTTATTCTTCTTTTTTGTTTAAAATTCAGGCTGAGCATCTTGGTATGGTCACATGTGAGTGTGAGGGGGGCATTGATCAAGGGGAGGGCCTGGTTTGCAGACTACCAATTGGTGCGCAGGTGCCGGTCTGGTTTTGCATTGCGTGCCCTATCGTGCTTGGGCTACTGGCGCCCTTTGTATTCAACCTGGGCTTGACAGCGGTCGCAGAAGCTGTCTGCCAGCACTACAGCCTTCCCGACGACCAGTGCAACGAGCTTTGGTGCGCGCGCACTGCTTGCATTGATGCTTGGTCAATCCTGATCATTGTGCAAAGGTCAGATGAGCATTCTCTGCGTGCTGCAGTTGTGTCTATGCAGTCAGTGAAGTGGGTTTAGCACCTTTGTGCATTCCCGAGCTAGTATGCGTCTACCCCATCGTGCATATTTTGCGGGCCGTGCAATGTGTCAAGCCGACAGGATCATTTCTGTATTCAAATCCCCCGTGCTACTCCCTGCCACATTGTTGGACCAAAGGCTTCCCCCAAGAAGGCTTGACATGGTGGCCCAGGGCCGTCACTACATCACCACTGCAGCCTGTGGGTATCTTAAAGTCAAGCTTCCGGTGGTGTGCTTCACTGATTAAATGATATTGCTGGTTTGCAGGTACGGCGCATTTGCGTTGGCAATGGTGCTCTCACTGGCATCGGCAATCCCCATTGTCTTTGTGTGCCGCCTGCCAGACTGCGCAAAGGGCATTGCGAGGACAATCCTCCCCTACGCCTGAGTGGGCCAACCCCAGACATTCCATATGCAGGGGACTCTTGACCTCCAAACCTGAATCAGAGCTTTATTAGTGTTGACACTGGTTGGCTCAGAGATGCTTGCAGAAAGTGCTTCTCCCAAAAAGGAGGTGCAGTGCTGCAGCCTGGAGCCCCGTGGATGCAGGCTGCACACTGAAGAATGAACTCTGCGTTCTTATGCCCTCGGACAACGAATGCCCTCAGACAGGAAATCTCTTTAGGGCAGATTGGGCATGCAAGTTGGTGTTGACTCCCTGCATCAAGAAGCAAGCCGCATTGTGGGGAATTGTACATGTACTGCTGTTTGTCATTTTGTTTCAGCTTGCAAAAAGTTTTTGATGTGTGAATGGGCTGGATGCGCGCATTTGCTTTTGGCTGCCTTCCTCTGCTGCTACGATTATTTGTGACTAAATAGTGAAGCGATACCAACAGCGTCTCCTGTGAGAATAGGCTTCCGGATTCCGAGATCAGTACTGTATGAGCTGGGTGCTTATGATGTGATATGTGCCTAAAAATGGTTTTGCAACAGACGAGCCAAGGAGAGATCTGATTCCCCACGGAAGCTGATGGGACCTGGGAAGGGAATATTCGTTCGCCATGCTGACGTCACTATCCATCTATGGCATCAATCATGAGGAAGCATTACATCAGACACTCTCTCATGAAAAATGCTGGCACCAGCAACTTTTGCAAGACTTCTCTCTTTGGAAGATCCTCATCCTAGACAGCCCTCGGCTGTCCTCAAGCCAGAGCCATGATCATGAGCTAGAAGACTTGCAAGTGTATAGAACCCACTGCATAGTATTATTCTTAATATTATTACATGCTTTTCCTGCCGAAGGCAAGGTGCGTCTGCAGACAAGCTGCATGTAAAGGCTGCCGAATTCCTACCCCTTGCTGGACTCGCCAGATCCAAGCAAGACCCAATCAACCTCAGGCACGGTGCTCAGTATTTGCACCGCCCCCCTGCTCAGGGGTAACAAGTTCAAGACTGGGCATGATAAGATATACGCTCACACTTCACACAAGGCTCTTGTTAGAAAGCAATCGATATACGCCGCTGCATAGGCCCGGGTCTCAAGGGATTCAATGCATCATAATGTGCTGCAGCCGTTGCCAGCCAAAGCAAACATCGCCTCTCACAAGCCGGCACGCGGGCTATCAGCAAGCTTAGCCATTTAGTGCACGTCTGTCTGCAAAGTGAGAACTCAAGGAAATATTGCCAGCCAAATCCGCGCCTCCATAAAAGGTTTGAAGGTAATTCCCAGGCTTCCACAGATGCATTGAACGTTGCTGACTCAGATGCAGATGCTGACAAACACCCATTTTTTGGGAGCATTTTAGGCAGCTGCTCCCGGCTTAGCCTGCCACTCCATGATGGCGGAGCGCAGGCTGTGGTTACTAATCAGGTGCTTGTGCAGCAGGGGATCATTAGTAATGGGGCTGGTGTTGTGACTAAGCAGCCAGACCTCCAGCGCCTGCCGCTCATATGTGAATCCGTCCGCTGCCATCACCGGATCCCTCATCATATCCTGCAGGGAACAAAAGCAAGCTTGTCATTTTAAGTATCTTAGGATTTCATGGCTGTGATTCATACGCCCTTGCCTTGCTTTCGTACAACGCTGGTAGGAATGTCACAGGTGTGCAGCCGACTTGTTTTATATATTTTTTTGTATGCTTTTCTTGCCAAAAGGCAAGGTGCGTCCTGCAGACAAGCGGCAGTTATAGACTGCCAAAATTCTACACCTTGATTGACTCGCCAGATCCAAGCAGGCATCCCAACCAACCGAGGGCACAGGGCTCATTATTTGAATTGCCCCCCGCCAGCCGGGGTCCACTTGGCTTTGACAAGGCAGAATGACAGAACACTTGCAGTTGTATAGCCAAATATGGCAGCCAATGGAGCATAAATATGCAGAGCAAGGGCAGGGTGCTCATGCATAACTCCTCACGAATTGCTAGGTTGATCCAGGGCACGCACGTGGGTAACGGGGCAAACAAACATCGCATCGGGCTGGATTCCACTCCGCGACTTGTCCGTTGCCGCCATTCGACCAGGCAGATTGTGAGCTGGCGCTTGCCTCTCGCGAGGTTGTGTAGTGGGCGCAGCAGCTTGGACCCGTCCGGGCTGCCCTCCTGCACACAATTGGGCATGACAAGAATTTTTCAAAAGGGTCATCGGTTCAAATTATTGTTGCCATCACTATTACACGTTTTTCCTGCGAAGAGGCAAGGTGCGTCCTGCAGACAAGCTGCAATTAAAGGCAGCCTTAACTGTACCCCTGGATGGACTCGCCAGATCCAAGCAAAGAGCCAATCACCCGTGGGCACGGTGCTCAGTATATATACCGCCCCCTGCTAGCCGGGGCCAAATACAATGGGACAAATACATTGTGTCTGATACACGGGGGGGTTCAGAGGGAAACCAGAAGCACACTGAGGAAGTGTCTCCACACCAAGGGGATACCACACCATGACAAGGGGACGTGGGACCCTCTTGTACAACTCCGGTGTCTAAAAAATGACACGAGGGACATGCACTAAGCGACCTGGACTCTCAGGGAAGACCGCAGAGGCATATATCATGGAGAAGCAGCGCTGCTAGCATGAAACATTGCGCGGGTTTCAGCTCACCTAAGGCGGCTTGAGCCGCTGCATGCTCCTGTTGACGGCGCGCGATCTTGCGCTTGTTGCGGCAAATCAACACCATAATAATGATCAACACTGCATATATTGACACAAATATGGCGCCCACCGTGCCTGCACAAGATCCACACCAATATGTGCACGATAATCATGAAAAATTCCTACAAAGCAGGCTGTTGACGAGAAAGGTGTGGGGGTGATGAGAAAACTTTACGTGCTAGCTTCTCTCTCTTCTTCTGCTCAGCATCTGCGGCAGCTTTTTGGTCAGCTTCTGCTTTGGCCCTAGCAGCAATCACTGTGGGGTCTTTGTTTTCAATGCCAACAACCTCCCAGTAGGTGTTATTCAGCTGGTTCTTCAGCTGGAGCCTTTCATCGCCTTGCAGAGCAGCTACATTCCCTGCATCCTCCCTGTGGGCAGCAATTTCTGCCAAGAAATTTTCCACTTGTTCCTGCAGGCCTGACGTGCTGTTTGCAAGCGCATAAGCTCCTTCTGGAAAGCTTCTGGGGCTTGGCCTGGATCCTAGAGAGGCTTCCAGGCAGCACAGCAAGAGCAGAGTGACTGCAACCTGCAAGGTAAACGAGTAATGAAGATACGTGTGAGGGAGTGCCTCATTGATGAGCCTATGGAATTGTGATGATAGCATCGAGTCTTTTCGATTGCAGGCTCCAAACAAAGGGAGACTGATGGCTTACCTGGCGAGATCCCATTGCAGGTGACCTTGAATGTCAGAACGAGAGACTTTTGCTCGCTGGTGCGCAATTTGGGATATCCTGCAAAGGCAGGGAGGCCTATCAACTTCACTGTAGAATTAGGCAGGACGTCACAAAGTTCGTCAACCATAGGATCAGAATTTTCTAAGAAAGACCCTATCTCACCGAGTCAACTGCTGCAAGGCAGAAAATCAATGACCCTACTGTGAATTTCAGCAGAACGCCAGACATGTCGGCAGCCACAGGATCAAAAGCTGGAAACCTCGATCTATGCACCTCCGTTTTGGTTCACCTACTTGGCCGCTTGGATTGGTACTTGTAATTTATTCAACCGCGTGAACATGAGTGTTTCACTGTTTCAATGTTTGGCGGCAGCTGCAACCTCTTCCAATGACTTCTTAAGGGTCCGATGAGCAAGCGCAAAGGGACACACGCCCCAGGATATTGAAGATCAGCTCGAAGAATACTTTCCTAAGAGTCTAAAGGATCCACTCGCAGAAGATGATTCGCGACAGACGAGCGAGGCTGATGGAAGCTGATGCAGGGTATATTCCGATCGTCATGCTGATGTTGACATCCACATCTTGTGACATTATGACGTATTCAGCATCACCAAGCGTGCTGTGAATTCTCAAGGAAACACTCTCCCAGAGGCCTCCTGGACAGCTTGAGGCCATCATAGGCATGCCAGTTACACACAGCAATAAGACCTGCAGATTTGCATATTGCCCACCATGTTCATTATGAAACCGGTTAACTGATTGAAATGAAGGCTGCTGAACAGGAGATTCTTCAAAGCGTACATGCCTTTCAAGGCCCAATCATCCCAAACGCATCCCAATTGCCCGATATAGATACACAAGCACTCACTTCTTCACTGGTGTTCTTGGAAAGCAATTGAGGCCTTTCCTGCAGAAGGAGCTATGGCCTGCTCTCATGGGACTTGCTCGAATGAGTTCTCCTTGTGCCACACCTGTGCTTCCCCTGACCTGACACTGCCTCTGACACGCTTGCAGGCCGGTAATTGGAATGCCTCAAGGGTCCAAATACACAGGTTTCGAAGGCATGTCTCAAGAGAAACAAGGCACACTTGCCAGTCTCCTACAGCCCAAATGTGGAATAAAGGTGCCAGACCTTGACGCACATATTGCATGCTGTAGACCCCCATGCTGCCATTACCATGGCATTCCACATATGTGAACCTACTCCTTTATGCATCTATTCCTCCCTGCTTGGCCTGCCACTCCATTATGGCTGATCGCACGCAGTGGTTGGGGATAAGACGCTTGTAGGCCAGGGGCTGGTTAGTAACTGGGCTTGTGTTGTGATTAAGCAGCCACTCCTGCAGCGCCTGTCGCTCGTATGTGTAACCGTCCGCCGCTATCACCGGGTCCCGCATCACATCCTGCAGCAAAACCAAATCAGCGTTTCATTGCAGATCTCCACTGCAGGTTATGGCAGTCCCCCAAATCAAATAGACCCAAATTACAAAACGTTGTTCGCCACTACTGTCAGGGTGCATTGCAGCTGTGCAGCCCAGTTAGCCTTGACAAGCCACAGCGGCGTGAGAGGTGTGTTTATGATATTTGACGGGTGTGAAACCCTGACAGCAGGACAGCAATAGCAATGCAGTGCCAGGGTGCATGGCTTGCACAGAGCTCCCATGCTAGCACAGCATCTGGAATTTCCATGCAAAGTACAGCAGCTGGGAGAGCATGGGAGAGCATGTCAACTCATGTGGGTGATGGGGCAGAGGAATATTGCGTCAGGCTGAGCCCCGCTCCGCGACTTGTCCGCTGCCGCTGCGGCACCGTTTGCAGATGTGATGTTGTTGTGAATGTTCATCCGCCCCTCCCTGTTCTGTCTGTTTGGCACAGCAGCCGGTGCCTGGGTGGAGGGCCCTGCAGATAGTGGCGTGCACAAAATTTCAGGCCAAACGTGCCTCCTCAGAGCTGCTACTTCTGGGCGGCAGCAGAAGCACTTGCTGTGAAATAGTGGTCAGTGGCCAGTCAACAGGTCATTTGAGATCGCATCACGACGTGTGTCATTCACCTTGCTGCATCCGGAGGGGTAAAATATAGGAAACATGTTCATTAATTACCCCTAGTGGATCCCTCGCCCTTGACCCATCATGTATCTAGACATGCGTGCGGGAACCACCGGATCTATACAGGATCTTCGAGGCACAAGGACACCGGAATGTTGATGTGTTTGCACAGGCGGTGTGTAGACGGGATCGTACCCGCTGCAGCCTGGGCACTTTGGGGCTGGTGCTGACTGGACTGCTGCTCTGAGGAGACGTTAATCTTCTTGCCGCAGCAGCAGGCACATATCACGCAACAGAAGAGCGCGATTCCACAGCAGCTAAAGACAAAAAGCAACGCAAAAAATCGTCGGTCTGCGCAAATGCGCACTCCCGTCAGGCAACGAGCGCTGAAGCACAACACGAAGCGCACTTGCAGGAGAACTTGTGATGGCAAGAAGCCGTACCATCATGTTTCTTTGCCGCGGCGTCCTGTTGCTGTTTTTCAGCACCCGCTTTCTTCTGCGCTGCCTTGAAGGCCGGATCCTGCTTTTCTTGCTGTTCTATCTCATTGATCTTCCAGAAGGCTTCGTTGAGATCATTTTTGAGCTGCTGCCTGTCGTCGCCTTTGAGATTGGTGACGTTTTCGATGTCATGCTTGTGGGTTGCTGTGTCTTGCAGAAAGTCCTCGACTTGTTGCTTCAGACCTGAAGTGCTCTGTGACAGCTCAGCACTCCCTTCTGTCAGGCTCCTTGGGTCGGGTCTGGCAGCATGGACGCGACAGAGGCAGCACAGCAGCAGCAAACAGAACAAAATCTGTGAGGCACAGTATTGATTATGTAAAGAGCTAAAGTTATCAAGAAATTTTTGTCGCAATACGTCCTTTAAAGCAGGCACGTGATGCAGAAGTGTCTACCGTGCACAACGCCATTGCCGACGATGTATGACGTTAGGAAGAGAGACTCAATCCAACAACAACGGTTATGGCGCACTGTGGCACACCTCACAGTTCAGTCAATCGGTAGCAAAACTCAGTAAGAGAAATGGTCAAAGACTCGAAAACTCTCTGAACGCACTTTGGTTTCCATCGCTGCATATTCAGATTACCTCTACGCTGCACAATCGTGGGCAGCCATCGCCTGGCCTTGTATTGAGAGCAGAGCCCCTCGTCCTCACGTCTTGCACACTGCCTTTGTTTGGCCACGAAATTCTGCACTTCAGGTCAGGTCAGGAAGAAAGATGTTTCCGTACATTTGACAATCAGTAGAGGAGCTGATGAAATGGTCTTGAATGCTCCGATTCTCATATCTGTGATCTTTGAAACAAGACGATCGAGGAATCTTTGGAGCATGGAGAAGCTGGGAACGGGATATTCTTTACGTGGTGATTAGCAAATCGCCTCAGATTCCATTACACACGCATGTGGGCTGCAAACATGTACTCAAATGGGCCTGCAAAACTTGTGACAAGGACTGGCATCTTAATGATCTTGCTATTAATATTTCTTACTGATAATATAATTACATGCTTTTCCTGCCGAAAGGCACGGTACGACATGCAGACAGGCTGCAGTGAAGTCACAATCGTCACAATTGCAATCCTCTTGTTTAAATTGCAAATCAACCGTGGGCACGGCGCTCAGTATCTACGCCGGCCCCTGCCAGCCGGGGCCAAAAGCTGATGCCAACCCCTGCCACTATCGCCTGCAGATGGCACTGCACCCTGCACTGCTGTACCTGCAATAATAAGGTCTGAATCTGACCGTATCATGTGTTTTATGTCTGTCATGCGCCTCCAGTCTCCACATCGTGTGCTCCACTCAAAGATTTTTCATCAAGTCGCAGCCGGCACCTGCACATAAGCCCAATACTCTCAATACCAGTATTGCACTGAAGGAACGATCTCTCTGGCCGAGACACGCCGTTCGAGACAGGGACTCTCACTCTCCCATCAGCAGGGCGTTGCTTGCCAAGCAATCTACTTTCTCTGAAGACGCATGCGCTGCAATTTCGGCCAGCAAGACTGGCGCTCGAGCTTTGATGCTCCTGGTCGACTCTGGCTTGGCAGGCAAGTGATGCGATCACGGCCACAAACAGTTGCATCTGCAAGGGGGACATAAGTGAAACTCTGAACACGAGAGAAGGGGGAATGTAGTCTCACGTCGGACAGGTGGCCTTGGCTTCGAGCCACCCCATGACACAGTCTTTGTGAAAGATGTGCCCGCATGGCAACAGTAATACTTTGGCCTGCCCCATGTCCTCCTGGCATACCACACACCCTCTCTCCTCCACGCCGTCATCCTGTCAGAGCATCAGTACACCCTAACTCACAGCAGGTTTGTAATGCTCAGCTGTTGACCAGCTGCTTCCATTGTGGGGTGTTCCTGTGAAGACAAGCCGCACCAGACTGCAGCCACAGCAGTTTGACTCTGACCAAACTTGCATCCAGAGACCAATGCTCAGACCTCATTTCTTTGGACGGAATGTCAAAGGGAACTCGGTGCAAAATAAGGAAGGAAGCATAAAGGAGGAGAAAGCATCATTTCACATGTGGAGTAGGGGCAATGCAAACCTTTGACGTAGATGCCATGTAAAACGATGGGAGCCTCCTCAACAAATCAGTAGTAAGCAGCACCCTTGATCCCCTTGTCTGGGCCGCATTATCTTGAACGGGTTGCACGCGGGGAAGCTGTATATTTACTGCACCTGCATAAGAAACACATCCAAGCATGTCACTGCGCTATGAGTCTTGATCTTGCTTATTCACACATCTCGAGCATGGAAGCCCGAGCAAATCCTTAATCCCTGCTCGTATTCTGGGTTGTCATTTCAGACCACACAGAATCGCTAGCTTGGTCTCGGCTGTTTGCAAACATCAAAAGACAGCTGCAGTCCAAGAATTGAACACACAATTCGCTACCATGACCCAATTTTTGCAACTCGGGTCGCCGGATTCTTAGTAGATGGACAATGATGCAGCATCTATGCGCGCGCACCCGTGTTGAAAAAGAAGTGGTTGTAATTCCCTCAGCATGTTGGGCAGCCTGGCTTCTGGATAGCATGCAGTGCACAGCATCAAATTTATGAGCACATCCATTGGGGATGAGCAAGACGAGATGACCTTCATCTGCAAGCTTACCTGATGCATTTGCGGCTGCTGCCGCCACACGTTGCTGCGGAACCTCTGGGTGCGGGAAGGGGTTAGGCTTCTCGCGGGTACACAAGGCGAAAATAATGAGCGCAATACCCGCCACTCCACAAAATACCATTAAGAAAGTCACCCAAGCATCTGCGAAACACAAACGTTATTATTATTATTATTGTTACACGCTTTTTCTGCCAACAGGCAAGGTTCGTCCTGCAGACAAGCTGCATCTAAAGGCTGCCACAGTCCTACCACCTGTTGGACTCGCCAGATCCAAGCAAGACCCAATCAACTGTGGCCCCGGTGCTCAGTTTTTATACCGCCCCCCCGCCAGCCGGGGCGCTTAAACCCAAACACAAACACAAGTGCCCTGAATCCTCATACTAGCTGTGCTACTGGTGATATAGCACCCTTCCCTTAGTTGGTTCACCTAATCCTGGCATGTGGCAAAGCTCATGAGGTTCTGGACTTGCAGCTGTGTTTGCTTAGTCAGCCGTGCTTGGCACAAAGAACATTGGAGTACACCGGCATAAAGCAGGGGTTAGGCAGTACCACTGGTATCCAGTAACCGCCTGGCAAGAATTGAATATGGGGCTTTGAAGAAAAGAAGGACTGTGGTGGTAAAGACTGCGCACCTTGGTGCTTGCCGTCTGCTGCTTTCTGAGCATCCGCCGTAGCTTTTGTATCAGCGGCTTTTTTATCTGCACCTGCTTTCGCAGCCGCAGCAGCTTGCTCTGCTGCACCCTGAGCTGTCACAGCCGAGCTCTGGTCCACATTCCCCAACATCTGTTTGCCAAACAGTGCTCGGAAAGCTTCACCGAGTGAATCTGTCAGCTGCTGCATTTCATCGCCTGACACATTCCCTGCATCAGTCTGGAGGGTGATTGCTTCTTGAGGGTTATTGCCTCCGCTGTCGTTCTGGGGCAAGAGGCTTTCTGATGGGGAACCTGCTCCCTCTGACACGTTGAAGACCCCCTTACTGAATGCCTGACAGCTGCTAAGTGTGTAGAGGGACAGCAGCACGATTGCAGCCTGCAAGGACAGTGACTGCCATAATCTGTGCTATTCTCTTGCTCCTTACGAGAACACAAAACTCAAAAAATTGTAAGACAGAGAGCCTTTGGTGCTGCAGAAGCGTGGAGGGCTTACCTGGCACAAGGCCATTGCGTAAGAGGTTTGAACGATCAATAGAAGGATGGCTGTTTATTCCTGGCGACACCAACATTTCGACCCAGTCAAGTTGGGCAAATACTTCAAGAAGCAAACACAAAAACTTTTGGAAAGAGCTGAACCGCCAAGGTATGAAGATGGAAGATTGGAGCTGCTCGCCTGCAGTATATTTCTATATTATCTGGACTAGCGCCAAAGCCTATCGCTACTATAAGTGCGCTGGTCTTGACGCTCCCAAGGACCATAAGAAATGGCGCAAACATTCGCAAGAGCTAGTTTGAGATGTTTATATTGCGCAAGTTGAGTCTCGAATATCTTTATCAAATATTGCAGTATGACAACACCTTCTCTGAATTGACTTCAGAGTTATGAAAGTGAATTTTGTCAGGGACGAGCGAGGAAGCGAGGGAATATTATCGTGACCCCTGAGGCAAAGGGCTTTGCCGCAGGGAATATCCCATTTTTTCTCATGATGTCATCATGACATCAATCTTGCATGTATAAGTGTGCTATAATGGCTTCATTCCACATTTGATCCACTCCTTCCACTCCTTGACAACATCCTTGTGGAAGATGTCCCCACAATGTGGGGCCCACATGGCAGCAGCAACAGCTGGTGATTATCACACTTAAGGACGGTTTCTTGATATGCTCAGCACGCGAGAATTAAAAGTACCGGTATACAGAAAGGAAATAAGGGAGGAGAACGAAGGCTGTCAAGGCTTTCAGTGGAACCTGGAAGATGCTGGAAGGTGCACCTGATGATCCTGGGATGACTAGTAAGTCACCCCAACATCACTTTACAAAAGCAGGAATGACTCCAACGAAGTACAGCTATATTTTCACAGGTGACATAATTTGAGAAAGATTGAGCCACAGGTGTGCTTGAAAAGTACTCTGCTTTGAACCTGACCGACGAATCAGTCACACGTGCACCGCAACAGATTCTTAAATGAAAGGGTAATGCAGACCAGGATTGGCATCCAGCTGGCTGTGTACTTTAACAACATTTTTCGACGACTGATGGCTCGATTCCATGAGTAACCGCATGTCTAGATCAGAAGCTTTACCGTAAACAGCTTAGACAACCCAGCAACAAAACTTACCCGAAATAGCAGGAGAAATATGGCAGGGGAACTTTTCACTGACTGGCTGTTGAAAGGAACTCAAAGGTCCACAATCGCCAAGTTCTACGGTATTGCAATGCATATTTACATCGTGTCAGCAACATGTGCGGACATAATCACAGTGCCACGTCAGACACATCCAGTCTCGCACGCTGAGTTCACATGCTGGCTCCAGAGGGTAATAATCTTAGATTAAGGTTTGATTAAGGTGAGATTAAGGTTTCACCCCAGGCCCTGTATAAAGAATGAAGAACAAGGGGAGTAGAAAGTGATTCCACATTATACTGCCCTTGTGGAGAATAAGAAATGAAAAATTGCGCCATATCAGGCAGCTGCTGCCGGCTGCTTGGCCGCCCACTCCATGATGGCTGACCTTAGGCAGTGGTTACTAATGAGGCCCTTGTGCGGCAGGGGCTGGTTAGTAATGGGGCTGGTGTTGTGACTGAGCAGCCAGCCCTGCAGCGCCTGCCGCTCATAAGTGTGGCCGTCCGCTGCTATCACCGGATCCCTCATCACGTCCTGCAGGACAGAACAGCAAGCTCGTCAGTGCCAAATATTCGCAGCACATATGGTAATCGCTCAAGGACAGTCAAAACTTAGCTGAACCTGAACTATCAGGACCAAAACAAATTTTACACTGAAAATTTGCAACAGTCAAAGGTTGCCAGCAACAAGCCAGTGCAGGAAAGCCTGCATTGTTTGATTTCAGCCCCTAAGGAAGCTGTAAGATGCTAGCTGCTGTATTCAGGGGATACGAGGGTGTCAGAGTAGACTCACATGGGTGATGGGGCAGAGAAAGATGGCATCTGGCTGAGCCTCACTCAATGAGTCACTCCATGTCATGTCCAGTGTCACTGTGTGTGCAGAATCTCCATTAATCTGCCCTTGCATCCCTGCCTGAGTGGACGGCGCTAATTGAGCCCCTGCAAACAATGCCATGCACATACATCAAAGCCATTTTTTCCTGCAGTTGAAAGAAACCGTTTTTGCTTTTAGGCTTTTCAATGGAGGCACATGCTATGCACACGAGGAGAACCAGCATTTATTCTCTGGCGCCCACGGTTGATTGGGTCTTGCTTGGATCTGGCAAGTCCAACAAGGGGTAGGATTGTGGCAGCCTTGAACTGCAGCTTGTCCCCAAGACGCACCTTGCCTCTCGGCATGAAAGGCGTGCAGCAATGGTGACAACTTCTCAAGCTGATGGGCTCGTTCGGAATCATTTCTTATCTACAGGCGGGCAAACATGCTCACCGGTTGCTGGCTGCACCGTTGCAGCTGCAGAGTCCTGCTGGATTAGGAATCCGATCACCAAACAGCAGCAACATAGCCATGTCGAGCCAAGAGCCCCCGCCAGAGCACCAAAAATGATCACATCTGCACAGCATATGACACCCATTTAAGCAATGATTAGCTAAGGCACGCCAGGAAAAGCGTGCGCTTCCTTCAAGGCACAAGAGGTGAGCCACAGAGAGAAGGATCAAGCGACGCACATTTCTTGGGTGGATTTCCCTGATTTACTCCTTTCTGAGCGTTAGCCGCCTTTCGCTTTGCTTCAGCTGCATCTTGTCCTGCGCTTGTCTTTGTGGCATCAGCAGTACTGCTGGCTGCTGACAGGGCCCCTTGCTTGTCTTCCAAGTTATGCAGATCGCCCAATACAGACAACAGAGTACCCACAAAGGTATCCGCATTCTTGCCTTGCCAGCTAACGGCGTTTTTGGCATTGGTCTTGTACAACATCATGTCTATACAGAAATTGTCTGCCGCGTCTATCAGGGCAGGAACATCCTGTGTCAGCACCTCCTTTCCATCTGATTCTTCGGAAGGGTAATATAGTGTTGAAGATGTCTGATCTGGAATGCTAGCTGTCCTCTTATGATCTGGCTCTTTGGCTCGCTTATTGGCTTTGGCAGCAATGGCTGCTTTCACTTCGTCGCTCTGTTGCTCAAAATTGTTTGTAGCGCCGTATGCAAGGTACACGGCTCCTTGTAAACGCTGCCTGGCGTCGCCTTGCAGCGCAGGCACGTCCGGAATGTCTCGCTCAAAGAACCACAAGTCTTGGTAGAACTTGTCTGCTGCATTGTACAGGGCTGTGGCGTCATTCGAGAGCGCTGTCAATCCAATTGATTTCGTGACTTGCAACCTTCGAGCCTGGGAGCTGACAAGACAGCACAGCAGAAACAACCATACTGCCATCTGCACGAGCACCGCCAAACGTCCAATCAACGACTTGCCTGAAACCCGCCCATATGACTCGTCACTCAACTTCATTGGCTTGCAAATGACGGCAATTGGATACTTTCAAGGGCTGCTGCACAACCTACCTTGCCAGACCGCATTGCAGCAGTTGCCTGGAAGTATGGCGTCCGTTGAAAGAATGCGGGCAATCAAAACTTTGGTTCAAACGACCTGATGCGAGTGTTTTGCCTCCCACTGCTTGGGAATTGCTTTTATTTGCTTTTAAGGATCGATTTCATATTAGACGAATGCAGCATGCTGTGCAGCACGAATATTTGATTCTCCACAGGGAGAAGATTGAGACACGAGCGAATAAAATATGCACCCCTGGAAGCTAGCAGAAGCTGGATGCCATTGGACGAATGAACAAGCAATGATTATCACCAACAGAGGTGCACGTTGACCATTCGAATTGCTGAATTGAAACATGCACATCTGCGTCATTATTACACACTTTTCCTGCCACAGGCAAGTTGCGTCTGCAGACGAGCTGCATGCAAAGGCTGCCACATACACTACCTCTATCCAGGGAAAATGCAATCCACCGTGGGCATGGTGCTCGGTATTTGTTCCGCCCCCCGCTAGCCGGGGCAGATCTGGGTTATGGGCAACACCCTTATGCATGCCTTCGTGCTGCCCATTCTACATTCTCGAGAGCTTTCCAAAGGCCTTTTGCAAACTCAACATCTCAATCAGCCTGCTGCTGCGGCCTCAACATTCACAAGGCCTCTGCCGGCCACCCTGCTGTCAGGACAGGCCTCAAAATCCCAATACTGCTACACAGCACGTGAGTAATACAAACAGATCTCGAATTCCCTTGTGCACAATGCCATATGCTTCATCATATTCTCACACGCCCTGCTGCTGCGGCCTCAATCTTAATGAGGTACTGTCAAAGCCTTGCTGCAAAGTGGTACCTACTTAAAATGTCACACGCCCTGCTGCTGCAGCTGCAATCACATTGAGGCACTCTCAAGCCTCGCTGCAAAGTGATGCCTCTCAGCTTGACCCTGTCACAAGGCCGGCGGCTGCGCGGAGAGTTTTCCCTGTCAGGGGTCAAGAGGGGAACAGTGTCCCTTGATCTCTCCTGGACAGGAGCTATGGAGCGAGGGCACATTGCCCACTCGCAGCAGCAGGCTGATCACATCGCTCAGGAGAACATTCACCGAGCCCTGCAGCACACAGTAACCACCACTTCAGCGGGATCCAAGAGGCCGCTTCTCATACTTGTGACAGCCTCAGCTGTCATCTTTATAATGATGTAATTACTTTGGCGACACATCGCATTTTTATCAGCTTGCAGGACATCTATGCTAATTATTGTCACCGTGATGCGCTACAACTTTTGCCCTCTGGACTCTATGCGAATGTACAAGCATCCCACGGGCTTCCACATTTCCACCCACCCTACAAGCAAAGCTTGGCCCCGGCTGGCTGGTGATGGCACAAATGCTGAGCACCGTGCCCACAGTTGATTGGGTCTTGCTTGGATCTGGCGAGTCCATCAAGGGGTAGGAAGCTGGCAGCCTTTACAGCAGCTTGTCTGCAGACGCACCTTGCCACCAGCAGGAAAAGCGTGTATAATATAATAACAAGCCCAGCAAAGGATGATCAGAACTGTAGACATTCTGTACCTGGAATTCGTTGACAAGAAATGTGTCCCATATCTCGATCTGGATTGTCTCGTCCGGCCGCCTCACCTCCTCCCCAGTCAGCTCAAAGTCCACCTCCTGGCATGTCACATGATGAGAACATTACTAATCATCACTAATCATTGGTAAGCGTGCAGCACTGCCGGCATGCTTGCACTGCAGCTGTGCTTTCAAAGCAAAGGCAACTCTGCCAACATGCCTGCTTTGCATTGCTACAAGCAGTGGAACGTGAACCACATGCAAGCCTGTGTAGGCATCTGTGCACCTTTTGCTGGGAATGCACAGAACAGCCATAGAGTCAAGTGTCGTTTCAGCACAGAGTTCCGATGGTTGTATCAGGGAAGTTTTACCTGGCGCAGCGCGATTGTTTCCTGCTTGGATGTGAAGATGAGCCGCGGCGGCCGCACCTCGGTCGATGTCTTGGTGTGACCACACACAGTCACTCTCACCTGCACAGCAAACACAGAATAAGTCACCAGGGCTTTGACGTAGATATTTGGGTATATTAGGCATCCCGGGTGTCTTTTCTGAAATTGGGCTCATGCTCCTGGGTTCTGGGACGGGTTCTGGTCTGCCCAGTAGTTTTTGTTTAAAGGTAGGCAAGTGGGCAAGGCAGATAAGAAAATCCCTGGGATTGCAAAGAGGCATCGGGAATTTGATGTCTGAGTAAGCAGCCCTAGGTTTTTGTGTCACTGCCGAATTCCATTGGCAGCAGGGACCGGGCTTCAAAAAAGTTTCTTATACTTTCATCGCCCTAAGTGCTGTATCGCTGGTCTGGGACAACCATGGGAGATTCAGCCAAATGCTCACAGAGCCACCATGCCTGTGGTTGCAAAACCGCTGTCCAATACAATGTTTACATTGTAGGGCAGGTAGTTTCCCAGCTTTTGGGCAATCAACATCGGGGAGCGTCTGACAGGCGGCTGCATTCTACCGTGATTTTTTAATTTTTTTAGGGTTTAGGGTAATTATATATAATATAGGCACCGTGAGCACCGAGCACAAAGGCAAGGATTGAGGCTTAGTATTACAAACCTGCAGCTGTGTGTTGAAGCCTCCCTTCCACCAGGGCTTGCCCACCAGATCACTCACGCTCTTCACCTGAAACCAGAAAATTCATATACAATATACTTGAACAGTGCACACACACATGGACGCACGATTTTTCCAGTATCACAAAGCAGCTCAAATTGCACAACCTGCAGCACTAGACGCACTCATGCCAAACAGCAATTTTGCAATAGCACTCGCAAGCTGGCATGTGCGGCCTGGGCAGAAATTGTAAATGTGTAGCAACCACCGCGCATGAAGTGCTGCCTGTAGCTGAATCATAGGCATAAGGCCGGTGGACATCATGCTGACTGGGCATGCATCGCAGGCATGACCATGCGCGGACAGCATGCATAGCACCTGCCTTATGCCTGATGGCAGCCCAGCAAGAGCAGAGCAAACTCACCCACTGTACAACATTGCCACCATGCCTTCAGGCAAGGCATACTGTCAACTTTCTGCTAGAAATGACCAGTCAGGACGAAGGCAGCCTTATTAATATTCATTCAGCCTGCTCCACTAGTGGCAAGAAAGCATGAAATGTCAAGGCCGCAGCTCATCCAGTCATTGAGTACAAAGACCCTAGGGTTTATATCAAGCTCATGATAAGGAAATATCCAGGGTTCCCCCAGGGATCAGAAATTATGTACTTACCTGCACAACCAGGATGCCGCCAGTGAGGATATCTCTCAGCTCCTTCACCTCTGGATTCTCCCTCAACCGCCGCAGCTTCCTCCTGCTAGACACCCTGGACCCCCCGGTTTCCCAATCGTCTTCCTCATTCTCTTGCTTCCCTGCCTGCCTCTCAGCATCCCCATGGCGCTCACCTGCATCCTCAAAGTCAGTCAATCTTCACATTTCGTTCTCCATATTATCATATTTATTGTCATTGAACGCTTCTCCTGCCGATTGGCAAGGTTTGTCCTGCAGACAAGCTGCAGTTACAGGCTGCCACAATCCTGCCCCTTGTTGGACTCGCCAGATCCTAGCAAGACCAAATTATTCATGGGCACGGTGCTCAGTATTTGCAAGGGGAGTATACAAAAGAACCTTCTTTACACTCCCCAACCAGCCGGAATCATTCTCTTCACATGCTGCAATTGCACGCTTTCAAGAAGTTGGGAAAATGCGCATCAAGCAACTCCTGGATTATTGCACATTCCAGCAAATGCAGGGGTGAAATGGAGCCAGGCTCTGACTCTAAGAGTCAGCGCCCAGAACAAAAAAGAGATACTTGCACAGAATTTCAGCAACACGAAAACAAAATCATCATGTATTAAAAGCAGAATTGCTATAAAGTCTCGGCAGTACCGCTGTCGCCCGATGCCGCGCGTTCCCTCCGCTCGGCCGCGCCACGCGGCGGTTCCTGTCCTGGTGCCTGATCAGGCGACGATGGACCGGGGAACCCCGTTGCCTGATCTGGACCGGCGTCAGTTGCTGCGGATACCCTTGGCCCGGCCATATCCGGCGGCATTCTCTCATCCTGCATGAAAAAGTGCAACTCATGATGCTACGAGAGGTTATTTGGCAGCATGAACAGGAATTCACAGGGCGCCAACAGAGGTCCAGGGCTGCCCAGGCAGCACTTCTGGATGCACATATGTCCTGTGGGCAATTCCACTGGGCCAGGACTTATGATACGCCTAGCAAATTTGGCAATGAATGTGGCAGAAAATTGCAGACGGACCACAACCCCGAACCCACAAGCACAAGCACAATCTTGGGGAAAAACCCCTGGGTCGGCAAGTCCTGGTGCAAGAAGGTCAAATGGAACTCCAGATCACTCCTATGTCTTGCATTCATGAGCCGAAAAAAGAAGACTGACCTCTTCTGGCTGATTGCGCCCTGCATCGTCCGGCGCCGCGCGTTCCCTGCCGCCCGGGGGGCCCGGAACCTGATCTGGCGCTGCTGACTGGGGGAACCGCCTCGCCTGACTTGGCTCCTCCTCTGATGACAAGTCCCTGCGGACGGCGGCCGCCGCTGATTGGTCCTCTCTGTCAGATAAGTCTTCGTCGGACGCCACCGCCGCCTCCAGAGCTTCGCTGTTGATTGCCTTGTACTTCACCTGCGCAGGAAATCACACCCAGTACTTCACTGCTCACAATTCTTGGACATGCCAGGATGCATCTTGAGGAAGAAAGGCAATACATTCGCCTTTGGACAGCACGAAAATGCCTGTCGCACAGCTAGGGGTAATTACTCTATTAACTATAGTGAATACCCCTGTCGCACTGCGCTCGTGCACATGCTGTAGGCATGGGCCTCGCTGCTCAAGGCAGACGCAGTTGCCCTGCACACTTCAGAGTGCATTGACACATCAGAAAATGGCATGAGGAGACAAAAAACGCGGCTGTCCAAACACAGAAGTTATATTATCCATAGCACAGCGGTTCTGCACATGCCAATTGTACACGCGCCTGCTTCTGCATGAGAAAGCTCTGGTACTTGCCGCTCATCGCATGGCAGGCAGGCATCACAGTGACATGAACATTCTGCACTGCAAAAGAAATGCGCTGGCAGACTCGGTACTCCTTCCAGCAAAGTGACAGTGCTACCCGGGGATGAGCAGGAAGAACGCCACAGGCAGGGGCTTCACATTGCTGCCTGTGTTGCAGTTCATTTCAAATGGTCTTGCCGCCTCGGGCAGACTAAACGGAAAGGGGCAGAAATTATCAGCTCGTGGTGAATTGCCTTCTGGAGCGGGTATCATAACGACAAGAACAGCCTGTCCTGCAAGAATAACCCGGCAGACTTGGTAGTACTTCCAGCAAAGTGACAGTGTTGGCAAAGGACGAGCTGGACAGACGCCAAATGCTGCAGCTTGACCCTTGCTTTCAGCAGCAAGGTGTTTCTGTCGCTCTCGCCTGCCAACGCTGTCGCCTTGGGCAGGACAGAAAGAAAGCAATAGGAATAGATGACTTATCGCAGTTTAACTTCACAAACGGGTATCACAACGACAAGAGCAGCATGTCGCGCAAAACAAGCACGTCGACTCGGCAGTTTTCTCCTGAAAGACAGCACTGCTGGCAGAAAGGCAGCCGGGAGAAATGCTGCCAGGTGCAGAATAGCATTGCTGCAGGGTGTCTCCGCTGCTGTTCCCTCATGCCAGCACTGCCGGCTTGGGTGAACTGATGAGTCATGGCAGCGAGTACGTAGCAATGGCCGGACTGGTTCTGGTTCTGGTGTCACAACGATGATTGATCATCATCTTCTGGAAAACCCAGCATGCTAACTCAAGAAGCTCGTTCACAAGGCGACAGTGTTGGCACAGTAGGAGTGAAACAACTGCTGCAGCATAGCAGTGCTGTGTACTGCAGGGCATCTGTTCCTACTGCGCGAGCACTGCCGCCTCGGGCAAGGTGATAACATACCAATGAAAAGAGACATATGTTGCAATTTTTCATCAGGCACCACAATCACAGTAAATCATGGCCTGCCTAGGATGTCTGCTGCAGCAGGAAGTAAATCCAGCAAGGCGAAAGTGTTGGCATTATTGAGCGGGGGAAATGCTGACAGCTGCAGCATAGTATTGCTGCATGTGCTGCTGTGTAAATTTTGTGCTGCTACATGCCAACACAGAGATCTTTGGGACGCCGGCTCTTGTCGGTTCCAAGCCGAACAAGGCCGCAGCAAGTGCAAGCCAGGGGCAATGCATGTGCAAGCCAGGGGCAGTGCAAGTGCCGCGACCTAACTTCAGGCGGCAAGGTTTCGGGCAACCTGATTATCCCGTGGAGTTTTGGTTGCACGTGTCACACCGAGATTGACCCCTTTTGTTGCAAAGCCTGCACGCTGGCTCAACATTCCTCCAGCAAGGCAACGGTGTTGACAGGAGCAGGAGGCGGACAAACCTCCGCAGCAAAGTCATGCCTCTGCTCGAAGTGTCTATCCACCTTGTGCCCTGCCAACACTGCCGTCTCGGGCAAGCTGATCAGGTATATCTTTTCAGGGTTGTAGGGTTTATGGTTTCCCCTAAACCCTAAGATATAATACATAAAACATAAAACCTGAAATAAAGGATGTCAAGATCAGTTTCGTCAGCGGTGACTCACCCTCAGGTGCAGGCGGCAGGGCTTGTTGGAGCGCAGCAGCTGTTCGCGTACCTCCCTTGCTTTTCTCACCGCGCTCACCCTCTTGGGCTCCTTCCTGCACAATTTAGGGGCAATCAAGAAACACCCCGGGAATTTGCCAGAGGAGACTCACCAAGCGTCTAGCACTTTGCCATGGAAGTATTTCAGGCCTCCCATAGTATCCTCGGGGAATTCTGCATGAGATCCCAAATTCTGCTCCCGTAGGTGGTGTTTCTACAGGCATTTCAGCTGTAGGCTGATTTGGCTTCAGGCCTGCTATTGAGAGGTCTAAATTGGCAATTTGAATGCTTGAGACCCATGATGCCTTCAGATAGGCATGAAAAGACTTTTGCTTGTCGCGCACAGGTGACATATTTTGGCATACATCTCTTGCGAGCCAGAATGGCATCATGAAGCAAGTTACGAAGACCCTGGCATTGGACACAGTGCCTTTGTTTGATGGGGCCACAAGGGCTTCATTTAAAGAAATGAAGAGATTAGAGCCTGCCTGCGGGGTCCTGGAAGCTGCCCGGGAGAGCTGCCCTGCGGGCGGTCTGGGCTGCCCGCCTTTGATTTGGCGCAATGCGGCGGTTGGACTTCCACCCACAGATCCCTCTCCTGCCCGGGGTGGATCTCCGACACCGGCCAATCCACCCTGCACCAGATATCACTGTTGCTTGCTGTTGTGACTCTTTAGGGAAATACAAAGTATAATTACGATTGTGAATTTTTCCTGCCAGAGGCAAGGTACGTCCTGCAGACAAGCCGCATTTAAAGGCTGCCATTATCCTACCCCTTAATGGACTTGCCAGATCCAAGCAAGACCCAATCGACCGTCGGCACTGTGCTCAGTTCCACCGGCCCCCGCCAGCCAGGGCCAGCTTTGTGATCACTAGAATTATATATAATTAGTGCCCCTGAGAGGCCTCACCTAGGTGGGGTGATGAATGAAACCAAGGGTGATAATTAACAAACCCATGAGGGTCGATTGGCCTCGCGGCTGCCATGGGCGCCACTTGTTTATCAAACCTATTGTGCAAAAATTAATGGGGTACTAAATTTGACTATAGTGGCCCCTGAGATACTGGAAAGGATTGTGATCTACTGCAAGTCTCTTGAGGGATTTCACTTTTCTGCTGGATAAGGCAGGGAGCTAAGGTGGGAAAAGAATGCCTGTTTACTTGCGATCGGCCCGTTTGCAGGTCTCTCGCCGAGACTGTCTCAAGAGAGGCACAAATTCACATGGAGATGTCTGACTGCAACCCAGAGTCCTTACCAGAAGTGCGAACAGGCATCAGTATGGAGGATCTGCCTTCTTTGAGAGCAATCATGGCGGACAGCTCGAAATGGTTATGCAGGCTTGGCTTGAAAGCCCTCCTCACTTAAAGCAAGCAATCCCTTCCTAGAACACTGCTTCTGGCAAAGGTGCTATTGCAAGAAAAATGCAGTGAGCTTGCTGATGAAATGAAGGAGAAGGTCTCGCTGCTCCTGCCTCAAGGCAATGTTCCTCTGCAGACAGGCTGCAGGTGAAGGCTGCCAGAAAATCCTACCCCTTGTTGGGCTCGCCAAATCCAAGCAAGACCCACAAACTGTGGGCGCATTCTTCAGAATATATTCTGGCTCTTGCTAACCAAGGTTCTCATGAATATGTGATAGATGACCTTAATGTTATCGCACATGCATATGACTGGTGGAGGAAGTGCCAGAATAGAGAAGACTGGACTACAATGCTTCGGGTGTTGCTTGATATCACTAGTCCGCAAAGACTGGGCGTATAGTAATAATGACTGATTGAACAGGAACGTTTAGTCAGCAATTGCGCAAGACACGCCTCCAAATGAGGGAGCTACAGAGGCTCCATCCCTCATTTCATCACTACTCATACTGTTCAAACACTAAGAATGAGTCAGCAGGACACGCCAGCCGACGAGGGTGTCTGCTAAGGAAGCCATCAAACACATGACTAAGAATTGAGCAGAGATGAGTTAGCATGACGCACCTGCCGACGAGGGTGTCTGCGCGCACATGGTCGTAGTCATAGAGGAGGCATGTCAGAGTGTCCTGGTCCGGTTCATGCACCAGCAGCCGGAAACACTCGTTCCAAACCGGGTGCCGGCGGTTGTTCTTTATCGTGCTCTGCAGGCGCCGGTGCGGCCGGATGTACAGCCTGTTCCAGGCAGACAATTGACATCATCTGAAAACTTCAATCCGAAAGATACAGGAGTCTTGGGCTATTTGTGCATCCTGGGCACTTGCAGGGCTTGAGCACAAGATGTACAGCCCGTCTGGAAGAACAGCTAACACCTCGCAAGATTGCAGATTGGAGGTTGGACTCGTGCAGCACGCCCAAGTGGATTGAAAATAGGAATGCATGACAGATGCCAGAGGCAGCAATCTTATCAGGCACCAAAATACCTGAGCACCCGATTGGATTTCAAGGTCTTCAGCAGTAAAGGGACCCCAAAAGCAGCAAGGTTCAGGTGGCTCTGGCTTGCTTAGGAGCACTTGACCAAGGAGATATCTGGGGCGCGAGAGTAGAATATGCATTCCTCTGAATCCTGGAATTGGAGAGATCCTAAAATAGTGCCTAAAGGGTTTAGGTTTCAGATCCCTCAAAGAGCAGGAGGAAGGGGCTGCGTACACAACATAGGGATCGGACTCGGAGCAGAAGTCGATCCTGGGAATGTTTTCGGCCTCGATTAGCCTCACAGTGAGGATTCCAACCGGGCGCTCAACTTGCGCCAGCACACCCTTGACGATCTCTGCCGACACCTGCAACCATCCAAATTCAAATTTTAATTGTTATGCCTGTTGTTATTGTATGCCATGCCTGCCAAGAGGCAAGGTGCGTCCTGCAGGCAAGCTGCAGTTGAGGGCTGCCAAAAGTGCACCCATTGTCGGACTCGCCAGATCCACGCAAGATCCAATGAAACATGGGAATTTTGATCATCCTCAATTTTGATTATCCAGGCATATGTCTATAACCACATTGGCTTCCAACCAAAACACCCAAAAGAAACACTGGCTACAGCGCGCATGTCGAGAAGCCCGGTCATCTGCTGGAACGGCATTAACTGCTCACAACCTTGTGCTGCTCATATTTTTTTCAGCACGTGGCCCGATTGCATCACACAGGCAGGCGGAGGCGCCGTCCTTTGTTGAAGCTCTCCCACGTTTCCCTGGAGACCAAGCACTTCAAAGCGTGGTCTCAACAGCGGCCTCTCCATTCTGCACCTTGCTGTGCGTTCTTTCCATTTGTTGAACAATAGGCATGAAATGAAATTAAAAATTTAGAACATTGGCAAGTTTCCATTTGGTGACCTTTACTGGTGCGCGCCCACCTTGTTGGGCAGGGTGTAGTGTTCCAGGAAGGAGCACAAGACGTTCTGCAGCCAGTCTTCCAGGAAGGGCAGGCTGGTGACATCACCCCCCAACAGCCGCAGATCAAACCGGAAGCTCGGCATGTCTGCAAACGCCACCTGGGCGCCACATCAGCACATTAGTCGTGATTTAGAGGTGAGTGCGTGATATCCGCAGACATCTAAACAGTTGACACCGCAGCTAATAACTGCTGGTAAGGGGGAGCACGAAAGCAGCTTGACAAATTGTGTAAACGCCACCTGGACGCCAGGTCAGCAGCACATGGGCTGAAAGGCTGCCGAGCTCCTATCCCTTGCTGGAGTCGTCTGATCCAAGCAAGAGCCAGCTAATAATCGGCACAGTGCTGAGCATTTGTGCCGCACCCGCCAACCGGGGCCAGGGTGCAATCTAGCAATGGAGAGGGTTGACATAGAAATGTTCTGAGCCGATTGTAGAGGTCAAGTGAACTACACAGAAGCTAAGACAGCGCCACCGATGCAACAGCCCTACATGGGCCTAGCAGGTGTGTGACCAGCACTTAGAGAGCAGCGAGGGCAGAGCGCCAAGATTGAGCCAATATGCTGAAGTCCGAAGCAGATCACATTTACAACATGTCTCAAGAGTGTAGGGCAGAAGGGATGCACCTGCACGGCTCCGATGATGGGCAGAGTGTCCATGAGGGGCCTCAGCAAAACTCGCACCCGTCCGCTCACTATCACCCGCTCCACTCCAACCTGCGCCTTATTCCACATACACATTAATCTGGCCCCGGCTGGCGGGGTGGGGTGAAAATACTGGTTGGTTGTGTCTTGCGTGGATCTGCGGAGCCCTACAAGGGGAAGGTTTGGGGCAGCTTTTACATGCAGCCTGTCTGCAGGACGCACCTAGCCTCTGGCAAGCAACGCATGTCATAATATTAAAAACCAAAGCCAATTCAATCAGGCCACTTTCAAACTTACTATCTGCAACAATCCCCCTTCAGCAAGGGCCACCTTTTCTGAAGGAGCAGACTTGGGCAACTATGCCTATTCTATTTGTTTCAGCCTGAGAGCCAGCCCATGCCAGAATGATTAGCTGTAAGGCACCGACCGACAATCATGTGAGAGGGGTGAGAACAGATTGGAAGAGGATGTAAAGGGTGATTGCCTGGATGTTGATGAATTGTGCCAGGCCCAGAGCAACGTTGAGGAAGAAGGGCAGCGGCTTTATCACCAGACTAACATCCTGCGCGCACAGATTGACATTCTGTCATCGCCATTCAAAGACCGCTCAGAAGGCGAAGGGACCAGCGTTGTGCAGACAAAGATCCCGGTCTCACGCACACCTGACCTCAACAAAGCAGAACCGGCTGCTGCCTCTTTTTTAAACCAAGCGTAGATGCCTCCCTGCCGCAAGCGATGAGGCGCCAGGCAAACTGACAGGCATCCTATGAAACTCCGCGCCAGTCCAGGAACTGCTACAGTACATTTGCAGGCAAGCTGGGGAGTCCAGGGTCACACTCTCTTGCAAGTAGCTCTGACTGATCCGAGTTTTGATATGTCCCTGACCTTGTTCTGTTTTCGCATGTGTCAAACCCTGATACACGTATTCCACTCTGATGACCATTCAAAGGTGTTTAAGATGAGCGGCCTTGCCTGGTTGCCGCCCCAGAGGAAGTCGATGTCCATTGAGGCCGTCTCAGAGATACCCCCTGTCGAGCTATGGTACAGCTTAACGCCAGTCACCATCGGAGCCTTCGTGCCCAGCGTAAAACTGCGCAGTTTCAACACATAACCCCCTTACTCTTTGCCCCTTACTCGTCCTTACTGATGAAAAATACAGGGAGAAGTTCAGGTTTTCTACTGGAATCAGTCCTGAGCGCCCCAGGGATGAGCATTACACAGCGCAGAAAACCGTGCCCGGCGTGAAACTTTGCTGTGCCAAACGCACCAAACACCCCAAGATCTTTGCCCATTTAATGCCCCTTCTGCAAATAATGCAGGGGTTTTGTAGATGTCTCTAATCGTAACAGGAGGTGCTGTCCTCTGCTTCCCTCTGAACAAAGGCAGCGTGAAGCTGCACAGCACCAAACACACCAATTTGTTTTCAAAATGTACTAAATCACACCCCATATAAAAAGCAGCAGACAGGGATTAAGAGGGCTTGCTGCAAGCAGAGAAATCTACTAAACACACCCCTTTGCCCACTGATGCCTGCTGCTGTCTTCAGCATCCCCTGGTACAAGGCACAAGGATGCAAGCCAGAAAGTCGGGAGTTGCATTTCCAGCTTGCTCTTGCAACTGCAAGCCAACGGGAGATCACCTGATCACCGGCAAAGCACTCAACCCTGGGAAAGATTGTTATGATTCCAGATCGAGTGAATCGCAGTGTTTCAGGGGTGCGCGCACTGTTCCAGGGTGATGTCGGCCATCCAGGCAGCGCGGCGCTCCTTCAGCTTGGGCTCCAGTTTTGCGCGCGCGACTGCCGACACAGCATTGTCCACATAAGGCCACACCTGCCCTGCAGCCAACACCCGGGCAAAAGGTCTGACAGTTTCTCTGCAATATGTCTGTATCACAGCGCCCTGCTGAGTCCCTGGAGGTCGGCCTATCACGGCACACCTTGTCCATCAGCTTTGATAGATAGCCGCTGCAACCGTTCGGCGGCTGCGGCAGCTTTGCACCGAAGCTAGGAAGCTTCTTGAGGTAGTTCGCCAGTACTGTCATGGCAAGAGCTTGCTGTAGGCCCTCTTGTGAGTCTGGCATGCCAGTGTGGCGTAGGTTGGCCCCTACTTTGGATCCCTAGTGTGGCATGCATGCAGCCAATATTAGAGTAATGTGAGCGCCTACCGACTAGTTGGGAGAGCCACTCTGCGCGCTCAAAGTCCGAGTAGGTGATCCAGGCCGGCACATCCATCTGCAGGCAGCAGGAAATTAGGAATTTCTTTTTAATGCCATTCACTCATGCTTATGTTTGTGTGCTTGTCCCAAGAGAAGTACAAGCTGGAAGCCATGCAGCGTTTCTGTGGGGATCTGCGGGTCTTGGCTGCCTCTGAAAGGATGACAGCACCACAGCTAGCTTGGAAAACAAGGCTCGAATTCGAATAGAGCAAGTTTACCGAGCTATGAGCATGAAGATGCCTGCGGGTTGCATCTGCTGCTTCTGCAAGGATCACAGCCCCACTTCGTCCTTGAAATTTTTTTAACAATTGCCACAAATCAATGAGCACGATGTTTGGAAGAATGAACAGCAGGACTTAAGACCACGCACGTCTCCCAGGAGTTTGCGCAGCTTGGCGACATTCAGGTTGCGCAGGATCTCCACGGCGATGGTTTGCTTTAGCCTGGATTCCTCCCTTCTCCTGTTCTTGACGTAGAGGCTGATCGCAGTGACCGACAGCACCGCACAGCTGAGGAAGCCCAGCAGGAATTCATCAAAGCCCATCGGGGACGCGACGCCTGCGTGCACACAGCAATCGGGCACCCTCCTCTCCTATATTAACGAAATGTCCCCTGCACCTGACCTTCTGTACAACCCGCATGTCACAGTCAGTAGTTTAGTTGTGGTATAGGTGGAAGATTCGCTGTAGACATTCCGAGGAAGGATCCCCAAAGCACCGTGCACCAGTTTTCTTAAGGACACTGTCTCAGTCCAAATTGCTTCGCTTGTTTTTTCTTCTAATTTCAGAGGACATGAAGTCCACCTGTATTGATATTAAGTCCTATAGTGGACGCAGCCGAGCCCTTGAGGCGACCGGATGCTGCTGACGCATGGCACAGAAGTGTCCACTCGTCAGACACCAGCTAGGACGGCGCTGCCACGGACGCTGCGTCATGTTTTCGTGGTTTGAGAGATACTATTTCATCAAATTGAATGCGTCGCAAACAGAAGGTGCAGAATAGAGCGCTGTCTATTTGCGGTTACTGTTTGTGGGTGGCCCGCTCCTAATCAGGACACTGTAAATGTCAAGCTCCAAGCATCGAGGTGGACAGCTCGCTTCGAAAAGTTGTACACCCAGCGAAAGAACGTCCTTCTCTAATATAACTTTGCAGGTGTTGGCTACCTTAAGGTCAGTCAAAAGTCACTTCGTCAATAAGCGGGTTCGAGCTGAAAATCCCTCTGGTTCAGCACCTTTTTTACTCGGCATCTCATGGGGTTTGTCGACAGCGTGCGAGAATTCGGGAGTGAGTGCATCCTTCAATAAACACAGCCTCGGTTCAGTCTTGGAGACCTGTCGCCATTATTGCCATACTTATGTAAACAGCTCTTCCTGATGCTTTTCATGTTTCTCCAGGTACCATTCTCTGCCAAAACTCCTCCGACGGAAATCTATCAGCAATCTCAGGTGACGGCATGACGGAAGCACTTGGTGCTAGCAGTGCATTCAGACAGAAGCTGCTGGAGGCAACCCACAGAAATGCACCTTTCTATGATACTGAGCCGCACGCGAGCAATGATTTCATTTTTGCTGCTCCAGGCAGTACCGCTCCTGCTGATGAGCTCAGGAAGCTCAAGCAGAGGGATTCTTAGCAGGTGCCTTTGATGCACTGAAGGAAAGCTTTACGAAGGAGCTCAAACTGCCTCAAAACGAGCGAGACAAAGAGTTTCTGAGTGCAGTCACCACGCTGCTGGCAGCTCAGACTGGACTGCAAGAATGAGCTACTCAGCCGTAAATGTACGTCCTACCATGTGTATCTTATTTTGTCTGCACAGAGATATACATACTCTTTTACAGGTTTAAGAATACTGTGAGGCAACTGAATATGGCAGAGCATCGCACTGGTTGGCAAGATAACACCGAGTTTCGGGAACAGCAGTGTCTTCCAAGGGTGACATTAGTTGATTTATTCACTGACACAAGGTGCAATTATGGAGAGGTAATAATAATTCATACATCAGTATTAAGCAGTGACAAATCAGTCAACAATCCCTTCTGCACATGAGTGATCGCTCTTAAAATGCTGCTTCTCTGCGCGCAGATCACAAGAAGGAGACAGGCCAGAAGGTCACGCTCTACCTGCCGAAGGGTGGATCACAGGGCTACAGAAAGATCCCTTCTGGAGCGTGCAAGCAACGCAGGCCTGGACAGAGTCTGCGCCGCGCTCGGCTGCGCAGCCGTAAGGCAGCTGGCAGCTGGCGAGCAGCTGCCGGCACCTGCCGCGGCCGCTGACATAGCAGCTGTGCCTGCTGCAACTGCCTGAATGACAAAGGCCGCTATGTGCTCCTGCCGTTTGCCTAGAACTTGCAAGGATCTACCAATGGCCACCACGGGTTCAAAAGAACACGATAAGCTACGGCAGCTGTGGCGCAAAGAAAGTGTCAATGCTACTATCTTGATGCAATGCGATAAATATTTAAGTGTCTGTGGGGCAACTAAGCATGGTATACCTATCCATGGGAAGGTTTCAAAGATCAACCAAAACCTTCAAAACTTGAATTTCAGGGCTGGCGATGTGCGCATTGTGTGCTGCCCCTTTTTGGTCAACCATGTATTTGGCTTTCTGGATGTTCTGAGGCTTCTGCTCGTATCGGATTCCGAGGCGTCAGATCATTGCAATGTTGTTCTGATGCTTTGTAAAAAAAAGGGCTACCACTGATGGGCGTAATTTTTGTCCCACAAATGCAAGTGCTAGCCTGCTGCCTGTACAGCTGATTCGTATTGATTGCAAATTTGGTCAATTATATCCACTCCAGAGCAGAAGCACCCACATTCACGGTCGTCATGGATTCACGTGCGCGCCATTTGTGACGTCAAGTCACGTGTTGGGCAGGTCAATAACGTTGATCAGGACGTCCGTGCTTCAATATCAGATATGCAAGCATTGCTTGGAAAGAATTGTGATTTACACACGGTAAAGCCTCTTTAATGTGTCTTTTCCCGCTCCTGCTTAAATTCTTCACGACCCATTATTTTCTTCTTTTATTTCTTTTGAAAACCAAGTTGACTTTATTCGTTCGGCAGGTTCAAGACATATCTGGGTTGGCGTAAATCTGTCAGCACAGATGGCCCTCCTCGCACCCTCACGAGCTGTACTGCTTCCGTGCCAACGAGCCGTGCGTTTCCAGTTTCCTCACTCTGGTGCTCTTCTGTTGCCTTGTTTACGGCGTTTGCTGCACGCAAGCAAGCGAGCGAGCGAGCTTAATCTGTATCCGTGATATAAACAGGCACGGTCACATCTGGGCGCCCGCTACTCTGCAATAGCAGCCTCGTCAGTCGCTTGGAGCTCAGGTACCTATCGATTATTTTAAAGAAGGGGAACTAAGAAGTGTACACGTCTGCCGGTGGGTATTTTTTTGTACGCGATTGAAAGGGGTTTGGGCATCTTCGCAGGCAGCAGGGCCATATCAAGCACTCCTAGTGACGAACTCAGCGTACTCAAGAAACGTCAATGGAGACAGTCTACCATGCTGAATATTCTCAAGGACAAATTCGTGGAGGAGCTTCAGCTACCTTCAGATGAGAGGGACAAAGAATTTGTGAGAGGAGTCACTTTGCTGCTGGCAGAGCAGACTGGGCTCCAGTCACTCATCCTCTCCCTTGGCAAAGAAAGTGAGTCTTGCAGCCTGTCTTTGCTCATGGCACAAACGTCAGTATCCTGTGAAGAATTATTTACCTTTATAAGTAATACAATTACAGAAGAACGTTAACCTGCATCATAGAGTGGCATACAATTCACCTCTGAAGTCTTTTTGTCATATTCAAAGCTCGCACCATGATATGGCCATCATGCTAGATGATGCATGATTTGATTGGCTTGAAATACAAAAGCTGACAGCAGATTGCTTCTGCAGCTGCAGGCGACAGACCGGCTGCGACGCAGAGCTCGACAAGCAGAGCTTCAGTGACACTCTATGTGCAGAAGCGCACTGCGGAGGAGGGATCACAGGAATACAGCGAGGTCAATTTGGAGGCAGAAAGCTCCGCCGTTCTCGAAGAAGTCTGCGCCATGCTCGACTGCACCGCTGTCATACCCCTGGCAGCTGCCGAGCAACTGCCGGCACATGCCGCGCTTGCTGACATGGAGGCTTTCTACGCCTTGAAGGGGCAATTCACATTCACTGATGGCGGTCGCTATATCCTTGAAAATGATGTGGACGACTCCATTGATTCTGGCTCATCACCTGCCAGCGGCATTGAGCAAGGCAACAGCCTTGAAGCTGTCTTCGCCGCTCCTCAGGTGAGAGGCCTTTAAATCAAATCTTGGGCACACAATGGTCATTCAATGACATAGCCTAACACAATGTTGATGATTATTTGAGCGCTCGCGACAGTCTTACAGGGCTTTTCTGTAAGCTGATAGCAGCATTCGGTGAATATAGCCAATATTCACAGCGGCCTTGTTTTGCAGGTGACCATCAGGGCACCAATGGATTCGTGGTGGATGGCTGAACAAGTCTCAGTCATGAATGCAGAGATAGAGAAGACTCTGCTAGAGGCAACAAACAACCGCGAGAGAGCCGTTGCCATTCTTCAAGGATATGGTTACAAGGGTGCTGCATCCCTAGAGACGGATCCCCAATACAAATTCTACGGGGAGGTACTCCAGGATCTGGCAGTTGCCGAAGATGTTGTTCTTGTCGTGATATCCGAGTGGCATCAACGCTCTGATGCCCGTTCCTCTGGAAACGAGATTCATCCGTTTAACGCACAAACGTTGCAGTGGAACATGCAGAACATAAGGTACGCAAAGCTCTGCTACTGTTGACCACGCAACCCAAGGACTGCCATTACAGTATGATTGCTTCAATTTTGTTCTGCCTATTCCACGTTGTCACTCGAGTGGAGCTATTTTTCACACTGTTGTACTAACGGTACCGTGTACAGGGAATTGATGGATCTGGATGTTCCGGCAGTGTCCATGCTGAGGGGCAAACAAGTGTATGGGGCGCTGGTGGGGATATGCCTGCCTACCCGGGCGTGTTATATCAAAGAGCTGAAGGAAATATGTGACGAGAATGGGTTTGCTGTTTGGCTGCAGAATGGGTGTTTCATACAGGTAGAGCCTTTGTCACATTCTTTGCTAATTTTCCTTAATCTCCTGGAGTATTCTGTTGTCTTGATGGCATGGATTGACTCTTTGGGTGCTGCCGTTGGACAGGGAACACTACCCATAGCACCGCTTTCAAAGTGACCAGAAAGCCACAGAGCAAGGGTGTGCCGCAGATTGCCACCTGTCAGATGCGAGGTTGTCATGTGACTTTGGTGCTTAGTTAAGATCAAAGCGCAGAAGCATACAGCTCATTGTATATGGGAAAAGTAACACCGTCATATCATCATGGACGGTCTCCACCATGAACAAGCAATGAGAATGCGCGAGGAGATGTACTAAATACAAATATTTAGTAAGGTGCCAGCAAGGTTTCTGGTGAAGCTTCCCGGAAGGCACCTTTTAGGAAGATGCCAAGTGTGATGAGTTACACACCCGATGAGTTACACACCCGACCTTCAAGTCGTCATTATATTATAATGTGTATATACCTTGTGGGTCGCCATCTCAGATGGTCTGAGAAGGTCACTGCTGCGGCTCAAATATAATCTCAAATATATGATAGGGCTAAGCTGTAAAGAAACTGCAGCAACAGAAAGATCAGATGATTCTTGTGAAATACGGCAATGATCTCAGGTGTTGACCAAGTACGCCCCAGCCACTCCGGTGACACCTGGAACCTTGACAGATAGAATGGAGCCCCAGAGCTCCGATGCACCCTCGCCCTTCTCAACGCGCGTTGTCACAAACAGCTGATCCAAGTCTGGACCCCCAAAGGTGCATGCCAGGGGCTTCTTCACAGGCAGCTCCACCTGTGCATGCATTCCAAGACATTCATCAACAGGCCAGAGGTGTTGAGATGTGACAAAGCCCAGTCAGCTGACCATTAAGTTCCCATCTGGAACCAAGTGCCCGTTCCCTGGGATATTTGTCAGCAGCGTGCATGTGAGCTGGCGCTATCGAGCCAAGCAGACAGTATAGTACGTTCTTGAGTTTCCTCGCAGCCGCTACACACTCCTCTGAGCTGAAAGTACGGATCTTCCAGTCGCTGCCCGAAGTACGCGGCATTGAAAAATGCCTTTGGCGCACCTTTCGCTTCAGCTCCCCAGTAGCAGGGTCATAGCAGCCCAGCGCAGACCCCTCCGGAAGAGCCACCCACAGATTTCCATCCCTGCAAATCCCAAAAGGCCGGCTCGTCAGGAAAATACCTCATTTGCCTTTTATTTCAAAGAAGCATGAGGCGTTGGTATTTCACAGGTGCCACACCACGGAGTGGGATGGGTGCGCCTGCTCGGCATCTATAGATGCACCCAAACCTTAGCATCCGTGCATGTCCAAGACCCCAGGCATATGGAGGTCAGCACACATCATCAACCCCAGGAGATCCCAAACATCTTCCAATTCTGGCAAAACCGCAAATGGCAGCCCCCAATTGTGTACTGAAAGATTGCTCGCACCGGTCGATGGTCATGCCATCTGGGATGCCGACCTCTTGTGGCACTTTCACGATGCATCGCCCCTGCAGCTTCCCATCCGCCCCCTTCACTGGCACGCCGGCCTCGTTTGTGTCATACGCCGATATAGTTCCTGCACCCGACACAACCAGGCACCTCTATGGGTGCAACATGCAGAAATTGGTGTGGGGTAGGTTCAGCCTAGCTCAGCTGAGAGCTGGACTAGCCTTGAGCTCTTCAGGCGCTTCTTTCAGCAGCTGAAGGATTGCTGCCCGTTGATGTGCAGTATGCGATGAGCAGTATTGCAGGCTTCCAAACCTTACAAAAAGGACAAGATATGCTAGCGCTTTGTTTGCAAGGGGAGAGAAGGGCTGGTGCCTGCATAGGTGTCGACAAAGTACATGGTCCGCCGGGCAGTGTCCCAGGCCATGCCATTGGGCAGGCCCACTGCCTCAGGCCCCATCAGATCCTCCAGCTCCCCAGTCTTCACATCCGCCCTGCGACAGCGCACACTCAAAGCTCAGAAGCTTAATCCCTGGGGAGTCAGAGTTTCATTTGCAGCAGCAATCTTCGTGCGCTGCTGCAACTCCCGCAAGTCCATTCTGATTCGGGTGGCTTCTCAAGGATATGTACACAATGCATTGAACAATGCTGCGCACGATTTGGGGTGAAGCTCCAATCACGTTTTTGCTGGGCTGCAGGCAGCCTTTGCTTCCCTTCAGCTGCCTGAGAACCTCAACTGTGGCCCAAAGAAATAGCAGCAGATTTCATCATTTCAAATTGTCGTTTCTGAGCAGATGCATCTTTCCTAGAAAGGGAGCAGGAAGCAGACCTGTAGAGTCTGCCGGGCTCTCCATTGCGCCAGCTGGCATGCATCCTGCCAACGATGAAGGCACCCCCAGGCGACCCCTTTCCATCGTTGAACCGCATGCTGTCCACGCCATGATCCTCTGGGACTGTCAGCAACGGCTTCCCGAAGGTCTTGGCTTGCACATCCACCGGAACGATCGTCCTGAGCAAGCATGCCCTCAGTGTTGTTGGCATGCGTTGAAAATCTAGAATATCCGCTGGGCAATCTGGAAGATGGTTCTTTATGCCATGAATCTTGGGTTGATAAAGCGAAACGCCGTGGCGCTGTTCATGAAGGTCTGAACGGGGCTGTCTCTGACCTTTGCATTGCAGCCAAAATGGTGTTCGTGTCTGCTGTGAGGGCGATCGTTCCAACCATTTCAAGGGCATCGATCACAACATGATTCTTGGTCGTGCTATCCCAGTACTGGATGTTTTTCGAGTTGATGTCCACGAAGTACAGTCTTTGAATCCTGGCATCCCAAGTCGGTGATTCTCCCAAGTCTGTCTTTGCATCTACAACAACCTCAATCTGCACATTTTCTCCCATCATGACAACAGAATTTGTACGAAGCGGCCAAAGGAGGACCTTTCCGATTTCACAAGGCCAATGGAAGGGAATAGAAGCGTCAGATTAAACTTACAAACCAGGGAATAGCTGCTTGGAGATCAATCTCAAATCTGTACACAAAATTCAGGATCTGAATGGGGTGTTGATTGCTGGTAATGTCGCAGTTCTGGGCTCTGGATGAGGATTCCTGACTTGAGGCATCCAGGAGTCGAGGTGGCAGGTGCACGGCAGCTTCGTCACCGGCACAAGATGTCGGAGACAATTTCTTGCCAGAGCTTGGTCCTGAAGAAATTCAGCATTCCACAGGAACCTAGAACAATCATTTACACAAACAATTACAAGAGACAATCAATCCAACAGAGAACGCGGTGCCGGATTCTTAGTGGCCGGCAATGCAGAATCTTGATGGTGACCTGAAAGAAGCTTTTCTGAAGACACTCTGCGGCAGCTTCAGGGAAAGAAAGGAAACTATAGACAAGGTATTTGTGGAAGACGCCACCTTCTGGTAAGTATCAAACATCTCATTGAAGAGTGCACGTCCACTAATCACTGTTCGTTGTTTGCTAATAGCAGAAGCTACGGACAGACGATGAATATATTAATGTGTTCAGGACTCGTGTGCAGGCATATATTCCACAATGCTTTTGGGAGGAAAAATATCCACGGCATTTACCAGGTGCTGGTCTCTGCAAGCTCAAAGAAATAGTCATCGCCTGACTTGTCTACGCCGCTTTGAATTTCAGATACTTGAATTTTGCCTTACAGTTCTGTTTATTTGCAGCTTTGGGCATGCACAAATTACCCACCACTGGGAATCGAGTTCGTCCGCATAGGTTCGGCCTTCTGCCTTGCTTTGTTGTTGCTCTGGCGCTGCTAGTTCTTTCAACCATCAGCGATTCAGAAAACCTGACTTGCGAGCCTTGCGAGCAACGGATTCTAACAACTACTTGGCTCTGTGCTGCAGTGGCTGATGAGAGGGACAATGTGGTTCTCGTGGACCTGTTAGAGTACTGCAAGTGCGCGCTCAGCACCTGAAACTCTCACAAACTCCTCATGCCATCTTGTCATGCAAAGTGTCCGCATCAACGCCTGCAATGAATGCCAGACTGGGAGCTGTAACTCCTGCAGATTCTCATCATTCCATGCTGGCCTGACATAAGTTTGATTGCGTGTGCTCTCACGCATCGGTCGGGCACATCGTGAATGCGCCTGCCGCATCAGTCTTGTATTGTCGCTGTACGACAAGTGACTGGCCCCGGCTGGCGGGGGCCGGTATAAGTACTGAGCGTTGTGTCTTGCGAGTCCATCAAGGGATTTTGGCAGCCTGTACCTGCAGCTTGTCTGCAGACGCACCTTGCCTCAATGGATTTAATAAAATTAACAATGCACAAATGATCGTGTGCTGCAGTGTGTATCCGCTACCACCCTGGACTTTCTTTGGCGGCCCCACCATGCGCCTGCATGTCATCCTCAGCCTTGTGGACACCCCTGCAGGAAAGAAGATAGAATACCAGGTCAGCTTCTTCCTGAACAAAGCACTTGACAGGCTGCTATGTGAGTAAAATGAATCTCAGCCTGTGAGATGACAGGCAGGATCTGAGCTGCAGACATACTGGCAAAAAATTTGAGAAAGCACAAGACACCACATACTGCTGTACTTATGATGTGGTACAACGAAGTAGGCAGTGTAGAGCCCCAGCAAAGCTATTCAGGAACTGTGGTGGTGTGTGTTCAGGAGGACCACAGCATGTGGATGGAGTCATTGCTGTTCCACACGCTGCCAGCCCCTGTCGGCCAGTTCCTGCACAACTACACCATGCCCTTCATCGGTCAGCTCCCCAGGCATTGAGTTTGCTGCTGGCTGTTGCTGCATGGCTGTGCTGTAATCTTCTTCCTCTACTTGCTGCACAGAAGCTGACCTTACCCTCCTGAGTAGCTTGATTGCTCCTGTGCGCGCGACTCTGATCGGTTGGTCCGCATGCAGGAAATTTGGTGGCCTCGCTGGGCAACAAGTTCTTCGAGTCGGAACAGACCCACATCCCCAAGGTGCACACTGGCATCATGTATCCTCTAAGCTCCAATTTGGAGCACCACTTTAGCCCTGCTGAAGCTGTAGCTGCCGTGTCTTGGTGGGTGATCATGCAAGGGACATACATGTTCTTCTGGAATACAACAACCTGCAGCTATCATGGTGTGCGCCCATACACATGGTATGTGCACCGCACTGTTGTGCTGACATGGCACACTGATGTCGCGCGCTGAAACTGGCATGCTGAGCTGGCGTGATGACGTGGCAGGAGGTGGACATGCAGAGGGTGGATGGCGAGGTGGGCGTATCGGGGCTGACGGAAGTGCGCGCTGATCTCGGGCGCGCAATCAGCGCCATGTTTGCCCGCGGCAGCAGCGCAGCACAGCGCAAGGCGCTCATCGATCGCCTCTATGCCCCGGTGGGATTCTGTCCTTTTCTAACGTATTCTCTCGGAAGTGTGCTGTGGCTGGGCTAGTCGCTGATGAGGGTCAGAGCTGTAGGCCGTGCCGCACAGTTCCCACACAGATTCTCTAGGGAGGTAGATTTGGTGTCTTGCTGCAGTTGATAAAGTCTCAGTATAGGCAAAATTGACGCTTGCAGGCCAGGTGACAAAAACCATAAAAGAATGGGGGCAGTATGCTTGATGAGTGGCAGATGATGGGTGCAGGATGCGCTGGTTTGGAACATAATGTACACGGTGAGGGGCCGGCGCGCCATTTTCGGCGCTGTCAACCTGTGGTGCTCCCTCAACAACATCGACGTCAAGATCAACCGCATCGGTGCGCCGCTCATTTCAGTTGATATTCACATCTTGCCATCCGGCCCGCTTGCAGATATTTCACGTCCGAATGACGTCCTGGCTGCCTTGCAAGCAGATCCATGAATATCTGGCCGCAGAGACCCCTGCTCACATGCGCAGCAGGGTTCTCTAGGGGTAATTAACATATTAATTGTAATTATATACCCCTAGGTTCTCCCTCGCTCACATGCTAGGGCCTACACTGTGTAGTGGCCGTGCCTCTCATGCTTAACGCTGTACTCACTGCCAAGAGTGCCAAGAAAGGCAAGACGTCAACCAAGCACTTGTGGGCGTTGAAGTCATGCCCTGCAGTGCAGTGCCTCACATGTCAAGACTGCGTCTGTTTCCAGGATTTGGAGGTGAGGCAAGGTATCAGCAACACATGATGGGGACCATGAAATTGAGAATGACAAGTAAGAGTGACTAATATGTGTGCGCTGCAGTGCCCTGTGGCGACACTGTGCTGGTGGACGTGGCACAGGAGGTGAAGCCGAGGTACTGGCCGGCCTTGATGCCCGCTTATGTAATCTGGAACCACATCGTCCTCACCCTTGCCGACTCCCCTGACGGGTGCGCGCAACCACCCTCTATACCCCTTTGCCTTTATCCTAGACTAAGTTTGAGAAGTGTCGGATAGTGGGACTCGCTTGGCTGCTACTACTGATACTAACAGGAAGCGTGACAGCTGCCTCCAGCATTTTACTTCATGCCTGCTCTTCATGCTGCACTTCTTGTCAATGAAAAAAGAGAGAGAGAAACATTACATTGTGCCAGCCAAGAAGGCTGATAAGATGTCCACTTTATATCACCATTATGAACTCGGTCTAATGAGAGTCTGGTGACTGAGCCACCTGTACGAGATCGTCTTGCCACATGAACTGACGCTTGGTGGTGATATTGGGCCTAAACAGGCTGTCATACCTAGCAATGGATCTGCCGCGTGCACGCACCTTGCTAGTGTGTGCCTGTACAAGACCAACATTTGACATGTGCTAGTTTGCATGCTTCTGGCTTGCTGGAGTGCGTGGTACTTGCATTCCTGCAGTTTGTGTCCTCTGATTGATCAGATAATTTCCCCAGGCTCATCTGGATCGGAAATGCTCACACGCAGCATATGTGGTGGCTGCAGGGGCAAGGTGATCCAAAGGCATGAGAATCACCCAATGGGCACAGAAGCAACGCTGATCTACAACCTTGGACCCATCTCCTGGATCATCAATCTGATCCGCCGCTTCATGGGCGTCGCCTTTGGCATCGTCGGCCAAGTCATCTATCTCATTCTCAACTTCCTGCTCAATCAGGTGCCCCCCAACTCTTCATGATGTTTTCAAAGCTCTGCGTGAGCGCAGACAAGAGGCGATTTCTTGCCATTGTGCGCACAGAAATGTGCTGCAAAATATCTCTGAGCTGTTTTGAGAGCGTTGCAGTCCTCCTGCGCTCTGCGGGCCTCTTTTTGTCATGTAAACATCTCGGCTTTGTTGTTGTGGATTTCTTGTACTGTTGGGCATCCAAGCTGCTTTTAAAGGGGCGTCAAAATGAGCCTGGAATCCAGGACAGGTGCTGTACAAAGGGAGGCCTGCTTCTGTGAGCCTGACAAACTTCCTCTCTGCACTCGCAGAAGGAGATGGAGCAGCAGCTGTCGGACATGCCACGAGAATTTGAGCCGCCACACGCGCACAAGTACAGCCATGTAAACTGAAGCACCATGCCATTGATGGGGTCCGCATGCAGACAAAGTGTGTGTGGATGTGGACCGAAGTACTTAATTATAGTGAGAGACGTGAAGCTAAAGCAACTCTTTTGGTAGGCGGATGCATAACTTTACGGCACTGAGATAATCTCAGCACGCCCATATTGGCTCACCTGGCAGATCAATGTGCAGATGCGGTCTTTCCTGCGGCTCTGCTAGTGCATGTCTGAAGCATCAGAGCACATCTAGTGAGATGGTAGGCACAGTTATGTATAATTCCTCTGTAGATGAAAGGCATACTACTGGCATTGCATAAAGTGCAGGAGTGCAGCAGGATAAATAGTCGTTGGGTGGGGCACGAGAGAATGACTTACCACCGTAGCGGTCGACCGGTCATGCCCGTGGTATTCAATTGCACAAACCAATTCTAATACCCTTGGTAAAGACACTCAGTCTGGGAATAAATAAAATTGGAAGTCCAAGTCAAGTGGAAGTCTGACATCCATTCCTTTTCAGACAAACTTGTTGGGGTGGAGGACAAGAAGATTGGCCAAAAAAGAAGGAAGAGAAAAAGGTTGATTGGCCGCTGCCGGATTTGAACCGGCTCCTTCTACTTCTTTTGTGGTGGAAGCAACACCCAACGCCTTTGTCTGAACCCGAAGATGAGGCTGAGCGGCCATCTGATGTCTAGAGGGCAGGTCGACGCATCCATATAACCTCGACTTCCTCCAAAGTGGAGTTTTGGCACTTGCAGGTATCTCGAAAGTTTCAAAAAAGCATCTCGGCAAACGATGCCCTGCTTCTACGATTGAGGCGGTGGAAATCTCATGCGAATATACTTATTCACACCTGATTTCCGCCGATCTTAAGGTCTGCAGAACCAGACAGTGGAGTGTATTGATGTAAGCAGTTGGAGGCTTGACACAAAGCACGGACACATAGAAACTTCGTTCGTTTTGAGCTTGCCATACGAGTCCAAGTGACTTCCAGGTTTCCCGAGCTGCTTCATCGCTCGTCGATCATTACATTAATGGCAAAGGTGCGTTGAGGATTCTTTTCCCTCAGTGTGTATTCTAGTGGCTGAGCAGATGTGGCTTTAAAAGAATAATGGGGGCAGATTTGGGGCCTTCAAAAGGTGTTTGGATGTCTGCTTTGGAAGCCACAAACCGGCTTTGGAAACACAATTCACATCTTTGCGAAACACATATTGCCCACTTTCAGCTCTTTGCCCCCAACACCACCACTTTGAGCCAAAAAGATCTTGAAAATGATACTTCAGCCAATTTGTGGCTTCAGAAAATTTGTTGGAAGGCATCCTTCAAGCCATATTGGCTGTCAGCCAAGATTTGTTGAAGAACGTACTGTCACGCCCAAACCTCATGAGTGCCAAACAGTTCTAGACACATGTCTGCTCAATGCGCAGGTTCCCACCATGGTCAGATGCTTGATCGCGCAGATGGCCCTGATGTCACTGCTGGCTGTATCTGCCCATACTAACAATCCATTCGGCAGCAAAGCAGAAGCTGAGGCTGGCAACATGAGGGGCGGAACGGCCTTGACACCGTCACACCTTAGCGGGCTTGGCAGCTCACAGGAGCTCTTAATAGAGACGGTCTGCGGCAACATGCAGGACGAGTATGGAAACATATACTACGGCTGCCGACAGAAACTCTCAGATAAAGAGGCAAACACATGTGAGCCTTTCTTCTTGGGTACAGATTTCCTGACATCAATGATCAGACGATCCATGTGGCCATGATGAAGAACAAGCGGAGGCATCCATGATGGGAATGGCAGTGCAGCAGCGTCTTGCCACGGATCATCAAGTGGTGCAACCCATTGATGGTCTGTGTGGCTGAGATGCAGTGATGATTGTGAGTGCATCCACATTAATCGGCCTGGCTATCCTTGGTTTTTTGGTCTCCTGCGCGCTCCAACGCTGCCGCAGAACCAACCGCGAGGACATTGCAGAAATGGTCCCGCCACCTGCAGGTAAGTTCTTTCTACATAACACCACAGGTCCTTGCGGGAGTTTGGACGTGCTTGCTTCTGTGAGATTGTCATCATCGTCACAAAGGCTTTTTGAAAACCACTTGATTGACATGCCTTAAGCTGCCAGCTGAAGCAGTGGTTGAAAAAGCTGTAGGACAGTACGTGTTGCTACTAGCTGCTAGAAGCACCACCTGCTATTACTTAAATTCAGGAGCCGCAAGATGAATGAGAATAATATTGGAGGGATCTTTCAAAATCGCCATAGTGGTGTTGACAGCATCGTACGTGTACCAACTTATGCATCACACTGCGCTGTTGTGACCTGCAGGCGATCCAGTATAGTCGAACAAACACCATCAGCCGGCAAGGATCCCAGTTGATCATGCAAGATGCTGGGCCTTACAAGACTCTTGGAAGGCCCAGAAATGCTCCAAGTACCATTCAACTAATTTGGTGGCCCCGGCTGGCGGAGGGCGGTATAAATACTGAGCACAGTACCCATGGTTGTTGGGGTTTTGCTTGGATCTGGCGAGTCCAAAAGGGGTAGGATTGTGGCAGCCTAAAATGCAGCTTGTCTGCAGGTCGCACAATGCCTCGTGGCAGGTAAGGCGTGTGACAACGAAAACTTTCGCTGTAATTTGATCGCCCCGCCAAAGAACCGGCATGCTGGTTAATGTTATAAACGTGGATGCTAGAGTCATCATACGATTCCAGATAAGAAACATGGCATGGCCGCTAGCCTGTAACCTGGCCCAAATTTGAAAGTTCCGTAAGGGCCCTTCAACCTGTTGATCAAATGCACCAGTCTGTTCTACATGGCATGCAGTAGGAGCACTAGGGTGTCACCAGCTGAGGCATCCAAAGGCCATGGGGTCATCAATGATAATCACCTTTTACTCAGACCAGCGTTTGGGATTTGGGGTATTACAGTGGTGCGGTGAAGAGCATGCCCGCCACTGTCTTTGTATTGCACAAACCTAATCAATGACCTGGGCAATAAGCTCATTGCTGAAAACCAAAACTTTGAAAGGTCAGGGGGGTAAAGAAGGAGGGTCTGCCAGCCAATGTTTTCAAGGCAACTTTTGTGGAATTGCTGCACGTGACGTAGAGGGGCAAAAACGATGAGAGTATGGAACAAATGGCCGCTGCCGGATTTGAACCGGCTACTTCTACTTCTCTTGTGGTGGAAGCAACACCCAACGCCTTTATCTGTGCTCGAAAGGGACAAGGATGCGCGGCCATTTGATGTTCGAGTGCAGGCTGAGTCAACAAAAGATCCTTTGCTTTCTGCTATCAAAATATCAGAGAGACTCTGAGAGGTGCCCTCTGTCACAACGCTCTGAGTTGGACGAGCCGGAAGCGTCGTCTTATTGATGGCCGTCTTTTCTATTCTCCTTCATGTTACTGACAAATATGAAGCATCAAGGACTCTTTCCCCAAAGTGCCGTGGTGGCAGCTACCAAGGAATCTTGGAAGCTTCCTGAAGGAATCTTTGTACCAGCACCCATTACTTTGCTTCAGCGAATACAGCTCAGTCAAACATAACTAATGGTTTCACTTGATTTCGTTAGACCTGCAGACCCAGGATATTGACGTATATCGCAATACAGAATCGCAAGGCTTGAGCCAAAGCAACGACAGACGGCGGAGGCATCGTTCGTCTTGTGGTGTTAAATATCAAAGAGCTTAAGGGACCTGCAAGTTTACTTGTTGCGTGTTACAGAGCTGCTACGTCGCTCATTCGTTCAATATCCTTAATGACAAAGGTACTCATCCTGTGACACCGCTTTGTCGGGCAGGCTGTGCGTCATCGCAAGTTTGGAACACCTGTGATCACGGTGGCAATGAGCGCAGGTTGCCAGCCGAATTTCTGGGTTCTGGATTGCGCTGACCCTGATCGTAGTGTTGGCTGCATATGCCGATGCATCCCCGTTTGACCAGGAGGCTCCAGCTAAGGCTGGGGACGTGAGTGACAGAATGGACCTGACGAGTTCACGCCTGAGGAATTTTGGCAGCTCACGGAAGCTCTTAACGGAGGTACACTGCGGTTGGTATACGGACGACTGGTCTGGATGCATTTACTACGCTTGCCACAAAGACGTTGACAAAAAAGCAGCGAAGATATGTAAGCATGATCCCTGCCAACAGGATTTACATCAAACATGAAGCACGCACCCACCGTTTAATCAACGAAGCTGCACAGTGCATGCAGGAGCAAAGATTTGGTCTTGCCACTGATTCCCCTAATTATTCTGATTCTCTGTGTGGCTGGAGTGCAGGGTTCATTGTGATTGAGTCAATAATTGGATCTATACTTTTATGTTCGGTGCTCTGCGGCATCTGTCACTGCTGCCGCAAGCGCATGCGCGAACGCAAGGCCGAGATTGCAGCGCCACCCACAAGCACCACTGGTGAGTACTCCCCAAGGAAGATCACAAATCGTCACAAACTCAGTGTGCTGGCACCCGTGAGATCAGTATCACCCTCACAGATGCTTCCTGGAGATCCTCACAAATATCCTGTCTCAACCCTGACTCTCAAGGTGCTCCTATAAAAAGCTGTGACCTGCAATCTCTTGACAGTGCCACAAGTGCTGTAGTGTGGGGGATGGCACTTTTATGACAGCTTCAAGTGCAACCATGTTGGGCCGTTGTCCTCTGCAGGCAATTTGGTGTAGGCGAGCTGGGACTGTCTGCTGGCAGGGACCCACCGGCACTCAATCATGCCGCATGCTGATGTAAGCAGCCTGACAGAAAGGGTTCAAACCACCGTGCGACAAGTACTACTGTACTCCAGGCCCTGTAGATCTAGACTGATCCTGCCGCTCAGGAATGGCCAGGCTGCTATCAAGTGTAAGAGTCTGTGGTGACGGAATCGATAGTAGTATAGGAATGATGTGGGGCCGTTTTGCAACTTAATAGGTGCACCCATGTGGGCTAGCCATGTGTACAAGCGCTTGTGCAAGCTTGTGCAAGCTTGCGCTAAATCGGGACCCTGCAGGCTGACTGATTGAGCAGTCAGCAGCTACATCTGCAGCCTGCCTTTGCCAATTCTGATTGCATTTCACAGCCCAAGGGTGCCTGCTTGTAACAGTCTGACTTTCTTTTGTCCAAGGGGTGTATATGGGGTTTTGGGGGTGAACCCTTGCACCCCAAGACGCACCGGCTGACACTCTGCTTACCTTACGCATTACAGACACAATCTCAAGTCAACTGGCTGAGTCTCTACCTGGTAAAAGATTCGCATCGCATAACAGTGTTGACGCTTCTACAGCTGTAGTGTGCCTGCCTCAATATCAGACGATCCCCTGTTCGATGCTTTGCAGTTGCAGGCACGCCTGACAGCAGGGCAATCAGAAATTCGTTCTCTTCAATGAACTCAAGACTGACATAGGCATTGAAGACACTATCGTGCGGTACAATTCTTTATAATGTCTGATCTTCTGAAAATGAAACGCTGACGATGTGAGAAGCATGGGGCGTTTTTAGTCAGATTTGTAAGCGCGTGGCAGGAGCGGTATGTATAATATCGGCAGCGTATAAAACGGATCCAATCAGTGATAAGATGGCGACCCGCAGTAGGGGATCCCAACAGTGGGGTGGCAGCCATGAGTTCATCATCACCAGGCAAGTATGGACAATTTGTGGCTCTGCAAATGCCTGAACTTCCTGAAACTAGTATTCACCTGCACTGTGAATCTAAATATATTATCAAGCGTGTACAGGTCTTCTGTAAAATGGTTTAACGCTTTTCCACCTGGCAAAGCTCTCCTGCTTGATGCAGCGCCACAGTCTTAATAAATAAATCTTGAGTAGCAAATATTTGCACGAATGATGTCTTCGGTCCCATGGATGCACAGGAAGTTGCTGTGCTGTTTTGTGAACGTCTCCTTCTTTCTTGCTTTCTTGCATCGGGTTTTCAAGGATCATGAAGTGTGGCCTGTGTGGCAGGGTGGAGAACGGAGGCAGAGGGGGCGTGCGGGCGTCCAGCAGAACGCAGCGAGTGCTGCAGAATTGGTGTCGAAACTGGAAGAACTACACCGTTGCCTTCATTACGCTGGCAGCAATCCTCTGGTGAGAGGTCCTTGCTTGGCACTTATACCCTACTGACCTGCTGATGTTTAACGCCTCCTTGGTTCTGTTAGAGAGCTGCTCACCGGAGCTGGAGACTCCAGACGCCCGCTGAAGTTGGCTCAAGTATGGGAGCAAGCATTGCGGTTTGGGGTGTGCAGGTTTGTCCAGGGGTCTGGCAGCAGGGCAGCGGGGGGCGTGAAGGGTGGAAGAAAGGGATTGTTCGGGCGTGGGGAGGCGGACACCTGCCCAAGGAGATACCCCCGGCTAACAGTCGAGGTCAGCCCCTCTTAGCTAATTCAGAGCACACTCCTTTTAAGTCGTCATCCTGATGTCCCCACCTCCGCATGTGGTTCAGTCTGCTGCCTGCCTGGCAACACGAAGGCTGTCATAATTGCCACAATCACCACCCTTCATGCAAATATATACCATGCCTAGCCACAGGCAAGCCCTTGCTGGACCCTGCTCAAAGATGCAGCTCTTCTATCTCTGTCAGGGCCCCACAAGGCATCTTTTTGCCCGTGCATGCCCCGCTTGGCCCTGGCCGTACAAATACTGAGCAACATGCAGACGGTTGGGTCTTGCTTGGATCTGGCAAGTCCATCAAGGGGTAGGATATGTGGCAGCCTTCCAGTGCAGCTTGCCTGCAGACGCTGGCAGGAAAAGCGTACAAAAGTCAAAATATCAATGCCCCGCGCAGGAGATTAAAGGAGGGCGGTATCCATACTTGTATGGGGGCCGGCCGGATGGGTGCCGGCAGTGCCAGTCTGAGGAGTATGTGTCCAAGTTCTGCCAGTTTGGCATGGACGGCCATGGGCAGTGCTGGGGAGGGCGGAGGGAACAGCTGATCCATTACTACCTGGAGCGAGGGTTCACGGATATCCTGACGTTCACCCCCTGCGACATGTGGCCGCTGCTGCGCGGGCGCACCCTCTTCTTCAGCGGAGATTCCCAGACGCAGGTGCTCTCTATTGCCGTCTGGCTACCGGTATTGAGTATCAGTGCTCAGATGCGCACAACAAAGCGCCTCACGCAATGAGGCAAAGCCTCCAGTGGAAGTACTTGTGAAGGGTGCAGAACAGACTATTTGGCAGGACTGTTTCTTTTGCATGTCGCCAACTCACTGTCACCATACTTTGGAGAAAGAGGGTGTCTCTATCAGACCCCTTTTGGAATGTGAAGATGCTTCAATCCATGCGGCCTCGTCTGAAGTATCTACTGACGATGAAAGTCATCGCATACAGCCCGCACGCAGCACAGTTCACGAGCGCTGATCATTTGTATGACTGCCTGCGGCGCAGGACTTCATGATGGCGGCGCACTGCTTCATGTACGAGTTCACGGATCTGGGGTGGAGGGAGCTGGGGGATGATGGAGTGGCGCCCCTGCGAAAGCCGGGCTTTGTGTGGCACACCGGCCCCGGCTGCGTGCTGCTGCCTGAAGACACCAAGATCTGCTTCCTGCGCTGCGACACCGTCAGTTGCATGATGGGCGAGGTGCGCACGCAGATGTTCTCCACACTGCTCTATGCTGTAGCCAACAACCGTGCTGATATTCTGGGGCAGGTTCACTCCAGGGATTAATATGGGCTAGAACACTTTGAGACCAGCCAGGATCTTAGACATCCTGGAATACATGAGGAAAATAACGACCTGGCACTTGAGCATGCAGGTGCTGAGTGGCGTCATTTTCTGTTTCCGATTCTCCTGCTGAGTCCCATTCAGGAGCAGATCGTTTCCTGAGACAACACTTAATAGCCAAATAAAATTGTATAACTCATTGCATCTGAACAGGCTTGTAAGCAAGCAAGTGGCGCTGTTGGAGTTCAGGAGCACGTCAAGAGGCGTGCACAGTCTCTTTAGTGGGCCACGCTCTGAATTTGAATAAGAGCATGCATGTGCGAGCGCAGGTGTTGGAAAAGGTTGGCAAGGTGGGCAAGCGGAGGGATTATCTGGTGCTCAACTTTGGGCTGCACTTCTCAGATTCCTACAGGGAAGAGCTGGAGGTGTTCATCGGCCAGGCAAGCTTTCCCTCGGTGTTTTTTACTACCTTCTGAGGTGGCTGATTTGCAGGGGCCATGGCGCTTTCATGACTGGCTTGTCTTCCTATGAGGGAGTCAGACAAGCATGCAGCGCAATTTCTTTCACCATCTGTGTTCCAAGTGGAGTTCCACCATCTACCTCAATGGGAAGGGCCCCAAACACTTGCTAAGGAATGCACAGCTCAGGGAAAAATTGGGGTCTCATGTAGAAGGCTGCGACGTGTGGCGAAGGTAGTGCCAAGCAATGCCTGCGCCTCACGCAGTGACCGCCTACATGAGCGTCGCCGAAACTGCCTTGCGTTGTTCACAGGACCCAGCCCTCAGAACTTGAAACAAGGCATACCTCTCTCTGCAATTGGTCTCTAGTACTAACACCCGCACGAGTGCCCTCGCCTTATAATCGAGGAACGCCTCTCGCCGCAGCGTGTCATCATTACTGACCCCCATGCACATGTGCGCGCAGGTGCAGGCGCTGCGCTCTGCCGGGGAGTTCCCGCACCTGATCTGGAAGGACACGGCGCCGCAGCACTTCAAGACGACCTTCGGGGAGTATCCCGAGGACAAGCCGAAGCCGCCGTTTGAATGCGCGCCGATTGGGAAGGGCATGCCGCCACAGGTGGGCTACAGAAATATTTCTACAATGCTTAGGGCTCAAGGAAAATAATCTCAGGGATTATGATTTAGTGTTAGGAGACATCTTAGAGTGATATTTCACACGGGGAATGCAATGGTGGATTAAGGGTTTAGGGTCGATCAAGGGTCGTACTTCTGTTACAGAGAAAAGCATTGTGAGACTATACTCTGCGCGCAGGTCGGCGCCGACAAGTGGCGGCTTCGTGAGGACCATTCCGTGGAACTGCTCTCCCCCGAATTTGCCACAGTCGCCGAGGGCGGCTGGCGCAACAAGGTGCGCGCTTATACTTGCTTTGTCTTTGATGCCTCCTTGAGCACCATTACACGCCCGGCATCTTGTGCTAGGACGCTCGTGAAGGGGTCGCAGCTGGAAGGAAAGATTGCTAGATTGGTCGATTGCCTGCTGCCAGCACCTTTGCACATTGTGCTGCCGCCATTCCCTAGAAGCACAAGGTTGCTGGAGGACTCAGATTCCCCCAAGGTCTCAAGAGGAATCCCTGCAGCAGGAGGCTGCTGATTTGCCGGCAGGTTGCGAGACATGAAGTGCTGGGCCCGTCTAGCATTCCACTGCACAAGCATCTTATTCGTGTCAAAATTTTGCGTCCACAAGTGGCGCTCAGGAAGGCGGTCATGCACTGGCGCAGATTACGGGATTTCCAAGGGGATGCATTGCCTTTCTTCTGTGGGGTATTCTTATACTTCCTCGACTATGGCGCACAGATCGCGAACGATGTCATGGCGAAGGCGGGAGTGCCAGTGGTGGCGGCCTGGAATGAGACGCTGCCGCTGTGGGACTATCACCGAGACAACGGCGCTGGCCTCGAGTGCACCCATTTCTGCGTTCCCTCCGCGCCCCAGCTCTGGGTCTACTTGCTAACCAAGACTTTGCGAGCAATTGCCGCTGCGGAGCCTGCTGGCGCCTCCGCCTGATCTGGCGCTGCTCCGGCCCCTTTCTGGCTATTTTTAGTCCCCTCAACACCATTCTGCGAGGGAGTGCTGGTCTGCACGGCGTTTAGAGGATGGGATGAGGGTGATTGAGACACAAAATCGACTTTTAAGGAAAGCTTGTAGCTGTGAGGGAGTTCAATGCAGCAGTTCAGAAATGGGAAACTGATTTTAAGATAGAGCAAGATGAACTCAGTTCAATTTGATTGTGTCAGTGTGCATATGTGTGTTCTCGGCAGGTTCCTGCATTTGACAGCAGCTTCTGGATGTGCTTCCTTGCAAGTGAAAATAATTTCTGCGTTCTACTGGGCCAAATTGGTCCTCAAGCATAAAGGCGTTTGATTTTAGGCAACACGTGGAATTAATTCACTGATCCACTGGAATCTCTGGGCGGACAGAGCCAGTCCTGTTGTCTGAGGTGCATGCTCTCAATCCATGGGCAGCTTGCAGGGCAGATGAGATCAGAGCAGAGCGCGAAGGATTCCACATCATGGGCCATGATAGAAATTCAGAAGCTTCATCATAGAGAAAAAACCCAAAATATACTTTCTGGCGGGCTGTGCCCGGGCACCAAGAGATCATTGGGGCTGTTGCAAGAAAATGCAATGAGCTGATGCTCGAAATCTTTTAAAAGGATCCCAAATCCAGCTGGAGCGCAGCTATGGTCGTCAATGTGAAAGTCCAGGCTTTGAAATGATGTTGGAATTACAATTGCATGCCTGTTCAAAATGTTCAATTATTCCTGTTATTACTCCCTTCCTACTTGCTCTGCTTTATGCAGGCATCTGCATTCCTATTCCTTTAACCTGGGCATGCAAGGAAGTAAAACTTTCGTTCTCACGATCCAAGTTTTTAGTCTACCTGGATGCATATATGCTAGCGCCCCTTCAAGTATACATGCTGATAGAGGGGAAAATGATGTACGCAGCCTTGCCACTCCCAAAATCCAAATCCTAATTCAATCCTATGATAGAACACCCAGTTTCAACTCAGCATACAGAGCTTACAATAGGTCTATTCTACTCAAGATCTATTATTAGTTTGCTGTTCAGCTCTGTCTTGCAATTGCCCTCATCAGAATACTTGCTCTGCACGTCTGCAACCTGACCTCCAAGCAGTCTGCCAGAACAGTGGTCAACCAGTGGTCAGAACAGAACACAGTGCAGTACAATTACTATACAGTTGTGCCACATCTGGTGTGCTCAGATGACAGCACGCAGTGTGACATGCAGCGAGCTGTCGGCAAACCAGGCATACATGCCAGGCAGCTCTGCATTGACTCGCTGTCTGAACCTCTCTATCAGCGCCCCTACCTGCGTGGCTGCCTCCACGTGGCCTGCCTCCAGCGGCAGGCCAAAAGCAAGCGTCACTCCCAAGTGGTCATCTGTCCAATGCACATCACGCCCACACATTAGCTCATGAGACATCCAGCAGGTCACCTTTTTACGACATATGCTTTCCAATGGTGCTCGCAAAATTTTGCTCTTTGTCATATAGAGGATCAGTCAGGCTTCTTTCCAGGAAGCAAGTGGGTCGTGGTGAAGGAAGCGCTCAATTTAAGAATCGCAGGCTCTAAGAACATCCACAATCTGTGCTGCAGGTGAGACTTGGCCACTCAGGGACTTTGGCGCATCGACAACACTCCTGCCGCTGTTTGACTTGACAAGTAATGGGACCCCGAATATGTCACCCTGAAGGTGTCCCAAAGCCTGGGCAAAGAGTTTGTGGGAATGCCCACAGTGCTTGGACTGGCAAATTCCATCTGTATTAGCCAATCTGAAAAACCGATCACACCGAGAGGCGAGCTGTGCAGGCGCACCTCTGTAGTGGCCTTCCCTGTTGCCGTCACGGCTGGCAGCAAACCAGTAATCGGGCGCCTCGGCCTCTGCCATTATGCGATCCACTCTCTCCGTCTCCTCGCCCTCTGGCAGTGACTCATCGACCTCGCCAGAGAAGCCCATCTCCTGCCAACTCACCAGCCGCTCCAGACTCCTGCAATTAAATTCACATTCTGAGTGAAACCAGACTCTACCCAGGATGATCTCAATGCCTGGAGGACTCTCATCCGGTCAGCTGGTTGCATGAGAGCTGCATTTTGCCATTCATTGACCACCCATTGTGTTATGGATGCCCTGCGGTCATTTCCAGGGCTAATTCAAGCCCAGTGCTTTGTTTTTGTTGATGCAACAGGAGCCCTGTTACGATTTCTTGAGAGTTGGAAAACATCGAGCGTTTAAACATCCAGGATTGACATCACGCCTGCACTCAAAGACGGCCACTGCAGCTCTGTCGATCAGGAAGCCCTGGGATGCCAGCTCATCCGCCCTTAGCAACTCTGTCTCCTCCCTGGCACATTGCAAAAGCATCTGCAATGACGGAACAGACTCAAATTGCAGAACTGCATGCCTGGTTCACGCGAGGCAACATGGGCAAGATGCAGATTTAGTCAGGTCTGTGTCTTGGCACCACTTGGATGATGCCAAAAAGAACAAAGTGTCAAGGAATCTCTGTGTAAAAATAAAATGCATCCCATGCCACGTGCACATTAGAAATGCATCCGAAAGTTGCACAGTGGAGTGCTTGCAGCAGACCTGCAGATCCTGAGCAGGGCGTCCAGCTGCTGGGGATTCAGCCTGCACGTGTCCCTAACAGCGCCCAGAGAGGTCTTGGGCCACTTGGACCCAGGATTCTCCTTTGGCAGGCTGCCATGCCTTTTGTCGAGTTCCTGCTTCAGGCGCACCAATGCTGGTGGAAAGCCCCTACGCGACACAAGATGAGACCTTACACTGCTGCTGTGTTTGCCCCAACATCATGCAATTCACGGTTGGAGCGCACACAGGTGTGCACCTGCCTTGTGAGCTACATCCTTATTCCAGATTGTATGGAGAGAAATGTGCAGACATGGTGAACTGGATCGGACCTGTATGCGAGTGTGACAACGCCCTGCCACGACACAAAGAAGGCATGCGGGCGCAGGATGCATGTGGGAGTGCTGGACAGAAGCTTGCTGAGCTCACTGCCTCTAGTTTCTGCTGACAAAACCTGTGCAGCGTCAGTGAAGGTCAGCTTCAAGTGTGAAGCCATACGTTAGGGACTCTTGGAGAATTTTCAGCATGCATTGAACTCCTGTCTTAGCATACAAGGTGATTGTTGGAACTCACCTGCTGGGGGGCAGGCTGTTCTTGGGCATCCCCAGTGTCCCCTGCATGATGCTCCAGATGCTTCTTGTGTGCCCTTCCGAAAGCTCTTGCGACAGCACTCATACTAATATCGTGCCTGCAATGGTAATTTCTTTACTTCTGGCTCGAGGAGTAGTTCCCTCTCAAACAAAGTGATCCAAGATCGGGCAGGAACGATCAACAGCTGACGTGACTCAGGTCGTACCTTTATTCAACTACAATATAAGAGTATCTCAGAAGTGATGGCGCTGTCAATGAAAGCTGCGGATTCCCGATGAGTCGTCCACCGTGGTGATGAAGACCTCGGTTTGCAACTGGACAAGTTCTGTGTGATGCGGCAGGATGGACCCAGAAAATTCCAATGTTACAGCAGAACAACAGAATACAATTTAGTGTAATTCACAGACAGCTCTGCTTGAAGGGCAGATATTGACAAATTGACAGCCCTTCAGGGTTCTCTAGAGCTTGGGGTCGGTGTCCCTTTGGAGCTCACAACTTTCCCAGCTGATCATTCTTGTGTTTCAGACTGCATTTGGATCGCTCAGCAGAAGGTGTTGAAGATGAGCTGGCAGGAGTATGTCGACGATCACTTGATGTGCGAGCTGCCAAACGGAGGAACACTGAAGAGTGCAGCGATCGTTGGCCTTGATGGAGGTGTCTGGGCGCAGAGTGCAGACTTCCCAGCTCTTGGAGATGACGAGGTAAGTCTAAAACATACTTACATTTATTACCTGATGTGGATGAGAGATCAAGCAGTGGTTCACAACTACCTCGTGGAGGTTGATGAGTCTGATGATAGTGAAAGGACGTGAGTGGTCTTCTTTGCCAAACCTGTCTCCACATCTGAAAGTGTTACTTGATTATTGCGTAACTTCCGAGCTTGTATCATGGAAGAGCAAGCCTCGCATGTTGTCTCCTAGAGCTTGTCTGAATCACTTCTGCCACTCTCATGGACAAAGACCGGCCTGTCATCTTCATCCCTCAATCTTATTATCAGTTTATTTGATGCCTGATCAACTTCAGGGGATCAACGCTGTGCCTCCCATTGTCTTTCTTGAGCACCATCTCATTGTGAACAGTCTCCTGTTGACATGGGGCCTCTGCTTTTTGCAGGTCGCCAAAATCGTGAAGGGCTTCACGGACCCCTCGGTGTTGGCAACAGGGGGCCTGTACCTGGGGGGCGTGAAGTATCTGTCCATCTCCCCAGACCCTGCAGTCATCCGTGGCAAGAAGGGCCAGGACGGGGTGACCGTCAAAAAGACAGTCAGCGCTCTGGTGATCGGCATCTATGGCGAGGGCGTGCAGCCTGCAGATGGGAACATCGTCGTGGAGAATCTGGCTGACTACTTGACAAATACAGGGATCTGAGGGACAGAAAAAGGATTCATGCAGCACACCCGCATGAGGCTGCGGGTGATGCACTGAGCGTGCACAGAGCTAGATCATCATGGGCAATGCTGAGAGGGTAGCGGTAGATTTGTATATTTATGTGCAATGCACTGGCTAGCAGTGCATAAAAGAGACTGCTGGCTGGTACTGAGTGCGGCAGCTACTGGCTTTCTAATAACAGTGAGGCTCAAGAAGCAGTACAATGTTTCTGCAGAGACTGGTGGCAGCATGGGCCGGAATCTGCAGGGCAATTAAGCAATTGTCTGGAATGATAAAGAGGACACAACTAGGAAAATGTTTTGGATTGCATCCAGCTCTTCAGATTTGGGCTTCAAAGATAAGAATAGCGATTTCTCGAGTCTTGTAAATACAATCAACACAACTTCTGATTTGAGGACACACATCAATCTACTTGCGTTGCCAGTGGCTCCTAGCCATACCGAATTTGCGGGAACTGAAATTGCGGCCTTCTACAACCTGATCAGGTCGTAGCATTATTTCATAACGCCATCTATCATGATATCAATATTACTCGTCCCTTTTATCAGATTTTGTTGTATTCTGGCAGGAGACACACCAGCGCAGAGTACTTGCATACATTGCTCTCACAGTGGGCCTCCTATCAGTTTCAACAATTCTCTTGACAAAATCTCTTGAAACTTCATTTTCTGCATCAAGGCCCTGCGGGATTGCAATCTCGCAGGGCTGCAACTCTAGCATCAATCTGCTTTGTTGATCATCTACCCTAAATTGCGGAAAGAGCGCACGTGTGCTAGAATGAGCTCATGGCGACTGCCCCTGTGCGGCCCACAGCTGCTGCAGGTCGACTAGCTGGGCCAGACAGCTGGCCAGCAGCACCCCACTCAAGTCCTTCACATAGCCATCCACCCAACACCGCATCCCCTTTATCTCCCTTATCTGCACAGGCACATGCTGCAGCTCACCAGCTCATTCAGTTTGAACCCAACTTCCTGCAGCGCTGCACGGCATCGTGCAGTGTGCATGTGCAGAAGAGCAGTATGCATCCAAATTCTTATGACTGTCTTTAAAGGCTGGTCCTGCCAGAGGCAAGGCACATCTGCCGCTAGCAAACACTGCCACATGCTTCGGAATGGTTAAATAAATACGTTCGCTCGCATGTGAGAAAGCTAAGCCCAGCAAGTGAAGTCAAGATACCTGGAGAATGGTATGAATAAATTATTTAGGGATGGGCAGACCTCGCATTCAATGCGCAGAGTGGTGTGCAGGGGCACGCTCTTCTTGATCTTGAAGCCAGCCTCTATCGTGGACAGCATGGGGGAGAACTCCATCTTTCCCAGCTCTGCTGTGGCTTCATCCAGCAGAGACTCCACCTGCACGCATGAAGACTCACCCTTCAGATGCACACCTGCTGATTAGCATGCAATTGTGAAACAAACGTAAGCTACGGATATGAAGTCGTTTACTTGCTCCCACGCAAGACACTAGGGCGTCATTAAGTACGCCCGCAGTGTGCAGTCAGCAACGCACAGCTCCCCCGTGAGCAGACATCCAGTAGCCATTGCCTATCGATGCTCTGTCCCCCAGCCGAGCTGCCCCCAAAATGGTGCCGTACCGGTCATCTCTCTGCTTGTCCTACAATACGAATCACATCACAAAATCACGATACTTTTTTTTTCAGAAGTTGCAATTCCTGTGTCAGCTAATCTGGCTTGTGCCCAGATCATCAGGTGAAAGTAAAGGATGTCACCCATGAGGTAGTCTCAGACCTTCGAAATCTACAATAGGTGATCTGCTCTTCCTGTACCTTATAAAATAGGCGCATGTCAAAGCCGGCCTGAGCGGCTTCATCACCGGATGTCCAGCTGCCGTTTCTGAGCAGCTCATAGGGCGAATGCTCTCCGGCAAGGTGCTTCTCGAAAGGGTGCGCCGTTGGATCTTCAGCTAGCTCCCTCAGAAGAGGATCCCGCGGTGGGAACAGGCCATGCGGCCTGCAGTCAGCTGAAGGTAGATATTAAGGCGGCCCTGCCAATGTGTAAGTCATCGATTCCACCGTGCTAGCACATGTATATTGACATCAGGGACACTCCAAAGAGCCCTGGCAATTGGGGCTTGTTGTCACAGCATGCAGGTCCCAAAATGGCCTAGGTGCAATTCCAGCAACTTGGGGCAAACATTCATCGGCAAATGGCGATGAGAATGAAGGCACCAATAGTAGTCCGCTTGGGAAGCCAGGGGCGCACCTGGAAGGCAGACCATCAGCTATGGTCTGTGCTCTGTACCCAGCAACCGTGGCTGCAAATTGGTTGGCACGCGCGGATGCGGGTGTGTTTCTATGAGCTGCTGGGTCTTCTGTCTGCTCCACTGAACCGCCTGGCTGATCATCTACCTCCGACCCTGCTCACAATCCAGATTCAAGTAGAACTGATTATGCAACTAGAGACTTTTATGTTAAATCTGCGCAACTGGTCCGGTTCCTTACCCTTCTCAGTACGCCCTTGAGACGCCATCCCATTCAAGGAGGATGGCTTATTGGTACCACCAGACTCATAGTAATACGTGATTTGCTCAGTGCTCCAGGTATTCATGCATTCTTCAGAAATCTCGGGTACATCGATGTATTTCTCGCTCAGTACATCGATTAGATTAATCAATCTGATCGTGCTTTCGTCCATGCCCCTTCTCAACGAGCCACTCTTGTCATCTGCCTGTGGTCTTGAGAAGTGGTCTTGAGATCACTACAAATCCTAGAAAGCTTGTCAGCGCTACCTTCGGGCCTCTCTGGGCAGCGTGATGTCAACAGCGTGCTCGCCGGGAGGACCCTGTTCAACCGGCGGTTGGCGTTTCTGCGAAACCGCTAGGGCGCTTGCAAAAGGAAAGGGGATTTGATATGTGCGCTTTGGACCTGTTCAAAATTTGCTTGTGAACGTTTGGGAGTTATTTTTTGGCTCGGCGTAGGACCGCAGCGGGCGGCAGGCTTGTAGAGGCTGCCATCGTCGTAAAATCTTGCTGAACTCGTCCAAACGGTCCAAAAGCAGAATTCACGGTGGGCATGATTACAACTCATTGTCTGCAGTAAGACTGGTAGCTTGTCAATACACCCTGATGGCGTCTCGGAGAACTCTAAGGGAGCGGCGAAACGTCAATTACAATGAGGACATGCTCGAGAAACAGCGCGGCGCCTCTAAAGCCATGGAAAAGGATTTGGAATCTGAAGACAATGATAGGTACGAAACAGCATTTGCATGGGTAGCATCGCGCCATTGTACGGTTGACTTGGACATGTAGGATTCTTAGGCGCATTGACAATGGCAGATTTGCTCCATCTAGAGCTCTTGTCATATCAGATGAGGTTTTGATGGGAGTTTGTTGTTAACACTCAAGTCAAGCAGCGGCTCGCGTGGCCTTTTCCTTTTCGATGGCCTTTTTGTTCGTGTCTGGAATCCTTTCAGTAGAGATCTATGCCAAAGCCACGGTACACAGCGCTCACGGCGTCTACTGCGGGTGATTCAGGGAGGCAAGTGACTTTAGCGGAGGAGAGGATGATGCGGGCAGCAGATCTGATTCTGATTTCGAATCCAGTAGACCCCATGCTCGTAAGCAAACACGGCGAACATCAAAATCGGAGTCTGACAGTGAGCAGAACTCCGATTCAGAGAGACCAGCAAAGAAGATGAGGAAGCAGAAGCCAGTGAGGGAGTTACCTGGCCGCTCTGCACGACCTGCAACATACAAAGATGGCAGCAGCGACGACAATGACAGCAACGATGAAGACGATGAAGAGGTCTCCATTGGTACGCCTGCAACCTTGTTGTCTGCCTCAGAACTCGCGGCCATGTATCCTTCACAGCGATCCATCCTACTTCCATTGCTTCTTAAAATGTAAAAGCTTGGCTTGATTTGATAGCATTCAGGTCTTGCTTGAGATTAGCTTCCAACTGCCTGTTGTGTCACAGGCGGTGAGGAGGTTCTAGGGCACGAGGACAGACCCCTGTCCCAGGAAGACATCGCAGACATCGCGTCAGCGGACATCCCTGCAGAAGATGTGGCCATGTTGGAGGACGGATCAGGTGCAGATGACAAAGCTGCTGCCGCTGAGAAGCCTGCCGCGCCCGGCAAGCGGCGGCTGCTGCTGAAGCGCTCAGGCCCTGTCGCCCCAAAGCAGGCGGCTGCACCCCAGGCCACACCCACTGACAGTGCAGGTGACCACTGAATGCTCCTTGCCCAACAGCATGACATCTTATTGAAGATAGTTAGATGAAGAGGTGCATGCAAGTCAAGGCATTTCTGCATTCTGTGAATGTAATGGTGTGAACCGGGTATGTCTGACATGGGGGAAATTTTGAGTTTAATTGTGTGCTGCGCCTCCTGGCCAATGTCAGAGCAAGTGTGTGCTATTGCAGGCGACGCATCTGAGGGTGATAGAGGCGCCAAACGAGGGGAGAAGAAGGCAAAGGAAGCATTGCTCAGCAAGCTCAGCGAGGTCACGCGCGAAAGGAAAGCTGCCTCAGAGACCACTCGCGCCAGGAATTCCCGAGCAGCCGTTACCAAGGTGACTATATCGCATGCATGCTTTCCAAAACCACCTGAGGTCAAGAATTGCGCAATGCGAGCGCGGATGTTCAGAGAAAGAGGATACAGACATCGAAGCGCAAGGGCAAGCGCCAGAGTGGGCCGCCTTGCAGAGTAAATGAAATGCGCACAACGTACAAGATACACAAGATGCACCATGAATGCTCTGAATGCTTCTCTGCTTCTAGTGGTTCTTTGATGAGTGTTGGTATGCATGCAGGCGCCCAGTCAGCAGCGCCGATCCGCCCGCGACCTCGCCAAAGTGAATATGGCAGAGGCAGACAGCAAAGGGGAGGAGCCGGCTTCTGACGAGGATGGCAGTGACTTTGAGGGGAGCGACGCCAGCTCAGAGAGTGACGCAGAAGCTGATGAGCAGGTCCTTGTCTCCGACGGCGATAATGACTTTGTGGACAAGGCGCCCCGCAGGTACACGCACCTCTCTTTTGCAGCATCCATTCCTTCCCGTGCCATAGTATCTGGTGTTGTCTTGTTAGTCTCAGATGGTAATTGCAGCTCTGGAGGTCCTTAACAAGTAGAGAAGCTTGCAGCCTGTCTGGGTTCTTCACAGGAGAGGGTGCTGTCAGTAGGATTTGCATCCGCGCACAGCGAGAGTTTCTCAAATGTGCACTTCTGACAATTGCATGTGCATGGCTTCTGCAGACCGCCACCCTCGAAGAAGGCCAATGGGGCAGTTGTGCGACGCTCCAACAGGGCAGGCCCCTCTGCACCTGCTCAGAAGGTCTGCACATCCACAATCATGACTAGTGTCCCTCCTTATGCAAGAGTAGCAGTGCGCTGGGGCCGCGCATTAGCATTTCGAACAGAAGCCTGCCTCGCTCGGCATATGCACTTCAGTGCACTTACACTCGTTCAGCTCTGATCCACTGTGCAGGCAGTGACGTGGCAGTAGCAATATATTAAAGATCTTCTGAGTGACAGCGCTTTCACGCAGGGTGCGCAGAAGCAGGGCGCAAAGAAGGCGCCTGCCAAGAAGGGCAAGGCTGCCGGCGCCAAGAAGAAGGCGTCTCTTTCGCGCAGCCGCTCTGGCAGCAGGTACCAACTATCCCACATCACCTCCAGTAGAACAGCTTTGCAATTTTTGCATTTGAAGCATCCCCATGCATGCATGTCCATGACTTAAAAAGGCTGCTATCAGGGATTGAAGCACCCATGTCTCAGGAATCATTTTGATCGTCTCACATGCATTCCTTCACCCTTCCATCAATCTGAACAGCCTCCTTTGTGTGTCATGCGAATTTGAAGGCCGCCTGACATGGAGAGCTCTTCGCATGACAGCGTGTGCATGATCACAGGAGGACGACGCCTGCAAGCAGCAACGAGGAGGAGGCATCAGACGAGGAGGAAGACGCGTCGCAGGAGTCATCAGAGTCTGACGTGGACGAGTCAGACTTGGAGCGCGTGGAGAAGATCCTGGACGTGCGCGAAGACAAGGGCGGCAAGGAGAAGATCTTTGTCAAATTCAAGGGTGCGGCTTTCAATACTCTTGTTGACAGTGTTATGTTAAAGTTCCGCATGGATAGACTAACCTACCTACTAGAACTGGTGCATTGTGCCTGGAGTCATTCTTAGAAAGTTGCGCTTGCCTGCATCAGCCCTGATGACTTGTGGCAGACAAGGGGATGAAAGACATAGCAGAGGGTGTTTGCCCTGTTTGCCCTTTCTGGCATTTGTGAGTTGGCATGTGAAAACATCGCACAGCCACTTGTGGCTCATCTGCCGGAATTGCTCGCACATTTGTATGGTGAAATATCGCCTTGAAGGCATGCCTCATGTGATTGTGCAGAGGTGAGCTACCGCAAGGCGGAGTGGGTGGCCGGCGAGGAGCTGTGGGAAGTCAAGGCGCAGCTGCTGCGCAACTTCATGCAGCGCCGCGCAGTCGACGGCGGCGGCTCCGGGGAAGATGACGAGGAAGGTGCTGCCGGGGGATTAGTTAACGGCATCAACCCCGACTGGCTGGTGGTGGATCGGGTCATCGCCCAGCACGGCAAGGGTGCATCTACTGAGTACCTGGTTAAGTGGTGCCAGCTGCCATACTCGGACGTCACCTGGGAAGCTGCCAAGCACCTGTCACACGCTGAGGACAAGGTGCGCCGCAGACATCAGGACAGCACTGATGAAAGGCGTGGGAAAACCTGGGACATTGTTTTAAGGTGCTACCGGTGGTGTTGCTGCAGGAGGTCTTGGCCGCTTGAGTTTGAAATGCCATAGGACTGCCCCGCCAGAGTTTCAAGCGCATTGCCAATCTTACAGCCGTATGCATGCATGCCTTCACGCATGTTCTAAGTGGATAGTGGGGATCACAATGGCTCAGCTGGGATCAGCAATGTGCACTGGGGGAGGGATAAGTGCGCTGACATTCCAGAATATTCCAAAATTTGGCTCAAATGTCATCTATGCAATGCACAGGAGAAGATCGCGGCGTTCAAGAAGCGGGAGCAGCCGGCGGCGATGCGCAAGGGAGCGTCGGCGGCGCGTACGGACGTTGTGCCGAGCTTTTTGAACGGGCGGCAGCTGCGTGACTACCAGCGCGAGAGCCTCAAGTGGATGATGGCCAACTTCCGCGTCCAGAAGAACTGCATCCTCGGCGACGAAATGGTGCGCCCACCAGCCTGCATGACTTTCACGCCCTGCTTAGTCTTCATGCATATGGCCATTGAGCGTGCACTGTATGCCTCATGCAGTGAGGATGCAGTAGATTGGGGTGCTTTTGGGGTGTGGATCAAGTGCATATTAAGCCTGGCCAACATCGTATTGCTCTTGAGCATATGCATGCCCAGGGCACATTGTTTAATGCTTACATAATGGGACCTATCCCTTGAGCATGCCAGACACTCCTGCATCGTACCTGACATGAACCTGGTTGACGCTGTTTTTTCTGGTGTGCCCCTGGGACAGAATCCAAGCAGCTTGTCAATCAAGCCGATGGCGGTCAATCAACCTCCCGTGGCTGCAGGCCTTGCATGCAAATGCTTGGCAGACCTTGCCTCCCATGTCATTTGTCAGGGTGGCAGCCTTGACTACCATGACTCACATTTACTCCTTGGCTGAGGTCTTAGACGGGCACATTTTGTGGTAAACAGCAACATGACGGCAGCTTGTCCGCAGACGCACCTGCCTCCAGCAGGAAAGGCGCGAAATATTTAAAATTGAGCAACATGGGTGGAATAATGACAGTCGATGTGGATGTGGTGCAGGGCCTGGGCAAGACTGCGCAGTCGATAGCGACGCTGGCGTTCCAGCGCCAGTTCCTGGGCATCCCGGGGCCCCACATTGTGATAGCGCCCTTGACCACGCTCGGCCACTGGCAGCGCGAGATCGAGACCTGGACCGGCATGGTGAGGCCCAGGAACTCAACCCAAAAATATCGCAGGCACTCCATGAGATCGATGAATTTCAACTGCTGTAGGGGTGTTTGAGGGATGAGGTCATCAATTCAACGGCTGTAAGGGTGCTTGAGGGATGAGGTGGTGACTTTGAATTATGGGGTTTTGAGTCATGAAATTCTTGAATGTGCAAGACAGGGATGCTGTGGCGTTTGAAAGATCCACGTCTTGCCCACTCATGACAGCATCTTTCAATCCCAAAGAAGAGCAGCTTTTCAGGCTTCATCTATTTGGCCACAAGCGGGCCCGGGCATTATGCCCCTGTTTGTACACTGTACTGAACATCCAGATCAATCCCATTGCCAATTCAGAGGAGCAGAGGCAAAGGGATGACGAGTGTATCAGAATGACATTTATGGGCTGAGTCAGTGTTTGTGTGTTTGTGCTCAGAATGTGGTGCAGTACACGGGCAGCAAGGCGGACCGCGAGATCATCCGCAAGCACGAGTTCTACTTTGCCAACGCCGACAAGTCCAAGAAGAAGCGCTACAAGTTCGACGTGCTCCTGGTGAGTATCCCCACCCTCATCAACAAGTCCATTTCTGTGTTTATCTTTTCCAAGTCAAATACCATTCATGCGCAAGCCATGACCATTGTCCATGAGGGGCGCTTCTTCGGAGGACACCCAAATCCCCATGTGGCCGCATGGCAATTCCCTGAGTGACTGTCAAATTCTAAGCCATTTATTTTCAAGGTGCCAGCCTGGCCTTGTGGAAATGCAGGGATGCTGAGGCAAGTCTGGCTCGGCTCGTAGGGGCGTTCGGCAGTGAACATTTATCCTGAAAGTGTGTCTGGCTTTCAAATTAGATTTGTGTGCGCAGACTTCGTATGAGACGGTGCTGAAGGACTCTAGCGTGTTCCTGGGCATCCCAGACTGGGGGACCATGATTGCCGATGAGGCGCACCGCTTTAAGAGTGTATCTGGCTCCACCCGCCGCGTCGTCACCAGCATGCGCGTCCAGTGGAAGCTGCTGCTCACCGGTGCGCGCATGACCGCCCTTCTGACAGTCAAAATTTCTTGTCTTCAGTTTACTCCCCTTGTGCCCCTCTTCTGTTTCTCTTAGATGCCTGGCCTGGCCTAGTCCAATAAAAAACCAGCAGCGTGTGCTATTCTTTGGCTGTTGCGCAGCAACAATATCTGGCAGGATGTGAGGAATGTACCTCTCCTGCACACCGATCCTGAGAATGTTGAGTGCCTTCCAAGTGTGTAGAGGATGCCCGCCGCATGCGTGCACAAGCCTTGTCACACAGTGACATTGGAAGTCAACTTTCTTTCTTGAATCATGATATCCTGTGTCAGTTGGCACAGTGGCTGCCAAGAGGATTATGCAATGTTGGCCTGACAGAGCGTGGGTGCGTGTGCAGGAACACCGGTGCAGAACAGCATGGAGGAGCTGTTTGGCATCCTCAACGTGCTGGACCCGGAGCAGTACGATGATGAGGACGATTTCCTGGAGCGCTTTGGCAAGGGCATGCCCACGCTGGAGCAGGTCCAGGACCTGCAGGTGCGAACGCTCTCCACCCCCTTTTTAGCCTTCTCCATTTTCAATCCTGCTACCCCTTGGCGACCTCTGCACTGACAAGGAGCAACTGACACAGCCGCTGCAGCACATTTTGTTGCACGCTGCCAAAACGGCAGATATAAACAGAGGAACCAGCAGCGTTTCTTTCCCCAAAATTCCAGGGAGCTAGTGGTACCTTTTGGGTGTGCCAAAGCTTTGGGCGCTTCGTGCCAGTTTGTTGTCTGGGTCCTCAGTTGGTGTTTACTAAGGCTGACGTGTGTGCCAGTCCTGTCATGCACAGTGTTTGGTGAACACTGGAGCTAACACAGCTTTATTTGTCTCAGTGTCGAACGAGCAAAATTTATGCCATTCAGGCGGAGCTGCGGCCGGTGCTGCTGCGGCGCATGAAGGAGGATGTGGAGAACCTGCCGGACAAGGAGGAAGTGGTGGTCTGGGTGGAGCTCACCACCGAGCAGCGCCACTTCTACAAGGCCATCTACGGCAAGCAGGTGCTCATCTTCCTTGCGCCTGGCACTTCATGCAGGACATTTGTGTACATTTGTTCAACACAGATTGCATGCATCACCTCTCATGTCATGTACGTTGCTGGACTTTTTTATCTCAGCTGTCCAGGGCAGTGCCCGTGGGAACATGTATGTACATGTGTATCAAGCCAGATGCATGCACGGCCTGCTTCTGTGTCTGTCATGCAGATCGCTGGAGTGCTTTATTGATGTCCTTCCTATGACTTGGCGGGGTGCGTTTGTTGAGAAAAATTGCGTGCTGCAGATTGGCGCGCTTCTGGGCGGGGCATCGACGAAGAACACGCCGCAGCTGCAGAATCTGGCCATGGAGCTGCGCAAAGTCTGCTGCCACCCGGTGAGCACCTTTTCCCCGACCTTATTCTTCATCTACTTTAGTTTAGGGTTTATGGAATACGGGTGTAGGGTTTAGGGAAGGGGCCTTGGTGAATTGCACCTCATGCAATGGTGAATTTAGGGTTTAGGGTCGATGAAGGGTCGAAATAAAATAAAACACAAAGTGGATGAAGGCTAATGCCAGCGGCCCCTCTTCTGACAGCCCCACACCACTGCTGTGTAGTCGGCATTAGCAATTGCATAGTAACCCAACCGCTCTGCTCTTATCTGAATGCAGCATGATGATGGGGCCACTTGGCATCTGTCCAGCTGACCGCCGGCGTCCATGCACGGAATTGGGTGCCCTAGTCCTTTGCAGCACTGCTAGACTGTCGCCCTGTGCCTCTGCGCTTCCTGCTTGTTCTCCTGGGCGTATTTCGCTTGCGCCTGCTCTTGCCATGCAACTGTGCTGCAACACTAAGCACCCTGACACTCATACAAATAACGCTCACTTCTTGTGCTCATATATGACGGGTGTGCCTGACGTCTGCGCGCAGTTCCTGTGCCGGGGCCTGGAGGATCACATGATGCTGCGGCAGGCGGCGCGCGGAGCGGAGGCGCAGGAGATCGACCGCATCGTTAACGCGTCCGGCAAAATGGTGCTCCTCAACAAGCTGCTGCCCAAGCTGCGCTCTGAGGGCCACAAGGTGCGCGCAATTTTCTTCCTTGTGCCTTCTTTTGCCAAGCACCCGCATGCATGCATGCATGTGCTGTGTTCATGATTGGCTAATGCTTCTTGAGAGGCATGGTGAGGTTCTCTGGAGAAAGCAAACTGCCATTGTTACCTGGCATTGGTTGTTGAACGTCTTGCACAGCTCGACTGAGTTTCTGAGTCTTGAGTTTCTGAGTCGAATTGCTCTGCAGTGAGCGACTGGTAACCGAACACTGTGGTCACATTGCTGGTTACTTGTTGGTCAGAACCATCATGTGCACCTTCAAAGCGACAGGCGCAGAGGGGAGAGCACCTGCAGAAGCAGCATGGCACACATGCAGTGTTTGAGCAAGTTTGGATTCTGCAGCCACTTCTGGGGCGGCCGTGCCCTAGACTCGTCTGAACATTGCTGCTAGCCATTGTTTGTCATTATGCTCAAGGGGATTTCTGCTTCTGCTCCTTCCTGGGCTCTAAATGACGCAATCATTGTCATCCTAGCCACAGGTGTTATGGGGTTTGCATGGTACTAATAGTCCAATGCCGTGCTGCGTGTCAGGTGCTGATGTTCAGCCAGTTTAAGATAATGCTGGATGTGCTGGAGGACTTCCTGCGCCTGGGCGGCTTCCCATTCGAGCGCATCGACGGCAGCGTGTCCCAGCGCGACCGCGAAGACGCCATCAACCGCTACTCCAAAGGTGCGCCGCTGCACTTTATATAAATTCCTTTCTTTCTGCCGAGTCAGTGCGGCGCTGCCATTTGCTGTCCTCTTCGTGTGAGCTTGCTGTGTGCCTGACTAGTTTAAAAGACTGTCTTCCACAAAGGAGCCTATGTGCTCAGTTGACTGCTATGCAGATTCTGGAGTACTCTCTGCTTACTTCCTGGAACATTCGCATGAATGCTGCTTTGGGTCACAGGAGTATCAAATGATTTTGCACGAGAGGCTACATATGGTTACTTCAGATCCTGTTAAATTCAAGGGGTTTATTGAGGATGAAATTCCTGTGTTTGTGCAGAGGGGTCGGACGGGTTTGTGTTCCTGCTGTCGACGCGCGCTGGCGGTCAGGGCATCACACTGACAGCCGCAGACACCGTCATCATCTATGACACCGACTTCAACCCCCAGGTACCTTCCACATCCCCACTTGAGCATGACCTGCCTTTACTCTTCATTTCCTTTCTTATCCTGATCGTTACATGAGACATGGCACCATCCTGAATTTCATTAACAAAGGTATCACATCTTTTTGTCTCACACATCAGATGATCTCCAGATATGTTGGTGACCACCTGCAGAGTAAGCAACGCAACCTCCAACAATCTGCCACATGAATTCAAGTTGCTGGGAGAAGGACATGTGCTGGTACACTAATAACCAAAAGGTGCTCAATGCAGCTTGTCTGACTGGAGTTGTGTGTGTTGCCCCCGCTGCAGAACGACCTGCAGGCGATGGCGCGCTGCCACCGCATCGGGCAGGACAAGGAGGTGAAAGTGTACCGCCTCATCACCACAGGCACCTATGAGCAGAACGTCTTCGAGTGCTCCACGCGCAAGCAGGGTGATTGTTTTCTCTCCTCCGCTGTGCTCACCGATTTACGGAACATGCCCTTTCAGCAACCAAGCACCAGCCGCCCCAGACCGCCTGAAGCACAACAGGCAATTGGGTTGGAAGGAGAGCGTGGTAGCCTAGCGCCGCTGGTGCTTCGGCCTTGATGGGCTGGCAATCGTATGGCATCTCTTGAGCATGTGCTGCTGCAAGTAGCCGTCTCCTGTAGCCAGTGACAGAGTCCAATCGCCTGCCAGCAAGTGGGAGGGGTGAGCAGCAAGACAGTGCATACCTGCAAACCCCCATTGCAATCTCTCGCTGGAACAGCCCTCTCACTCGCTGAGAGACAAAGGTCCGCTCATGCTGCATTTTTCAATTTCCTGTGCAGCGCTGTGAGGGAATGATGCACTACATAAAATAAAATCCTTGCACTGCAGGCCTGCACACGCGATCCTGGGGTATATTCATTTCATGTAGGGTTCATTGTGTCTCCCTAGTTCTATACCCCTGAAAAATACCCCTGAAACACAGGCCTGGACAACGCGATCCTGGGGTTCCTGAATGCTGACGAGCGCAAGGTGGACGGCGCCCGCATCGCGCAGCTGCTGGCGCACGGAGCACACGCCATCTCAGCACCCGACGAGGATACCGCTAAGGAGGGCGACGCTTTTGCCAGCGAGGTGGGGACCTACTTTTACGTTGGAAGGATCAATTTAAATGACTGATATGCTTGCACGCACTTTGATTAAAGAAGTGCACGGAGTGCCGAGTGCCGAGATGGCGAAAGCCACGGTGTAGGCAAGACAGAAAGAGTCCCAAGCTTGCCAGGTTGCGCTTGCAGGTGGATCCTTGGGTTGCATGCATGTCCTGGGCTTTGTGAGGCTGCATGCCCAGAATTCATTCTATAAGTGCAGGTTTCTGCAGTTGCGACAGGCATCTGGAGGATGATTATTACCAAGCAAAGCTTTTTCGACTGCCTGTGGGCGGATGCAGCGCTTTCCTGCCTGCGTGTTCTCTGTGGCGGCTCCGGCCGACCCTGGATTCAACACTGCTATGCATTTTCCCGTTGTGTTAATAAGACTCCCTCAAGACCCCTCAGCATATGTGCATGCTTGCAGCCTGTGGTACTGTATCGGCTTCCCTGGCTGCCAGGCTTGACAGGCAGTCTCAATAATAATATATGCAGCTTATCTGACTAGTTTCAAACCCGCAGGACATTGACGCCATCCTGGCGCGGCGCACTGAGAAGCGGCAGCTGGGCAACAGCAAGGGCAACACCTTCAGCACGGCCACCTTTGCCATCCAAGAGGAGGAGAAGGGCCCCCAGGACCCGCGCGAGTACTGGTCAGCCATCCTGCCCGAAGCCGTCGCCGACCACGACGCCCAGGTGGGGCCACTTCCATTGTTTTCTCTTTCACCCCCCTGTTTAAAGCAAAATGCTCACTGTGATGCTGCGTCATAAGAAGGTTTATCACATAATGCATACATACATAATGCTATGTGATTATCACATTTCTGTTGAGACAAAAAGGTCACAGGGACCTTGTATGTCAACGGGCAGCATAAGTCTATGGAACTGAATCTGGGCGCACTCAGGAGCGCCTGACAGAATGCAGGTTGTAATACCCGACAGTGCTGGTCAATTCTATATTGATCCTCCATATATGTGTGTATCAATCAAGCTTCCGGCAGTATTCCTTGGCAGGACGACGGTGCATACCTCATCCCACTGGATATCTCATTCCTGTGGGGCAGTTGTCCATATGGCGGATGCCTAATTATTCGCACATCCCTGCGCAGGTGGCAGCTGCGGCGGTGCCGGTGGATCTGGGGAAGCGGCAGCGGCGCAAGGTGGTGTACAACGAGGTGGAGCTGGGCAGAGCCAAGGCCTCCGACGGGTCTTCCTCCTCCAGCAGCGGCAGCGAGTTTGAGGCCGAGGACGCGGTCGACGATGAGGACGAGGACGCCTCCGGAGACGGCTCCGGCCCCGGCGAAGAGGGCGCTGACGGCAAGCGGGTGGGCATGCTTCTTTCTAATCTGTTCTGATGGTTCTTTTCGAGCATCCGTGGTTGTTCTTGTTGCTTCAAGCATCTAGGCAACGGTCACCTGACCCACACCGGTCATGCCCTGAGGTTACCACCCATGTAAGCAATTGTAATCGTGACATTCACTGGTCATGCCCTGACAAAGTGGCTGACAAAGACTTGCGAGAGCAGGCTGCATCATGCAATGTGAGCAGGCGGGTCCACTGCCAATTCTGGGAATCTGCCTTTGCAATGGTTCAGCATGAGAGTGCCTGCTATCATTGTGTGGTGCATCTCCTTGCTCCACTATCTTGAAACGCGCAGCAGCAGCAGTGGATCAGCGCCAGTTTCCATACCAGAGGTGGCTCCCAGAGCTGTACAGGTCGTTATGATGGATGATCTTTTGTCAGGCTGCAGAGAAATGCTACCTTTGCTGACAGAGCATGTGTTGCATGATGTGCAGAAGCGCAAGCGCAGCAAGGAGGAGAAGAAGGAGCGTGAGTGGAGGCACACCGAGCTCAAGGCGCTCGAGGATAACCTGCTGCTCTTTGGAGACGGCAACACCTCCAAGCTGCGATCCCTGGTATGCTGCCATGAATCATCATCACTTCCCCCTTTTACAAGATTGCTGCTGTGGCAAGGGTTCTTCAGCTGCTGATGGGGTCCTCGCCTTGCCTGCTGCCCTTTGTCCTGACACACGACTATACCTGAAGCCTGCACAAAACTTGCATCATGCACATACTTTAGGAGCGCTTCACGTTAAGGGCAGGCAGTTTATGATAGTAGCTTTTGTGCATGTAGTTCTGGTTCGCCCAGGCTTCAGATGTACCAGTGGCACCTCGTGTTAAACACACCTGACCCACATCAACAGTCATAGCACTAACCCACATGATGAGCCAAAATAGGCCAGGGTGGCAGCCTTTCATGGAAGCACTGCTCTGACGCACATACTCCTCATGATTTGGGAAAGCGTCTACCTATTTTAATAGTAGTGAGCTGTGGGATCTTGTGAAGCACGGCCTTGTCGTCGCCACTACTGTATCTTCAAATTAATTTACTAACTTTATCCTAACTTTCTGCAGGCTGGGCTGGAGAAGCGGTCGGTGGAGGAGGTGGCTCTGGTGGAGCAGGCCCTCGTGCGAGTCATCCAGCGATCGGCGCAACTCCCCGAGCCGCCCAAGGCTGACAAGGTGACAGTCTCATCGGCAACTGTCACCCGCTCTTTCTGCCAGAAGGCAAGAAACATGTGAACCCGCATCTATACACAAACTACAGGTGAAGGCTGCAATATAGCCAGCCTGCCTCTTGTTGGACTCGCCAGATCCATGGTAGGCCCAATCGATCGTGGGCACGGTGCTGAGTTCCTATACCGCCCCCCGTTAGCAGGGACCAATCGAACATCTGCAGTACAGAGCGTAGTTTCAACGCATGCGGGACAGAGCGCATGTTTTTGGGATCTTTGGTCTGGCTGCAATGTCTTAATGCATGTACGCTGGCAGCAACATTATCCCTGTCGAGTACAATATTTCTGTAAGACAGCACAGTGACCAAAATTTGCCTTGTGCTGTGCAGGTTGCTGGCGCAGAAGGAGCTCCTGCTGGTGAGCACTCTGCATATCAAGAAACCAGACTGAGAATGCTGTACTACTGTTGAGGCTTGACTACGCAAATGTCACCTATTCACGCCATTGCTCGAATCCTCAAGCTAACTAGGCAAGGATTCAGCTCGGTGTTGAAGAGATGAATGGCGTGTCACAGGTGCCGTCGCCCCAACACCGGCCCTGCCACAGCTCATCCCTGAGCTGCAGATCCCTAAATTCGCTAGAAAGGTGCTTCCTCCTCTCAGCCACACGCTCTTTGAGAAGCAAAGATCCTTGCAGATGGAGCTCACATTGAATCAAGTTCTCTAATGTTATGTTACGATAATCCCTGCAGGCATTTCTAATATCGCATTCAGGAAACATGCTGCAGCTCTGTGCGCCGTAGCGTGTCCTCTGGCAGCAACATTAGGCACGCTCAGAATTCACAAAATATTGCAGAGCTGGCGGGGTGCGGTATATACATAGCATGCTTGCATGGCCCTTCGTGTATGTGGATTAGCTGACTGCTCTTGTGCAGGCATTTGAGGGTGCGCTGGCACGCCTAGAGAAGCACGGCAGGAAGCACGCTGCGCAGCTGCGGGACAGGGCGGCCCTCAACCAGCTGGCAGCCGAGGCCGACCCCTACAAGGCTGCCGTCGAACTCGCATCCGTAAGGCCCCCCGATATCCCGTCCCCTACAATCATGCTGCCCCTGTTAACGAGAGGCCGAGGCTGAGCCATACGGCCGTGATCATGAGCGCTGCGTGGCTCAACTCTGCCCGCACCATCTGAGCGCCACCTGCGTAGGCACCAACAATTGTAAATAGGAGCCTATCAATGTTTTCAGTAAAGAAGAATGGTCAAGTTCTCTTAACTTTCCCCGATTGAAAAGCTATTTCGTCAGAATCAAGACAGATATCTTTTGCACTCTGATATTCAAGGACCACTGCCTTGCCAAGGGTGTCTGGGCGTTCTGTTGCTATTAATCACACTCATACGCATCTTTCCTACATGAGTACTCACTGAATTGCTGTTTGCTGTACGGCGCGGCTGGTGTCCAAGGCATCAAACCTGCAGCTTGTCTGCAAGTTTGCGTGTGTCTGACAAACTAACTTTGAAGACATGAGTGTATCTGGTGCAGCTGGTGCCCAAGGCGTCAAACCTACCAGCTGCGTGGACTACGGCGGAGGATGCGCGGCTGCTGCTGGCCGCCCAGCGCATGGGCTACTACCCCAACTCAGCCGCGCGCCGCCAGAACGCGTCCGAGGGCTTCGTCGCGCGCTTCATGCTCCTCTACACCCCCGTCCGCGTAAGTTTTGCCCTTGGAAATACAGGTTGCAGTTGCTACCAGGCAGTTGATGACAATGTTCTGCAATATTTCTGCAGCGATTGCATAAAGCAGAAGACA